CGCAGGCGGCTGCCTCCCCCCCCCGCACCGCTGGCCCCGCCCCCATGCCACCCCGGACACCCAATCGGATTGCTCCGCCGCTAGCAGGGAGTACAATCTCGTCCCTGAAGTATTGGAACTGTTAATGCTAGCTAGAACGTTGACCTGTAGTCACAAATACTCTGTAGACTGAACATGGGACATTTCCTCTCGCTGTATGATTCTCATTTGCAATTCGGGACACGATCTCATAAATAACAGCCAACCAAGTGGAATTATGTCCAGAGAGGTGACATAATGGAAGGGTCACGGGTTCCATCTCCTCATGCTTGAAATAGCTTCTGCTTAGATGCAGGTCAGATTTCTAGTGGTAGCCCATAAGGGTATGCTTACAGAATGCAAGGTGTTTGTGTTGTGTGAGTATGTAGTGTGTTATCTTGGGTGTCCATCACCCATGCTGATTTCAGAGAAGGATTGACTTAGCATTAATCTAGTCTGAGGTGGGCAACTCCAGATATTGTTGGTCTATAACTCTCATCATCCCTGATCGTTGGCAACGCTGGGTTGGGCTGATGAGACTTGTGAGTCTAGCAATATTTGGAGAACCACAAGTTTCCTACCTACCACTGATCTAGTCCATCCATATACAGCTTTCAGAACTTAATCTATATGGCATTCACTGAGAGTTTCCTTTAATATAATGAATTGTTCCATGCTTTTATATTTCAAGGATATTATATTGGATTTTCCATGTTAATCACTGAAGAATTGCACAGATTTGCAGGAAGGTCGAGTTAGTTTATATATATATATAAAATGGATGAAGGCTAATTGAATTTAAATTATTGAAGCATATCCATAAATGAAAAGTTAATTGAAAGTTTTAAGGGGATGTTACACATTTCTATATCATTAGGAGGATTTGGGCTGACATTCGCTTTTTTTTTGGATAACACGTTCAACATATAAATGTAATTAAAATCAAATACCGATGTTCCCATCCCAATTCATCACCAGTGTTTTTTTATTCTTCATAGCGCAAAATTTGAATATCTCTAGGCACCCATTCCTTCTCTTCAGTTTGCCCAGCAACGATAAATATCTCATTATTGCTATTATGTTACGCCTGTAAAAATTAACAAAATTATCTCTTTGAAGTGTAATATAACCAGTATAACAATACAGTGAATGGAGAGAGTGCTTTATTCCCCAAAGGCACAATCCACAGGCAAACTTCCCTGTAGCAATTCAATAGGGGCAGTGCAAGTTCAGCATCTTCATATATCTTTCACTGCTAACTGACACACTTGGTTAGTGTTAGACCTACTCGTTGATACTTGTTGAATTACATTATGCACTTGCGTTCTGATTTTGGCCCACCCATCCCTCACAACAACTCTATGTGCCTCCCCCTGCAAGTGCAGGTTGCTGTTCTGAATGGGTTGCCAGCCCACAATGGCTTTTTTCTACTAGTTCACATAAAGGTTTTGAGCTGCCAGCCAGTACAAAGTTGCTTAAATTGGGGCATGTTATGATAAACTAGAGGACTGCTATTCATTGGCCATAGCACCCTTTACGGTAGGGAACTCCTTGTGGAATGAAAAGAGCTTTATGTGGAAATCCCCCATGAGTTGTGAATTTTGGTGAATGCCTCTTTCCACTTGCAAGCATTTATAGGTCCACTTATCTCTTGAGATCTGCAGACCAGGCCCAGCTTAGGGTTTCTTCCATTACAGAGGTAATACTTGTGCAGAGCATAACAGAGCCTCCTTGGTGGTAGCTCTCACACTTTGGAATTATTTGCGCAAATTGGCCCAGAACTCTGTTAGAAAGAAATGCTTTGTTTTAGGGAGTTTACAGTGTCATATGTTTTTAGTACTTCTGGTTTCTTATTTTATTTTTTACATTTGCTAATGGTCACTTTCTTTTCTGCCCTTTTTTGTTTAACTGGTGTGTACTTAGTGCTAGGCTGTGTATTTTTTACTGCCTGTTCAGTTGGATTTTTTGATGCATAGAAACTATACCATGAGTTCTGTGGAGAATAGGAGAGGGAGAAACGTTTTTATATTTGTGCATTATGAGGACAAGTATGCGCACAGTATTTAAAGCACTATCACAGTGGGCATTATCCAACTGGCACTCTTCACCTTTTACCCAGCATGAACTGAATCACATTGCAAACTTGTGGATCTGGATTGCCAGGGCTCATCCCAGGACATGAAAACGTTCTACATCCAGTGATTACACTTCCAAACCTGTCTCCTTGTTGTGGGGGGAAAAAAAAAAAAAGTTTCATCGAAAGGTGCTAGCATAACCTTTTGATGCTTGGGAAGCAAGTCATTCCAATGTCCTTCTCTCTCTCCCTCCCCCTGATTTCCCCAAGCTCTGGTCTGCATGGGGGAGACAGTGTCACCAAATGTGGACCAGGAGGCCTTTCAGACATGAGACAAGTGCCAACGGTTGTGATCGAATGCGATGACAATAAAGAAAATGTGCCTCATGAATCTGACTATGAAGATTCTTCATGCCTCTATGCAAGAGAAGAAGAGGATGACGATGAAGAGGAAGATGAGGACAGCTCAATATTTACAAGTAAGAGCCGCTCTGATAACAACAGTGTTGTAGATGGATTTGATAGCCTTGGGAATAGGCACGGAGAAGCTCAAGGACAGCAAGGTGACTCCCTTCTTAAAGTCCTTAGGTTCAAGGACACATATCATTCCCATCCGCAGGGTGGTGTGCATTGTGTTAAGGACTGTGGAGCAGGAAGATGAGTGCAAGGCTTGTTTCCTCGCCCCACAGACCTTCATCTAAACTGCTGTTTCTTTGATGCAATGGAGAGCTGGTCAGGGGCTTGCTGCCCTCTTGTATCACGATGATGGCAGCAATAGGTCTTGGGTGAAAAAGAGACACTGTTTTCTGGGCTAAGGCCAGAGCCACTTCTGCATCCGCACTGCCTGTCTAGAGCTGATGCACAAAATAATAATTTGCATTTCCTTAGTAAGTAGCACACTGAACCAGCGGAAAGGCTTTTAAAAGAGGTTTCTAGTTTGAAGATCAGAATAGCATCCATCTTCCTATGTAGGAAAGGTTTTTAAAAAACAAAGTCTGTGTTGCTGTGATCCTAGTGCTATAGATGAAGAGTCTAAAGTTCCATTCTCAAAAGCTGCTTCTCAAACAGCACAGTCTAAAGTTCCATTCTCAAAAGCTGCTTCTTTCTGCCCAAGGTTCCCTCGCCATGAAAGTCTGCAGGAAGGACTCTTTAGCCATCAAACTTAGCAACAGGCCATCCAAACGAGAACTGGAGGAAAAGAACATCCTACCCATGCAGACCGACGAGGAGAGGCTTGAGCTGAGGCAGCAAATCGGGACAAAGCTGACAAGGTAAGAACCATGCAATTTCCTCCCTTTGACCCGCACCAAATGCATAAGGCAGCTTGAGCTATCCAGGTTTTATTCTTGAACTAACAAGAGGGCAGCGCAGCGTCCAGCCAAAGACAAGCACTTTCAATCCTAGAGCTTTCAGTAAAAGAGCTTTTGGGGCACTTGTTCCCCACATTTCCTCTGAGGAGCTCAAGGAGATGTGTGTGGAACCCACACAGCCAAATATCGCACTTCAGAATAATCCCTTAATTTTCTGGCCCAGCCAGTTTTCAGTATCAACAGTTAGAACACTTGGTCAGTTTCTTTATACTATAATAATATTTCCAAAACTTCATCATTCTTTCCTGATCACTAAGGAATTGGCACATAATGACATAGATCTCAAGTTAAATTAATGGAGTAAAACCCTTCTGGTCCTTTGGGAAAAGTTGAGATGCAAAGTACGATTCCAGCTGACAATTTTAACAACTTTTCTAACAGACTTTTACCATTCTAAAGGAAGCCCCCAGAGTCTTGGAACAGCCAGCTGATTAAATTACCTACATTATTTGCAGAAAGAACATAAAACATAGAAGAAGAAGAAAAACTCCACACATTTTTAGTACCAGACTCATTAGGAAATAATTATCACTGCTGAGACTGAACTAGATTTCTCCATCCTCACAAGAAAGCTGATTAAAATGTCTTATACAAATTCTTTCGGCTGTTTCAACTCAGGAGTAAGCATTAGTAGAGGCTTTTGACAGAACAGAGGTGAGCTCCATGAAGACAGAGAAATTGCCATAACAAAAAATAAGCTCAGGCTGCATTCGCATGGCAGCTTACTCCATTTTCACAATGCTTCCCTAACTTTTAATTTCGGCATTATATTTGACTTTTCACATGATGTAAAAGCAGTTTCTGGAAAGCTAATGAAATATAGTGCACGTCTGGTGCTCATTTCCTTGTTATTCGATTCCATTAAGAATCCATTCACGATCCACTAAACCCAGAAAATCTCAGGAATAAGTGATAATATTTGGGGTGCAGCTCTTCCCTGTTGTTTTCATGAAGGAATCATGAGGGAACAGAAGCACGCATGTGTGGAAAGGGCTGGGGGAATAGGGACATTGTTCAATTATGCTCATTGTTGTACCACACCACGCCCACTGGTGTGAATGGAATTTAGTACAGGTGGCGGCCATTTTAGGTGTGTCCAAAGGAAGCACAATCACTGACACATGGGTCCTTTTTGACCCGGAAGAAGGCAGAACCGGGGCAGGTGGGACATAACAGGGCAGGGCATGCTCCATCGATGTGTGTGGGGCCCAGGAACAGAATCCCTGCGCAAATTGGTTGCCGCCTTGCCTGTATGACATGCCAGTATATCAGTCAAAAAGCCACAGTTGTTCCATAACACAACAGGTACTGCAGTGTAAAAAGAACATATATTAAGAGAGAGAGAGAGAGAGAGAGAGAACAGAAGCACTAGCATTATAATCAGGAAAACACAATATTCCCCACATTTAAATATACGCTCAATGGAGGATACATTGGAATTGCTCTCTCTGCTACATTGCAAGGCCATAATTATTAAAATGACTGAAACATGAATCTGAAACAATACTAGGAGGAAATTACTTGTTTTGTTTTATTTTGTTTTATTTATTTATTTTATTTTGAAAAACAACCCTACTGATAATGGCGCTGGGAGGAAAGTGAGCACAAGAGATAGGAAAGGGGGGATTTGTGGCAGCAAAAGGTCGGCGGGGAGAGAGACATTGTCAACCTGCCCTGGTGTGTGTCTCTAGGAGAGACAGAGAGGGGTCTGGAATCATACAGTCTCGTGTTGGCTTCTTGGTCAGCATCCTTGGAAAATTATTCAATGGGTGTGCCAGCCCTCATCCCAAACCTGTTGCTCTTTCACATCCGTTTTGTAATGTCTGGATCAAGGCAGAATTTGAATACAACTTTGTAAGAGCCAGGCAGTCAAATAACGTGGTGAGATATTTTGAGTCAGCCTTCACTCTGCTTCTTCACACCCATTCCCCCCACCCTTTCTTGAACTTCCTTCTGCTTTCTTGGGTGTCCTGTCCCAAGAGGAAAATCCCTTCTCTGGAGCTGGCATTTGGTGGGCAGAGAAATCCCTTATTGGCACTGATGGGATTTCCTCCTAATGTGAAAAATACTAGCTTTAGAGGAAGGATTTTTCTAAAGCAGGGGAGGAAAGGGTTGCATTCCTCCTCTATACCTGCTGTGATCCTGAATATTACCAGGCCCCTCTAGCGGATGTGATTTGAATTAAACAACAACAACAACAGCAACAACAGCTTCACTTTAAATGCAAGGATGCATTTAATGTCAGGCCTAGTTGGACCTCTCCCCCCCCCCCCCCGCATCCTCCAGACTTTGCAGTGGAACTCTAAAGGTTCCTGTTGCCACATGGAGAAGTTGGTCATTGCCGCTCTGACTCATCGTCATCACTGCAGTCACTGCAGCCTCGCTGTGCTCCTGCGCCTTCCCCAACTGTGCTGTGAATTACTCAGCGTTCTTCATTACACAAAAGGTTCTTCAAATTGCCCTGGAGGGAAACATAAACAGCCAAATGAGAACAGTTATGTTTACTAAAAGTTTGCAGCAATGAGGTCTGCGGCATTGGAGGAAATTGATTTTCTTGAATGAACGTTGAGAGTACTACTCAATGTGTGCACTGAGAACTACTGCAAGAGTGACCTCTGTTGTCCATAGAATTGTCGAGTTGGAAGGGACCCCAAGGGTCATCCAGTCCACCCCCCTGCAATGCAGGAATCTCAGCTTAAAGCATCCATGACAAGATGGCCATCCAACCTCTGCTTAACAGGGAGCTTTCTGGGTTTTTTTGTTGGTTTGCTACACGTAGTTATACCTCACTTTTTCAGCCCAGAATGTTCTCTTAGGGCTTTAAAAAATCAGTATGAAGTACTTTGGTTGGCTATTCCTGACAGGTAACTGATTTTGAGAAGAAGAGAGTTCAGTAGAGCATCTGGGACTCCTCTGGGGTCCAGGGTGTGGGCTGTGGAGCTGCCTCTTATTGAGCGCAAAATATGGAAAGACGGGGTGAAAACAAAATAATATAGATGTGCCTGGTCGCTCTCTCTAGGGGATGGTCTAGGTCCTACTGTAGAAAGTGCCCCATCTCTTCTGCTTTCTTTTATGGAATCTCGCATCCAAATCCTGCCTTCGAAAGCAGCTCTGTAAAAGATGCTGAAAATAATAGACGCCTCAAGCACAATTCCACCTGGTGAAATCCCTTTCTATTCGCGCTGATACCTTTTGAATATATGTGTATGTATGTATAGCCAAAATGGGGAGAGTTAGGTAGGACATCTGCCTTGCAAGGAGATGGTCCCATTCCCAGCATCTTCAGGTAGGGCGCCCCAGTAGGTGGGTGGGTGAGCAAGGGAGCATTAAACAGGTAACCTGCCCTCACCGCCCAGCCTTGGCATCAGGCCACACCCCTTCCCACATGCTAGCTCCTCCCCCTGCTTGCTGAGGAGTACCGGCACTTTTTTCTTGAACATATACACACATATACACAGAGACATATACACACACACAGCTGTGTAGATGGCTGCTGCTTGCCCAGCCCTTGGCCAGATCTCAAAACCAATTCAAAACAGTCCTGAGCACAGCAGCTTATAGGACAGCCATCCCTAACCCCCGCCGATGATTGGGACACAAAAAGGTTGGCAGTGGGGGAAAAGAAGCTTGAAAGCTGATCCCTACCGACAGAAATAAAAGAGGGAAGAAGCTTTTCTTGTTGCTTTTGGCAGATGAAAGAGAACAGCACAATGATATTGAGAGTGTGTGGCAGTAACGATATGAAAGAGGTTTTGGAAACTCTGAGCAGCAATTCTCCCATAAAATACTGACTGATTGCTTGGGTTATTGTTGCTCTGGAATTCTTCTCTCTCCCCCTTTTTTTCTTTAAAGAGAGTGATGACTTTATTCTTTATCTCTTTGCAGTGCACTGAGAAGTCTGAAATCATTGTGCTCTGACAGTCATAAACTTGCTAGAGTTATAAAACTGTCAGTTCACTGAGTGTTCAGGACTAGATTCAAATTTTATAGATGTTCTTGTCAAATTTCTTGACATCACACAGTGCATGCTTTTAGTTAACGTCTCCCCAACCCCCTCCCAATGGAGCCTTGTTTATCCTGGGCAAAAATCTTACTTTTCTATTATTTCTTCATTGCATTAATATCCCACCTGTTGCTCCAAGGAGCATCCATGGTTCTCCCTCTCCTCATTTAATCCCAACAACCACCCTGAGAGGGAGGTGAGGCTGAGAGGCAGTGCCTGGCCCAGGGTCACCCAGTGAGCTACATGGCTGAGTGGGGATTTGAACCCTGGTCTCCCAGGTCTTAGTCCAACACACTAACCACTACACCACACTGCTTTAGTGAGTGAATAAAGTCAACAGTCATGTAGCTTCAAGATGGTTGAATACAGATCAGGTATAAGCAGCTTGACATAGAGTTAGGATGGCTGCAGAAGGTTCACCAAGAGTAAGATTGGCATCTTTGTTGTAGTTATTTGGCGGGGCGGATACTCTGAAATGCTGTGTTTTTTGCTTCTGCTATGCTAAAAGCTAAAGGGTTGAGGACAATTGGAAACGGACAGTGTTAACATACTTTTGCAGTTGACGGTTGGCAGCTTTTACCTACTTTCCTTTTCTGTGAGGTTCAAAGCCCCTATAACATTTCCGTGAAAATGCTTGTTTCCATAGCCTGTGTTCCTCCTTTTAACAAGCTGTTCTAATGAGGCTTCTGAAAAGCCATTACATAACACCCTTGCTACGTGTTGCAACGAGCACAACAAAGCTACCCATTGCAATGCTGAACTGTGCAGCTTTATATTTTTATTCCCAGGCCCAGCTAGATAAAGCCACACGTCTAATTGCTTTACAGTCCTAAGGTGAACTCTCTCAAACATCCTCTTTGTAACACTGGCTGTGCACTGTAAGGATAATAATCGTGATTAGCGGTACTTAAACAGAGCTGTCCCCTTTTAAAGTGTGCCCTTGAATATAAGTTCATTCTGAACACACATGGCATGATCTTGACCTTTTTAAAAAACACTTTGCCAGTTTCTTGTATTTTCATTGGTTCCAAAATTATATGAAGTATAACTCACATCTTCTCTTACATTGGGCCTGAGCTATGTAGCAGGTTTATTTGTACTTAGTAACAGCCATGAGGGGATCATTTAAGAAGATAGGGTTGTGGTGGATGTAGCCCTTTCTCTCATGCCATCACCCTGATGAAAAATCTACTTGCAGAAGACAGCAGTGCCCACCACAGTTGCAGAGGCTCTGAGACCTGGAAGAGTGTCTTCCCCACTGGGGATGCAACTGAGACTTCTTAAGTCAGAGCTGGATCAGGCCCGTGAGCCAGATCCTTAATTACTCACCCCACAAGCCAACTTTTATGGTCACCTGTCAGTCACTCAATCTCATAATTGTGTCAGGTGATTGATGCCTGTCAAAGTTCAGAGGAGGTCCCTGCAACTGCCCATCAGGTGACTAACATCTCCAGTCGGATAGTGATATGGGGCATGCCACTCCCATCAAATGACCAGGCCCCCTAAGGGCCTTCTCCTTTGCTGGGGTTGATGTGCGTGGTACCACTTTCCCACTGGGGATGCAACAGTCCCCAGTGTCCCCAATGGGGGAAATGCAACTGGACCACGCAGCATCTCTCCTATCAGGGGTGTTGGTAGGATGCCTTTCCTTCTGCCAGCCTGAAGGTAAGTTTCTTCACCTTCAGGCTGTGGAAGGTGCAGGTGGCACCTTATAGGACTGGGCAGAAGGCAGCCCTGCACACAAGTCTGTGTTCATCTCAATCCTGCTCTCAAGTAATCTGACCAGAGGCTTTTGGTCAGCATTTGTGAGCACTCTTGATCAAATGCTTGAGGCATCCCCTAGTTTGAACTACAGGTGAGGGTCCCACTGGAACTGCTGTTTCCCTTATACAGTGAGAGGGGGAAGTATTTGCTAAATTTGCCCGTTTGCCCTCTGACGAAGAAATGACCAGTCCATAATTTTAATGGTAGGTTTATTGTAGCTGTGAGAGACAGAATAACAACAGGAAAACCCCCAGAAACCCCGAAGGATCATATACTTTTCCCCCTCACTGTATGTCTCTCTTCAGCCTTTAAAATACAAAAAAAAAAAAAAAAGAGGCTATGGAGCCAGCAAATGCAAAGGCAATATAGCCAAATTAATCCACTAGGAACAATCTGCTGGGACGTTCTCTTGCACATGCCCCATTGAGATGAATGGGAGCAGAGCAGGTAGTTCCATTCATATGGTTAGGACTTAGCACAGGAGAACTTCCTGCAGGTTTGTACCCTTGGAGATCAAGCTTTGCAGATAAGTTATATAGATAAACTACAGATAAATTATATTTGAGTGATCATTACCAAAAAATTCTCCTGTGTTTCCCACCTCCCTAAGTATATTCCATCAGTTAGCGAGAAAAGATAATTAAAAATTATCAAAGGGAAGATAAGATTTCTGTGAAGTTCTCATGGGTAGGGTGCAAGATTTTCATCATGCTTACTTCACTTTTAAGGTGGCAAGGGCTGCTTGTTAAGTATCCCTTTTCCATTCTATGAATTACTCACCGGTGGTCTGCACTCTGTAGCCTTCCCTGGTGCCATCGCTCCAATTGAAGCCCAGGGGGTAACTTCTCCGAAGGGGATTTTTAAAATCGGGAAGCGAGGGCAGCTGGGGAGGCTGCAGAGTGCTAGAGCAATGTTTACTGGAAAGAAACACACACACATCACCCTTGACCACCTCGCAACAGGTGAGAATGAGGCAGAAAAATGGAAGCCTCTTTCTCGGGGGAAGAAAGCATTTGAAAACGTAGAGGACAGCTTTCAGCACAGCACTAATAGCCATCTGTGGCCTTAGGGAGAATGAGTTACTTGAAGCCAGAGACAAAACTGCTATTGAATGTCGCAGCGAGTTGGGAACAACATTGTTCGCAGCCATCTATGTTTTTCTTACATCACTTTTCCCCCCAGCTCCTCGGCTGCTCTTACATCCTAGAATACGCTTGCTTTGCAACTGCCCTTTACACCAAATGCTTGTGTTTGTTGTAGGCAAAATATACGCTGGCAGGAGAAAGTGCGTTTGACCACTGTTAATTCGTCATTAAGAAATTGCATAAAGGTTTTCAGAGGGAAAGTGAGGACTGAGGAGGCAAAGAAGAGCCATTATTGTTCTAACCATGCTTCGACGTCGTTTCTGGGCTGTTAGCCGCCTTTGTTTCACTGCCTCTTTGGACAAGCAGGCCACAGTTTGGAGGCTCACATAAGCGTAGGGAAGGAAGAGCACGGAGCGGAGCCTGTCATGCTTGCAAGAGCAGGGAGGGAAGAAGATGACAAGTTGATACACCTGCATCTTCTCTCTCAGCCAGTTAGCCTGAGGTGGAGATGGTAGAGGCATTCCTGATATGACACGGCAGGTTTGGTTTCCCCTTGGTCAGCAGCAGGAAGGAAACTACCAGGGCACATCATGCCAGGGCAAAGTCGTCTTCCCAGTTTCTGCATTAGGGGGCAAAGAGTAACTCGGGACCACACTGAATGTCTGAGGGCATGATATGGTCCAGAAACTGATCCTGAGCTTTTTTCACAGACGACTGAGCCAGAGGCCAACTGCTGAAGAATTGGAGCAGAGGAACATTCTCAAACGTGAGTAACTGCAAGCTTGTGAGGGGTGTGGGCAGATGGCGTACTTGGGTCTCTGGGCAAAGGGCCCCTTCAGCTCCACCCCTCTCTCTGCTAGAGACAAGCAGGTTTTCGTTGCCCTTTTATTACTGTCCTCCTTCAAAACAGGTTTCCTGTGAAGCTATATTCACAACATTTGTCTCGAACAGCTATCAGCATTTTCAATTTGGTACTTAGGGGAGGACATATTTGAGTCACAAGTAGTCAGCCAAGGAAGTCCAGGTTATGCTCTTGTTCTTTTGCAATACACTCCTGTGCATGTTTACTCAGAAGTAAGTTCCACTGATTTAAGCAGGATTTATTTCCAGGTAAATGTGCATAGGGTTGCATCCCTACAGTGTATTGGATACCACCCTGTATGTCTAAGCTTGATGTAGTTAGCAACTGGGTTATAATGAGTAGATTGTGCTTTTGGAAACTAAGGATTTTTCAAGATACACGTGATTTGAGTGGCCTCCTTACTATGCTCTGCACTCACCTCCTTTAGGTCAGATAAACAAGTACATTTAAGGATTGCACTTAGGGAAAAATCCACTCTTCCATTTTGCATATTAAGGATGTGCACAGTGTTAATTGGCTCTCCCTTTTGGCAATTACAAAGCCTCCCCAAAGCAATTGTTCAAGTTTTTCTTTTTTGGGGAAAAATACTGTTTAAAACAACAACAATGTTCTAAACAAACACTTAATCTGGTGACTTTGTCAGGCACATGTAAGGCATTTGAAAGGAAAGGCCTGTGTACACAGAGATGTCTATCCAGGTACCTATTTTCCTGCTGTAGGTTAAAAAATAAATCAGCAAAATAGGCCCATTTATGTCTTTTCACTGGCTGCATCAGCTGTAACAGTTTGCAACCAATGATGTTTGTAACTGCATATATTTGAAAGAATGTAATGATGGGTCCCATAGAGGATGCTGAGCATTGAGACTTGCAAAGCTGGAGTTCATGGGATCAGATACAACCAAGTTGCATGGATGGCTCATTGCCACAAACTCTCTTCTTATATGCGCAATGCTTCTGGAACTCATTCCAGAAGCTGTTCCATAAAAGCAAAAATTTTACATCAGACTGAACCCTGAGCTGCCTGCCTTATCACTGTGCTCTGCACTGAGGCTGGCAGTGGTATCATTCCTCTCTTTCCCCCCACAGCTGATAGACCCTGAGGCACAGAGGTAATGGCTAAGGAAGCCCCTTGGCTCCTGGCGTAATAGTTGGCATGAACTGAGCCCAGTTAAAGGAATAAAATTCATGCCGGCACTTAGCCAGAGGAAAAAGGATTTCGATGTTTTGCAAGGTGTACAAAGGAAGGTGCTGGGAAAGAGGTAGCAGGAAGTTGACTGCTCTCAGGCATCCCTCAGAAGGGAAAGACCAAAATATCAATAACCCCATCCCAGTGCTTGCCAGATTTTTCATATTTCACGTGTACAACCAGTCTACAACACTGTAAATCTTTTCCAGCGCGGAATGAGCAAGAGGAGCAGGAAGAAAAACGGGAGATAAAGAGAAGATTAACACGCAAGGTGAGAAGTTACTGCTACTTCCTTCCATTCTTGGGGGCCCTTAAAGCTTTTAACTGAATGTTTTAATTCCTTGCCATATTTGCCTCTGTTTTTGTGGTTGTTGTTTTTTAAATGCTGAGCATAGTTTGTAAAAAGTGCACTAGCTTCTTTAGAAAGAACGCTTGAAACATTATCTGTAGTTACCTCTTTTGAAAGCTGCAGAGGGATATTCCTGGGTATTGCAATGCATTCATGTAGTTAGGGTACGTCTCAATGCAGTGTGGGTCACCAAGCTGAAAGCAGCTTGTCAGGGGCTCAACAAACTGCTTGGGAGCTCCAAAAATGTCAAGTGCTTAGCAGGTCACCCTGGTTTGCACCTCATGGTAAGTCAAATAGGTAAGGCTTATTGGAAGTGTGTGGATGTGCTGTCTCCCAGAGAGGAGCTTACACCACCTTTGCTTTTTCCCAATCCTTTTAGCTCAGCATGGTGTGACAGTTAAACCAAGGACTGGCTTTGCATACTGTCCAAACAGCTCATGGTTAGCAAGAAGGTAGCTTAAGCAGAAGTCTGAATTCAGATGACACACTCTGCCAAACCTTGGCCTAGCTGCCTTGCTGACCAGGAAGAAGCAAAGTTTCTCATTGCACCACTCATAAACTGGGGGAATTACTGGGGCACCACTTTTCTGTAGTGAAAGCAGGCTGGTGTTCCTGTAGGTTGGAGGGATATGAGACGGACAGACATAGGACAATGGAAAGTGCAACATTTTTAAAAAATTAACCAGATAAATATGGCCTTAAGGTGTCAGAAACATTTCTCTTCCCCCAGGCCTTTGGCGAATGAACAATCGATCACTTTTTAAACAGGGGTGTGTTGTTTTTGCTTGTTACTATGTTATTTATTTTTTGTGTTTTTATATAGTAAATGGCCCTGCGATCCTCACATGAACGGCAGTGTAGTAGTAGTAGTAGTAGTAGTAGTAGTAGTATCAATATCAATAGGGTTTGCCGCTCAATCCTATGGATGTTTACTCAGATGCAAGTTCCACTGAGTTCAGTGGGACTTTACTCTCATATATAAATGCACATAGGATTGCCACCCTAAGCTTAAAGTTGAACAATTTTAAGTGGAACTGTGAGCTGGTTGGTTTAGTCAGTGAGCCTATTGCTGACTGTAATCATCAGTTTCTTCAAGGTAGAAAATTGCAGGGTTTAGTCGTACATACTGCATGCATCCATTACACATTATCTTGTATGCATGGTTGTGTAAGCTCACATGCAGCCATGCTTCTCCATCCAATATATAGCAGTTCCTGTTTTTCAGTCTGTGTAAGAGATCACCCAAGACACATTTATCTATTTGTGCGTGAATCTTCATATGCTAAATTTATCTTCTCAAGATCAGACAGGCAGCAAAAAGCAAGTGGCACAGAGAGTACTACTCCAGAAGGAAAAGGTGATTGTTATTCCTTTAGAGTAAAACCACACAAAAAGGAAATACTAGGCTGTGCAGCAGGAAATGCTTTGTGAAGGTTTAGAGTGTCGTTTTTTTCAAAAGCGCTCAGCATTAGCCTAATTCTGTTCTTGTTGAATGCGACATCTCCCCAACGCCACTCGTGATACATTAAACTGAAGAATAGATGTTTAAGAATGGAAGCCTGGTTATTTGTCACATTTGAACCAGATGGGAATAAATCATTAGAGAACAGTGTAAGATTTTTGAGAGAATATTTATGTACTATTAGAAAACCTTCTAATGCATGAAAATTACACCAGCGTCAACACATATTTACCTGAACTCATGAAAACAGGCCTTTACAAATCACTCTTTCTTGTAAGCTGATAGATTTAGTTGCAACTTTTAATTGCATTTATTTATTTCCTTTATTACATTTATATATACCACCTATATCTTCCAAGGATCTCAGGGTGGTGTACATAGTTCTCATTCTCCCCACTTCATCCTCACAACAATTCTGAGAGGTAGGTTAGGCAAAGAGATGGTGACTGTCCCAGGATCACCCAGTGAGCTTCATGGCTGAGTGTGGGATTCAAACCCTGGTCTCCCAGGTCATAGTCCAGCACTCTAACCATTGTGCCACATATGCATTGAGAGGAGAGGAAGGGAAGTTCCACTGCACAGCCACAAGTCTTTGCAGTAATGGAACTACTTTCTTTGAATGCTGCCCTAAGCATCTTAGAATCCGGTTTAGGACAGTGGGGGTGCTTAACTTTGGCTTGACTGTGCACATTAACCCGCAGCCAGTGAAATCCAGAGCACATTTTCAGGATGGGGAAGGGCCATAGTTCAGTGATAGAGCATCTTTTTTGCATGCAGAAGATCCCAGATTCAGCCCCCGGCATCACCAAGTAGGCTGGTGGAGAACCCTGTCTGAAATTGTGGAGAGCTGCTGCCCAGCAGTGTGGGCAGTAATGAGCTAAATGGGTCATTGGTTTGAGTCCATATAAGGCAGCTTATTGTCTTCCTATTTACATAACTTCATTACCCCAGCTGCATAAAGGCACTCTCTTTCTCTCTGTGCCTCTGTTTCATTTATAAAGCAAAACAATGCTACCAAATGATTTGCAGGTCAGTCATTTTCTTTGTTGACCTCCTGTTGTCTCAGAGCAGCAGCAGTGTCTTAGAAATAATGGGATCTTGAGAGTGGTGTGACCAGCCAGAGGAGGAGGAGATTAGGTGAGAAAACAGAAGCTGCTGTTAATTTGGATAAATTGTGTTTCTCATCAAAAACAAAGAAATTTCAAGGGGCAGAATTCCCTGTGCCACTCCTGGCCCCCGTCTAAGACACACTCAGCCTTCACCACCGTGTCTTAAACCCAAATAGGCAGGAGGTTTTTGTACTGCTACAAATTGGATTCTCTGCCTCTGGACACTGAGTCCTGCAAGAAACAGGTGTGCTGATTCAACAAAGAGGGAAGGGGTAATGCGACAGGACATTATCAACACCTGAGTTGTTGCCATAGTAATAGCTGAAACACCAAGGAAATTCACAGCATGTTAGACCAGGTTTCATGCTTCTCGCAGACATTTTGCACAGGATGTTATTTTATATTCCTGGACTGTGGCTTCACATGGTAGCCCCACCCATGTTTTGGAAACCAAGGGAATTCAGCTTTGTGAGATATTGGACTGGAAATTGGCTTAGTATCAACATTTGAAATGAACAGCAGCTTTTATTTATTTAAGCTACAGCACAGGTGTGGATATTTGAGGGTATCTGTAGCCAGTTGATGACACAGACAGTGAGAGCTTGCATTGCGCCTAGTGGTCCTGGAAGGCAAACCGATTTGTCTTCAGCAAAGGCAGAGCATTGTTGCCTGCTCCCTGGATCAACAGATCAAGGTGAATGTAGTCGAGAGGCACCCCAAGGCACAGTGAGTGGGCTGCATATATTCTGTGCAGTGTGTAGGAGCCTGGTACATAGAATCATAGAATTTGAAGAGACCACAAGGGCCATCGAGTCCAACCCCCTGCCAAGCAGGAAACACCATCAGAACACTCCTGACATATGGTTGTCAAGCCTCTGCTTAAAGACCTCCAAAGAAGGAGACTCCACCACACTCCTTGGCAGCAAATTCCACTGTCGAACAGCTCTTACTGTCAGGAAGTTCTTCCTAATGTTTAGGTGGAATCTTCTTTCTTGTAGTTTGGATCCATTGCTCCGTGTCCGCTTCTCTGGAGCAGCAGAAAACAACCTTTCTCCCTCCTCTATGTGACATCCTTTTATATATTTGAACATGGCTATCATATCACCCCTTAACCTCCTCTTCTCCAGGCTAAACATGCCCGGCTCCCTTAGCTGTTCCTCATAAGGCATCGTTTCCAGGCCTTTGACCATTTTGGTTGCCCTCCTCTGGACACGTTCCAGTTTGTCAGTGTCCTTCTTGAACTGTGGTGCCCAGAACTGGACACAGTACTCCAGGTGAGGTCTGACCAGAGCAGAATACAGTGGCACTATTACTTCCCTTGATCTAGATGCTATACTCCTATTGATGCAGCCCAGAATTGCATTGGCTTTTTTAGCTGCCGCGTCACACTGTTGGCTCATGTCAAGTTTGTGGTCAACCAAGACTCCTAGATCATGCTATCTTATACTCTGGCACTATTGCCCAGAAGGTTGACCACCAATGAGGCATGCTACTTATAGTAGCATAGATAGCTCTGGTGAGATTTAGACAACTACTTTTTTGGGGAGGTTGGGATCCCATTGCAGTCAAGTTGTTGCCGAACTACAGATTCCATCATCCCTGACCATTGGCTATGCTGGCTGGAGCAGAGGGGAGTTTTGGTCCAACAACACTTGGAAAGGTCCCCAACCTTTATCACATCATAACTGTTGTATTATCTCGTTTGGTGAATCTGGCCATTTGGCCAACCAATTGCCCATGGGGTCCAGCTAAATGGAAAGCCAAGTACTATCACCACCTTCCTTCTCCGGACTTCTGTAGTGTTGTGGGAGCATAACACTCAGTTCTAGCCATACAGTTAGAACTGCCAAGTGGGGCCAATGAAACAGTGAGGGATTGTCTGAATACACCAGTTCTGCTCGCTTCAGTGGAATAGTTGGAGCAGAACACTGGGAGCATCTCTTGAACACACTTTGTTAAAATGAGTGAGAATTGCGCCAAGGAATGTTCTCCCACACAGCTCCCTATTTGTGCCATAAAGCTTAGGCACCAGAAATCCCTTGTGGGTTGTGCTTATTTACTGGTGCGACATCAAAGTCAAGTTCAAGGGTGCTTTTTCATGATTGTCACAAGCATCAACCAAGTCTGTTCCTTACATGGACGCGCTGTGAAAGAGAGAAAATGTCCGCTGTGTAAAAGTATCCAAGATCTTACTTGAGAGAGAATGCGTTTCATTTGCATGTGCTATAATATGGAAAAAATGGACAAATGCCGCTAGCTTTGGCAAGAGTGCAAGTGGCCTTTGCTGTTTGTGTCCTGCACTGTTAATACCTGCATACAAGCTGCTGCTGCGATTCAGTTCTTGTCCATATTCCTTCTAACCGCTGCTCTAGATATCTTGGTCTTGGGCAGAATTCTGTGCCACACCCTACATTTGGAGTGGAATCAATGCTTCAAATATGCAGAGGGCCACAGGGCAGACTAATGCTCAGTGAAAATATTATGGTTTTAAGCCCCTAGTAGTAACTTGTACATGCTCCAAGCCTTCAGCCCCTGCTTAGCTGAAGGAACCATAGCTGTTCCTTTCAAGCTTGCTTTTTATCTTGTTTATTTATTTATAGCTTATTTTATTTATTAAATTTCTATACCAGCCTTCGAGGATCACAGGATGGTTTATAATATATATATAAAAAATAAATGCACAATATAAAAAAATCCCAAAAATGTACAACATAGTAACAAGCAAAAGCAATTACTCCCCACCCCAATTTAAAAGGCCATATAGATTGTTTAATTAGCCAAAGGCCTGGTTGTAGAGGAAAGTTTTTGCCTGATGCAAGGTACCAGGTGAGCCTCCCTGGGAGTACACAGGGAATTTTAGGGTCAGGTTCAGCTTGAGCTGTGCCACAATATATATATAGGACATCTTCACTCCCAATCGCGTTCTAAAGCATTAACCCAAAATATCAGAAGCTTCCTATATGGATGGGCGATGAAAGCCTCAGTCAGGCAAAGGACAGGATGAGGAAGCTAACTGGATAGAACCCGAGCTCATTTCCTTACAAAGCAGATTAAGCATTTCCTTCTTTCTGTTCAAAGGCTTCATTCCGTTAGCGTTTTCCCAACCATCACAAGACAAGTTAATTGCTTTAAAATCACAGTTGTAATTATTCATGACAAGGGACTCTTGCTTTCTTAAGACTTGTTCACCTAGCTCAGTTTCCTCTGGAGCAGGGACTAAGCAATGCCCACAGGTCATATCCCTCCCACTAAAGATCGCTCCCTGGAGCAATCAGTCCATGAACGAGTCACGTGCCCAGGCTGGCCTTAATAGGTCAGATATAATCCCGCAGGTCCGAAAGTTGCCCATCTCAGCTCCAGAGAGTCTGATCATTGTGAAAGTTCCTGCTGTCCTATACTCAAGCATCACTTTTCTCTTATTCCCTGATAACACAGAATGTGCTGATGACAGTAGAAAGTGACTTCACTATTCAGTCTAAATCATTGTTTTAAGTCTAAATTTAGCTTACAAGCTCTTCTTTTTTGATCCCTTGTCATCACAAAAATATAAATAAGAACATTATGTTTTTCAAAGGCACGCTACATTTGAATAGCATCCAGAATCTGTGACAAACAGCCCAAAGCTTTGAACTCGGTGATAACGCTGGCACTTCATCCTTAATTTATGCTGTGGTGGGGAAACATCACATGAGCAGAGAGGGTGGAACTCCACATTTACTTTTGAGTGCACAAGCTTTTAATCCAATCTTTGATATTCCCAGGGTCAGGTTTCAGGGGACTTGTTGCTTATTTGGTTTAGGACTGCATGCGAAATAAATAAATCATTGCGGAGTTATGATGGTGGCGGTGGCGGCGGCAGCAGCAAAGATAAAAATGTCCTCTTTGTAGTTCAGTGATGTCTGCAACTCAAATTTAGCTGTCACTGTGTAATGGGGAAGCACAAGATCACATGCACTTAGGCTGCATAGAATGAGGCTACTGTTTTGTAGATGCAAAAAAATAAATCTGCCAGCCTTGCACAGGGATGTTGCCAGCAGATGTTGGTTTATGGCAGAGTTGGGAACCTCAGGAACAGGAGGCCAAGTGTGTCCCTCCAAGTCTGTCTTCTTGGCCCTTGAGACTCTCATTATACCATACTCCCTTGTATTTTTGCCCGGCTGGAATATATCCTTGAACTCCAGGAATCTGGCTGGAGAATAAAGCCAGAGGCGTGTGCAAACCAGCCCTACTTCACAACGCTAACATTTACATGTATTGCTCCGCCCACCTTTGACTTTGGCTCCACCCACCACATGTGTCCCTCAGAAGATTTCCCAGATGGGAATGCAGTCCTCTGAAAAAGGTTCCGTGCCCCTGGTCTCTGGTGAGATGCTTTCAACTGTTAGGATTCAAGCTCAAAGGAATGGGTAGGCAAACAGAGATTCCAGGCAGGCCTAGATGCATTGTTCAAAAAACAGCAACAAAGGTATTTTTGGTGACCTATGCACTGAAGGATGAGAAATACAAGCTATAGTCCCTGGTTGTATTTATAACCTGCCTGGGGGCTTTCACTCTATTAGAGTTGAATTATTACTCTGCTCTAGGCAGCACATGTCTGAAAGAGGCACGGCTTCATAAGCGCTTCGTAATGCTTAGACGGGAAAAATGTTTTCCATCCAAGAGGCCTGTTGCATGCAGAATTTTGTGTGCAGCCGACAATGAAATGAATTTTCTGCATGTGCATTCTGACACAGCATTAGCTAAAAAGACTTGGGCTCTATCCAACTCAGCACGACTGGAGTTCCACTCACACAACTCTAGCTTTCCTTTCCTCTCTTTCCCTCTTCAGCTCCCTGCATGGCCTCAGAATCTCCTGCAGAGGGTCCAATGCTCTAGCAGATTTTGAAGAGAGGGGGAGAAGAGGGCGCTGCAGGGGGAGGGGAGGGAGGGGAAGTGACTGGAATTCTGTTCATCTTAATACAACCCTATATCTCTGAAAAATACTACAGGGGTTACAAAAAGATAGGGGTTTGTGTAACCCCTGTAGCAACCACTTTTGCTGAATCACCGGGACCAATTTTGTTGACGTCCTTAAGCTTCCAGCCACTTTTCCAGTTAATAGCGTTTTAGTAGAAGTGGCGTGATATTCTTCATAGTCCCCACATCCCAGTCCAAAAACACATTTAAGATTAGGTTATCAACTGCTGCACCAGTATCAGATCATAAAGCATGAGGCCATTGTTGGATTGACATTACAAGGTCCTACTGGGTAGAGTGGCCATGCTCCCATGAGTAGCATGGACTTGGTAAACCTTTCCCCAAGTCCCCAAAGTGAATCCAGCTATTTAATTTCAGGTTTCTCGCCTCTTCTATAGGCTGGGGAAAGGATTCTATTTTAGACAGCCCTAAAGCTTGCCATTGAATCTCCACTGGCATGGCCATGAAAGGAAAGCCCTTAATTCACCCCTGTTATTGAATGTAAATTAAATTAAACATAAAGTCAGTCTAGATAGTTGTAAGAGATAAGGCCTAGCATCAACAGGACCTAAGATCAAATTTAGGGTTGCAGCATTCTTCCAGAATTGTGATTAGAGTAGCTCCTGACAAATGGAACAAAAATGCTGCTCTTATCTGTGGTTGCAAAGATGAAACTGATTGGACATAATTTAAGAGAGGCATTTGTGTAACATACTGATCTCAACAGGTTGCCCCAACCCTTGGAAAATCCCTGTAATTCTGCTTACTTTATTAAAAGTTCAGTGCATTCAAGGGGAATATAAGTCCTTTTCAGCCATACTCTGCTCTTGGGTAAATGCCTATCACCAACTATTAAATATACAGACTTAACAGTATGACAGATTTGTGAAGACCTCTCCGAGCACTGTTGTCCTACTTTTTTTACATCACTGCATTAGAAATAATTGTTTTGGTACAATGAAGATTGTTGCATGCCAAACGCTCTTTCAGTTGGTACGCCACCAACAGCATATCTGACTACTGCCCCATATACTCCTCCTCAATAATTCTGAGAATTATTGGGCTGGAAGTAACAACTGGGGAAGCTTAATCAACATACTTCAGCCTTACTTTCAATGGAAAAAAGTACCATGAAATCAAATGCAGAGTCACAAACAGCAAGCAAGGAAAGCAGTGTTAATTGCCTCCATGTGTCTCTACAGTCTGACATATCAGGTAAGTTTTCTCTAGTTTTTGAAAAGTGGACATTGCACATCCATGATGCCACCACCAAGAAGGCACTTTAACAAGGTGCCCTGTCTTGGACTCCCTCAACATTTGATGGAGTTATGAAGAATCAGTGGTGGGTGTGAAATTAACAAATCATGCATTCAGTCCAGTATTCAGAAATAAAAGGCAGCCTTTTAGTACAAGAGATGTCTCTTGGTGGCCTCACATCTAATGTTAAGATGGCAGAAACAGCGGTTAAAAACCAACCACTGGACACAGATGAGGAACTGGAAAATAAAGCAGCATTTCTCTTAACTTCCCCTCTCCCCTTCCCTTTGGTCAGCACAAGAAATCAGTGTATCGCTTTGGGGAAGAATGACATTTTGGAACACTTCTCTTTTTCCCTACAGCTAAGTCAAAGGCCTACAGTAGAAGAGCTGCGCGAAAGGAAAATTCTCATCCGCTTTAGTGATTATGTGGAAGTGGCAGATGCTCAGGACTATGACAGGCGGGCAGACAAGCCATGGACACGGCTCACAGCTGCTGACAAGGTACGTAGCTTAGGGGAAGCCTTGGGCTTGAGCCTTGGTCTAATGCAGGGGTAGCTAACATAGGACTGTAATTTTCATCAGCCCCAACCAGCATGGTCCATAGTCACTGATGATGGGAGCTCATCAGCACCCTCCACAATGTCCTTGCATAAATCTATTTGCATAAGCCCATTTGTTAATTAATCTATGGTTTCTTCAATGCACAGAAATTCATATTGAAATATGCATTTTTGAACATCTTTTCTCCCCAAGAACGAATGCTTAAGTGTGTTTTTATCTTGATGTACACATTTTTATAAGCTGTTGAGCCAAAAATTGCATCAGAAAATTTGGGGAAGTGCAAAAACCAAAGGATGACTGTGGCTGGATCTGCACAATAGTCTAGGAGGTGCAGTTCAAGTCAGCTCATACAAGGAATTTGCAAAAGAATTGCTTCTTAAAGTATGCCTGTTTGATGGAGCTACAACTGGATTTTTTGTGCTTTCCCTGCCAAGTCTCTTTAATTTTCCCATCACAAACATTAGCTTACACTTGCTTAAATTTGCATTAATTCCAGTAAAATCTGTAGGACATTTACACCATCACCAAACCTGGCATGAGGGAAATCAAGCCTGTAATTATTTGAGAAATACTTTGTTGACAACACTTGCATGCATTTTTTTGCTGAGCAATTCCACCAGAGGAATAGATTTTGCAAGCTGTTTCTGTACAGGATACCACAGAACTGAGATAAGAAATTATTCTGTGTTTACTTACCGTGGCACTCAGGCTTGCCACATATTCAACCATGGAGTGACAATAAGGTCTGTGTTTCTTAAGGTGATAGCTATGTTTTGTCAATCTTTATTCTCAATCCCAGTGGTCTCTTTAATGTCTGGTTTAATGTACCAAGTATCTTGAGTTACAAAAAGAGGCCTTCTTGCAACACACCACCTATCTTACACCTATTGCCCAAAACTGTTTGACTGGAGACAGTAGAATAAAAGGTATTTTTCCATGGAAAATGGTACCCCTTTCAAACCACACCCAGCCCTCTTAAAAACCACAGTCTTTCACCAGTCTTGGTTAGATCTGAGTTAGATCTGGCCTCTCAGGATACAGTCTAGCCTATCAAGCCCCCATTGATTCTGTGTGGATTTCTGCCATCACAGAACCTACGGCGAAAAATAAGCAGCACAGGAGATAACACAGATACATTATAAATCACTCAACATTTGTGTGCTAGAAGAAGAGGTCATGTGCACTCTTCCGGAGAGTTCATCTTTGCAGCCTGATTGTCCTCCTGCAGTTAGTGGCATGTCTATTCCTGTTTGTGAGGATGCTTTATCACAGCTTGGAGGAAAGTCAAACTGACAGCTTTCGCTAAAAGGAGACAGTTAATGCTCCATGGTATTTGCCCGTGCTCCTGACGGACAAGATTTGACTTCCGTCTTGAAAGATGTGATATACCCCTTTTGAAAATTCTTTTGACACTATTAGATTGATGTAGAAGAATCTCTAGTAGAAATTGAAATGTGGTCTGAGGTTGTTGGGTCTCCAGCAGCAAAAGACCCAGGTCGTAAGATTTAAGTAGTGATGACCTTCGGGCAGAGTGATCTCCATTAAATCTGTCTTTTTCCTGGTTGGTGTGATGATTTATGTTTGGCAGATCTGTGTTCCCAAAGTCCAGTGTGTAAGAACTAGGAATGAGTACCAAACTCACCAGCAAAGGACAAGGGAACTCAAGAAGTATGTCTCTGCCTCGTGGCTTCTTCGGTGGCTAGCAGGCAAAAGCTCATGCAACCTGGACTCTCCCCCCTCCCCTTTTGAAATAAAATACAGCCATCATACGTGTCAAATGCACACTCAGTATTTACAAGTGCATGAGTTTTTGCCTTCTACAGCACAAGCCATTTTGAAGATCAAAAACTGCACGAGGTTCCTGTTTTCATATTTGGTGAGAGTGTACCATGGTCCATGCCTTTTGGAGGAAAGTCTTTTATCTATCTCTCCTAATTCGGCAATTGCTTTACTCTCACTAGATTTAACCCTAAATTCTACCCTTATATCTAAAGATTAATTTCCTTCCTGTTCACAGCAGCTAGAATAGTTATCCTTTTCTTAAAATAGTCAGCAATTCTGTGCATGCATACTTGGGAGAAACGTCCCATTAGACCGTGGCCCTTGCTTCTAGTCAATATGTATTGGATCCAGGTGTACAACACACTGACAGGTGAACATCCCAAGTGTCACCCAGGCTGCTATAACGTATCCCATTCCGAGCGGTGGCTCTAGCAAGCTACTGATCTGGTAAGAGACGGACCACTTTCCATTTAGTGCCCATCTATTCATAATTTAGAAAAGTGGAATGTACCTTCAGACTGCTTTTCAGCTGCATATTTACGTGCTTCTTTTTTGTCCCCTGCAGGCGGCAATTCGCAAAGAGCTCAATGAGTTTAAAAGCACTGAAATGGAAGTTCACGAATTAAGCAGGCATTTAACAAGGTGAGATGCTTTTTTAAAAATAATAATTAAAAATGACTGAAAAAGCAGATTTCCAGTACAAACTCCATCAGCATAAGGCCCATATGTAGCCCTGACCAATATTTGGTTTAAAAAAAATCTCCAGGAGCCCTTCATTGTCAGTATGTATTTAATTTTTTTGTATACTATTGATCTGTAGTATTACTAGATGTAAGGCTTGCCTTGGGCTGTATACAATGAAATTTGCAACTACATTCGCAGCTTCATTTCCATAGAAGCAAAAACATGGCAGGAATGGTGTATACATATATTTACTATTATTATGCAAAGGGGGGTGGTTTAGCCTTGGAATTTTTTCCAGATGGGTAATAAAGGTCTACATTTCTGTTTCTGAAAACGCTGCTGTACCACTCAACTTTGTATCACAGAATTTAAGAACTTACGAAGAGTCCTGCTGGGTCAGACCAAAGGATTGAATGTTGCATGGAGTGTGTTTGTGTATGGACCAGTTATACTGGGAAACCTCTTATCTATTTGAACACAGAATCCTACCCTCCTAACCCTGTGACAGGAAACCACCAGGGCACGTTTTCCATGTCTATTTGTACCTATCCCCCCCCCATCTTGATTTTTATGCTGTTGAGTCATCCCACTTACACAAACCCCCAATAAGCCCCTATTATAAAATCATTAGGAAGGTAATGAGATCTTTGTGCCATTATGGAAATGAGTAATGGGCAGACTTAATATATGTATGTGTTGCTTTTCTCTTGTGGCAGATGAAGAAGCTCTTATGAGAGTGAAATACTGTGTAAAATAAAAGACCCCGGGAACCTCTTATGACATATTGCAGTGTAGTTCACACAACAGTTGCACGGTAGTTTTATGTATGAATGACTCTCTGGTGGAGGAATATAATTGAGGATTCTTAGAATGTACAAGTCAGCTAGGACAGTCACAGTGGCTTTGGGTAGAATTAACCTCTTCCATTCCCAGGAAGACAACCTGGCAGTCCTTCTGCTACCCAGTTCTTCCCCAATCTGGTGCCCCCCAGATGCTTTGCACTACACCTTCCGTCTGCCCCAGCCAGCATGCTGATGGTAGTTTTACTTCAAAATGTCCGGTGGGCACTAGGTTGGAGAAGGCTGCCATCCCACCTATCAGGATGAATTGTTGAGAGGTCTTCATTCCCACAGCAACTCTCAACTCACTTCTCCATGGTTCGCAGGACTGTTGAGGGATTAGGTTTTTATTGGATATTTCAGACCCAAAGCTCTGTCATGATTCTGAATGTTTGGAAAAAAAATATGCAACCATCAAATTGGTTGACTCATTCAAACACAACTGGATTTACTTTCTTTTCCTTCTCCGTCCCCTTTTTTAATTTTAGGTTTCATAGACCATAGAAATTGAGCACTCCACCATCTCCAAAACATATCTGGAAAGAACCATAAGTGCTGGTACCATTCACTTCTCTGTTAATGTACAATGTAAATTTCCTGGACTGCCTTTTTAAAAACCAAGAAGAGGAGGAAGAAGATGACAACAGGGAAGCTTGTGTTTTCCTGTACTTGGTAGAACTACATCATGAGACATGTTGGGACAACTTTCAGCAACCGAAGCCACCCATGGCAAGAATTGGGCCAGGAGTTGGCACTCATATTCGAAACTCTGCTGTGTGGATTCCCCATCCTCATCCAAGATCAGCCGTTAATGCATCCCGTCTTCCTTCAAGCATCTCCCATCTGACTCCAAAGAAAGCTGAAGGCAGTTGGTGTTGGGCATAGACCTGCTGGACAAAAGCTCAGACAAGGCCTACCATCCTTCTGGGTCAACACTTTGAGCAAACACTTCTTTCTGTTTGAGAGCACCTTAGAAAGATGCGGGGGAAGGCCAAGACCCGCTCAGAGGATCTACCTATCTTTGACACTTCACAAGAATCATCCCTGGAGGATCTCTTGGCTGGCTGGCTGGCTGTCACCCATTTGTTTTGTGAGGGAAACACCCAGAAGATTCCTTGTCACCCATCTCTTTCATTCAAGTGACCCCCCTCCCCCCTTTGCTGCAAAAAGTGATGTTTTGAAATTGTTGCCGATTATTACAGGGATATTCAGTAACATGCTTATTACCTTTATGGAGAGAACGAGTCAGGATGCCTTTTGCCCTGCTTGGTAACTTCCTGCTTTCATTTACACCTGCATAAAGAGGCTGGATGGCAGAGCAGCTCTGCCAGTTAACCAAATTGATACAGCACGCCAACTTTACTTAGATGCTGCAGGTTCCGTAAGGTGTGCAGTGCAGAGAAGAAAGGAGCTCAAGATCATTGTAGGGTCAATTTTGCTCTGTGCGCATGGATACGTTTATTTTTTAAGAGCTGGGATTTCTGTTGTGTAGAACACTACCTGGTGTAAATAACAAAATATGTTGTCATGAATGTCCCAGCATGATACTGAGAACCAAAGCATTTGGATTGGATTTGTGGAGGGGGGTTTTTTGTTGTTGTTATTAAGGCATTGGCTCTTCTCTTAATAGGATGACCCTTGCACATTGGATAGTGTTCCAGATCCCTGTCTTTGATAGCACTTTGGCTAAGCCCACCAATTTGATGCCTCCTGGTAAGGAACCCCCACTCTCTTTCAGCAGCTGAGCCCTGAGCATGCCTCTCCCAAGCGAAGTTCAGTTCTCACACTTTTCCACTGGTGTTCAGTTTGTATAGGGCAGCATAACTTTTCTTTTTGAACAGAACACTTGGTAACCTGCATTTTCTCCTCACCCCGTGGAAAAGGCCCTCTCTTTTCCTCAGCAGGCCTATTTAGTGGTGCACTTTTTTTTCCTTCCTTTTTTTAGCTGAGGAGGCTACACTGGGGTGATAAGGCATTCCCCACCATCACTGGGCACCACAGCTAGTGGGTGGGCACAATGCTGTGAAAAGCTTTTACATATTACAGATCCTAAGTACCTTGCATTTATCAACAGTTGTGTGGTAGCATGCCAGGGGATTCACAAGGTGTGGTTATGGGTCTGTTTTCTTCGTTGAAGCACAGGACAAGGCTCAGCATTCTTTACTGAGTGGCTTGGAGGACACACAAGGGATCGATTTACCTGCTGGTTTATCTCCTGTGTGCCTTCCAGTTAAAAATACAGATTATGGCTACGGTTACAAACCAGACAAGGTAGAACATTTCCTCCTAACAATAAGATTGCCAAATTCTGCAAGTGAAACCACTTATTCTGGTTTTACTGTGATTTGTGATACACTTGGTTAAAGAAGTATGCTGAGTCTTTCCCCACATTTCTGCCAACATTAATTTCCAAGTGGGCTGGGCTATCAGTTTAGCACTTAACACATGCAATTGGGGAGCCTATTCACAATACAAGTCTTGTAGCTTTTCAAGACCTAGCGCTCAGCCCAATGTTATCCATGTGCAAAGGAGCATCTTCCAGAGCTAGTACAGTGGCACTTCTTTGAAGATGCCCCCTTGCCCTACATTAAGATACCATTGAGCTGATCTGGGAGTGACTACATACTGTGTTGCCGTTGTGCCCATAGGTACATTTGGAAATAGATGGGTCCACTCTGCTGACCCTTAGCGGCTTCCTTTACTTGCATGCAATGGGCTATTGCATGGAACATTGAATTTGCTTGTTTTCTGCAGGCAGGCAGGTTCCTAGCAGGCTTGCGTGTGCAAAACACCTGTTCCAAAACCTCAGTGTCCCTACCATGCAAACAAAGAAAGAAGCCAATTATTGGATCAAGGCAATGCACTGTATTCATTTCCAAAAAGTAGTACTAAACAAATGGATATTTATTTCCCCCTGTAACATAGAAATGGATCTAGCGAAACTTTCATTTGAAAAATGGCTTACTTTTCAAGTCTGCATAATGCTTGTCTTGCCTGGAGCAGAGCCATTCAGCTGTTCCCCTAGCACAGTGATCACAGGTGACGGGAAGTGTGCACTCCACTACAAATGCCCAATGCAACGCTTTCCCTCTGAAATCTATGGAGATGGGCTTTACTGTCATCCTGCTTCCATTCATTTCAGCAGGGGTTGCAGAGATGTCTCATTTATTTCCCCTAGCATGAGCAGTGAACTTTTGCATTCACTTAAATATGCCTCTATGATTCACATGCAGATGAAGGTTATCTCGCACAGAGCTGCAATTTCTCTTGCTGCATGGACAAAAACCATTTCCTCCCTCCCTCAAAATCTGTCAAAGGGTAGTGATTTGAAAAAGGGCACAGATGATGTTGCTTCATATGGCAAACAGGGTTGAAAATTGTTCCCTGCGCCCGCCTGTTCATCCAGCCGAACTTTATTCTTGTGTGAACAGAAAAGCAAGGGAAGGGTACGCCTGAGCATCTCAGTGGTTCTGGAACCAGTGCATTTTCCAGTTACTCTCCAAGTCAAGTGTATGTACATAGTTTTGTCTTTGTATAGGAGTGAATGTGGTGACAGTCAAACCTGTGATCTTCCAGTATTGTAATTTAACAGATTATGGCTGTATGGGGGGGTGGGGAGTAAAAACCAGAACAAAATGTAAATACCTAGAGGAAACACTAAAACTGAATCTCTACATCCTAGGGTTTTTGTACATATTGAAACTGCATGGTATTTAAATTGTCTCTGATGTATGCAGTTTCTTTAAAAAAAATCATTTTAAAAGAAAAAACGTCGTCTTTTTTTCCTTGCCTGCTATTGATTCTACAGTTATTTATGATGCAGGACTGCAAGCTGCACAGAAGTGACATCTAATTTATTTACCTCGAATATGCTGCCTTCCTTCCTGTTTAGGTTTCCAGGCCACTAAACAGCAACTTAAGTCTCACTACAAACAATAAACAACAACAAACCAGAACCAACTGAATGCTGAACAACAACATGATAGTGGCTAAAAGCTCAAAGGGGCCCTTTCTCTGCAGAATTGCTCCCTCTAGCGTGCAGGAAATGTAACAAGGAACACAGATAACCAGGAAGTATAAATCAGCATCGTTTGAGTGGCTGGCAGAGCAATCCAAACTATAGGAAGCTAGAGTAATATATGCCAAGGTAAATTATGCTGGTGTAATCTTACACACCATTTTTTGATTTGGAACACTCTTTCTGCCAGTGTAACTTGCTAGGTCATGTGACAGAGCCAAAAGGAGCCTGGAAAAGGGGCAAGTCTCGCCTTGCCACCACCACCCACACTGCTTTTTCAGGAATAACTCTGGCTTTGGCTGCGCCAAAGCTACACTGGTGTAACTCTGACAGAACCTTATTATCAGTGCCATTTTCCTAGAAAAAGAGGTGCCAGAGCTCACCACATGGGCTTCTCTTAGAATGGCAATGGCACCCACCTGAGAGGTGCCAGAGTTGAGCTCTGGTGAGCTCCAGCTAGGGGAAAAAAGCCCTGCTTCTTATTATAACAAGAAAATTTATAATTTATTCTTTCTAAATGAGGCAAGGCCTTTCATTTTATGAAAGAGAGCAAGAAAACCCGAAACACTATAGTTATGGCAATCAGTGCACTATTTCAAAAAGCGAAAATCTAGCTTTTTTTTTCTTCGAAGTTCTGCAAAAAAAGCCAAAAAGTTTCTGAATATATGGCAACCCTAGATTCTACATAACTAGTTGGGTCTCTACCAAAAGGCTTACTTGCTTTCATCACCTCCCACCCCTAAACACGAAACAGACTTATTGATGAAAGAACATGCCACAAACTGAGTAACACAACGCACAAAAGGAAAATTCTCTCTGCAATCTTATTCTTTGTACGTACAACAGGGTGATTAGATATGAACTTTCCACTGACATTTAAATGGCGGCGTTTGATTGACTTCTAGACACTGCAGAAGGCTTCTTACAGCCTTTAAAAAACATTGATCTAAAATTGCTATTGTTCGTGTGAAAAGTTCAGCACAGCTCGTTTATCTCATCGCATCAACTTCAAGTAGCACCAGCGTGCCACAGAGGAAAAGGTTTGGGGGTTTCTGGGTTTTTTTTAATAGTCTGGCACCTGAGCTTTAAATAGTGGTTTACAGCTGTGCGTCTCAGCACATTCATGCACTAACTGACACGGTTGATGGAAGACGGTTAACACCAACATCAGTCAAAAATAAAATAGGGATTTTATCAGAAAGCAACTACAGTGGTACCTCAGGTTAAGTACTTAATTCGTTCCGGAGGTCCGTACTTAACCTGAAACGGAGCCCGATTTCTGTTCTCATCCTGAAGCAAAGTTCTTAACCCGAGGTACTATTTCTGGGTTAGCAGAGTCTGTAACCTGAAGCGTACGTAACCCGAGGTACCACTGTACTGACCACATTCTCTGCCATATTAAAGTAATCTGCGGTCGAAGCACACAGATTGGGAGAGCTGAGCATTCTGCAAGACTGACAGTTTCCCAAATTAATAAAGCAGAAGGCTGAAATGTGGGGGGGGGGGAGGGTGTCAATATTCTGCTAGCATCATCTAAAATGGGCACAGTTGCTACCCTGCATGCTTCAGCTGGTTAACCAGTTAGGATCCGTTACATGGTCTAATGTAATAATGGGTTATATAACACTACTATTGTATGAAAGTACTAACATTCTGAGGAACATCAATATGGAGGTGAGCGCAGAGGACTGGGACACCATTAAAGTTGACAAGTGGGTGGGATGGTGGAAAAGACTCTTTCCAAACACAAAGGGTACAGGAAACATGAGGCTGGTTATCTAGGGCGCCCTTCCCCAAGCTGCTGCCCTGCGTAAGTTTTGGATTTCAACTCTTGTGCCAGATAGGAGCTGTAGCTCAAAGACTGGCAAGGCACACAGGGAGCAAAAGACTCAGGCAGAGGGGGAACCTTTCTCCTTGCTGCGTAAGGTAAGGGAACAGAGTGGGCACAGGAAGCGAAGAGAATAAAGGAGCTGTTGAGTGAACATTCCTCTACTTAAGTCACAACTTTCCACATCACTAGGCAAGGCAACTAAATTTTTAAACAATTTAAAATGAAAAGCAAACCATGATGCAAGGAAGAGCAGCACAGAGGGACCTTTTGAAAGGCAAAGGAACCTGGCGTTTTAGTTAAAAGGACATCACGTACCAAGCCTGTGAGAATCAGTATTTTATTGTCAGTGCTTAACTGCCTACCAGGATTGGAGGGATCTCCCAGGTTGGCTGGTGATGGTTTCACATGCTGGGTGGATCTGAAAAGGGAGTAGAAAACCAAAGTGATCAGGGGATTTGGAGCAACACTGCCAAAATGAAAAGTTGTGTCCTCTGAGGAGACTCAAGTTTAGAAACAAGGCAATGAACCAGGGTCATGATTGAGGTGTAGAAAGTGAATGGAGAAAAGGCTTTGCTCCTGCTTCATAATACCAGAACCTGCAGTCCAATGAAGCTGAAGGCTGGGCAATTCAGCACAAGCAAAAAAGAGGTACTTCACCACACAGTGCATAGCTGAACGATGGAATTTGCTGCCACAAGTTGTGGAAATGATGGCCACTAGATTGGATTGACTTTAAAATCAGGCTAATTCATGGGTACCAATGGCTACGAGTCCAAATAGCTATATACAGTCTTCAGGATCAGAGCCACTACACCTCTCGGTCCTGGGGAACAGCAGCAGGAAGGAGAAGTTGCCATCATATGCTGCTTGCAGGCTTCTCACAGCCATCTGGTGGACCACCAGGGCAAAAAGAATGCTGGACTGGATAGGTCTCCAGCCTGATCCAATAGAGATAATCTTTAAGTTCACAGCATCAAGCTGTTCAGAGGGCCGGCAGAACTGACAGAGGTGCCCCCCACATCATCTAACTCACAGAGTGCCCCCTGCCACAGGTCTGTTAATCCCAAAACTAAAAGCCAGATCAAAACGGCTCAAGAGCAGTGCTGTTTTTCTAGAAAAAGAGGTGCCGGAGCTCACCCTGAATGCCTCCCTTGTTCTCTTATAATGGCAATAGCACCCACCTGAGAGGTTCCGGAACAGAGTTCCGGTGAGTTCCAGCTCAAAAAAAGAGCCCATGTCAAGAAGATAAGGATAATTCAGTAGTCATCACCAGCACCTAGTTTAAAAATTATGTATTTGGGACTCTCTAGTTCCAGCCAGGAGCTACCACTGAACACTATTTCAACAAACAAATCAGGGATCAAATTCTGAACTAAACATATCCCAAGGACCAACATTAACTGTACCCCCTGACACCCCTAAATGTGAACAAGGCACATGCAAAGAGCTCTAATCCCTTCTGCCCCAATATAAAGAGCAGGAGAAACCAACAGAATGACTCTGTTATGTACCTTGAGTTGCCTCCTCCTTTTTCCCACTCTTGGACTGCAAAGGTAAAAGGGGGGAAGCTCTGCCAAAGCTGCTTTCTGCTCATTCCAGTGCAGTGGGGAAAGAGGATCCGTATGCTAGGAACCTTGGGAGGTAGTCCTGGAGGCAAGGCCTGTGCGGCCAGTTTCCTAACCCTATGGGAGGACCTTGCAAAGATCTGAAAATCTGCAACAGGGTTTTAAGAGGCAGCTCCTGTTCAGGAGAACATCTCAGTTTAACCAGATTTCTTGAATTAAAGCCAAATTAGTGCCATGAGGAATGAGTGAGAGAAAACCAGGCAGAAATCTATTCCAGAGAGTAAAAAAAGTCAATCAAGTCCTTCATTATGGCTCCTGTTTTGCACACCCCATAAACAAGGTTACTTGGAAACAAATCCAACTCAACTCATATAAATGAGATTCCCCTTCTAGATATATTTATACACTTCAAGTCCATCACATACGGTGGTAGCAATTTTATTGCTCCCCCATCTCCTTTGTTAAAATAATTTTAAGTACCGTATTTTTCACTCTATAGAACGCACTTTTTCCCTTCTAAAAAGTAAGGGGAAATGTGTGTGCGTCTTATGGAGCGAATGCAGGCTGTGCGGCTAAGCCCAAAGCCAGAACAGGGAGACTGAGCGCTGTGCAGTGCTCCGTCTCGCTGTTCTAGCTTGGGGTTAGCTGCGCAAAGCCTCCGAAGGCACCCCGCTGCCCTGCGGAGGCTTCAAAGGCTGTCCCCAAAGCCAGAACAGCAAGAGGCTATCCCAGAAGCCAGATCCCTCTTGCTGTTCTGGCTTTTCGGGTTCAGAATTTTTTTCTTCTTGTTTCCTCCCCCCCCCCCAAACTAGGTGCGTCTTATCGTCCAGTGCGTCCTATAGAGCAAAAAATACGGTAGGTGTTGTTGAGTAAGGAAGGACAAAGGGAAGGCAAATAAAATAAAAGTGTACCAGCGGGCAGCATGGTTTCAGACTGAGTGGGCAGGGGTCCCACAATGTTTTTGCCACAGCTCAATCGCTTTGCTCACTATTGCATCCGTGTTATCTTGAGGTATCTACAAAAGATAAAAAGAGATATTCAGTTTGAGGTATTCCAGTACTTCAATATCTCAGGCAGCAAACCTAAAGGCAGCTAAAGACCAGTCACTATAGGATTGCTCTTCCAAACTCCTGCCATATCCATTCACGCCAATTGCAAATGCACGCACACAGAGCACACTCTTTTGCTTATTCAGTTTCAAGTAAGAAGTAGCTCCCTGCATGCAAACAGTTTGGTGTGGGGAGGAGTTGTCCCCTATCAGTGAAGTGAAAGGAGAACTTTCCTCTCAAAAAAAGGTCCAAGCGTGCATCAAAGCACACCTGGAAATCCAGACTGGGTCATCCATATCAAACAATTCCACTCTTTCTTTTCCTTTCCATTCCTGCATCAAGGATATTCTCTTTTCCCCAACACAGATGAAAATAGGAGTGTGTGTGCATGGAATGGCGACTCACGCAAATACAAAAAGATAAACTGGCTTGAAACAGCATTGTAGTCTGTGAAATTGTTTGACCATGTGGTGGGTTTGGGAAAGGGAAAAAAAGTCGCAAGGTCAAGTTAATCCTGCAACCTGCTTAAATGTAGCCAACGAGTTCTATTTATTTAAAACATTTATAGCCCGTCTTTTCTCAATAAGCCTAAAGTGGCTAGCAACAGAAGTTAAAAGAACAACTTAAATGATTTTTTAAAAAAGACTAACAACAAATAAATAAAAGAAAGCAGCTGTAAGGCATTAAAACAGCAGAGAGAGAAAGGAGGGGAAGCCACGAAACTGCTGCTAAACATAACCAAGGCTACTTGGAAAGGCAGTGACTATTTATGGCTCAAAAGTGCTCCTATAAAAAGGAATGTTTTGGCCCATCTTATGGAAATCCACGGGAGAGGGGAGTGTAGCGGGAGGCCCTGTTCAGGTAAGAATGAGTTCCAGAGCCCGGCTCAGCCACTGAGACAATCCGCTCCTTTCCACTCAGACATCAAGACAAACCATGTTCTGTTTTTTTTCTGAACCTAGATCACTTCACAAAACATGGATACTGAAGCTGCCACACAGGCTGTGTTTTGTGCTAAATTTGGTTTGTTGTTATGTCTGAATTCAGAAACCATTGTGAAAGTCTTACATTTGGAAGCTCAAACCAAACTATGATTAGCATGGATCATGGTTTGATGCCATGTCTGAACTGTACCTTTTAAAATTTTGCAAACTTTTAATTGCAGCTCTTGAACACTGGGCAAAATCTCAGTTGATTTCTCTCGCAACCACCTCTCTCCCCAAAAAATCTGATACGCAAAACAAATCCCTTATTGGGGGGGGGTCCCTGGGGGGGCAGTATATTAGTGTGCGGAAAAATACTTACATTTTCCAAAAACTGTTGAATCTTTCCTGCGCTATTCAAGGCCATCAACTTCATTTTAAAGGTTAATAAAATCTCAACAGCAACGAAGACCAGAATTTTGCAGGAGCCGCTAATAACTTTGTCCCAAACCCTAGAAAAGATAAGAGTAATAAAAACTGCACACCTAAAATTTTATAGCTATAATTTATATTCAGTACTGAAGTGTTGTTGTTTTTTTCTTTCCTGACCAAAATAGTTTCTCAGTCATGGCAGGACTGAGACATTTTGCAGCAAATGATAACTCACACTTCCACCCTTTGGTGCAAGATGCAGAGAACACAAAATGCCAAAGTTTGCATCACTCCCTATATAACCTTAACTGACAGATTTTAGAATGTCAAAAAGTTCTGACTTGTCAAAAGATATCCATGCAACATTTCCGAGTTTGGAGGTGAGGTTATAGGTATCTTGCAGCTAACATACTCCATCTATAAAACTACTCTGCAGCATTGGTCAGGGGAGAGGGAACACTACTCAGGAGTTTGTGGTATTGTGGGTTGTAGGCTAAAGATGGACAACAGATTATTTTCAAGGATGCTACAGTGATCTGATTGATCCAAGATGGGCGGGAGTGGAAAGATGCTTACCTTTGTAAGCTGGATTCAGGTAGACAACCCGCAAAACACTTTCTAAACCAAAGATTGTAAGGAAGGTGGTCCATTGCTGAACACAACTTCAGATGCGTTAAGAGTCCGCTGTCTTCAAGGCTCAGGTACTGTTCCAAAAGTTTTGGCTGCAGGATAAATGTCAAGAGAAGTGATAAAGTATATCAATGTCCATAAATAAATCTCACTGTCATAGGTATTTATAGCAAGAAACCACAAGCAGCAAGGCGCCTTAAAAAAAGGAAAAATAGATTCAGCATGACACACTGTGAAAAATGTCATGTCAGATAATGTTCTTCAAAGGTCAGATCCAAAATGTAAGGCTCACTAAACATTTCCATATTTATTGATTGTGAGGCTCCAAAAAGAGTATATACTGAATAATTTGAGACTTCGTAACAATACAGCAATTCTTAATTTAGTAAAAAAAGAGACAGGTGGGGAAGGAAACAGCACATGCTAGGAAACTGTCATCAGCAGGGAGCAACTTTCTGTTTTTACCTGCTCTTCAACCCTGTTGGGTGGCTTTTCAGCATTTTACATGCACACCCCTTCCAAAAGTAAGAGGAAGTCCAGATTAAATGTAAACAAAAAAAGTATGGGCTGTCATTTTGACCACAGCAATGTGTGGACACTGAAACAAAAAACTGGGGTTCATAAGCAGCACTGGTTCCACAGTAACTTCCCATCCAGAAATACACTATTATTTTGAATGACACTGACACACACACAGTTTTCTTCACTTCAGTAAACAGTTCTCTCTGGACACCTTTTGGACAAGGTTAGCAATTAATTAAACATCTGCTTGTTTATTTTCATTTGTTCGTCTTCAATTATATCTGAATATTTAACTATAAACATGATTTTATTAATAATTTAAAGAAATTCAGAGAGGACTGGCACCAAGGAGGAAAAACTGGCTCTCTATAATGTCATCTTTTATGTAAATCTGCCTCCTGTTCCCTTCTCCTTAAACTGGATCTTAAAAATCACTTACTCTTCATTAGTTGAAAGAAACTGACACATGCCCCTATTTCCAGTGTCTTCAAAAGTGATGGGAGAGGACATCCCAGGAGGTCCAGAGGGTGACAACACAAGAATGGGCCTTTTCTGTGGTGGCTCCCCCACCTGTGGAATGCTGTCCCCGGGGAGGTTCTCCTGGCGCCTTCATTACATATCTTTGTGCCAGGCAAAAACATTCCTCCTCTCCCAGGTCTTTGGCCCAATTGAACAATCTATGGCCTTTTAAACCGTAGCCAGTATTGTTGTTGTTTATTATTGTGCTATGTGAATTTTTTGTGTTTTTATATTGTAAACAGCACTCTGATCTTCGGATGAAGGGCCGTATAGAATGTTTTTTTAAATCATCATCACCTAAGGAAAGTTCAAGCCAAAGTGTTTTCCTATCAAATCTTATTTATAGATATTACAAAAATTATTTCTACAAACTTCTCTTTCTATTAAAGCATGGAGTCTGGCATCCAGTTTGCATGGGAGAAGAAAAGAATGAAGGCGGTTCTGCAGTCATTTGCATCACTGCTGCTTAGAAACAAGGGACTGGCCTCATTCATTTAGTGTAAGAACAAAGCTGAACCCCTTCCCTGCCAAAGGGCAGCAGCCTAAGACTCTTAGGCAGGGTGGATTTGATTTAAATAAAATTGATTTAAATCACTAGTCAGTAAGACTTGATTTAAATCTTTTTTCCTTTTTTTTTTTACAGAAAGACCCATTCTTGCTGGTATAATCTTAATATTTACAACCAGATGAAGGTTTCATTTTTGGAATAATAAATTTTCAGAAGTGGGTTTGCTGCTCGTGCATGCGCAGAAGCGCTCTGCAGCGCCGCGTGCATGCACAGAAGTGGTCCTCTGGTTACAGAATTTTCAGGATACGGCCGGACCTCCAGAAGAGATCCCATTTGTAACCGGAGGTACCACTGTACACACAACTGAATATATGCCCAAACCTTGACTGCATTCCTTGTCATCAGCATTCCAATCCCCGTGATATTTATTAGAAGTCTGTTGGCCACGTTGGCTGGGAGATGGGAGCCTAGCCACAGATTAGTCAGCCCTGAGCTACCCACTAGTCACTGCACTGCTGTTCTAGAAACTTGCACTGCATTTCCCTCATCCCCTCCAAAAAAGAATCCAGAGCATAATTCAGTTTCCAAGTCCACACAGGGTATTTATGCAAGAGCTTGTCAGAAACAGCAACAACATAGAAGATGTTCAACTTCTATACCTGTAATCCCACTATACTGTTCCTGTGTGAATAGATGAATGCAGATATGTAGATATGTATGCATATAATATTCTTACCAGCTGTGGTATTGAATCCTTGTACTTATTGTTCAACTGGTTCACAAAGCTACTGATGAGCCAATAACAATCAATGTGATCTTCTACCATTTCTTCCATAGCTTTAGCAATGGCAAGGAATACCTCGTCCTCGGCTTCCTGGAAAGCAAAGCAGCCACGGCATGGGATTATCAAGAGGCAACACATTCACGGAACAGCATTTTCCAGTCAACTTTGTTATTTGACAACATATAATAATTTTGCTCCTCTGTTGTAAGGTGCCACCATGTTCTGTTATGTGCTAAAACAGGGAGGACAAAGTTGTGGCATACCAATATATTTCTGGACTACAACTCCCATCATCCATGACCACTGAAAATCCTGACTGAGGTTTATGAGAGTTAGTCCAACAACAACATCTGGTGAGCTATAGGTTCCTCATCCAAGTGCTAAACAGGACTAATTATACCTTCTCCAGGGAGTATATATGACAGGGATTTGCTTCCCATTCAAGGTCACCATACTGAGGGATATTTTCTCAGCAACCCAATCCTACTGTGGCTGCCAACTTTCAGCCTGGATGTCTGCCACTCTTGCCACTAACTACAAGGGAAATTCATTCTGTGACATGCCCTAGATCAGGCATCCCCAAACTTGGACCTCCAGATGTTTTGGGACTACAACTCCCATCATCCCTAACAGGACCAGTGTTCAGGCATGATGGGAATCGTAGTCCCAAAACATCTGGAGGGCCAAGTTTGGGGGTGCCTGCCCTAGATGGTACCAGAATGTGCTTTCCCTAAGCCCTGTTTACAGTATCTCTGGTTAAGGCTGAATTTGACCTCTCAAGATACTGCAGTTCATGTGGCCACTATACAGTTTCTTCACTCTAGCAGAATTTCAGGTGGAAAAGATTTGGACCTTCATACAAAGGAGTATCGTCGAGGGCAAATTTCAGCATGACTGACCGAAGAGAGAGATGGATTCCGAGGGAGCTTTCCCGACTCCAGCTGGTATATTCGGAGGAAAACTTCAACCTGTGGGGTAGAATCCTTGATAAAGCGAATTACTTGGAGCGCATGGTGCACGTCCTTATACTGCTCCTTTCGGCATCGCATCACAAACCCGTGAGATTCATGGTGAGGAGGAAGAATTCCTGGAAAAGGAAGAGAGAGAAAGGAGAACTAGGTTTGCATGTACTTGCACGTTCTGGTGGAAGGTTGGATCTTCTGACAGCAGTTGTTGTTTTTCTCTGATCAACTAAGTACTATAAGCCCTGGATATAAGGAATGCTCAAAAACTTAACAAATATGTGAGCATTAACTAGTCCTGTTCCTGATGTCATGCAAAGGCTTCTTCAATGGAGCATTCAAAACATGGATTGGCTTTCCTTAGCATTACACTAAGCATATGTCCAAACCTGCCCTTACGTTTCTAATGAAGAATCTGCTTTCCCCATATCATCTTACCTAGAAGCACCTTCCACACAAGGATCCGATACATGGATGGGAGAGGAAACCTCTGACTGAATGTGCAGAGCTTCTCAATATCTGTGAAGGGGGTTTTAAGAACAAACACCATTTTAGAACTCGAACGGAGTTATGAAGCATCTCTTTTCTCAGCAACTGATGCCAACCAGGACACATCTGTAAGTGTCCAGCACCAATCATGCTTCTAGGAGGCATCAAAGAATCATTCGGGCTTTTCAAGGTTGACAAACCCAATTTAAAACATGTGCTTTTTCCACTTTTAGTCCTTTGGCAAAATGAAAACCTAGCAGCAATATTCAAAAAATTTATGGTAAATGATAAAACAGTTTGCAGGAGTTTTTGGTTGATTCATCAGCTGCTGTCAATTAAAGGTAAATAAATTTGAAACCACAAAATGGGTGCCTTTTTGAAATACAGTGGTACCTTGAATGGCTTGGCTCCCAAACAAAGCGATCCTGAACGCTGCAAACCCGGAAGTAAGTGTTTGCAAACATTTTGTGGAAGCCAGACATCCGACGCGGCTTCCGCTTGAGTACAGGAAGCTCCTGCAGCAAATCAGAAGCCGCACCTCCGTTTTTGAACCGTTTCGGGAGTTGAACAGACTAAGTTTGAGAACCAAAGAACCACTGTACCGGTGAAGTGTAATAAATAAATGATAATTGAACAAACACAAAGTTAGGTTTTTTTTAAATGAAGCCATCTTTGGTGTGTGTGCATATGTGTGTGTATGTATTTATACACATACACATAAATACACACATATACTGTTTATACACACATGCTTATACATATATGCATTCTCAAGTTCAGTAACCCAACAGAACTAATAACTAATACAGTACCTGTTTTTTAAATAAAGAAGTATCCCCCATGCATGTGGAATCTGCGACTGGACTACAACTCCTATAATCTCTGACCATTGGTCATATTGGCTTGGACAAATGGGAGCTGGAGTCTCAGAGCAGTTGGAAGTTGCAAGTTACAAGTTACAAGTCATGGCTTCACCCAAAGAATCCTGGGAACTGTAGTTTGGTAAAGGTGCTGAGAATTGTTAGGCGACCTATATTCCCCTCACAGAATTACAATCCCCAGAACAGTTTAATGCTTAATTCCTTTTTCCCTGGGAACTCCAGGTATTGTTGCATTATATTACTATTTAGATAGAGTCTTTCAGTTTTTAAAAAAAATTAAGGCGAGTAACAAAGAATAATCTAAGATATAATCTAAGTCAAATCCCTTATGAATACACAGTGGAAGTGAGGAACAGGTGTAAGGATTTAGATTTGGTGGACAGAGTGCCTGAAGAACTATGGATGGAGGCTCGTAACATTATACAGGAGGCAGCAACGAAAACCATCCCAATGAAAAGGAAATGCAAGAAAGCAAAGTGGCTGTCCAACAAGGCCTTACAAATAGCGGGGGAGAGAAGGCAAGCAAAATGCGAGGGAGATAGTGAAAGATACAGGAAATTGAATGCAGATTTCCAAAAAAATAGCAAGGAGAGACAAGGAGGCCTTCTTAAACGAGCAATGCAAAGAAACAGAGGAAAACAACAGAATGGGGAAAACCAGAGATCTGTTCAAGAAAATTGGAGATATGAAAGGAACATTTCGTACAAAGATTACCATAATAAAAGACAAAAGTGGAAAGGACCTAACAGAAGGAGAAGACATCAAGAAGAGGTGGCAAGAATACACAGAGGAACTATACCAGAAAGAAATGGATGTCTCGTACACCCCAGGTAGTGTGGTTGCTGACCCTGAGCCAGACATCCTGGAGAGTGAAGTCAAATGGGCCTTAGAAAGCACTGCAAATAACAAGGCCAGTGGAAGTGATGGTATTCCAGCTGAACTATTTAAAATTTTAAACGATGATGCTGTTAAGGTGCTACACTCAATATGCCAGCAAATTTGGAAAACTCAGCAGTGGCCAGAGGATTGGAGAAGATCAGTCTACATCCCAATCCCAAAGAAGGGCAGTGCCAAAGAATGCTCCAACTACCGCACAATTGCACTCATTTCACACGCTAGCAAGGTTATGCTTAAAATTCTACAAGGCAGGCTTATGCAGTATGCGGACCGAGAACTCCCAGAAGTGCAAGGTGGATTTCAAAGGGGCAGAGGAACCAGAGACCAAATTGCAAACATGCGCTGGATTATGGAGAAAGCTAGAGAGTTCCAGAAAGACATCTACTTCTGCTTCATTGACTATGCAAAAGCCTTTGACTGTGTCGACCACAGCAAACTATGGCAAGTTCTTAAAGAAATGGGAGTGCCTGATCACCTCATCTGTCTCCTGAGAAATCTCTATGTGGGACAAGAAGCTACAGTTAGAACTGGATATGGAACAACTGATTGGTTCAAAATTGGGAAAGGAGTACGGCAAGGCTGTATATTGTCTCCCTGCTTATTTAACTTATATGCAGAATTCATCATGCGAAAGGCTGGGCTGGATGAATCCCAAGCTGGAATTAAGATCGCCGGAAGAAATATCAACAACCTCAGATATGCAGATGACACAACCTTGATGGCAGAAAGTGAGGAGGAATTAAAGAACCTTTTAATGAGGGTGAAAGAGGAGAGCACAAAATATGGTCTGAAGCTCAACATCAAAAAAACGAAGATCATGGCCACTGGGCCCATCACCTCCTGGCAAATAGAAGGCGAAGAAATGGAGGTAGTGAGAGATTTTACTTTCTTGGGCTCCATGATCACTGCAGATGGTGACAGCAGTCACGAAATTAAAAGATGCCTGCTCCTTGGGAGAAAGGTGATGGCAAACCTAGACAGCACCTTAAAAAGCAGAGACATCACCTTGCCAACAAAGGTCCGTATAGTTAAAGCCATAGTTTTCCCAGTAGTGATGTATGGAAGTGAGAGCTGGACCATAAAGAAAGCTGATCGCCGAAGAATTGATGCTTTTGAATTATGGTGCTGGAGGAGACTCTTGAGAGTCCCATGGACTGCAAGAAGATCAAACCTATCCATTCTTAAGGAAATCAGGCCTGAGTGCTCACTGGAAGGACAGATCGTGAAGCTGAGGCTCCAAGACTTTGGCCACCTCATGAGAAGAGAAGACTCCCTGGAAAAGACCCTGATGTTGGGAAAGATGGAGGGCACAAGGAGAAGGGGATGACAGAGGACGAGATGGTTGGACAGCGTTCTCGAAGCTACAAACATGAGTCTGACCAAACTGCGGGAGGCAGTGGAAGACAGGAGTGCCTGGCGTGCTCTGGTCCAGGGGGTCACGAAGAGTCGGACACAACTAAACGACTAAACAACAACAACAACAAAGAATAAGCACACAAAATCGAATACAAACAATACAAATTATAACAACTCAAAACAAAAAAAATAGCTAATCAAAAGTATTAAAAATCAAATACATTTGGCTTCCTTCAAAAAGGGCCAAGGGCGCTCCCTACAAAAAGATGTTAGAAAGAGTAAGGCAAACTAACTACTGTAGTTTCTAGGATTCTTTGGGAGGAGTCAGGACTGTTTAAAGTGGAAGTATACTGCTTTAAACGCATAGTGCAGATAGGTCCAGAATCTTTTTCCATACAGTTATCTCAGGGAAAGCTAGAAACAGAGGAGAGATCATTCACATTAAGTCTTAGGTTACGCTCCACATGTTGTGAGAGTACAGAATGTTTTGTGTGAACTAACAAATAGGTCCATTCATTCACACACAAGTATGTGTGTGTATCTATTCCATTCCCAAGAAAGGCATCGCATAATCTTCAGTTCACACAAAATATTCTGCCTTAGAGGGAAATGAGAATTGTTTCCTCGCCCTTGTGGGTAGAATATACAGACTGAGGCTGAGTGTAAGCCAATCTGAGAAGAAAGCGAAATTTACTCAGGCAATGGGATAGACAAATCTGTCAATTTTAGTTCCCTCAATTTGTCATTTTTCCAGTCTTGAATTCACATTTCTGCTGCAATTTGTGATTTTTTATTATTATTTTAAAAAATCCCTATAAAAATTCAACTTTTTGGTGCAAATTTCTCCTAATGAAAACATTACACATGCAGTTTTGCAAATATGCACAGTTTTGCATGGAATCTTCTTTAAGATGCATTTTTGTAGACACTGCTTAGCTAGAGAACCGCACTGCAAATTTTGACAAGTGCTATGTGTTTCAATTCACATATTGTTTTGTAAAGTGCAAACCTGATAAGTTTTCTTTTAAATGAGAAGCAAGCCTCACTGGGTCAAACAGTCTTTTCCTTCAAGTAAACATGCTTTGCAATTAAGTCAGCTCAAACAGAATGTGTGATATAAAATGGTCTTCTACCAAGCATACCAAGCCGATCATCTTTCAGAAGAATTTCCAATGATTTCTTTTCTTCAACACCACGAAATCCTACTTTTTCATAATACACCGATCGGAAATTTCTCTGAGGATCCTCAGCCATATTTCAGTCTGGGGAAAAAACAGATAATTAATCATGATAGCTTGCAAAAAAAAATATTATGACAAAAAACAATGAAAAGTGCAGTGTTCCTCTTTCAGAACTTCAAAAGAGCAGTGTGCACTCTTCCCCATAGTTTTCAGGCTCCCTTTCATGGTCCAAGCTCCCCTCCATGACCACTGCAATGCAATGCAGGAATATTTTACATATTTTACATGAAGACTTTTTCAAGGCAACAGTCCTTTGTAGCTGTTTAATTCTTTTATCAGCCAGTTACTTTAATGATTATCTGCACTGTTTTAAATTGCATTTTGTTTTAATCTTGTACATCACCTTGAATTTTAATACAATATGTGGTTTTAATTTTGTTTTAAATGTATGTGCTGCTGTGTTTTTAACTGCTTTTACTATACATCCCCTTGATACAATTGTATGGAATGCAGCTAATAAAATACTATTTTTTTTACTAATATTTTATGTTATGGCATTATAAAAATACTTTTATGTGTTTATAAATACATAATTTGAAGCTAGAAACTTCCTGAACAACAGCCATATCCAAAAGCGATCTGTTGCAGCAAAAACAAAGAGTTTTTTGTCACCTTAAAAGGCTACTTATTTTATTAGAAGTTTTTGGGTTCTAGAGTAATGAATCATAAATGTGCCAGAATGCAATCCTAACCATATCTATTGAGACGTAAGTCCTATGGAATTCAATTGGGCTTACTCTCAAGTAAGTGGGGTTAGGATTGCAGCTGTACAGAGCTATCACATCCAGGCAGCCGCAAAACGTGAGTGTTATTTCAGCCTGGAGCGTGTGTGTGCGCGTGTGTGTGTGTGTGTGTGTGTGTGTGTGTTGGGGGGGCAGTACAGTCCCCTGGCAACTTAAGTAAGTTTACAATTTCATAATGGTGTAATCGTTTATAGGCAAAGGGTCTAGTGCATTGTGTGCACGGAGCTTACGTATTGAATTTGCCAACATGAACAGTTAACAAGTTTAAATGTCTGTTTTCAACAAATCTGAGGCAAAGCTAATTAAAAATCTAACGCAAAATGTCCATTCCTCCACACTGCAAAAAACCTCACTAGCATCTTAAAACCTTCCTTACTTATTTCCTCAGAAGAGAAATGTTTTAGCCAATATCCACCTATAAAAGGTTGATATGTAAAAAAATAATCATGAAAGTAAGTACAAGGAGATACTAGACGCTTTTGAATCTCTGGCTACAGGACAGAAAAGTGAGGAATGGAGGAACTGGGATGCTATTTGGAGGATGAGGAGGAGTGAGAGAAGATGGGTTTGCAAACACTTGGGAAGCAGCAAATGAAGGTAGCAGTGCAATACCAGATAATATATTTCCAAGAGAAGACGTTTAGGTTTGAAAGTGTGGCCCGTGGCTCAGAGGCAGAACGTTTGCTTTGCAAGCAGAAAATCCCTGGTTCAGTCCCTAAGCATCTCCAGGTACTGCAGGGAGAAACCCACCTCCGAAACCCTGGTCCCTGCCACTCATAATATGAGCTAGGTGGGTCAATTGCCTGACGATGCAGCAAAACAGGCTGAATCATAGGATCACAGAACTGTAGAGCTGGAAGGGACCACAAGAGTCATCTAGTCCCACCCCCTGCAATGTAAGAATATTTTGCACGCCTTGGACTAAGACCTGAAAGGCCTGGGTTCGAATCCCTACTCAGCCATGAAGCTCGCCATGAGTGACCTTGGGCCAGTGGCTGCTTTCCTCTCAGCCTCACCTGCCTCACTGAGTTATTGTGAAGATAAAACTGGGTGCGGATGGGGGTGAGGGAGAACCACGTCCCCCACCTTGAAGGAAATGGTGGTATGGAAATATAATAAACAAACGAATGAATGAACGCTGCGGGTATAGGAAGTAAGGGGCGTCAATACTTTACAGGAGATGAGGGAGTGCTGGGGAAAAATATAGACGATGGTGGGGAGAGAGAAGCAGGTAAGAAGGCAGCGGCCCAGAAATGGCACGTGGGAACGGGGAGCTGACAAGAACGGGTGACTGCACGTGAGGAGGAGGAGCGCGCGAGGAGGGCTGGAAAAAGCGGCGGCCAGCTTGGGCACCACAGGGAGGGAGAACCCCGGGCCACCGCTATAGGAACCGGCCGGGTGAAGTAGATGCAGAAGAGGGAGGCGGCAGCGGAGGCGGCGCTCGAGGGTTCACAGGAAAGCGGAGAAGGAAGCAGGGAAAGGGGACGAAGCGGGAGAGGGCGCTCGGGCGTTCGGCCGCCTCTCCCAACCCGGCGCGCAAACCTGCCTGTGCAGAAGGGGCCGGCGGGCAGCGCGAAGCTCGCTCTCTGCCAGGGCCGCCGCGACCGGCCAAGCGGCAACGACGACTCGGCGCGAGGGAGCTCCGCCCGGCTCGGCCCGCGCAGCCGCCGGCCCGCCCAGCCAAGGGGTGGGGAAGGGGAGGAGGAAGAAGCTGCGGCCGCTGCCTCGGAGGCCCTAGAGCCGCTTGCCTTTCCCGACCCCGAGGCGCGAGCGCTGCGCGAATTGGCGCGTATTCCCAACTTGGCGTTCGTAATATTGCTGCTGGGATTTTGTTGCGCTGGAAACGCATCGGACTAAAACAGCCTCATCCGACCTAGGCGTCTTCAATTTGTAGTCCCCAAAAATCTGGAGGGCACCAGGTTGGGGAAGGCTAGACTAAAAGTGAAAACCTTGCAGGATATCGGTTTGACTAATCCTTTTACTGGCCTACTATTTCCACGATGTAAGCTTAAACCTGCTTATTTATGAGTAAATCCTACCTAGTGCAATGGTATTTACTCCCAAGGAGTAAAAAGCGGGCCACTTTTTAACTGTGTTCTAGACAGCAAATTAGGATTTCAGATCGCTTGTCCTACCCAAAACACTACCCACCCGATTTTGCTTAATACCACTGGTCCAGCAACACAAGGAGCAAAAGTGGCAACCCAAACTATAAGGACACCAGTCACACTGACAGCATACCAAGTGGATCTCAGTTCTGTTACAAGCTGCGTTGCTGCTGAAATTTTACCATCTGCAGCACAGCCCTAAGCAAACTTTCCCGGGGCTGGCTGGGCAAAGCCTACGGCTGTATGAGGCCCTTCTCTCAATGTGTATGAAATGCCTGCCCCATGGAAGCCCACCTAGTCTTGTCTAGATGCTGTTTTAGGGAGGCTGCTTGATGTTTTATAATCCATGTCCAGAGTTTGGATACCAAGACACGTGGGTGCCTTATTTAGATGCCTAAAGCTGCAGTTCTATATAACACTTTCCTGGGAAATAAGCCCAATAGGTTTTCCTTTACTTCTTAGCAAACAGGAATAGCATTGCCCTGTAAATAAAAGGCCCAGTGATTGGCTGTTCTTAAATGTATTATTACGTTACAGAAAATCATCCTGTCACAGTCTTCATTTTACTTTATTTTTAAAACAAACCTGCTACATTCTTTTTTGTTACAAAAAAAGCTGGGGTTCTGTTCATTTTGCAGCTTATGAAGCTTTTGCTTGAAAGAGACAATAGGTGGCAGACTTGGATCAGCTTTTCTTAGGTTTACAATGAACAGAACATGTTTAGGTGGCTGCTGTTGCTCAACTCATTATGGACTCCTTCTGCTGTAACAAACAGGTTTTATTGGTGTCACAAGATTCATAGGCTGGCACTCAAAGAGCTGCTTAGGCATGCCTATGTACATCTAATATGTTGAGGAGTGATTGTTTTCAGGGGGGGAGGGATTTCACAACCCACTGGGGGCAGGGAGGAGGGAGACAAAGTGCTATCCTCATTTTCAAACCTGATTTGGGAGAGGAATAATCAATAAATGCCAAGTCCCCCTGGTACACATAGAAATAGTTGCATCTGGTACAACTCAAATTAACCCTCATATTTTTTATTTTAGAAGTTCCTGACAGAGAGGCATTATTCTGCCTTAGTGGCAGAATAACATGACAACCCATCCAGAAAGTTATTAAAAGGTACAGAAAGATACTGCAGACAAGAGAGAGAACATAAAGGTGGATGGAATTCAGTCCCAAAGGACACCCTGTAATCTGCAGCTAAAGCCCAATCTTAAACATGCACACCTGCAGGATAATCACATTGGAATCAATAGGACTCATTTCTCAGTGAACATGGGTATGGACTGGGCTGTAAGAAGTATTGCCACATTTCCCCATCCCCTTGAAAATAGGCCCCAAGCTTTCAACAACTGCATAATGGGTAGAAGATAAAAGCTCAGAAACATATATTGCACTGGGATGGCAATCCTAAATCTTAGCTGCTATTATCTTCCAGATAATATTTTATTTTTATTTTATAGCCACATATTTTACTGTTTGCTTCTGTTGTGGCCAGATCTTTATTCATTTCTGTACTAAGAGCAAGTACGTGTTTTTGTGTGTGAGAGAGAAATAAAAGGGTGAACAAGGTTAACTTCATCACACACAATCCCTTCGGATTTGCTCTCATTTCTGGCTAGTGTTCTCCTCCTAATTAGCTGCTAATTAGGTAATTGGGCCTAGTTCCACACAGCCCCTCTGGCAACTTTCTCCAAGATGAAGCCGCCTCTTCCTGTGTAGACTGAGGGTGTTTTTGCAGTTCCGCAGTCTGAATTTTGCTGTTGTTCACATCCAGAGCAATTCAATATACAATTCAAAAAATTTAACACACACACACCCCATTTCCTAGAATATAACTAAAACATTAACTCATATGCAGGCAGCATGGGAGCTGCTTTTAGTGTTGTATATGAAGAAAACATACAGTACTAATATGTCTGTGCCACTGTAGATAAAGGCATTAAGATAGTTAACGCAAGGTTTAAACTATAAAGGATACCATGAGTTTTAGTTCCAAAAATAGGATGTGTACTGTACACTGAGCTGTAATTGTCTAGGCATTACAACCTTAAATTGGTTTAATACTCATTCCCCCCTTCCCAGGGAACCTTGGAACTACCCTTGTGAGGTAGGTCAGAGAGAGACTGTGGCTGACTCAAGGTCACCCAGTGAGCTTCCTGGCTGAGGGGGGATTTGAGCCAAGACCACCCAGATCCTAGTCCAGCACTCTGTAACACGCTGGCGAGATTTGCTAGCGGGGATGTAACTTTTTCTACCTGCATGTGAAAATTAATTGGCAGGTCGGGGATGAGGATGAGCCAGCACTTTTCCCGAGCAATGGTGGCAGAGAGAGAGCATCCTGTTGCCACTGCATGGCTGCTACTGATGACCTCCTTCCCTGAGCAGCTCGTAGCGGCTGCTGGAGAGGAGGGTAAGGAGGAAAGGCTGTCGTTGGCTAGGCCCAACCTTGCCAGTCCTGAGGTGCTGGCAGAGAGCAGGGCCACCCTAGGTGAGAAGGGGAAGCAGAGCAGAGTGCAAGGAATCTCATACACACACACACACACTTTGTGCATCCGCATCTAATCTGGAACCTTTCTAAAATTTATTTCTTGGTGTTTCGTTTTGTAAATCTACCAAAGAATGAAATAAAATCAGGGTTAATTGCTTTTTTCAGGACAGTGGAGGGTGTGTGTGCTGTGTCCCATTGGTGTGGTGTAAATGGTCTGAGGGGACAAAAATGGGCAAAAAAGGGTCAGTTGTGGGGGAGTGATAAATGTCCCCATTTTCATCTGAGGAATGTTGGAGGGTATGGCATTGCTTAGTCATTAAAGAGTGTCGGACTAGGACCTGGGAAGTAAGGATTTAAATCATTGCTCAGCCAGGAAGTTCACTGCTTGACTTTGAGCCACTCACGATCTCTGGGCCTCATCTACCTCACAGAGTTGTTGCTGTTTGTGAGACCTAGCTGCAGACTCCTCTTACTATCTGCCTTTCCTAGCCCAGTTACTTCCACTCACCAGGTTACTTTCTATGCCCAAAGCGGGAAGACCAAAACACATCAGAAGAAAAAAGGATCCCCCGCCACCTTTCACTGGCACAGGGGTCTCCCTCTCTGCCAGCTGGCTCCTAGAAAGTGTCACTGGCTTTTTAAGGTTTACAGAAGAGTTTTGCATCCCCTATAGTTATCTGCAGAGTCAGATAATTGACCCATGTAGCTCAGGACACTAAAAGGTCAGTGAGTATCCCAAAGCTATATTGTGGGATGGCAGAAACTGAGCCTGGGATCCTTTTGCATGTGAGGATTTAACCATTATAAATCATAGACTTGGTTTTCATTATGTGGAACTCTTTGTGTTCTTCCGAGACTCATTCCTCCAAACGGTAGCATTTTCCAGTGAACTGGAATACTTTTTGGGTGTCCCAGGTTGCCAGAGGGAATCTTGTAGGCTACTTTTGAAAGAGGTGGAAAAATAATTCATTGGAATACTCCATTTAAAATGCATTTTTCCACCATGCCAATAGCAGCAGCCCAACTTGCAGAAATTAAGCAGCTGAAACTTTCTTAATCACTTTGCCTCTGTGCTGGAAAACAAACCATTCACTAGTTTAATTTTTTGTAAGCTACTCTGAGGGGGACATAAGCCCTGTCCCAAAGTTGGCAACTGAAGGTGCTGATTAGGGTGGCCGGATGGAAAAAGGAGAAAAGGCTCGTACACCTTTAATTGGCATGCACAATTGAGCCCTGTTCTCATGCTGATATTAGTAGAGGAAGAAACAATTCCCAAGTGCACAAAACAACCAGAAACTGCCATTAAAGGTAGACCCTGGACATTTATTTACTTTTTAAAAAGTCAACCAAGTAGCAACCCAACCATAAAATTGGGCAGGAAGGCTCGTTTGGGTCTCTCTGGTCACATTTCAACCAAATGCTCAGCTGTGCCTTATTGCAATTGCTTTCTGCATCTTCACACACATCCAAGGCAGCTTACAACATACATCTCAATAATATTAAGATTAAACCTGATCAACAAGAACGGTAGCAGATTTAATTTGCTTACATGTTGTTGCTCCAACACATTCCATGCTACTGACAGACGCAGAGCTTCCTTCTTTTTTTGGAGTTTCTCATACCAGCTGGATCGACTTTGTGGGGGTTTGAAATCACACTCCTTTTCTGGTACGGCAAAGACTGGCTTCACTTTCCTTCCCATTGTGCAGAGTCTGAATTTAACAAGTCAAGAAGTTACATATGGGCTGTTTTCTCTCCATCTGATGGCCTTGGCGATTGCAGTTAGTAGCTGCAGGTGGGTGGGGGGCATTTGTGTATCAGCTGAAGCTGAACAGAGGCACAATGGAGAAAAGCTACTTCATCTCCCTCTGATTAACAGCTTGACACCAGCAGCTGACGATTTATCTCCACACTGTGAAAAATCCTGCTTTTTGTCTGTTGTGTTGGTGTTAAAGACACATGAGCAGGCAATTTTCTTTCTTGGTTTGTTGGTAATCCCACCAGTAACTGTCCATATATCTTTATTTTTTTAAAAAATAGAACCATATACACACACCTTTACACTTTGATAACCTTATGCCAATTCCTCTGTCATTGTTTTTAGCATTTCTGTTGTGTCCATGTTTACTGGCTTCACCGCTGATGCCATACTGCAATTGTATCCTATCCATACAGCTGCATCGCCCAGCCCTTGTTTTTATTATGTTACCCCAGGGACTGCAAGAAGATCAAACGCATCCATTCTTAAGGAAATTAGCCCTGGGTGCTCACTGGAAGGACAGATCGTGAAGCTGAGGCTCCAATACTTTGGCCACCTCGTGAGAGGAGAAGACTCCCTGGAAAAGACCCTGATGTTGGGAAAGATGGAGGACACAAGGAGAAGGGGACGACAGAGGACGAGATGGTGGGACAATGTTCTTGAAGCGACAAATGTGAGTCTGACCAAGCTGCGGGAGGCAGTGGAAGACAGGGGTGCCTGGCGTGCTCTGGTCCATGGGGTCACGAAGAGTCGGACACGACTAAACGACTAAACGACAACACCCCAGGGTTCTATTGAGAGTTAATGAGCTCTTGCCTCAAATATTAAAGGAGCCTTTGAATTAGCACAGAAAGATTGGCTATAAATATCCATACTGGCCATTGCAGGAAAAAGTTGTGGAAGCATCTGCACAAGTATGTCTGCTTTCTCCAGCTTGAGCCCCTTTGTTGGCAAGAGAAGCTCTATTTGGAAAGCTGATGGGGGATGGCAATCAACTGTATTTGGAGCACCTGTAACCCCTGGCCAAGTAGAGAGGCTCCCAAACCCCTTTCCTTAGGAAAGCCAATCTCTTCCACCCCACCCCCCACTGCACTTAAGGCAACAGCCAGCCCAATATATGAGTGTGCATCCTCATCTTAGGCCTATTTGCATGCCTCGCAACCAACATATCTCACCCTAAGAAATGGGTAAAGGTTTTGAGCATTTCCAGACAACCTGTTTATAGTGAGCGTTTATCCCAATTTGTTTGTGGGGAGGTTAGACAATGGATTAAGCAAGCATTATCCCACACTTTCCAGCACATTTCCTCATCACCTTCCTTATTGTAAAACGTCAAATCTTTGGGGATGTGGTTTCTTTTCACTAATAAACATATATTCATGCACACTTTCCCCTAATGCATGTTATTTCTGTACACCGTTTTGGTTGGAGAAGTGTGAATTTTGAAAGAAAGTTGTGTTTTGATTCACGTATTCATGTTTTGATAGGAAAATGAATTAGGTAGGTTGGTGTTAAAATGCAAACTGAACTAATCCCCCCAATCCACTTTTCTGGGTAACGATGATGTTTCTGGGAGTCTTCTGTGCCTGCCCAGTTTAGCCTACAATCAGAGAATCCTGGAACGTGCTAGAAAAAAGTGGCAGCTCTTTAAAAGAAGGCAGATGCCTGGCAAAAGTAGTTCCAAATCAAGGAATGGAAACCTCAACTGGGTTCTGGGCTAAGTCAAAACACAATCAATGTCTCTTGTTATACGAGCTCAAGCTTTTGCTCAGTAAACCTCTCTGATGGCACAGCTGTTTTGCTCCATGTTGAGGAGGTAATTGATGTGAAGAAGCCACTGTTGAGTGTCTGGCTGAGAGTTTGTGAAGCTGATATGTATGATGGTCACTGGGCTGCAATGATATGCTGCAGGCATCTGGCAAGACTCAGATTAAACTTTCCCTAACCCAATTAAGTTGGGGGGGGGGAGTCATATTGTAGTGTTACAGCATCCATCACTGTGACGTTACCATATATGAGAGAGTGCTGGAGGGGAAATAGTTAAATAGATTGCACAGACAGGACCCAGGGGGGTGGAGTCAGTGGGTCTATGAAACTAGTTCTGGGAGGAGTCTGGGAGTTAGTTCGTTGGGAGTTGTGGGTGGGTGGTTGGTTTGAGTGGGTTGGCTGGTTGGGAAAGGCAGTTGGTAATAGAGAGACAGTTAGGGCAGTTGGTCCTTGAGTGTGGGGTGGTAGCAGAGATAGAGAGAGGAACATAAGACTAAGAAAGTAAAGAGGAACACTGTTTGGAATGCTGTAATAGTTTTGTTTGAAGTCTGAAATAAAATACACTCTTCTTTATGAATTGAAAAGCTGACTGAGACTGAAGTCATTTTACCAGGGAGGACCTGGTTGGTGGCAGCGGATTAGTGGTGTACGGGTCAATAGTCCGTGAGACAACCGGGGGCTCTGTACGAACGCCACAATCACCACCTCAAAATGGTAATCTCTAGGATTCATCCATTATCCCTTCAGCAGAAGCTTTGGGATGGGCAACCAGTTAAAACCCTTTTCTTACCTCTGTGCTTCCCTTCTCTCTTCTCCCCCCCTCCCCCCCCAAAAAAAACCAACTTTCAGAAGCAGGAATATTGGACATTTCATTCAAGTCTGTAAAATCAAACTGGTATACCTGTAAGAGATGGCAGGAAAAAACTGAAAAGCTATTTCACTGCAGGAAGAAAACACAACTGAGGAACAGCCGACAGCTGCAATCCCATTTCCTTTTATGTCTTTATTCACTGTTTAGCTTCTCTTTATTCCAACAGTGCAAATATGTAAGAACAGCAGGAAACCCATGTTTTAAGCAGCACATATATGCTCATGGCTGGCTATAACTAACTACATTCCCCAAGCAATGGAAAAGTAATACACGGATACCATCCTTTCAAGGAGGAGGAGGACAGACTTTGCTGCAGCCGAGAGCCACAAAATGCAACTTTCCATTAAAAGTAGCCAAGCTGTCAAAATGCTAGAAACCACCACAGGCCTTCCCTTTTCTTTAAAAAATACTCCCATATCCTCTTGCTATAATTTAAATGCGGTTTCGTTTTTGCTATCTACAGTATAGATATATAAAATATAGACTCTGTTTTATCACACACTTTTTGTTTGATAAATAACTTTTAAAATATCTACTGTACATAAAATGCCCATGCAATGACATTTTGTATATACCTAGTTTGCTTCTCTCTCTCTCTCTCTCTCTCTCTCTCTCTCTCGTGTACATATGTACACACACACACACACACACACTTGTAAAACACAATAAATATATACAGCAATAAATGTACACTTGGATTTAAGGTTAAAAAAATAAAAACAAGGCATCATTTAAGATCCAGATTAAGTAGAGGGTTGCAATTAATCACTGAAAGATGATGGCATGCTAATTCTACACATAAGAGGATTTATAGAACTGTGTACTCTATTTTCCTCTCTGTTTTTTAACATTGTTAGTGCACCACCCTGACCGATATTCAGCATAAGAGAATGACAGGAAAACAAAGAGATGATTGAATTGACTAGACCTTTCCGCAGTGGTACAAAATGACACCAATAAGATTGATGGGTAATCTTTAAAAAAATGAGAATCCTATAAAATAGTATAAATGACAGAGTTAATATGCTAGTCATTCAAGTGCTTTTCAAGAGGTGGTGGGCTGGAAACACAGCAACACAAATGGAGAGCCTTTGATTATTTGTATTGTCAAATCGTACAGAACAGTGTTTCAGTTCTCAGATTTCTTGGAACTTGCAACCACCCCTTCTAAGCTTATCCTCCCTTCCGTGATCTGATGCCCCCAGTGCCATCTAGCAGAAATCTGCTCCTCTGCCCATAAATATTACATGCATCTTATGTGCATCCTGCTGCTGTTACACATCACAATCAGGGATGGCTAGTACAGGTAACTTTTAGGAGGAGTGCTGTTACCCACTCTTCCTTCATTTCATCTTTTAGTCTCCTATCTACTGCTCCAAATACAGGCAACCTCTTCAGGTGTTGGAGAAGGAAGAAGCAGAGTCTGCATCAAGGCATTGATCCAAAAAAAATATGTAACTGGAATTCAATGATGCAAGGAAGTAATAAGATAATGTATTAACTACCTACAAAGAAGTGAAATGGACTGAATACATTTAAAGTCCAGTAGATACCAAAAGGAAAGGTAAACTCCTTTACTGTTCTAGGAGTAAGTACCCAGTTAGATTTTTCAGTGCAAGCTGCCATGTCATCTCAGCGATGATGTGCAAGCCAAGAAAAATTTATCTAGTAGCTGTTCAGGTAGCAGTCTCTACGTCTCACCTAGACTTTGGACAAATCATGCTATGTTTTTGTGCAATTTCCTCCTAAAACATGTTAGGTTTTGTTGAAACCTATGCTTTTAAAAATCTTGTCCTAGTGTGGGCCCTAAAGACCAAACCCCAAGTCAGAAAAAAAGAGTCCTGTGACACCTTAAAAAAACGATCACGTTTTTGTAGACCGTACGCACCTTGTCTGATGGGCTACTTAGTGCATCTAACAAAGTAAGCTCTGGTCCATGAAAGCTTTTGCACAGTACTAAACATGGATAGCTCACTTGGTTAGAGCATGGTGCTGGTAACACCAAGGCTGCAGGCTCGATCCCCGTAAGGGGCAGCTGCATATTCCTGCATTGCAGGGGGTCGGACTAGATGATCCTCAGGGTCCCCTCCATCTCTATGATTCTATATTAGTTTTGTTATGGCAGACTGACATGGTTGTCTCTCTGGAATTTATCAACAATCCGAGAACATAAGGAGACTGGCTGGTCACCCTGTAAGTAATTACCCTTATTTATCTACAGATTGTTGTGCGTCGTATTGAATTCTTCCAGGGCCCTAGAAGAAACATGCTGCTATTTTGGAGCTGCATGTATTTTTTAAAATATACATGTTTCTATTTCCGTTACCTTGAAAGGGGGGGGGAGTCCAAACAGAACATAAACCTTCATTATTAACTATGAAAACCAAGCTGCCAAATTTCCCAGGTCACACAACACAGTCATACCCAAAGTGTTCTTATTCTGTCTATGAAACTGATACAGGTGCATGGGTTACTGAATGATGCAGTAATCAATTAGCATGCTATTATCAGCGGGACTGCAAGTGTCCATGTCAGAAGCCAGCCAGTTTTGCTTTCTGCAAGGAAGGGGCTTTCTGATAAGTCACCAGCTTTGCAGCCTGCTAACTGGTGAGGAATGTCTCAAACTAGACCTCCCCGAACCTTTTATTCACAGTAAACGCAACTGCATCAGCTGTGCACCTGTAGGTTGTAAATGGATGCTGTTCTACCTTCCTATAATGCTATTTTGTAAACAGTTAATGCAAGTTTCTCTTTAACAGAGTCTCGAACAACTACCAAAGCAAGCATTTCGAACGCATCTAATATTTCAGCACCAACTAGGCAATGTGGTTTAAATAGCAAGGATTTATTCCCTATATTGTCTTCCTTGTCCAAGGCCTGAGACACATGGCATGTTTTTTCTGTAAGGAAAGAACTGCAATGATCCACCTTTTTCTGAGAGGTGGCCAAAAAACCCCACAACCCTAGCAGTACAGAGACATTCTGCTCCTGCGCATTGCTTCGCTGATCAAGTAAGCAGGGCTCAGCTCTGGCTCCTCAGTCATGATCGCAATGTTCTGCCATTCACCCAGCTGGTTCGATTTTTTAATGGTGTCCACCACACACAAAGCATAGAGACAGTCATCAAAAGTCGCAGCCATTGTGAGCGGCCGCCCATCCCACGTCCGCCTGTCATCTTGATCCTCAAACGCTTGACGGACAGCCTGCACCATCTTTATAGTTCCACGGAGGTATGGGGAAGGGATGTCGCTGAAGGCCTTTTCGGGCAGCAGGGCATTGCTGACAGGGGTGGAATCCTTCAAAAGGAGCTCTTTTTGTGGCGAGCTGTTGCTCTGCCCATACAAATCCATGCCTATTACAGTCAGCCTCCCGCTGGAGCCCACCACAACAATATCTTGCTTAAATTCCCCGGGCACGTTGAAGTTGAGGGTGACGGTGCAACACACCCCGCCTTCCAGGACCATCTGAAACGTGCAAAAGTCGTCGCTCGTGATTTGGCGGATTCCCTTGATGTAGTCCGTCTGTTTCACAAAGGTCTTAAGCAGCCCGTGCACTTTCACAGCCTTCTGGCTAGTGAGGAAGGTCAAGAGGTCAATGATGTAGGTACCAACCGAATGCAGCCCCCCGCCCCCCATCAAGTCATCGCAGCTCCAGTTGTATTTCTTCCCCAGCAGGCTCCCACTGTGAACTTGTACCTCACATACAAGCAGTTCTCCAACGTAGCCCTCTTGAATCAGCTGCTTCATCTTCACAAAGGCAGGCAGGAAGCGGAGGACGTTGCCCATGATGCTCATGAGCTTGGGGTAATAGTGCGCAGCTGTCATCATCCGAAAGGCATCCAGTGGAGTGGCTGTCCTGTCGCAAATGACGTTCTTTCCAATTCCTGTCAGACATTGGAGAGAAAGAGTAGGTGAGGTTAGGACATTCATGGCCCTACAGTCTAGTCTAGTAATTCAGAAATGTTGAATCCATTTAAATAAATGGGGGGGGTAATCATTCACGCACAATCGTTGCTTTTGTTATGGCTCCAGAAGACACAGTGAAGATACTCCATTTTAGTTTCACTTACAGAGAAAGTGGTGTGAGCTGAATTCAGGGCTTCTGACCATTACCACATGCAAACAGCTTTATTTCTTGGCATGCAAGAAAATATGATGCCACTCTGAAAAGGGTGACTATGGAACTCATGTCATCATAAGAGCAAAAACCATTGGTCCATGCCAAACCTTTTGCAAGAGGTTCTCATCGTCCTTTATTAGTGTCTGCAACTCTTCCTGATTTTGTATCATCTTCAAATTTTATTAACTACATTCCCTACTCGTTTATATGTACTGTTTATAAGGGAAATCTGGTTCTGTCTGAACACAGCAGTGTTCTGTCAACTTATTTACCTATTTAGCTGAAATGTTATTATTCCCTGCTAAGGTACTAATAAATAGAATATAGTGTTTAAAAGGATGAATATGCTTTTCTGCATCTTAGGATTTCTGTGAACAGGTGGCATTACCTCACAGAAAATAACCTGGGTATTATCTCAGGGGTTATAATTCAGTTCCTTGCATGCGTACTGCCTAGCCATTGAATTCTCTAGCCATATTTCCGTCATTACAATAGCTATGTTTTTCAAAAAAGTTTCTGAATATATACTTTGAATTTATTGTACAGACCATAGATTTAAAGCACATTCCCCCGCCTGCAAAGATTCCGGGGAACTGCAGTTTACCCATCACAGAGCTGCAATACACTGCATACTTAACACACTACAGTTCCCAGGATTCTTTTGGGGGAGGGTGCTTTCAATGTCCAGTGTGTATGCAGCCTGTATCTCTTAAAACTAAGAGTGTTAACTCCAGTTCATGGTCACAGATACTACGTTTTACATAGACATTCCTGCCATCTCCAAAAAGAGGCATACAAGCGAGCCCATCCAACAGGTCTAAAGCCTCTTGGTTAAACTGAACAGAGCAAGGAAGTGCTTCTAGTTCAGCATGAGCTATATCATCTCAGTAAGATTACCAAATAACCCTTTATTTAAAGCAGGCCCACCCCAGATTTAAAGGATTGTTCCTTATTTGACAGTATTGCCACCCTACACAACAGTGGTTTCTAAACTATTTCCTGGAGAGTTCCTCAGAAGCTTATCAAGGGTTCTTGATAGAGGAGATGGGTCATGGAGGACACTCCTTGATGTAAAGTTACGGAAGGGTGCTAGTGAGATGTTCCACACACAATTTCATGATAAAACAACAGGAGACCTGCTCGAGGCCTAGCCACTGCTCTGAATGACTTAATGGTGCCACACCTTGCATAACTTGCTCCAGGATTTTTTGCTGGGTGAAAATATTCCCTAGTGGTAGCATGTTTGAAATGGCTATAGAAGGTAAGGGATACTGAATATTTCAGAATATTCCCAGCTCTAACAGAACAAACCTCTCTGATTTTTAGTACTTTGATCTGGCAACCATAGGCATGTTTATTTTCTACTGAGCTTATTCCTCAAACGTCCAGATTGCCTGTTTAGTGCCTCCGAACCTTTGTTACTAAAAACCAACCATCTCCCACTGTGTCTCCTTGATTCATATAAAATTAGGTTTGTTTGGCTTCAGAGAGAGAATTCATGTAGCTGACCTACATTCCTTTAATAGGTAAAAGTTCCAATTGTACCTTTGGCTGCAAAGCTATTCAGTGTAAATCTGTGATCTTAACAAGTCTTTGTCAACAGAGTATGTCCTCTCCGTAGGACTCTAGGATCGGGATACAGCCAGAAATGCAGAAATCCTGCCTTTATAGAAACCTGCAACACATTTTCCAAGCCCGAAAGGCACATACCAAACTATTCATATGGCCAAGGGGGTAGAAATCTCAGCACAGCAGTGGTTGGCAGCAGCCTTTGCAAATATATGAATATTTTGTTCCATTGCTTCTGGGCTTCCATTGGCAATGCCCTTTAAGCCCTGCATTGCTCAGGAATCACAATGGGTATGGCCCAATCCCAGAGTGGGTAGGCCACGTCCTGTTAGAGGCGATGATAACTTATCATCTGCTATGAGAATTCAAGTATCAATACATAAAGATCCTACAAACTAAAATGAAGTACTGCAAAGAGCAAACGTTATGTTATGAACAGGCCTTTCTGGTGGTGTCCCTACCCACCTCAATGAGGGTGGAGGAAGCCCCAAAGATACCAGAGATATAGGGCGACTTTGTTTATGCTGCTCAACTTTCCTGCCTAAGAGCTGGTGTGCAGGGTAGCACAGCAGCAGCCGCCACTTTCCCACATAGCCTCCAGCCAGCCCCAGAGCTTTGTTTTACTTGTGGATATTTTTTGACACAGTATTTTTGGTATGGATTGAAGACCAAATGATAGAGAGGGCATTTAAAGGGTGTTCAGAGGGTGCTCCCCATTTTATGCAATTTGACGCAGGGGCCTAGAACGTAACTCCCGCCTAAGTGGGGAGTCGCCTGTACCAGGCAAACACGTTTTTATCTACCCATCTTTTTTAGTTAAGTTAGCCTCCACTGTTGTTGCTCGTCTTTTGGTGGGCTGGGGTAGTACTTGCCCATATTGTGTTGTTGGATGAACATTTTAGGAATTGTTTTATATTTGCTGGTTTTCAATTGATTTTACCTGTTTGCATTTTATCTTGCTGAGTCGCTTAGAGACCTTTTTTGTATAAAGCAACTACCAAATGTAAACAAATAATAATGCCTAATAATAATAATATTGCCACCACAACTCCCATGAAGGTTCTGGTTTATTGCTGTAGGGCTGTTGAGAACCCCAGCAGCAGGGGTTGGCAACTGGAAGGTCAGATATTATATTATTATTATTATTATTATTATTATTATTAATACCCCGCCCATCTGGCTGGGTTTCCCCAGCCACTCTGGGTAGCTCCCAACAGAATTAAAAGCACAATAGAACATCAAACATTAAAAACTTCCCTAAACAGGGCTGCCTTCAGATGTTTTCTAAAAGTCAGATAGTTGTTTATTTCCTTGACATCTAGTGGGAGGGCGTTCCACAGGGCAGGCGCCGCTACTGAGAAGGCCCATTACCGAATTTCAGTCACCTGCATACAAGAACCAGCAAAATCTCACTGGCTCAGGACTTTAGATTTATACAAATGTGCATATGCATATAGAAAGACTGGCTGTGGCCCTGAAAGGAGTTGCAAGTGCTTAGTGGACTGAAATGAGCCAGCCGTGTAAGCACATGACACTGCTTTATACTGTCATGAGTTTGGGGTGGGGGAGTAGACTGTAGGTCGAGACCTTTCTAACCCTTGGATCCAGCAAGTGTTATTATAAGCAAGGGTTCAAATTCCTCGTGAGGTGATAGCCTAGGTAATGGGCCAATAAGGGAACAAAGAAAGTGAGGTGGGCCTGTTCCCTCAACTCGCTGGTTAGAAAGGCAAAGACTACAGTTGAGAGTGGGGTGATTTGAGCTAGAAACTAGAAGTGGAAAAGTAGCAGGCTAGGAAGCCAGAAAGTCACAGCAATGATTGATTTCCGTTTGAATTCAAGGCTACAGCTATAGGAGAAGAAAGTTCCTCTTGGGGTGTTAATGCTGTGAACCCCTCCATCACAGGCTCAGGTTGTGTACTGTATATGTGCAAATAAACAATATATATATACTGTAACTAATTCCAAAGGAAACACAAACCCTGGGTAACTGCCTGGAACACCGTACCACTGAGATTGGGGTGGCGTGCAACAATATTCTAAGAAACAAACTAGACTTGATGTTAAATGTGTCTGCTTTTAATGTGTCATTTGCATTTTAAAAACAAACAAAAACCATGCATTAGTTGAGGAGAGGCTATTAATTGTTAGGTCCTAAGGAAAAATCCTCCCCTGAAGCTAGTAGTTTGCATCGGAAGGAAGTCTCTTATTGGCACTTAGGCTGGATCTACACACATCAAAAAAGCGTTTTTGGAAAACACGTCGTAAACTTCATTATGCGAAATCACGTTGGCGAAAGACGGGAGCCATCTGGTGTCACAGCGTTATAACACATATAAAACATTTTTTCTTTCCTAATGTAGCTGAGTCCTTAGTTTGGCCCCAAGTCAAATCGCTGGTCTATCTATCCCAGGGTGCCAGAAGGAGGTCTTTCCCATCCCCACTTCCTGAGATTCTGAACTGGTAGGGATTGAATTTGCGGGTGCCTGTATGCAAAGCAGACAACCATTGAGATCCTCTTCCTGTATAATGTAACCAATGTCTTTTATAATCTGGATTCAAAACTACGGTATCTAAATTATAAAAGCTTTGCAAAAATTTGCAATTTTCAGGTGGTCCACAGAAGTATCTGCGGTATAAGATTATGAAGGGCACACTTATTTCAGTTTGTATTGAGTGCAGCGAGAAAGTTGTGATAATTTGCCCTGGTAAGATAAAAAATTGATTTTTCTGCCTGTAGACAGATGAGTGGATGCTCCTGGCCTAGCAATTACAGTGGTACCTCGGGTTAAGTACTTAATTCGTTCCAGAGGTCCATTCTTAACCTGAAACTGTTCTTAACCTGAAGCACCACTTTAGCTAATGGGGCCTCCTGCTGCCGCTGCGCCGCCAGAACACAATTTCTGTTCTCATCCTGAAGCAAAGTTCTTAACCTGAAGCACTATTTCTGGGTTAGCGGAGTGTGTAACCTGAAGCGTATGTAACCCGAGGTACCACTGTATTTGGATTGAGAATGGTTGAGCGGTACAGAGAGCTGATTGGCCAGAGAATGAGAGATTGACAGAAAACTATCCAGGATTCTCTCTACATTGAAATGGCTCATGGAAGGATACGTGGGACAGGAAAGAGTATAGTTTTGAAATATTGGGGATAACCTTTTATTGAAAAAATTGCTGGCCATTTCACCTGGTAGGACTGATTGCCCTAAGAGACCAGCCTCCATAGGTGATACATATTTTTTTTAGTTTTGTCTTTTAGGAACACTTTTTGCAACCATCTGGTCAACACTGAAGCTTTGTCATGCCTCAGTTTGCATGATCATCTGCCAAGTGGTTGGCTTGCTTTGCTAGCAATAGGACTACAGTTTGAGCAGTCTGATTTCATAAACATTTGGGATTATGTAATTTGGGAACAATGGTCGCTCTGTCTTTTTAGGAAAGAAATGGTGGCATGTTGCTTTTCCCTCTCCTCACTGAACAAGCTGTTGTTGGTGACCTGAGTGTGAGCGCATTTATTATACACGTTGTTTTGGCCCAACAGAATAAGCAACCCTACTGGTCATGTGGGCACCAGTGAAGCAGCATGAAAGTCCACTGGGTCACCTCAGCATTCTCTAGCTCTTGAAGGGATAATCTGGGTCATGGAGCTCTTGAATCACACAGGGCAGCTACTGGGGCAAAATGGGTGTTATTCAGCTAAGATCTACTCAGAGCAGAACCCCAGTAAAGCTGTGGCCTTATAAGGCTCACTAGGGAGAATCCCTGAATTACAGCGGGTACCCCTGAAATATGTACTGTACCTATGTTGCCAAGCTATACCTGTGTGAGATCAATTTAATTTGAAGGAGTTTCCCTAAAGAATTATGCACATTTTAGTTCAGTGGAAGTGAAGGCCTAAGTGTACAACAGGGCTTAAAGATTACACAAGCGCAGTTTATCTTCACCAAAGAGACTTCCAGCAGGCATACTGATGCAGAAAGACCATTGACCAAATCACTAGGATGGGTGACTGCTATTTTATTGTTAAAAAACAACAACAAATTAAGCCAAAAGCAAAGGCAATGCAAACCAAACTATGGGATATAAAAGCATGCCTAAAGAAACTCTGGTGAAATCAGACCTTTTCCCATAAAGATCTATGTCACTAAGGAGCAGATAATTTAAAAAAGAAAACAAAATACAGTTAATAAACTGCCATGGCAGTTCCCAGAAGATCAGGCATTCAAACCTAAGGAGTCAGATTACTTTATGCTATATCTATTTGTGCCTTAGCATTGTTTGTCCCCCCCCCCCCCTTCTAGCTTATCCACAGATGTCTGGGGCAAAACCAGCAGAACACAGACATCTGGCAGTGCTATTTTAGCTGACTCTGGCGATGTCAACTCTAGCTAATTACTTTCTCTTCTACCTCCATCTCAGAAAGGAATCAAATGCCTCCCTTCACTAATGGAAAGCAAACATTCTCAGCATGTCCTCATTACATTATTAAAATTCTTGCTTGCTCTGCAAATGAAAGCGCAAGCGTTCAACGTATGGAACTAAACACCAACGACAAACAACACTTGTGCTGTGTGTGCTGGGGACTCAGGCCTACATACTCAGAGGTTGTGGGTGCCCAATGTAATCCCCATCAAATAATTCAAAGACAGAATGCACAAGATTTTGGCAACGTGGGAAAGGCTCTTCCAGAAACAAGTAAATTAAACATAACATACACCAAAGACTCGCTTACTTCATCTCATCACCCTCCCTGCCCCTGCCCAATCTCTGTCCATTATTAGGCAGAAGTGTTTCATTATTCCCAAATTTAACAATAGGAAATGACTGAAAATATCATGAATGAGTTTAATATCCCAACATCTTCAATCTGTGAGCAGAAGGGACTTCCGTACTTCCACTCATAGGAGGACCCATTCAGTGATCAGAACTATCTTTCCATGAAGGACAGTGTGAGGACCCTGTGTGAGAGGCGATGAAGGGGAGAGGCCACAGGGTTAGAGGCTGTTAGAAGAGAGGGATGTGCCCAGGTGAGAGCTCGGAGGGCACACCTTCCTCCGTAGGGGATGAAAGTTAAGATACAGTGGTGAGAGATGATTTTGCAGTTTCTTTTTCTTCTTTCCTTCCTTTCTTTCTCTTTCTTTCTTTCTTTCTTTCTTTCTTTCTTTCTTTCCTGCAGATTAGTTTGTTCTTTTAATTGTATTGTGAAAACTCTAATTGAAAAATTCCAGAAAAGAGAGAACAGAACTACCCTCCCATGAACGGAAACTCCTGCAGTTCAAAGAGTGAAGACTTTGGATCCAACCCACAGAAGTTTGTCCAAAGCCATTCAATAAGTTCATGGCTCTGTGAAGTATGAACTTTGCAGCCCAACCAGATGGATTATTATTTCAATTCCCGTCCCACTAATTTTAATGGAATTTCTGTCTGGGTAAGTAGGCTTAGGAACAAATGTTAAGCCTTGCAGGTCCAAATTCTGTATTTTTTTAATGACTAATGGTCATCTTCTCCCAAGAGTTTGCATAAAATTGTTTCCCATTAGTTTTTAATATATAACGCTGTACTGTTTTTAACACTTGATTGGGAGCCACCCAGAGTGGCTGGGGAAACTCAGCCAGATGGGCGGGGTATAAATAATAAATTATTATTATTATTATTATTATTATTATTATTATTATTATTATTACATTATCTGTTAAAGGGTGAACTAAGGCAGAACTCAAGATTTCTCTTCCAATTGCGTCCTGCTTGACAACAATTGCTTGCTTGTGGTTTTTCCACCATGTAAGTGTGTGAAGCACAAATTTTAGGGTGGAAAGTCTGATTAACTCGTATGTGATGTGTGATTGCACAGACATAGAAAGCTGCCTGCGAAGTAAAGGCACAACAATGTACTTGAACAACGGGAGGGGGTGGGGGGAGCCTGTGGGCATATCTCTTCCTACTGTAATCTAATCAGAAGGGTACAGAAGATGCTACAGACACACTTCCAGGTCTAAGAGAAAAATGAATGCTGTAGAAGGTAGTTCAGCAACTGCCCTTCGTCCTGTGTTGCAAATCTACACATTTGCCTACAAGCGGGGAGGAGGGCATGTATAGTTTGTGCTAGAAAAATCTAAATGACTTTAATATTATATATATATATATGCGCATGTATTTGCGTCATGCAAGGCACAGAAAAGAGAAGAGCTATGCAGAGTCCCTATTTGGCTGTATACACACCATATTTTAAAGCACATGACATCCCTTGGGAAATGTAGTTCAGGGTGCTGGGAATTATAGCCCTGTGAGGGGTAAACTAGTTCCCAGGATTCAATGGTGGAAGTCATGTGCTTTGAAGCTATGGTGTGTATGCACCACCCCCACCCCCACCCCCGTGTGTGTGTGTGTCCCCAATTCAAGACAACTGTTCTGAATTTCAAAGAGGACCACATATGCTATTAAATATTTTAGAAGGATTTTTAAAAAAGAGAGACTCTGCAGAGTGTATTAAACAAAACAACAACAGCAATGACATTTTGCTCTAATTCATTCCAGCTCTTCTTTCATTTTTGTCCAAAAAGTTTGTTTTCGTTGTGAATTAGTTTTTGGCTTTTGTGAGAATATGGACCTAGTACATGTAAGAATATAGTCCACACAGAGGCTGTGGGGAGGCTGGCTTTTTACTTGAACAACTGGACAGAATACTGCCTGTGCATTTTCTTTTATCGTTTACACTAGACTTACAAAGGGATAGAAGGTTACACTTTTTTCATGAAAGCTACAAATCATGGCCAGCTAATTTGCTAAAAATGGGTATCAAAAAGAATATCATTCCAGGCACTACGAAACCCTATGAGAGTGGCCCTACAGGTTAAAAAAGGCTCACATTCTATACTGGAATCAGGGCGAAGAGTTCAAAAGGAAGTTTAAGCTTAAGAGTATGTGCCCATCCATTTCCCTGCAGGCATCTGTCCTCACATAACCCTTCCCATTGCCTCCTATTACCCTTCATGGACTGTGCTTTAGTGACATACTTCATGTGATGTGACAAGTTGACGTGCCCAGAATCCAAATTCATCCCATAGTACAGCCCTGAAGTACACAGTGACAGTCGCATTAAAGACATCAGCAGGGGGCAAAGCTCATGGAAAGCCATTCCCTTTGGCTGTTCCATAAAAGGTCACGTCTGGCTGGAATAAGTAAAAGGGAGGAAAGCACAGAATATGACACACCACAAGACTGGTGTAGTAGAGCCAAACCCTGGTACAGTATAAGTGTGCAGCTCACACATGACCGCAATTCCTCCTATCTCATAGAAATACCGCTTGTCATTAACAACAGCTTCGCAGTATCCTAAAAATCAGTGCTATTTTTCTAGAAAAAGAGATGCCGGAACTCACCATTAATGCCTCCCTTGTTCTCGTCTAATGGCAATGGTGCCCACCTGAGAGGTTCCAAAGAGTTCTGGTTTTAAAAAGCGCTGCTTTTAAACTAGGGTTGCCATATTTCAAAAAGTGAACAGAAAAGTTGTTGAGCTTTATTTGCACATGTCCTGGTGCACATGTTTAGCTACGTGTACCAGGATTTAAAGCTATGGTTTTCCCAGTGGTGATGTATGGAAGTGTGAGCTGGACCATAAAGAAGGCTGATCGCTGAAGAATTGATGCTTTTGAATTATGGTGCTGGAGGAGACTCTTGAGAGTCCCATGGACTGCAAGAAGATCAAACCTATCCATTCTTAAGGAAATCAGCCCTGAGTGCTCACTGGAAGGACAGATTGTGAAGCTGAGGCTCCAATACTTTGGCCATCTCATGAGAAGAGAAGACTCCCTGGAAAAGACCCTGATGTTGGGAAAGATGGAGGGCACAAGGAGAAGGGGACGACAGAGGATGAGATGGTTGGATAGTGCTCTCGAAGCTACCAGCATGAGTTTGACTAAACTGCGGGAGGCAGTGGAAGACAGGAGTGCCTGGCGTGCTCTGGTCCATGGGGACATGAAGAGTCGGACATGACTAAACGACTAAACAACAACAACAACCAGGATTTGCAGGTGCCACCAATCAGCCGATCACCTGTGCTTTCAACCCCCTTTTGGCCTAGCCATACCTGCCCCATACCTATCATATATGACATTTAGGGCTGGTGGGCTTGGCTTCATCACCTGTAAGGCTGGGCAATATATCAATATATCGTCCAAAACCGGTTTCAAGTCCATGATACTGATGTCATAATTTTTGACCTGGTGATATATTTATTTTGTGGATGTGTGTATGTGTTTGGGAACCACTGTGTTATAATATTATACCGTGAAACCAGTCAATTCCTCTACATAGCTCCATCCTTATTTCAGACATTGTGATATATTAGCATATCACTATGTTTAGCTGGTGATGTATCACAATGTTGAAAACCAGATAACACCCAGCCCTAGTTACCCATAGGCTGGAGGTTCCCAGCTGCTGAGCTATGGTTTCTGTGTAAGAGAAGCAGAGATATCTTTGGAAGCATACAGAGAAAAGCTTGGGGGGGGGAATATTATTACCAGTGGTAATGTGTGACTTGGCCACATGAGTCCAAGGGTTAATGATGCCCTCAGAGTTACAGTTTTTGCCTAAAAATAACTGTGCACTTTATTGAGATATAAATCACATCAACATTTCAAAAGCTAACAATGCTTTGAATTTGTGCTATCCCAAATAAATGATCTTGTAAGCCGCCTCAAAAACATTTTAGCTAGAATTGGTGGCAGGAAATAAATAAATGACAGTCATTATGAGGGGCAATTCCTGTATGATCAATGACTTTATAAAAATAAGGATCTCAGCCAAATATACCTGAAGCTAATTAATGTTGTTGATATATTGGTCTGTCAATAATGCTAGAACATTTGGTGCTTAGGTTTGTAGAACTTCCCATTCAATGTTATGAATTAATTGCATCACTTTTGCAAGACAGAGCTGTCCTTGCCATGTCAAATGTAGCTGCACATTCAGGTTTATTCATCCTTTACATTGGATTCTATCATCATAATGAAATGAGGAATGACAGAAAATTGAAATGGAGGAGGAAGCAAGGATGGAAAAGTTTGATCCTTTCAAAATATGTTCTAGTATCGTGAGCTAACCTTTTAAAGGACTGGAAACTCTATACGGGAAGGAGGCCACATTGATAAAATGCCAGATAAGCTGAGCTATCATATACTACTTGGATGCAAAATTTGAAACTGAAGCAAAGTATTGATTAATATAGTCAGTTTCCCTTGCCAAAAGAGGAAGTACAAGTGTTTGCTACAAGGAATATTCAGTCCTCTGTGTCCAAAAGCTACAGTCGTGTACACACTTAAGCTGCTAAAACTCACATCCATTTTCTTTCAATGACATTTAAGCAGTTCACTGGTCTTCATATATATACACACACACACACACACACACAGGTTCCAACATAACGTAGGCTGCTGGTTGTTTAAATGAATCTGGTACAAATAAATCATTCTTACTATAAATGAACTCATGCAGCTACCATGCAGAGAAATGCTACCTGTTCTCACTTTATGCCTCTTCTTTCTCATCTGCATTCTGCTACTCACTTAATCCCCCCCCATTCAATTATGATAATTTCTCTGTTCTTGTGAAAAGGAAAAAGTAACCAATAAAGAGAAACACTTTATGCTTCTGTTTCTTACCTTCAAATGCATGCATTTTCTAGTTCCTGCTTATGTTCTCTATATTTTCCTCCTCTGTCTGTCTTGTATTCTTCCATTTTTGTTGCTTCTAAATCCCTGCATTTGTTCCCCTGTTTTTCAGTTTCTGCTTATTCTTTTACAGCTCTTTATCAATGGAGCTCTTTCACAGCCAATATTTGTTTTAAACCATCAAGTTCTTTAAAAAAAAAAAAAAAAGCCTTCCGGTGTATTAATTCCAGGTAGCCTAGATATAATCATTTTTGACCCATCCAGCTTGTAATGTGATTAGTCATGCCCATAGGCTTACAATCTGTCTTTTTTTTGTTATAAACAGTTACTATGGCTCTCCCCGCCCCAAAATGGGCCAGATTTAAGTAAATAGTAGCACTAGCAGGTGCCAGGCAAAGGACAAGATGGCACTCTCCCCCATTAAAGCGTACTTCAACACTGGCAATGGAACAGCACCCTCCCCTGCACTTGGAGGCAGCTAGCCGAGGTGGCACAGTGCCAGTCGTGTGGCACAAACAGCTCTATCTACGTCTCAACTTCTGCCACCTGAGGCAGCTGTCTCACCCTACCTAATGTCCTGGGAAAGGTGCTTCTTAGATGAAAAGTGATACAGCTCAAATAGAAGAGAAGAAGAAGAGTTTGGATTTGATATCCCGCTTTATCACTACCCGAAGGAGTCTCAAAGCGGCTAACATTCTCCTTTCCCTTCCTCCCCCACAACAAACACTCTGTGAGGTGAGTGGGGCTGAGAGACTTCAAAGAAGTGTGACTGGCCCAAGGTCACCCAGCAGCTGCATGTGGAGGAGCGGGGAAGCGAACCTGGGTCACCAGATTACGAGACTACCGCTCTTAACCACTACACCACACTGGCTCCAAATGTAGTACTCGTGTTCATGTGCACAGAAAATGGAGCCGATTCAGTCATGTTGAAGTACTTAACTATAAAAACGCACCAGATTAATAAACTAAGCTCTAATTCAGTTGCAAACAATGTGACCTACTTAACATGAAAACACTGGCTCTTCCTATGTTGGATCTCAGAAACCACACTTCATTTCCTGTATTTCCACTGCTTTCATGTGTCCCATTTGGAAAACTGGACACAAAAATTATAACCTCCAGGTTCTGCAAATTGTATTGAAGTCCCACCACCACCCAATCATGCTACCCAGAAGTTCCATAACAGATAAAGATGTGTTACCCTATTGTCAAAGGAAGAGGTGGCGGAGAACAGATGGGGGAACAAGTTCTTCCTGTTTCATATTATTAACATCTGTTTACCACACAATGTTTTCACTTCACATTTATATTCAAACAGGGGGGAAATGACCTTTTTTGGGGCGAATGAGAGAAGTTAAATGTAACTGTGAACCACAGCAGTGACAGGAACAGGAGAAAAGGGATAGCCCCAAGGGAGGAACTGGAAGTAGATTATGTCACTTCAACCATTATAGAAGCAAGAATTTCCTGCTTCATTTAATACATCATACATCATTCTTGTACAAGACCAGGAATGGTCATCCACTCCTAATTTGTACTTCCGAAAGTGACCATTCCCAGAATACATGGCCCAGACAGAGTCACAAGAGGAGCTCTTTTAAGTGCTATAATTTACATCCCAACAGGGAGCCTTATGTCCTTTCAGACACTAATGATTGGTCTCCTTTGTTTATACACTAGGGTTTCCTCTGAAAGCTTCATGAAGAAGAAAGAAAGCAGCCCCGTTCTTTCTTATTAAATTCTCTGCAGCTTAAAGTGTGCTGTGTTTTGTGCAGCCTACAGCTGCTGTGAAATTCGGCTTTTAGGTACTACCTTTTCTGTTTATTAACCTCACCACAAATTGGTTAAGTTGGGATTCTAGGGCCATTTTGCTGGCCTTGTTTTATAGCAGGAGTGAGGAACCTATCGCCCTCCAGATGTTTTGGGATGCAATCTAACCCCATCTACCTGACAGTGAGCCTCACTGAATTCAGTAGGACTTACTCCTGAGTAGATATAGGTAGAATTACCCTCTAAGTCCCAACAAAAGCAATGGAAAAGGACTTCATTGCAACTAGCTTCTCAAGTGCAATCCTATGCAATTTTCATGGGACTCTCAATTATGTGTATACTGGAGTGCTTTCAATAGGACTTTGATGCAACCAACTTTTGCTGGATTATGTCCTTTGTCTGTGCTAAAAGGCAGTTGTGTTATGTTTGGGAATTATGTCAGCCAAATTTGGTTAGGAAAAAACCATACTCATGTGTCTTTTCAGTGCTCTATGAAATGAATATAACATTGTACTGAGTGCCTTAGATATATGCCACTCCTAAGGAAGCTACTGTTTTCAATAATTAACCTTTGTAGACTATAAATTACTCACATCCTTCCCAAACCTCAAACAGGCTGTAGGTACCAAATGCTTCTTTTAATTACCTCATCTCTAAAATATTAAATACTGAAACAGAGCCTGAAACTTAATGATGCTTTTAGAGATTGCCATTTTTCATAGTGGGCTCGGGTGTTCTCCATTTCATTTTTCTATTGATTTTAATCAAACTTTCCCACAACAAAACTGGAAATGGAATACAAATCCTGGACGCTACCTTGGACAAGTATACAAATGCGCCAACCACTTATGATGCACTGAGGGACAGATAAGTATTACATGGAGAGAAAAACATGTTGCAAAATACCTTAATTTTAGTAAGCAGAAGCAACTTAATTTTTAAAAAAATAAAAAATATTTATTCGTGGTGTCCAGTACTCAAAACTTTTGATATATGGTGCTACAGCCTTATGCAACATGGGGTTATACTAGGCAGTAACAGGAAGGCTTCATTCAGATATCATTATCATTATAGAGGCGGTGAATGTGGTTTGGTTTTTAGCTTCAAGTGCTAAAATAACTTAGCCAACCCTGGATGCTACTCACTGACTTGAGGGTAGGTGGGGTACCATTTACTGTTCTACTTCAGGTAACAAAATGTTTTGAGCCAGTCCTGACCAGGTAATAATGGAATTGGACATGACAAAGCAAAGAGAAATGATGTGATAAGAGGGGCAGGGAGAACAGTCAACATAGGGTGCCGGGGGGCGGGTGAGGCAGCAGCCCCACATCCACCATATCTAACTTTCGCCCAAAATTGCATCAATACACCTTTCACCATCCAGCTTTTTTTTTTAGTTTTTTTAATAATAATAATAATAATAAATTTTATTTATATCCCGCCCTCCCCAGCCGAAGCTGGGCTCAGGGCGGCTAACAACAGTCAAAATAATCCAACATTCTAAAAACATTCATTATAAAATTAATTAAAATCAAATTGATGGCAACCATTAAGCAAAATTCTGTGCAGATTGCCAGAGGAGGGGGTCAGGCTGCGCCCTGACCAAGGGCCTGGTGGAACAGCTCTGTCTTGCAGGCCCTGTGGAAAGATGTCAGGTCCCGCAGGGCCCTTATTTATATTTTTCAAATGTATACATTATTAGTTTTGCAATCAATTTAACACTTCTAAATTTTGTTGTTGTTTTTTTAAATGATATTTATTAAAATTTCAGAAAAAAGAGTTACATAAAAACAAGAAAAGCAAAAACAAAAGACAGAAATAAAAATACAAGAAAAATACAAAATACAGAAAAGAATAAAAAACACTTTAAAAAATAGATCAATCTTTCCATGCCTTACATTCATATCCTTGTTTCCCTGACCTCCTCATACCTCCCTTTTTGTATTCCAATTCAATTAGTTAATTCAGCAATTTCTTTCCCTCTTTATTTTCTCTTAATCCTTTAACTTAATATACTATAACTTTAAATTTTCACCTGTTATCAATCCATTTTTACATACACCTTTATAGCATTACTGCTTAAACCACCTAACTTCATTCTAACATCATTCTAACATTCATTAATTTTGCAATATTTCTGTAAATAGTCTTTAAATTTCTTCCAATCTTCTTCCACCAACTCTTCTCCCTGGTCTCGGATTCTGCCAGTCATTTCCGCCAATTCCATGTAGTCCATCACCTTCATCTGCCATTCTTCCAGAGTGGGTAGTTCTTGTGTCTTCCAATACTTTGCAATAAGTATTCTTGCTGCTGTTGTGGCATACATAAAGAAAGTTCTATCCTTCTTTAACATCAATTGGCCCACTATGCCTAGGAGAAAGGCCTCTGGTTTCTTCAAGAAGGTATATTTAAATACCTTTTTCAATTCATTATAGATCATCTCCCAGAAAGCCTTAATCCTTGGGCACGTCCACCAAAGGTGAAAGAATGTACCTTCAGTTTCTTTACATTTCCAACATTTATTGTCGGGCAAATGATAGATTTTTGCAAGCTTGACTGGTGTCATGTACCACCTGTATATCATTTTCATAATATTCTCTCTTAAGGCATTGCATGTCGTAAACTTCATACCTGTGGTCCATAACTGTTCCCAGTCAGCCATCATTATGTTATGTCCAACATCTTGAGCCCATTTAATCATAGCAGATTTCACCGTTTCATCCTGAGTATTCCATTTCAACAGCAAGTTATACATCTTTGACAAAATCTTAGTTTTGGGTTCTAACAGTTCTGTTTCTAATTTTGATTTTTCCACCTGGAAGCCAATTTTCTTATCCAAATTATATGCCTCCATTATCTGATAATAATGAAGCCAGTCTCGCACTTTGTTTTTAATTTCTCAAAACTCTGCAGTTTCAATCTATCTCCATCTTGTTCCAAAATTTCCCAATATTTCGGCCATTTGGCCTCCATATTGAGCTTTTCAGAGCCTTCACTTCCATCGGTGACAGCCATCTTGGAGTTTTATTTTCAAGTAGATCCTTATATCTTATCCAAACATTAAACAATGCTTTCCTGACAATATGGTTTTTAAATGCTTTATGTGCTTTGACCTTATCATACCACAAGTATGCATGCCACCCAAATACATTGTTAAAACCTTCTAAGTCCAAAATGTCTGCGTTTTCCAGAAGCAGCCATTCTTTCAACCAGCAAAAAGCTGCTGATTCATAATAAAGTTTAAGGTCTGGCAGGGCAAATCCACCTCTTTCCTTTGCATCTGTTAGTATTTTAAATTTTATTCTAGGCTTCTTGCCCTGCCAGACAAATCTAGAAATATCTCTCTGCCACTTCTTGCACTTCTAAATTTTGACTTCCTTCTCCCTCTTTCTGCGGTTCCTTAAATTAATTTTTTTTAAATTATCTTCTTCTGCATATCCAAGTTCATTTAACTTGCTCATTTACTTATCAACTGTAAATATATACTCTTATAAAACTGCAGGTTATTACATAAATCCTGCTAATGTTTTTATCTGTTTACAATTTATCTGTAAATATTCAATAAACTGTCTAGCTTAATTTACCCAAGAAAATGTTCAAGTCCTAAAGCAGATACACAAACACACAAACTGGTGACTACTATAATAACTCGGTAAGAAGCACAATCAATGAGCAAGAATATTTAATGCAGAGCGAAACTCAATTTTACTGAAGCGAACAGGCTGTTTCACAGCTCAGCAATGATTCTCCCAGAGGCACTTTCCGTTGTGCTTATCAATCAACAGACTATATGGGCACGAGGAAGAGATTTATTTGAGATTTACAAAAGCTAAGCTAGTTCAACTCTAAAAGAGATTTGCGGGCAGGGGGAGAATCACACACCTTTCTGAGCCCCATCTGTTTGCATACGCAGCATGCAGAGGCGTGCAATTTTGAGTCAGGCATTATTTGACTTTGCATTAAATTGCATAGCAGAGCATGTCCTGCCTTTGCAATTTTGTAGATGCACCCCAGGAAGCTTAATGCTGAAAAAGCTGTTCAACACGCAGTCTCTTCCCTTGCATTCTCCCCTCTGAACACATCCAATAACAAAAGGATCTTGTATGGAGCTTCAGTGACAGTATAGAGTTATTGGGGCATCTGGAAGACTTGAGAGATTTCAGGGGCAGAGTGATGTTCTGAAACACTGATTATAAGGACTAATTATACGTAGGCAGAAACCAAACTCTGGCACTCAAGAGTATGCAATAAAATAGCCAGGAATAATGGGTGTAGCTGCAAGGACAAAAATGAGTACAGAAACTACTTTCTGAAAATTAGAGTCTTTTCTGGACCCACCAACTGCACTTGTTCACAACCCTCCCTAGCTATACTCATCTCTGATAGTCCTCAAATATACATATTATGCAGGTGCACTTAGCGGAGAGCTAGGATCAGCTGAATTTCCATAATGAGAAGGATTAGACAGACAGGCCCAGAGGGCTATATTTGGTGCTCAAGCCTGATGTTCTCCATCCGGGTTATAACCTAATGTATGAAGTAGCTCTTTAAATTTGAGCTTCAATACAGCATCAGAGCCTTGGACAGCAGTACTTAACCCAACCTGATTTTGAGAGAGCCAGAACATATAGGGACACAAGCCAGGCAAAGGATTTTTTTTTGGGGGGGGGTGTTAAATAAACAAGAATAATGTTAAGCAAGGAAAAGTTAAATGGGTGATTTGAGAAAATAATAATAATAATAATAATAATAATAATAATAATTTATTATTTATACCCCGCCCATCTGGCTGGGCTTTCCCGGCCACTCTGGGCGGCTTCCAAAAGAATATTAAAATACTATAATACATCAAACATTAAAAGCTTCCCGAAACAGGGCTGCCTTCAGATGTCTTCTAGAAGCCTGGTAGTTGTTGTTCTCTTTGACATCTGGTGGGAGGGTGTTCCACAGGGAAGGCGCCACTACCAAGAAGGCCCTCTGCCTGGTTCCCTGTAACTTGGCTTCTCGCAGTGAGGGAACCGCCAGAAGGCCCTCGGTGCTGGACCTCAGTGTCCGGGTAGAACGATGGGGGTGGAGACGCTCCTTCAGATATATAACATGTTCTAAAGTACAATTCTAAGCATGTTTACTCAGAAGTAAAAGCCACTCATCCTTGGTAAAGGTGCATATGACTTCAGCCTAATGGTCTCTCCAGTTGACTGTAGAATGCTTAACACTGGGGGGCCAGTAGGACCAGTAGCAATCTATGTGACAGGAAGTGTCATAAATTAATTTTAATTCTGCAGGCCCTTCAAAAGCACAGCCCGTCCATGAGCTCTCAGGATCTTTGTTTCCCCATGTGCACAGGCTTAGTGCACAGAGCTGCACCACAGTTCACTGAGCATCAAGTAGAACAAAGCTAATAGCACACAAAATGTTCTGGGGTTGACAGCAGTACAATGTGCCTCTTTGGCTCATCAAGACTTGTACCAGAGTGTTTTTTGGAAAAACAACAACACAAAAAAATTCCTTCGAAGCCTTCTCAAACAGGAATACTGTTTATGTGTGTAGTATTTTTAAAGTTTAAATTTAAGAAGAAGAAAACACTGCTTATCCAAAATACATTCCAACTGATCTCTCTTTTCAGTTCAAAACCTCCAATTTTGGCTCTGTTTGTACAGTGGTACCTCGGGTTACAGACGCTTCAGGTTACAGACCACTAACCCAGAAATAGTACCTCAGGTTAAGAACTTTGATTCAGGATGAGAACAGAAATCATGCGGCGGCAGCAGGGGGCCCCATTAGCTAAAGTGGTACCTCAGGTTAAGAACAGTTTCTGGTTAAGAATGTACCTCCAGAACAAATTAAGTTCTTAACCCGAGGTACCACTATATCACAGCAGACTGGAAAGCAAGCAACTGCAAATATATACTGCGCTGCCATATTAAGCCATCCATAGAGTGGTAAACATAAGAGCTAAACATGTCCTCTTGACAGTAAACCTGTCCTCCCCCATCAGGCTTTGGACAAGATATTAACCTACTGTTCTTTAAGATAACTTGCTGCTGCAATAGCAGCAGCAGGAGTTCCTATCCAGCATCCTTTTTGCTTTTCTTTCTTTTCTTTTTTTTCTACACCCGCTATTTAATCACTCAGTTAAATGATAAAAGGAGAACACCCATATCTGCAGTGACTCATTAGCATACTGAAGAGGTCAGAGCTAAAAATTCACACACTGCAGTTTATTGATCACATGTTTTGTTTGCTGAAGGGAAGGGCGGAGCTGTGCTAATCTAAAAATGGACTTCAAAAGGAGGATAGCACCTAGACTTTGAATATTGTTCCTGGAGGCAGGGCTAGTCCAAGACATTCTGCCGTCCCAAGCAGCTGCATCACGTGATCTGGAAGGTATCTTCTGCCATATGCAAAAGATTCTTGGAGGATGCTTCCGGGACCATGGACTGCTTCACTGTCACTCCTACAAACCAGACTGCCTCAGGGGAAAAGATTCAATTTCTGCTTGTTGTGCAGCTCTGAAAGTCACAGGAGCACTGACAAGCAAAATGTTGGCAACCTTCATAAAGAGTTTACAAAAAGTCCTTCCCCAATCCGCTGGATTGCTAACATAACGCCCGGTGATGCAAGCTGGGGGGAAAGCTTAACAGTGTTACCTCATGCATATATGGTTCTACTCTCTATCTCAAGCCAAGGCAGCTTCCTAAGAGACAAGTGCATTGCCCAAAATTAGGTCATGTCTTACTGACTGCCAAGCCTATTGTTTCCTAAAGTAAATGCGTATTATCCATAACAGGCAATTCTTCTTCCTGAAATCAATGGCTCTAAGGCTGTGAGGGGAAATACTGTGCCTGTTTCTCAAAGGCATCCAAAGGAAAGGGGGTAGGCAGCTTTTGTATTCTTGGTTGCTAGAAGGATTTACCTAATAATAATAATAATAATAATAATAATAATAATATTCCTCCATGGCTATCTGGTTGCTCACTGTGAGAACAGGATGCTGGACTAGATGGGAGACTAGCCTGATCTAGCCGGCTCTTCTTATTAAGATCAGTTAAAACAGATTGTGCTCCTTAACCACTTTGATGAGTAACAGCTCAATAAGTCTCCAGAAATAATACTTTTTGATTGTAGGAAACATTACAAAAAATCAGGACCTATAATGTCTAGGTAAGTCACCAGCCCATGGGCAGATGTGCCTACCCTCCCAAAGCTTCTCTGGCATCTAGGACGCCTGCCATTTTTTACTGCAACCCGGTGGTGGTGGTTTCTCCAGCAGCAGCAAAAAAAGGAACGTGCAATGAGAACTGCATGTAAGTGGCAGTACGCAACAGCCTTAAAGGGTGGTCATGGCAGTGTCTGTTCAGTAGGGCATGCCGTCGATGTGTTGAATGGTTTTCATTTTCTGCTTTTGACCACAGTTGGTAAGTGGCTACTGGCTCCTATAACCAATAAGGAAGCTCCACTGTATCACTGAATAATTGGGATTGATATCTAAGATGTGGCATATTCCAGTGCCAGCTCCAGAGTTTTGTTCTGTTTTTATGGGGAAACGCTCATTGGGGGGCCTTTACCTCCCTCCTTCCAAGGTTGCCAGCAGATCCACTGCTCTACCTCATCACTGCCATCACTCACTTCCCTGTTGGATAAAGCTGAACGGCTACATCTCCTCTTTCTCACTCACCACTACAACTGAGTGAGAGGCAGGCAGGCCAGCAGGTTGGCGTGTGGTGAAGAGGAGAAGGCAACTCAGATGCCAAATGGCTCCTTAAACCAAGGTTACAGTCGCCATAATAGAATGTCTAGTTGCCATTTCTGGTTAAGATGGCTCTAAAGTCTCATTTTTCAAATGCTGAACTGACTGTGAATGATTCTCAGTTAAACATCTGGCTAGTTCTGATGACAACTTTGAGCTAGGTTAAGAACTTTGAGAACTTAACAGAGAAAAGTCACTTGATCCAGAGACAATCCACATATCTGTTGGCCTCTTCCGACCTCGTTTTCTTAACAGTGACTGCTCCTTCTCAGGCTGCACAGAAAAAAACATCTTGGTTCCTGAAATTCATTCCAATTGTGCAGGTAAAATATAACTGATAGAATTCTACAGGATGTGGTGTTAGTGTGTGAAAGCAGTCCAGATCTAATGATCTCCAGGCATGAACCTTCAGATGGTGGAGATGTCAGGTCCATGCATTTTAAATGGTTGATAGCCAAGTGCAAAATGTGCCTGGCACCTGGTAATTTCAAATACTGGGAGAAGGTTTAGGGAACTGTTGTCAGTGGGTCTTAAGGGCCCAACCACAACCCTTGATGCCTTTGTTTCAGTGAGTCCCTTACTCAGAAACTTTCAGGTGTACAGTTACCCAAAGAATATGCTCAAAACATAGCCTAATGTGGCCTTCCTGTCACCCAAGGGGCAGGAGTAGGTGTGGGTACCAAATACCCATTTCACTGGCCTTATTTACTGTAGTTTTTAAAGCATGCTTCATACTATATGCGTACTGAATACTATAGTGTTCAGAATTTAAAACTCAGGGCTGTACCCAATGCTAATCCTACAGAGTACAAACCCACTGAAATTAATGTACCTAACTTTGTTGTGCCCATTAACATCAATGGGACTAGCTATGGATACAACCCTCAAAATATACCAAGTTGCTATTGCTGGTACACAAACCCTAATGTACAGATACAACTGGAAAGGGAAATGCAAATATGTTATGCAAAGAATTGGCTACTGGCAAACAACAAGATGAAAGGTAAATATTATCATTAAATGCAAATGTGTTACGCATGCTGAGCAAATAGATATTGTGACTATTAAATAGGCACACTTGAGAGAAAATGGTACTCTCAGCACTGCCTGTTATACCAACAGGGTAGATCTCCATTCTTAGTGGACGTTATTATATATCATGTTGCACTTAGCACATTTCCAGCACATGCTGCCTAACGATCTATAATGCCAAGGGCTTGCTAATCAGGCAGCTGTATGTTAAGTGCCATCCGTGTCTGTCCCTCGGGGCTTCTTGATGTGACAAACTGCACAGACTCTCCTCTAAACACAGCTCTCAAGGCCACGTGTATGTGATGAATATCTGAACAGCTTTTACAAAAAGTCCCCACCGCCTCACCCCACCTCTGTCTTTACACTGCCATTCGAAAGAACAAACATCTCAGTTTTAAAGTGTGTGATAATGTTGACCAGCAGCCTATTTTCCTTGGTCCCAGGACCCTGAGCGAAATACCACTCACTTAAGAGACAAGAGTGTGTGTCGGCATTGCAAGCCAACAGAACGTACCATTCAACAAGGAATGTACAGCCATTAGCTTATTGTCTACCTCCCAAACATGGCTACAATCAACGGACATAGCTCACCCCAGCTGCATCCTGTAGGCTTGTGTTATATGTGTTGTAACGAGAGAAAACAAAGCCAAGCATGGCATCATCCTTTTTAAATGGAATAGATTCATTTCTCTTAAAACACTCCCTTGTTCTGTCTTACGTATTCCAGAATGAATTTCATTTTGCAGAGGGTACAGAAATTAATTACAGAATCCTTAATATGGGATTAAGCCCTTACCTATCGCACTGTAAACATGGAAACTGAAGTAAAGGCAGGCGAGACAAGCATGTCAGTTAGGATAGGTGCATCCTTAAGTAAATATAACAAAATAAATTACTTCATACATTCTTCACGTTACAGATGTAAGATTATAAAACAAAAACCACATACATGCAAAAAATCTACCTTGTCAAAGGAGTTAAGTGGAATAGACAAATAATAGGCTTGACTTGCATGAGTTTTAAATTCTGCAACCTTATTGAAGACAAGAAACAAAGGGTTAAATTATTTTTGCTGCTGTAGGTTTTTTTTATGTCTGCTGTGACAGATACGTACTGCACTTATAAAGAGTTTTTAAACAAAGTTCTAGTGCTCCTGCCCTATTCTACCACATCACAACAATACTACAGATAGCTCTTGATTACAGATTTATTGCTGGTTACTGTATTGTGTGATAATGACAATGATAAAAATTTATAAGCCACTTCACAGTCCGGCAGCATCAAAGAAGTATGCATTAGATCACTAACTGAGTGTGACTGAGGGAGCAATTATTCAAGAGTGGCTGAGGGGAAGTAGGATGTTACACACTTCACTCGACCATATTTGGGCTGGAGCTGAAAAAAGACAGAGAGGTCTGACTTTCCCTCTGCCTTAAGAGGGGTGGGAAAGGAAAAACATGTAATTTCTCTCCATCCATCCTAAAACTCACTCTCCATCCCATGAGGCCTGAAGAGGACATCAGAGTCGTGAGCCCTGACTAAGAGCACACTTCTTAGGAGGTGGGGATAAAATACAATGTTTTGCTGCACATGCCACTGATAGAACATACTAAGAAAGGGTACAGGATCATCATGCTATTTTTACCACATTTAAAAATGTGTAATAGACAACTATAGTACATGAGATTCAATGACTGCATATTTTCGAAACAAATATTTGTATCACAAATAACGTTGAGAGACTCAGGGAGTGAATGGTTGATAAAATATTATTAAAAACTGTCTATCATCCAGTACAGTGTAAAATGGCACTGAGCCCAGAAGCTCTGACCTTTACAGATATTGTGTCTGTTAGCTAATGTAATAGTCGCAGCAGCTCTTGGAACATGTCAGCTCTTCCTCATAAATTTTATCATTCAAAATATTTGTGTGTGTGTGTGTGTCCGTGTGTCCATGTGTAAGACTGAAGATAGGAAACCCAGTTATCAAGCATAACAATGGATGAAAACATAGTTGTAGAAGAAATTGCTTTGTTAATAAATGATAAGCTGTTCAGTTTGTCAAGTTGACAAAGGAAATATTTGTGGTAGCCAAGGAAAGCCAAACAGGTCCAATAGATGGATGTAGATTAACTAGTTTCAAGTCCTTGCTCATCCATGAACTAACATAACTTTGTTGCTGTTGCTGACATCCATCTGACTCAAGAGACAATGGAGTGTGCCTCTGGGGGTGAAGTGAAACTGCTGCACCAAAGTGACCTTTCTGGGGTGCAAGACTGGGCAGTGTGCATGGAGGTCCTGGGCTGCCCAGATGACAGAACCCCCCTCTCAGCCTCACTGATGTGGTCCAGAGGACAGCAGAGCAATACATCTGGCACCCGCTTGGCTGCAGGAGTTGCCAGGAGGAGGAGTACACAGCACCATCTTAGGGACTCTGCTCTGGATGTGTGTAGAATTTTCTCCTTAGGCTTTTCTTCTTCCAAAGATGTCTTGCAAGGCAGTGGAGGTTCAGAAGCAGAGTTTTCCTTCTCCTAGATGGGCTACCTTCCCAGGTTGACAAACCCCATCTGCCCCTCACCTCTACAGCACATGCAGAAACTGCTTTCTTGACTGTTGGGTCCACTATTGGTCCCATCCGCTCAATCCACCGGAGACTGTCTTCGCATGCGGAGGGAACTATAGTATGTTAAGGTGTTGGGAAACGTAGCTCTGAGAGGGACAAAACTACCATTTCAAGGATTATTTGGGGGAAGGCATGTGCTTTAAAAGTATGGTGTGGATGCGACACCATAGTCATTAGTTCTTCTTCCCATTTTGCTTCAAGGATTTAGAGCAGCAATATTCCCAATCTCTTATTTTCACAGCAACCTTTGGAAGTGCATTAGGCTAGAAACTCACATTAGCCCCTTCCCTGTATAGGACAGCTGCAGCAGCAATACTGAACTGCAACCGGAATTCTTTGGAATATAAAATCACAGTCCAAGTGAATGAGGAACAAACACACGGAAGAACTGGGCAGAGGCATATGATGTACAGGTGTAGAGAGGGCAGGTACTCAAGAGAAAGAAACAGCCTTCTTTCCTATTGTCTGCATTATAATGGATCTGAATTTATTTACAATTTGCCATCTTTGCAGATTCCAGGGATAGGTGATAAAAGCATTGACTATTGCTTGCAACATTTGGTAGCATTTTAACATTATTATTATTATTATTATTATTATTATTATTATTATTATGAATGCTATCTTGCTATCTTGTCAGCCTCCCACCTGCTTTGCTAGAATTCTTCCCCAAAGCTGTGAGGTATGAATAATTTCACAGCTACCCACAGAATTATTTGCATAAAAACTGCACAGCGACAATCTACTCATTTCCCATAATTATTTCCATACACTTTAAAAGAAATGATATTCAGCGCCATCCCACAGTGCAGTTTTCCCATGTGGAATTGCTTTACTCTTAACCTTCTCTGCTTCTTATCAAGCAAGTAAAGAGTACAGAACGAATGATCAAAGGTGAGTTTATTCATACAGTCTATTATTAGTCATAGGATGTTTTCCAGTGTGCAGTAACAAATAAAAAGCAGTGCACATGTCTCTTTCCAGAAGCTATAACTGTTGTTGTTTTCTGGGTGCTTCTCTTCCCAAGCATCAGCAAATGGAGAAAACATAGCAAAATAAATCAGAATGCTTTGCAGACCTGAACAGTGCCCAGAGTCAAATCTCAGCATCATTTTAAACCTATGAGCTGCATAAATAGAAGCCACATGCCTGAATGTGCTCCTCTAGGCAGAGATTTCTACTAAAGGGTTGTTTTACAACCAATTTCAAATCACATGTGAGCTTCTTATACTGTATATCAAACCAGGGTTCTCAACAAATGAGATTCTGGAAGAAGGCATTGTCAAGCCAGGAAATATTTATGCTACACACACAACGACTGCTTCTCCCAACTTCAACACAGATTATCTAGTTCTTCTGCATATCTCCGAGCAAGAGGAAAAATACTACCATTGCTTAAATCAGTGCCAGTGCAAATCCAATGCCAAGAACCTGCCAAGCTTACAGGGCCCCGTCTCTGACAAAAATGAACCATAAAACCTTACTGGAGCTGTTGCTAACTGAGGCAAAAGGCCCAGGCTAGCATGAACATTTTGGGGAGACAGAGAGTAAAGACAGCATGTGTAGGACTGGGCCAGCAAATGAAACAAACCAGGAAGCTGCAGTTAAGCTTGGCTTCCCATTGTGTCCAATCATGGTTTGCTGCCTCCTAATAAGCCATTATCTGTAAGGAACCAGCAACCCATAGCTTTGTTGGGAGTAAAGCAACACTTACAATAGGGTACCTCAACCAGGGAAAGGGGCAAAGGACAGAAAAGCAAACTGTTCTTCCTCCGCAATGATACCTTCCCTTTTAGTAGTAACTACTTGTCGGCAAGTAGATCAGTTCCTTTCGAGCTGTATATTTTTCCTGCTCTTCTCCAAATTTAGTCAGTGTGAGCTAGTCTGTGTTAAGTGTTAATTTCTTAGACAGGTATAAAACCTGTACTCTGTTCATCATGGCTATGTCTGCCATGAGAAATAAACCTTGAGGGGTTTTGAAAAATCCCTTCATCCAGTAGTCTTGTCAGATTATTTCTTTTTGGACACCAGTGCAATATATTTACCATACCCTAACAGGTTTAAAGCTGACTAGCGATCATGGCTTGTTAGGGAACAATAAACCATAATTATGGGATCAAACATGATTGGAAGCAAAGTTTAACAGTGAGTACCTGATTTGTTTTCCCTGCTTCTGTGTGGATACGTGTAAAGCAGTTGCAATCAGGAGGTGTGCATGATAAACCACACCAAGGCAGATATTCTGGCTTATCAAAATATGTGAATGCAGCCTCTGTTGCATTTACACCTTCTCAGTAGTAGCACCCGCCCTGTGGATGCCCTACCATCAGATGTCAAGGAAATAAACAACTATCTGACTTTTAGAAGACATCTGAAGGCAGCCCTGTTTAGGGAAGTTTTTAATGACTGATGTTTTAATGTATTTAAAACATTAAGCTGCCCAGAGTGGCTGGGGAAACCCAGCCAGATGGGTGGGGTATAAATTTATCATCATCATCATCATCATCTCCGTTTTTTGTTTCAACAATAGGAGACCACAACACTTTCATAATGTCTTCTAGCATTGTCAACTGATCGTGTACATCTTCTGTGCAAATAAGGCAGAAATTATCTGTGCAACATAGGGGAACAAATAGTGTGCTGAACTGCACAAGAATATCTTCTGGCATTAAAAGGCAATGCACAAGTCCCTTGACTGTTGAGCCATCACTGCTAATAGGAAGCTGATGTAATATTACGTTCCCAACATCCATTAAGACAGACTCATGAACATATGACTGTCACAAGGACGTTTGCAGGCAGACTCCACAGCAAAGGAAAAGGTCATGCATGATTTTTGTTTCTTAGAAAAACTGGGATTCCCATGGACTTTATGCAATATTCATGGGGATTCCTGCCACTGTTCTATTTCTCTTCTGCTTCAACAGATTAGTCAGAATTCTTTGTTCCCAAGGGGGCTGTATATAATCCCTCTCAAATCTTACAGTTCAAGGGAAGTGAGTGGCAGGAGAGGGAAGTCTGAGGCAAAAAAGGGAGCTTTTTCCTGACTTCTGAGAAGCTAGTTCACCACATAACTAAACTGTGACCTTCCACCACAAATAAAGAAAACCAATCCAATGGATTTGGTTGCCTAAGACAATGGACCCCAGAGTAAACCTGGCAGGTAGCAGCATGATCCAATCAGGTCCTTCAGCTCATGCACAAATGGCATGCGTAGAACATATTAGCCCTACCTTCCAGTCACTTTTACCCATGAAGAATCATCTCTGATGTTTCACACAGTGTTCTCTGCATACCACAGACCTCCCACTTTTCAGCACCATCTGACAAGCAAGCGCCCACAACATCCCACTCATAAACTGCTCTTTGTTGACGGCAACAAAAACGAAATAAGCATCCCTAGCCGGATATTGCTAATTCTCACGCATTGCTTGACCACAGGGGAAGGGAAAAAAAGGTTAGTGTGGTTAAAGTATGAATGTGGCAAAGTCAGATGATTTAGTCTCTTTCCACTAGTGGCTCTGCCTGCGTCAGTATCATTATTTGTGAAAAAGAAGAAAACACTGTGCTTCACCTGCACTTCCAGGTTCAATTTCAACACCCAACTCTTTATTCTTAATCATATGTGTTTAAGGCAAAGAAGTATAATTGGGGAAGCAGAGGGGAACAATGCAGCTCTGTTCTTGGGGTGTACAGGCGGGGCCAGCCCAAGCGTTTATGCTGCCTGAGGCAAAGGACAAGCCGGTGCCGCCTCCAAATTCTTCTTCTTCAGACTTCAAAAATTCTTGAACAGAAATAGACAGGACTAGCAGATTGAATCTTATTTTTGTACAATATCTCAACACTGGTGACAGGATAGTGTGTCCTCCACCGCACCTGAAGCAGCAGGTCAGATTATGGGGCCCAGGAGAGGCAATGTGGCAACACGGGGAAATGGCTGTGACCTCAGAAGGAACAGCCTGGGGCATGCGCCACTTCTGTCCCACAGCACCTGTTGCCTGAGGTGAATGCCTCACTCTGCTTAATGGTAGAAAGGGCCCTGTGCACACAACCGCCTTGAATTTGCTGTCAATAGGGAATGAATGAATTTATTGTTTGTTTGGCTTGGTTGTCTGTCTTGCCCATCCTCCCAAAGGCAACTATACACACCCACACCCCCCCCTTTAAAGTAAAATATTTATAGGGATGCTAAATTATCTGGCTTTTGAAATTTGACCTGTTGGATTTTTCACCCTACCCTAGGTTGTTTCTAGCTGTTCCTGTTTCCCTATCTCTCCGAGAAGCTTTTTAAAATATCTATATATTGTATTAGTTTAGTGGTGTTTCTTGGTGAAGACTACATCACAGGAAGCTAGATTTCAGCTAGACCACAAGGGGAAAATTCTAAGCCATGGCCACAGAGGAGAAAAACAGTATGACAAGCTGGCTTAAACTTCCTCTCTTGAAGGTGCAGGAAACTGTCCCCCCCGTCCCCCCCACATCTGGACATCCTAATGTACGGAACCACACGGTGAGCTTCCATGTACTCTGTGCTTTTCAAGCAGCAGGCCTCCCATGCTGATTAACAAACCATTTCTGAATCTTGTCATGTTAGAATATTTTTAATACAGCATAGCAGACTGCTGCTCCAAGATAAAAAGTCAAACATTTGGCTATGTACCTACCTTAAATAGCTTTCTGGATTGTGGTCCGTAACTGTGGCTGAGGAACAGAAGCAATTACTTGTGGATGTTGTGCAACCTTCATTTTGTTAACCTATGACTTATTTAGCAATATGAAAGTGTTATGCATATGGAGTCACATTGCATATATGCTTGGATTTACCTAATTTGATTTATTATTTTTTAATGACAGCCTTAGGGGATTTTGGTTGAAAGATTTTGTTCTGAAAGTTGGAACCTGTTACTTCAAAACTCAAGAGATCTCTTTGAGATGCCACTCTATCAGGAAAAAAATAGTCTACGGACGCTACTTTTTTAAAAAGGTACACTGACAATGTGAAAGGTATCTCTTTCAGTTACATGCCTAGAAGATGACCATCAGGTTTTATTTTGTTTCACAAAGCCCCTTTCCAGTGACTAGCTGAGTATTTTCTAGACGTTCCTCAAGTGATTTTCCATCCTACCATAAGGAATTTGGAAAAACTGCCTTGTTTTTATCACATGAGGAAATGAAGGATAAGGTGGAACTTCCAAGCATTGTTAAATGCACATTTTTTTCACCATATCCCTTTGATATGGTAGTTGTTAATACAGCGGTATTAACAACAGCATGTTTGAACAGCTAATATAGACAGCTTTGTAGATTTAAACGATTCAACACAGAAATGTGTTTTTTTTAAAAAAAAATTCATGTATTCATTTTTTTAACATCTGGTTAAGCATTTGTATTAGAATGCCTGCGTGCCCCCATGGTTAGCCCCCACCCCAAGGCTTTCATCTCTGTTTATGATAGCGCAAGCAGCCAGGATGTTCCACCTTGTTCAGCACTAAGAAGGGCAGGGGAAATAACTTGCAAGTCTCCTGCTAATGTGAATATTTACCTTTGGTATACATAACTTGTGAGCCACAAAGATGAACAAACTATTGTGCCACCAGGCATGCACTGTGGATTGTTGGGTGCTTCTGAGCATCTTATTTATAGAGACTATTTATTTAGAGAGGCAGAAAAACTAACAAGTACATTAAGCTCTTGGAAGCCCACAATATATGACTAGTGCACTATGCTTGGCTTTGTGCACCACAGGTTGCGCAGGTCTGATTTATTTATGCATAATTAACTTTACTAGGTGCTGCTTCAACTGCGATGGCTTGCAGAATAAGGCTAAAATTGCAAAATGGCCTTCAGAATTGCGAGATCTGGGGAATGAGGGGAAAAAAACACTCAAATTTACTCTAGTCCGTTTACATGCCCATGAAGTGTTTAATAGTTATATCACAGTTTTCAAGCTCATATTTATATCCAATAAATTTAAAGATTCAGGGGCTGGGGGTTAATTAGCAAAACAAAACAAAAACAAAAAACCTCGGACTTCTCAGGTTACTGACAAGGTCACAAACAATGCCTTGGAACTTGAAATCTACACCTGAGCTACAAACCATTTTCCTTAAGGAATACACTTGCCGCCCATTAAAAACTGCATAATCAAGAGCTTCTGCCTTTATTTTTAATTGAGCCATGTCAGTTCAGGTTTTCAGCAAGTAACAAAATCCCTCTAGTGGCAATTCATCCATTCTGGCAATACAGCAATTACCGAATGGTGGTTTAATAGGTTCCAGAGGGGGCAGACCTCAAAAAGAGAGAAGGATCAGCAAGGTCTACTACAAGTATTTCTGCTTAATATTTCAGATTGTACCAATTTCTAGCAAGAAAACAGAGGTAAGTTGAATCAATACATGTGAATGGGATGATGGCAATTTAATTAGCATGAGTTGTCTGAGGTGCAGCAGCAGCAATACATTAAAGCATTAGCCAACAAATGCAACCTGCTTAAAGTTCTTTATACTTTTGCACTTAATAGTGCTTTTACATTAAGTGCATCACTCTAATCCATCCATCCAACCTGGTGTCCTGCAAATGTTTTGGACTACAACTCCTTACAGCCCCTGTCAGGACAGCTGTGTTGGCAGCAGCTGATGGGAGTTGCAGTTCAAAACCATCTGAAGTGCTCCAAATTGGAGAAGGTTGCTATAGGCCATCCTTGCGGATGGTGTAAACAGCTTAATGAAATCATTCTTGAGAATACAAGGGGTGTTACAAGTGATAGCTATGAAATGTGCTTTTACTGTCCTAGTATGCACAAACAACTAATGATTTTATATAAAATGGGAATGATAAATCAAAGTGAAGTAGCAGCACTGTGTTATGACAGATTATTATTTACTTACATTTATCCAAGTGGGTTAAAAAAAAGATGCTTGGCTGACAGCTCTGGAACTAAGGTCAATTAGCTAATTTAATGCATCATAATTTCTATTGATGTTCATATGCAAGCCCTTTTAATACTACACTTGGTTAGTGAGATCGATACGCGGCACTATGAGACCCATTTTAAAACGTGGCCACAAAAGAGTGCTGCATAGTTTTGAATCATGCATCTAAAAAGCTTGTGCTGAATCAGCATAACTTTAGTAAGTAGACTGGCGATATCCAAGAAGGCAATACACAGTTCAGCTAGAAAGGAGGTTTCAGAAGAAAAAGAGGGCTATGCCTTAAACCTGCCACGGACTGGAGGACTGGGAGTGTGACAATCCTATTCTGTAGAAATGGTTTAATTAGGAGATCCAGGACAATGCAATTTGTCCCAGTCCATCTATAGCACAGTCATTCTCCACACTGGGTGAAGAAGCATGCAATATGAACCACAGCAGCAACATGGCCAGAGATAAGAGGGACTGTTACCCAAGTGCTACAGCTCTATAAAGCTCAGAAGTACCAAAATACTCACTGGGATCGAAAACATGCAGCCTTAATTATTACAGAAACTTAGAGGCACAGTAGCAAAAAAGCTAAGCCAGGAGGAAGAATGGGGATGCACACATATTACAAAACTAATGGACTTGCAACACTTTGTATATGGTCTGCATATGGATATAGGGCCCCTCCATAAGTCCTTTGTATTGAGCGTTCATGATGATTTAAGCTCATGAATTATGGCTATATGTGATCCCACTTTCAGTACTGCATATGGCTCCAGTCGGTGCATGTCCTATGACTCCCTGAAATCTCTAACATGCTATTACCACAGGTGTCCTGCAGGGTGTGTTTTTCTGCCACACTTTTCTTGCACAAGAATGCACCTGGGGGAGGGGGCGGGGAGAGAGAGAGCTGAAAACAATGCCAAAAAAAATCACTTCTGACAACCAATGTGCCACTTTGGTTCCAGATAGTACATAGGTAGACGGGTCTAAAAAGCCCGGGACACAAATTTTCATAGCCCTCTAGCAGCTATGGTGGCTCATTTACCAGAAGTAATGTATTTTGCATTAACTCCGGAAGTTTATACTCGATTCTGACCAAACTAAGCCTCCTAGAGCAAAATAAACATCAAGATTAGCTCTCCAAATACATACATATATATATATATATATAAAATCTATAATCGAACCACAGAATTGTAGAGTTGGAAGGGACACCCAAAGCCAAAGTCCAACCCCCTGCAAATATGACCATAAAACCTTCATCCTACCCCCTTATTTGATGTAACGGCATCAAATGTGAAAGGAAAGGAAATACTCAGAGTGTACTTCATGTTTCAGAGAGAGAAACACCCCTCCCACTGTATATAGCTCTCATGATTCACACTGTCACTAAAGGGAAAAAATAAAAAAAATTAACTGTCTCATCTGTGCCTGATTGTTACATATAATTGAGTGCATGAAGTATCAGCCACAGTAACATATGTGCTGGTTGCCAGGTGCGAATTTTTTCCCAGCTCTCCCACCCCACAGCTCTGGACAGATGTAATGTCGTATCACTGGGGATGCATTTCAGATGCAGAATGATGCACGGGCAGCCCTATCTGAATCAACCACTAATGTGCTATTATTGCATCAATGACCTGTTGCAGAGCACACCTGCAAAAAAGCCAGTCTCAAGCAGTCCTTAAACAAGTGGTACCAGGTTTTTGGATTTTGTCTTTGTCATGCCACATGCACAAACATGCTCAGATTTCACTGCATATAATGCAATTAATTACCTAGTATCCACAATGTGTTTCTGCCAAGGTTCAGCCTACATTTCTGCTACCATGTTATCCAAGTGTCAAGATAAATGATCAAGCATCTTAGCTATCAAGATACATTATAGAATAGAATACAACTGTGCAGCGTAAAATGTCTTTCTTGGTTCCCCAAGTTATCCTTTGGTAAGTATGCTTAGGATGGCAATGTCTGGCCTTGTTTGCAGCTGGCCTCCATCCACACTTCTTCAATTTGCTTTTAACTTGCTCATGTTAATCAACAAACTTCAGGCTATTAGCAGAAACAATACTATTCTCTCTAAAATGATACCAGGTTGGGATTTAACCCTACTCTCTTTGGGGTTAATTGAGCAATTAGATCTGAATTACTGAATGCAATGCAGAAGATGTCTGTTTAAACAAGACAACACAGGGACTGATACAGATACATTAGAAAATTCTATTAAACAGCTTCACAAATCTTTTTTAAAAAAGATTTTAAAGAATATGGATATGCAGAGAAAGATTCTAAATTTCAAATAGAAATAATAAATAATGAATATAAAATCCTATCCAAAATGTATAAGATATTGTTGGAATGGCATACAAAGGATGAAGAAGTTAAATCAGTCATGATAAAATGGGCCAGAGATATTGGTCATAATATACAATTTAACGACTGGATAAAACTATGGAATGAAAGTATTAAACTTACTGCATGTACTGCATTAAAGGAAAATGTTATGAAAATGATATATAGATGGTATATTACACCAGTAAAACTTGCAAAAATGTACAAAACATGTAAGAGGTGTTGGAAATGTAAAGAAAAAGATGGTACATTTTATCATATGTGGTGGGAATGTAAGAAAGTGAAAAGCTTCTGGGAGTTGATATATAATGAGCTGAAAAAAATGTTGAAATATACATTTGTTAAGAAACCAGAGGCTTTTCTTTTAGGAATTGTCGGTAATGAAATAAATAGAAAGGACCATAAACTTTTCCAATATGCAGTAACAGCGGCAAGAATATTACTGGCCCAGAAATGGAAACAAGAACAAATACCAACGTTGGAGGAGTGGAGAATGAAGCTGATAAGACTATGCAGAACTTGATAAACTGACTGGGAAGATCAGATATCTACGAGATCAAAAGTTCATCGAGGACTGGGGAAAATTAGTTGAATACTGGGAATGTATAAGTGATAATGGAATAACGCTAGTGGCATTTAGAGAAGCTCTGTAACAGCCTAAGAAATATTGTAAAAAGGCAAAATAGAAGTGGGGGGGTAGGTATAAAGGCAATAGCAAAATTTGGAAATGTGTAATTGAAGAAGTTAGAATTTGGATGATTGGCAGAAAAGCCGAAGGAAGTCAAAAACGGAAAATTTAATAGAAATTGTAATGTGGTATGAATGTATGGAAAATTAATAAAATATAATTTATAAAGTAAACAGCTTCACAAAAATCATTAAGGCTTCTTAAGATTGTGCTATGAACACGTTGTAGCCACGAGCATCAAAATAGGACCTTAAATATATATCCTAATATTTTCCTGTCATGTGTCTGTTCATTAAATGCTTTCGGCCACAATCCTACACTCATTTACCTGGGAGTAAGCCCCATTGGACGCAATGGGATTTGCTTCAAAACAGGCATGTACAAGTTTGCACTGTAAAAGCATTTGCCAAAAATGACTTACACAAGTATTACTACATTCATTTTCAAGCAGACTAAATCCACAAAGGTGTTTTGAGAATATTAAGATACTATTGTGGCTCAAAACTGGAAGAAAGAAAGAAACAGCTAAGTACTGAGGATGTGTTCACTTTGCTGGGTGCAGGGAGCTGAGCACCATTTTGCATCATGACATAGAATCACACAATTGTAGCGTTGGAAGGAACCCCAAGGGTCATCTAGTCCAACCCCCTGCAATGGATGAATCTCAGTTAAAGCATCCATGACAAGATGACCATCCAACCTCTGCTTAGAAACCTCCAAGGAAGGAGAGTGCACAACCTCCCGAGGGAGACCATTCCACTGTCAAACATGTCAAAAAGTTCTTCCTGATGTTTAGTCGGAATCTCCTTTCTTGTAATTTGAAGCCACTGATTTGAGTCCTACCCTCCAGAGCAGGAGGAAACATGACTTTTTTCAGACACATAAAAATATTTGCTGTTTGTAAGTATTTATTTGAACCACAAAGATAAATAATTTCTGCCATAGATGATCTGGCAGCATCTGGAGGCTAGGGATTAACTTCAGACACATAAATTATTCCAACTCTGTCTTGATCTTACTGATGTACCTAAGGTATAATCAATGACTGAACCACAGCAGCTGTTTAGAAGAACAAAGCCCTATTAAAATATGAGCCTGGTGTTTTTTTTAAAGGACTGAGGAAAACAGTCTGTATTCAAGTTCAGACACAAAAGGACTCTATTAATATTCCAGAATGAATGTTCTGAAAATACTTAACCTTAGTAAAACGTAGCAACTATTTTCATTCAGCATGTAAATAATGATAGCACCTAATAATATGACAGGAGACCATCATTTTTAGTGAATTAAATAACAGCACTTCAGTCCTGCATGCTAACAGGAAATTTGGAAGTAATTAGAGAACCAATGGATAATGATATGGGTTCGAATGAGGCCCACAGCAAGATGTTTTTAGATTGGTGGAACTGAGTGTACAGAGAGTATGGGGTGGGAGGGACCATAAATTAATTCAAAGTATCAAAAATCTAAATATAAGTAGGCTAATGTATTTAAAATGTTAATGATATATGTTTCCTTAATATAGTCAATCATAAGCAATATACAGAACTTAAAATAACTTGTTAATTTCCAGGTTAACATAAAGCTAAACTATAGTTTATTAAACTATCATTAGTTGATTAAACTATGGTTGATTAAATCATGGTTTAGCATTATGTGTGAACCCAGTCCAGCAGTTTAAGTGTGGCTTGTTTACTGCCAAAAAACACAACCTGATGCCATGGTTTGCTGCTGGCTGACAAATCTTGGTTCATTTCAGCTATGATGCTTACATGTGAATCCAGCACTGTTCCTTAACTATGGCTTGTTTGACGCTCACCAAAATACAAAGGCATGAAACTGGGCAGCTGAGCCAAAGGCCAAACAACAGAGATGGGTTTTGCACCACCTCCAGAAGGGAACAAAGAGCAGCACAGATCTGTGAGTCGGGGGGACATTAGTCCATAGCCTCAAGGGGACTGATATAAAACTACTTCTCCTCACCATGGTCTCACTTTACACAGAACTGGAACTTGGATCAGGGCCTGAGAGGAAGACTGAAGAGAGGGAGCAATAGAAAGAGAGGTGCTCTCTGAGGCATGTGAATCCTGGGTCATGAAGGGCAAACTGTTCATGCTGTTAAGCTTCACTTTCTTTAACCGTATATCAAAATAATGACAACCAATAGGAGACATATTAATAGCCACTAAAAAGATACTTGCCAGGAATTGGGGGGGGGGGGGGAGAGCTGGGAGAGAAGAAGCACTCCAGTCCAGTCTATTGATGTTCCCTTTCTAAAAAAAAAAAAAGGATGATGTACAATGATTGTGAGTAAGTGCACTTTTTAGGGCAATTATAGGGGAGAGTAAAATATCTTCAAGATGCTTTCCATGAGGACCAGCATCTGTGTATTATTTACTGGTGTAAAACTAAACTGAAATGCAATATTGATCAGCGTGTCCTCTAATTAAAAAAAAAGGTATTTCATAGTACTTTGTTCTTTTTGAAAATAATTGTATCAGTGGTTAGCCAAGATTCTTAACATCTGAGAGTCTGAATACTAGACCAAGATAACACGAGAGCTTTTATTTCATTCTCTTCCCCAAAGACTGATCCTACAAGCACTTTCTTAGAATTGAGTCTGCTGAAATCAGGAGCGTTTACTTCCAAGTAAATGCATTTAGGAACAGGCTAGACAACTCCTCTATGCCAAAACTAGCTCGCTAATTATCCATGACATTGCTAATGAACCTTTAGCATGACCGGTCTGTCTGGTAGTAATGCAACATTACTGAATATGCTGCAAACAATAATGATGCAATAAAAGTACTTCTGGCAAGCAGCCAAAGGCCACTCCATGAAACGATATTGTCAGGATTTGATTTTAGAATCTAAAAATATGTTTGTCAATTTCACAGACAGCTGGGCATATTCTTTCCCAAAAGTTGCTTGTATTCAAAGGGCCTCAAACTGCACACAGAAAACCAAGAGAAAAACCACAGGAAATCTTCTTGGCAGAGGGAAAACATTTGACACAAGAAGTTCCAAAAGCCAGTAACATAATTCCCTGTGTATGTATTTATTTACAGTATTTATCTGACGTAAAACATATTTTAGTACATGTCTGAATACAACACAGGGTCATATTTTTAACGGTAGGTGCCTAATTCTCATTTTTTAAATTGAGAATACAGTGCAACTGCATCTTGAGCGGGTGTTTCACTTCCATGCATATGCCAAAATATATGTACTCAAACCCAAGCAAGTTTTCACCAAGTTTTCCCAGTGCTTGACTCCCTCCTGCAAAATAGTGACAGACTGGGGACACCTTGGGAAGGAACAGAGGGGGTAGCATAAAAAACAGGGTTGCTACCTCATTCAGGTCCTGTACCCATGGCCTGAGCTCTTAACAGCAAAATAAATTACAAATAAATTACAGAGTTTAACGAAGGGAGCTAAAAAGACGAAAAACCTCCCCTGCTTAATTTCTCAGTACCAGGCTGCTATTAAGAAGTTAGGAACAAGGCCAGAAGGCACCAACTTAGAGGAGGATGTGCTCCTGTTCCTGTGTTCATCATCTTCTATTCCAAGTTGACGTGAAACAGTCACTACAACGTGTGATGGGTTCAAAAAGCAGAAGTGAAGACACTTCCTTTCTTTCCAGAAAAGGCTATGCATTTCTGGTCACACACTGAAGGGAAATAATTGTTTGGCATTTTGAAAAATATGCACAAAACATCAGCTGAAAAACACACGTGGTGAATGCCTCTTATTGGGAAATAAAATAATCACACTTTTTTTGCACTCACTCACGAACACTTTCATCCTCATTTAAGGCATACACAACAAACACATCTCTCATCCTGACAATTACATGCCATGGTCGTTGTGGACTGGTATAGTCAAATATTGCATTATTGCAAAACAACTACAATAATCGTAGTAATCGTAGTGGTATTTCTTCTTCGTTACCCTCTAATGGGCAGATTCCTACGTTCCTATTTACGAGTTCTGAGTTCAGTGAATTCTTTCGCAGGTTGCCTGATTAAGGACCCTTCTTCTGTTAACAGCAAAACTGTAGTTTTCACAGGGCTCTTCTCTATTTGGAATTGAATAATTATACCTATCACATAGATTAAGCCTGCTTTGGCTGGAGTTATACAAAAGAAATAGGCCCAACCAAAGAGACCCTAGTATATTAAAAAAATTAAAATAACTCTTAGTCTCTGAGAAGAACACAGCGACAGGAATATACAATCACTTAGCTATTGCAGGATTGGATCCAAACGCCATTCATCCTCAAGCTAGCGCATGCATTGTAGTGAAACTTATTTCTTTGGTTCAAGTAGGTAGCCGTGTTGGTCTGACACAGTCGAAATAAATAAATAAATTGTCCAGTAGCACCTTAGAACAAACTTAGTTGGTCTCTAAGGTGCTACTGGACAATTTATTTATTTATTTTTACTTCTTTGGATTACTTACAAAGTACTTTACAGGAGGCTGCCCTTGAAGAATGCTAAATTCAGATGAGACCAGTAGGATATATCATATTGTTTACCTCCACCGGCCCCAAAACAGCTTCCAGATTCAATTCATGGTGTTGACTTTAGCTGTTGATGCGCATAATGGCCTAGAACCAACTGGTATGTCAGGAATTATCTCCCAGATATGTAAGCTTTTGAGAACTCCTGCCAGCTTCTAAGGCTCTTCTTGCTGTTCCTCCACCATATGAATTTTGCTTGGTGGGAATAGGAGCAATGGCGTTTTCAACTTTGGAACAAATCATGAAACAACCTTCCTACAGACATGCATGTGTGCCTTTGGTTGCCAGCTTTTAAGTGTGCTCTGAAGGACAGTTTATTTTCAACTAGCACTTTTTAGCTGGCATCTGCTCATTAGTGGGCTTACTATTTCTCTTATTGTTTTGGTATCTATCTGGAATCTTATTGTATCTTAATTAATTTTGTTGTTATATTTCTGCTTTTTAAATCATGCTGTATTTCGTTGCATTATAATCTGCATTCCACAGAATTCTGACTGCAATACAATATATAAGAAATAAAAGAAGCATTCAAAATGCAATTTACAACAATATGAATATTTAATACAAACTTGCTACCGACCACCTGAATGAAGCTCCTGGACCACTGGTAGTCCACGGGCAGCAGCTTGTGAACCCTTGCATTAGGTTATATGTTGCTTTGTAAATCACAGTTTGCATCTGTTACTGGCCTTACTGTTCTCTGACTTGCAGCGCCATGAGAAATATAGCTATGTGAGTGTCACTGACACATATCGGTTGACTGACGTTCATGATCCTGCATCTCTCTTACTAAATTCTTATATAATTTTCAGATTATAAAACAGATTATTTCCTTTTCCCAACGTTTCCACACTGTATTTGCGATTTCACACAACGTAAAAGCCACTTTCAGCAATATAACGGAATATAGTACGAGCTTCGCGTTTATTTCCATGTTAGTATTTGCTTCCACCGGGGGGGGGGGGGGGTTGCAAACAACAGCCCTACCTTTCGTATGGAAAGAATGTGTTCTACTACTGAGCCACAGCCCTTCCCAAAGAACAAGCACTTCCACAATCCCAAACATCAAAATAAATTGCTCTCTTATACAAGAAAGTGGCCCCCCAAGACAATATAAAACCAGTCCTGAAAGTCCTACATTGGCTCCCAGTATGTTTCCGAGCACAATTCAAAGTGTGGTGCTGACCTTTAAAGCCCTAAACGGCCTTGGCCCAGTATACCTGAAGAAGCGTCTCCATCCCCATCGTTCAGCCCGGACAGTGAGGTCCAACACCGAGGGCCTTCTGGCGGTTCCCTCAATGCAAGAAGTGAAATTACAGGGAACCAGGCAGAGGGCCATTTTGGTAGTGGCGCCCTCCCATAAGATGTCAAGAAAATAAACAACTATCTAACTTTTAGAAGACATCTGACGGCAGCCCTGTTTAGAGAAGTTTTTAATGTTTGATGTTTTATTCTGTTTTAATATTCTGTTGGGAGCCGCCCAGAGTGGCTGGGAAAACCCAGTCAGATGGGCAGGGAATAAATAAATTGTTGTTGTTGTTGTTGTTGTTGTTGTTGTTGTTGTTATACAGTACACTTTCTACAAGCAGGAGTTTATATTTGGGGGGAAATTCTTATAAATAACAGGAAGGAAGGAAGGAAGGAAGGAAGGAAGGAAGGAAAGAAAGAAACTATGCCCATTTTTATTGTGTTCATCACCCATCATATCAAAGTAAAATGATACCAATATATCCAGGTACCAGAGTTCCATGGCCTATTTCAGACATACTAAATGAGTGATTCAGTATACTCAGATTTGTTGCATTACACCTATAAAGCAGTTCTCAAAAGGAAGGCCTGCCCATCAGGGCAAATGGAACACCACTCCACTAAACTCAGTCTTTCCTCAGACACCCCTCACCCGTCAGTCTGCCTGCTTTCTTGAAACCATCTTGAGGGTGGCATTGCTTGTCAGCTGCCTCCACCTTACTCTTAAGTGTTGCCCATTTAGACCTCAGCAGGGAGGATGCAAACAAAATTAGAACTCCACCCAATGGGCAACAGCTGCCCTTGATTATGAAAGCTAAGAAACAAAACATTTCTCCCCTCCCTCACCCAAAAGAAAAGAACATATCAGGTGACATTTTTTGCAGCGACTGAAAGTTAAAAACTACATTTATTTCTAGCTAGATACATCCATAGTTATTTCACAGCTCTCTCAGCATTCCCAATTCCTACTCTTTGGGTATGTTCACATTTGTGGCTTAAAATGCAGCAAAACCATTTTCCTCTGCTGAGTTTCAAGCCACATCGGCACAGTGTTGTTCACATCAGAGGAAGGCATGTTCACATAACATGCACGGCGCTTCTGGTTTCCCCTCCCCTGAAAACCCCTCCCCCTTCCCAAACTATTCATGAGGCTCACCAGCACATGCACACCCATCTGCGCACGCACACTCATCTGTGCATGTGACACAGCCATCTTGAAGGTTCATACCATTCTGAAGCATGAAGTGAATGCAGCTTACATTTTGTAGTCAGATTGAAACTGGTTTCATGAAAAAATAACACCTCAAGTAGTAGTTGTTGCCAAGAAACTACAGGATCGATATGGGCTGTGGCCTCAAAATCTAGCTGTGGGAACACACTGGATGCAGAGTAAATGGTAATGTGCACATACCCCGAGTTTACTCATCTGTACATGAAAGACTAATACTTGGAATGTCTTACTTACTGGCGCCAAAACAGAAATAATGGAGCACAAGAAAGAGGCAGAACAGTGTCATTTAAAAGTGTGGCATGATGGTGTTGAATCAGAAACACTAAATTTAAATCCCCACTCAAGTCATGAAGCTCTCCAGGTGGGTGATTTTCAGTCATCTACTTTCTCTCAGCATAGCTGTTCTCTACATAGTTTTTGCGGTTGTGATATTTTTATCTTAGCTTTGAAACAATGGCAAAACATGCTGGCCCTCAGTTTATTGACAAATGGTGTGATACAAATAAGATAAGTAAAGAAGCATAGGCAGCTCATGGCTTCAAAGAAGCACCTGGGAAAGAGGAATTCCATCCCAACCAGAAATAATCATCGAGGTGTGTTTGGAAAAAATGTGAGAGGATAGTCAGAGCTCCTCCCTGAGCTTTAAATTAGAGCCTGTCAAGGGCTATGTTCCACTAATTACTACACCTCACTTGAAGGTTCTCCAAGACTCAGCAGTGGAGCCCATTTCCAGTGCCAAAAATCAGCCAAGGCTACCTTTGTGTGTGTGCAGAGGACCTTTCCTTCACCAATTAATCCTCCCAGGATTAGAGTTTGCAGACTAGAACTGAGGCTTCCAAAAAGACTTGAGTTTTAGAAATTACCTCAGGTCAAATCACAAAGAATACAGGAATGTTTTGAGATGACCCTCCATGCCTGGGACTTAAAATAACCTCAGGAGGATTGGAATCTTCTTTATGTGGAAGAGTCAGGTCTAAAGGACGTAAGACTAGCCTTGCTGGATCCGACCAAAGGCCCATCTAGTCCTGCATTCTGTGGCCAATCAGATGCCTAGGCACAGTTGCATTTTCCTGCCCATGCTCCCCAGCAACTAATACTCAGCAGCATAATGCCTCCGATAAGAACACTTTGCATCAGGTCACCTAAGGAAGATGCCTTATTCCAAGACTGACTACTGCCCAGCACTGTCTACACAGGCTGGCAGCGGCGGTCTGACACTTCAGGCAGGAAGACTTCCTATTCCTACCTGAAGATGCCAAAGATTGAACCAGAGACCTTCTGCTGGCAAAGCACTTGAGCTACGGCTCTTCTACCTATGGTTCTGGAGCATAAGGAGTAATAATAATAACAAGTCCCTGCCTCTGGGCATGTGCAGAGCACTTTCCTTTCCCCGCAAGGGGTTGCTGCAACAGGACCCCACCCAAGGCAATGGATTTCCCAACAGGGTTGAACCCATGGCGCCTCCCCTTTCAAAAAGCCACCTCTTATTTCCACGCACCCACCTCCCGCTCCAGGGCAGGGCCTCCGCCCCCCACCCCACCCCCAACAAAGCCGGGCCACGATGTCGACTCACCTAGAGTTTTGACGGCGATCTGCCTGGTCAGCGGCGGCGGCAGGTTGATGCAGACCAGATCCACATCCTGGTGCAGCAGGACCTCGTCTATCCGGCTGGTGTAGAAAGGCACGCTCATCTCCTTGGCCAGCTCCTCCGCCTCCTCCGGAGTGCGGCCCCAGAGAGCCTTGACCGCGAAGCCCTCGTCCTTTAGCAGAGGGATGATGACCCGGGCGGTCAGGCTGGTGCCGAACACACCCACCCCGGGCAGCATGGCTGCTGCTGCTGCTGCGGGCGGCTGCCCCCTTTCCTCCTCCTCCAATCCTCCTTGCTGCGATCTGCCCTTCCCCTCTCGATGCCTCCCCCCCGCTTTTCCTTTCCTCCTCTTGGCTGGCCCTCCTCCTTTCACGCGGAGCCGCAATAATACGAGCAATGCGGAGTTGCAATGCAAAGGGCGCCCAGTCCCAGCTGCGAACTACTGCTGCTATTGCTACTGCTGCTGCTGCTGCACCGGGCGAGCGGCGCCCGGTCCCGGCAGCAGCGGCGACGGCTGCCGGCTGTGCCCCTGGCCGCGGGCCCCTGGCGCGCCAGCCGCCTCACCGGCCAAGCATCTGCCTCCTTCTTAGCTCCCCGACGCTGCCCCTCCATAGCCGGATCATCACACGCAGAGCCAAGCCCCGGATTCGTAGCGCTTCCTGGTCTTGCCTGCCTGCCTTCCACACACACATACACACAGAATTAATAAATGAATTCAGCACACGCACAAACGCAACCCGGCCGCTCGCTCGCCTGCCCGCAAGGCTAGCGCTGCCTCCCTTCACCAGAGCCCCGCACCATCGCTGCGCCGTCCACCACAGGGGCCTCAGAGCAGCCAACAAGTGGCTCGGTGGTCAGGAGGAGGAGGAAGCAGCAGCAGCTCGACGGGTCTTAATCTTCCTCCTCTGCCATGTTCACCACAATGCGCTCCTGAGCATTGTGAGAATAGGAGGAGTTTGAGCTGTCACCTCCCGTGTGTTCCCTCCGCCTGCAACGCCCTCTCGAGCTCTCCGCGTGCCATTGGCCGCCCATCCGGTTGAGGAGGGCGGCTCGGGCTGCTGGGCTGCTCCTCTCTCCCCCCCCCGTCCCCCCCCCCGCCACCGCCGCACCTCTTCTCCTCCTCCTCCTCCTCCCAGAGCTTGCTTGCAAGCGCAGCGCGGAAGAAAATAATGACGAGCCAGCGGCGAGGCAAAACCTGAGCGGCTGCTCCCTTCCTTGCACGCTCGTGGCCGGCTTACGGCAGCATTTGGCTCCGGGAGGCGCCCGCCGCGCCGCAGGAAGGACAGCGAAAGGTCAGGAGGCCATCGCTGCAGCCACAGGGGAGCTGCCGGCCTTTGCTGCAAACACCGAGGCCGCTGTTGCAAGCCTCTCCCTCGCGGATCAAGGCAAGGCTGGCGTGGACTTAAGTGCGCGGAGCCCTCCCACCCGCAAAAACACACATTGTCATTCCGCGGAGGAACATTTGGCGCCTTTTTTTTTTTTTTTTTGGCCGTGGTTTGGACATAAGGTGAAAAGACTCCTTTAAAAAACACACACACACACCAGGCCTTCTGTAATTAAATGCAACAACTTTACGCTTGTTTTAAAATAAGTTTCAGTGCTATTTCTTGAGAGTCTGAGGTTGTCGTTTTTATCTCTGCTTCTGCATTATTTATTCTTGTTTTTAAGATTTATAGTTGTATTTCTGTTGTTGTTGTAAGATGCCCACAGAAGGGTCGTTGGAAGGCATAAAAATACCATCAATTAAACAATGAAAGGAGGATAATTTCTAGTCTCAGGCAAGACTGGAGAATCCTGTCATTAAATTAACCCAGTTTCACCACATTGGAAGTAACCAGAAACTTGTCACAAATGGGCATCGTTGTAATGATGGGAGTGTTTGTTGCAAATAAGGGACTCGCAAAACCTGCTCCATATTTCATGCAATTCTCAGGCTCTGGAATCAGACCTTTCTGACTTAAAAAGACCAGTGACACACATTTTCTCACCTTCCTATTATTAAATGCAGGTAGGAAAATGTAATATTGGAAGGAGCCTTTAGAAAACGTCAGGAAAAGTTACTTTCTAAATTCACAATATTCTGTTAATCCATATGCAAGATTACCAGTTTGAAGTGACACTACATCAGAAATATTTTTAGATTCTAACATGAAAGGCATGCTGGAATGTGACTGGTAGGTTCCAATAAATGTGGGCAGTTCAACACTTTGCCACTTCAGCAAGCTACCTCACAAAGCTCATTTACCTGTTTGTTGCCTTCCTGACTGCAGCTCACATATCTGCCTATCCCCTCAGAACCTGTGAGAAGCTGTTTCTCAGCCTCCCACTTCATCTAAACCAGGCATAGGCAAACTTGGCCCTCCAGATGTTTTTGGACTACAACTCCCATCATCCCTGACCACTGGTCCTGTTAGCTAGGGATGATGGGAGTTGTAGTCTCAAAACATCTGGAGGGCCGAGTTTGCCTATGCCTGATCTAAACCCTCTTGTCTTCATGGTACTCCTCTTAGGCCTCTATCCCTGCTTCCACAAGGCCTCTGCTTCTCGGCCAACTATGGGGCAATCCCTGCTGAAGCCCCTTTTATCTACAAGGCATCACTAGTGGTATTTTTCACAAATCCAATCACCACTCAGGGTTCATGTTGTATGGAATAAAACACTGTAATCTAATTTGATTATAACATGATTCTGTGCCACACGCATTAGGAAACGCAATAAAATGTAGGAGAAATTTAAGTCACGTGTACTGTCTTTACCATGCAACACACATCACTACAATTATTGCCTGGCAAGGAAGGAGTGCTTGAAAGGTCACCTTGTATCAGGTAAGTGCATGTACACCTGTGAAGAGAGTCTTGCGCTTGATGTGCTTTCCCAGCCTTTTTCATTAAATGTGAATACCCGTGCACCTTCACTTAAGTATCATACATTAAATAAAGATATATTATTAACTGGAAATCTCTGTATTGTGCTTACTAAGAAATGACTTGGTTTGAATTAGAGGGTGCTATAGTGTTAATTTACTTGATTTTTACTTCTGAGAAAGAGACATGCATGTAGCTACCACCAGCCATGTATTTAATGCAGGGTAAAATACGGGCACACACAAGTGGGGTGCGCATAAGTGGGAGGGTTGCCTGTATTTGGGAGGACAAGGGCATTACAGATTACGGGACCTATTAGATATGTTTGGAAGATGGTAAGTTTAGGAAGTGTTTTCAAGACAAGGCACTGTTAGGATTTCAGAGTGCACAGATTATCTCATTTGCCCATAAAATGCACAGAGGCATGTTTTTGGACAGGTCGACACTGTTCAAAAACACATGCATTATGTCATCTTATTTTGAGAGGGCTATCTCCTTTCGTGTATAAGGTCTTGATCAGTGCTGTTTTTCTAGAAAAACAGGTGCTGGAACTCGCCATGAACTCCTCCCTTGTTCTCTTAAAATGACAATGGCACCCACTTGAGAGGTGCCAGAACTGAGTTCCGGTGAGTTCTGGCTGAAGAAAAGCCCTCGTCTTGATATCACAAAATTTAGTGAGCAGCACAGAACCAAGATAGTGTGGGAGCAGAACTAGGAACTGGACTTTTCTATGACAGACAGGCAGTGGGGTGGGGGGACTGAATTCAGCAGCCGCTACACTCAAACTTGGTAAGAGTTAAGGAACCTTCTCTTAAGGTAGTAGCAGCTGACACCAGTACTGCTTCATTATATTAACAAGTGCATATTGCCTAAAGTTTGGTGGGAGTGCGAGGAAGTGGGAATTCATACTTGTGGACTTTCCCGGACATCCATGGATTCTGGATGGCAGCACTTAGCTTCACGGGTAACCAGGCAAATGGTTGTTATGGGTCCAACACCAGCACTGTTGTCACTTTCAGAAATGCAAAAAGGAGAACTAGTGCGTGAAGATCTGATTGTGTTTTGTGTTGGTAGCTGCTCTAGCAGAAATGGCATGATGCTGGAAGACAGCAGGCTTTTCAGTAAAGGTTTGGCTTTCCAAGCACACTTTACACAAGATGCTTACGCAGCACCAGAGAGCTAGCAGAGAACCTAAAGTGAAGGACAGATTTGCAGATACTTGGATGCCTTTCATAATGTATGTTGGCAAAGGTGCCCCCGCATTGATCCCACCTTCTTCTGTACATGGTACACTAAGGAGAGAAGTTTGTTAGTGCTTCGGTGTCTTGCAACAGAAGTGTGCACTCGAGGAGGAAAACTGGAAACGTGACAAGAACGCCAGTGCTCCAGAGTTTGTTAAGTTTTTATAGTTTATTGTTGTAACAGAAAATCCTTATAATAATGGGAGCCATTGTACAGCATTTTAAAATCCTATGCACTTCGTATGCATTTTCTTCTTGTAAGCATACAATAATCCTGTAACATAAATTGTCCTGCCCCATTTTGCAGGTGGGGGAACTGAAGTTTAAAGAGAGCAGCTTGCCTAAGGCTATTTGACGAGTTCATGCCAAGGATGAGCTTTGAGCCAGAGGCTCTCAGTCTCTTAGATTCTTAGACACCATGTTACATCAGCTACCTCCACCCAAAAACCTAATCCCAAGCATCTTTATAGTTGTTTCAGTGAGACTTACTCCCAAGTAAGTATGCAGCATAGGACTGCAGCCCTAGACATCCCCCCTACAATTTATTAAGGAATTTTCTACAATCTCTAGCCTAGATTATTTTTTGACAGGTGTGACTCTCAGAATTGCTATTAAAGATGTGAAAGACTAGGCAGGGAGGAACTGGAAAATTTGGGAAGAATTCCCCCCCCCCCCGGGTCTTCACAATGGACTAAGCTTACTTAAATTTATTGAGTTCAATGGGTCTACTTTGAGTATGACTTGATTGCCTCTCACTCTATTTTAACTGGCTGTTCTAAACTATGCCCAGATATTCCATGGCCAGTTGCCCTTTAAATAATATAAAATAATTTATCATGAGAAGGTAAAAGCAAAACCAAATATATTCAGTCAATTGCGCTCACATTTTAACATCATACCAACACAAGGAAATAAAAAATGAAGTAATGCAATGTCTCTGATTTTTCATTCTGTTCTGTCAGTATAATGTCACCAGGATTTTTTCTCTTTTTCTTATTACAGTATAGCAAATCATTTTACTACATATTAAGTAGAGGTCAACTGACCAAATAATATAATTTCATTTTTAGGTAGACTAGGATAGTATCAAAAATGAAAGGTGAAAACTCTCTTGTCAATTTGCTTCTCTATTTGCCACTGTCCATCCCAGCTCAATAAATTATCCTTGCAACTTTATTTCGTTTCCTTTTGCTTTTATGCATGGCACTGCAAACTTTAGCATACTTTACTGTATTAGTAAATTGGAGGTGTGCCATAGAAAAGCTTGTGACTCCCAAAAAAAGTTCAATATATGGAAATAAATTTCACAGCAATTCAAACAAGCAAATCCTATGAATAGAATGAGCTAGTTTTTCTTGTCCTCATTTTTGGACAAGGTAAAAACAAGCAGTAGACGATTACACATGTCAAAGGAATCTCTTTAACCCATTCCATGTCTTCCAGCCTAAGCTAAACTTAGGAGCATTTTAATAGTCAACTGCACTGACGTGGTTCCACTGAATCCTTAAAACGAAGAACCAAGGTTTAACTTGATGAAACACAATTTTCTCAATTACCACTGGAAGGTCCAGCTCAGAGGGGCAGCCTACACACTGCCAGCAGGCTTTTCTGCTTCATACCAAGGGAAAGCAGGAGGTGGGGGGACAGGTTGGGCATGTGTGACCCCACTGTCTCTCCACGTTAACTCAATTGCATGAAGAGTAATGCCTGAACCGAGCTTTCAAATGACCCAACCCACAGCAACGACATCACACCCATTGGTGTAGACAGAACATAAAGGTAAAGGGACCCCTGATCATTAGGTCCAGTCGTGACCGACTCTGGGGTTGCGGCGCTCATCTCGCTTTATTGGTGAAGGGAGCCGGCATACAGCTTCTGGGTCATGTGGCCAGCAGGACTAAGCCGCTTCTGGTGAACCAGAGCAATGCACGAAAATGCCGTTTACCTTCCCGTCAGAGCGGTACCTATTTATCTACTTGCACTTTGACGTGCTTTCGAACTGCTAGGTGGGCAGGAGCAGGGACCGAGCAACAGGAGCTCACCCCATCACAGGGCTTCGAACTGCCGACCTTCTGATTGGCAAAGTCCTAGGCTCTGTGGTTTAACCCACAGCGCCACCTGCATCCCAATGGACAGAATATAGTGGGATGTAAACTCTTTCCAATAGTGTAGAAAGTCAAGCTGTGTACACACTCCTGTCTAATCTCAGTGGCGGACCTTCGGGTCTCAAATTTCAGTGGCGCCCTCTGCAATGCCAAAATTTGACACCCACAAATCACCTCTATTCTACCTCATAGTTAGGGAGCCCCCTTGGCACCCCCAAGGCTCTGTTCCCAGTGAGACCGAACCAATTGTGCTCCCCTAAACCCGCCTCTGCTACTCTACATCTTGTGCACTCCCACGGCTGGTTCGGAAGCGGTGTACACAATCCCTATCTACCCTAGTGTTTCTTAGGAAAAACTGTGTTTTGATGTGTTTCCCCCACAAACTAGGTTCAATCCAGATTGAGAAAATGAATGACCTCTCTGCGTTTTAAGCCTGTATTGTGTACACAGCCTCTGTTGCAATTCTGATTGTAGTTTGCAGTGGAAAAGTTTACAATGGTAGTGCTAGGAGTTACCTGTCCAGAAGCAACCAAAGTTCACTTTTAAGGTTAAGCCATAAAATACTTTATTTGCATGCATCAATCAGTGCATCAAGAGCTCAAAGGGAAATGTTGAGTATGACATCAATTTGATGATAGTACAGTTTTAAAAAATGCATTCTAGAAAGAGAGAAATATGTTTGGGCATTTTTAACATTCTTATCGCACTACTTTCTGTATCTCTTATTTGTTAAAGCTCACCTAAAATCTTTTTCAACAACAGGCATACAGTATTATATAATTAAAATCTGCATCTGCTACTCTGCAGCTTTTTAAAGATTGCAGTTTGTGTGAAATCCACAGATCTAGTTGGAAGACTCGGGTGAAATTAGAGCTTGCTATACAAATGGAATTATTTGGAATTCAATAATGTGCTAAATTTCCTGTCTAAACATGCTGACATCCCTCAGTTCAAAGTGAATTTTGTTGCAAACCAGTTTGTAATTGCATGGTTTCTCATCATCTTGCCTGAGTTTATGCAATCCCGAGAACTGTGGCTTTTACATGACACTAATTGTGATTCAGAGATAGAGAAACTGGTGATTCAGATCTGTCTGGTTCTCCCACATACAGACTTGACTGAGTCACCGTTAGTTATAATGTTTGCTGCATCTACAAAGGATGTAGAGGCTGAGACCTTGATTCCATGAAGCTTTCAGTTTCAGACTAAAAGGCATCTGTTCCTTTTTGTAATCTCCCTGTTCATTTTAATATCACTTTGACTACATTTCTGTAGGGCCACCCTACAATGCTATTGTTCTGTCTTGTAAATAGAACAGCTATTAATATGCACTGTATTATACTAAAGGTTCCAGCATGCAAGAGTGTCCTATTGCAAAGGATTATACATTCTGCATGTACCTGCAGAGTGCTCAATAACTGTGTTTATTGTGGGAAAATTATTAGGTTTGGCAGATCTAAACACACATACTTATCGAGTGATGAATAATAGGTATTAATTTTGTAGTTAGCGGCTTCAATTTTCTCGTTATAAACTCAAATGAATAGTGGCTAACATTGAGCCTTGTGCCAGGACTCAGTGGCACAGTTCAGACATCACAATGGCAGGATTCAGTCTAGTAGGGTTGCCATACGTCTGAAATTTCCTGAACACTCCTGGAATACGGCAGTCAGTAACAATGTCCGGGTGGAAATCGCTGAGATGTCCGGGAAAATCCGGATGTATGACAGCCCATGTTGGAAGCCTAGATTTTGGTGAATTTACTTAAAAATAGTTCAAGAACATGAGTTCAACGGAGCCAGCGTGGTGTAATGGTTAAGAGCGGTGGACTCGTAATCTGGTGAACCGGGTTCGCGTCTCCGCTCCTCCACATGCAGCTGCTGGGTGACCTTAGGGGTAGTCACACTTCTCTGAAGTCTCTCAGTCTCACTCACTTCACAGAGTGTTTGTTGTGGGGGAGGAAGGGAAAGAAGATTGTTAGCTGCTTTGAGACTCCTTAGGGTAGTGATAAAGCGGGATATCAAATCCAAACTCTTCTTCTTCTTCTTCTTCTTCTTCTTCTTCTTCTTTGGGCAAAACAAAATAAAGCTGAACTGTTGTGTCTGGATTTTCACTTTTTGAAATATGGTAACCCTAGTCTAGCCTCTCCTGTATTTAGCTTGTCAAGACAGGTGCTGGATGGAACTGGTTTGGGAAGAGATTGGCAGCCAGGCCTTTATTTATCTCATTTAAATGCTGTCCACTAACTTCACTGTGTCTACTCTAAGTACCACCCTAAGTAAAATAAGCATAAGATGTGAGTTACTTGTGTAGAATAAAATAGTATAGAATAGTTACCTGTATAGAATAAAAACACATACTGATTTGAAATCAGAGGCCACCAAGTAACCATTATGGAACACTTCCGAGAATGCCCTTGTGACCATGCGATCTGTCTTTGGGATTAGGAAATCTGTGGCCCTGCAGACGTTGTTGGATTTCCAGCTTCCATCAGCTCCGGCCAGCAAAGCCTACCGTCTGGGATTATGGGAATTGAGGTCCAACATCTGGAGGGTCACATGTTCCCAATCACTGATCTATATAAAAGTTTGTGTATCAGCAGGTTTTGGATGGTATCCAATGCACTCATTCAATTAGCGCAATAATTTACTCCTGCACAACAGAACTCTCCCCTCTCCTCCCGCATCCTCCCTGAAGCTGGAACCCCCATAACAGACTAAGTGGGTGCACAGGGAAGGAGAAGTTCTACTGCACAAGTGCAAATCCACACCACACAGTCAAAACACTCTCATACCACTTCAGCAGCCATGGCTTCCCCCAAAAAATCATGGGAATTGTAGTTTGTTGAGGGTGTTGAGAGTTGTTAGGAGAATCCCTCACAGAACTACAATTCCCAGCACTGGCAAAAACCTATCTCAGCCTTTCATAAGTAATTGGCATTCAGCATCAAATTTACAGTGTTTATCAGATAAATTCCTTTTCAAGTTTTCAATAACTTCAAATTGCTTATTGACACACTTCCAAACCCATCAACAGCCTCCCTGGATGAGCGAAAGCTTTCAAAACATACAGTATCAAAAATTGTAGTACCTTGTGAGTGCAACAATAGTGAAGCATTAAAACAAACCGGAGAACAAAAGAAGGTTGATCTTGAGAGCCTGGGTCATTAAATTATGATGTGCTGTATATCGATCCCTTCTCCTTACTGCGTTTGACACCAGTCCTACAGACCTCTGCAACTGGGCAAGGTGCCACTGAGTGTCTCTGTCTGAGTCAGTGGCGCTGCAGACCAGAATCCTATTTTTTTGTTTTTTGTTTTGTTTAACTTGCAGCTCTGAACGTAGATATGTCCACAAGTATTTCACTTCTTCGAGAAATGTATATTTCTCTGTCAATATTCACTGTACCACTGGAAGTATGCGATGGCTGCTAAGGTAAACAGCTTTAATCTTTAAAAAGAAAGAAAAGACAAGATGGCAGTAGCTCTACTCAACTACTCTACTCAACTACTCTACTCTACTGTTGTTTGTGTGAATGGCAAGGTGAGCAGAAAGAAGCTGCAGAAGGACACCTTTCTCCCTACTCCCAAAATGGCCTGCTTCTTATGCAGGTCCAGCCCTACCATCTGAGTGAGACTGTTGCCCCGAGTGGCAGAGGTTGGGGAAGGAAGAAATGGCAGCATAGCCTGCCCTCTTGCCCTCTACAAAGCCTTCAGTGGTGGCAATGACGGACACCGTCCAATCAGCAGTGTTGGAATCGCCCTTGGGGGGGGGAAAGGGCTGTAGTGCAGTGACAGAGAACCTGCTTTGCATGCAGGAAGTCCCTGCTATCAATCCCTAGCATCTCCAGGTAGGACAAAAAAATATTCTCTGTCAGAAGCCCTGAAGAGCTACTGCCAGTCAGTGCAGACAATAGTGAGCTAGGCTCAGTATTGGTTTGACTAACATACCCTCCAAGTGTACAAATTGTCCTGGAATTTCAAAAGCCGTCCCGGCTTCTGATTTGATCCTGGAATCTCCCTATTTCCCCCGTTGGCAGGGTGAGAAATGTCCCTATTTTCATCCAAGGAATGCCAGAAGGTATGGACTAAGTATAAGGCAGCTTCCTGTATTCCTGCCAGCTCCTTCAGCTTCTGTACTGTACGTGGCATGTGGTGTCCTTCGCCTCAGGCAGCAAAATGTCATGGGCCCGCTTCCCAGCACTTTTGCTGTGGGGAACCTTTTTCCTCACGATTTAGAACAGGGGAAGATTGGGGATCTAAATCACATGGGAAGTCTACACGAGTAGAGAAAGTTCCCCAGTGCAGAAGTTAAACTCAAACATGCAAGCAGCTGGTCTGATTATGGAGGCAGCACTAAAGTTATGGCCCCACACTGCTTTGTACTCATGTTGACTCTTCCAAGTGAGTAACACTTACACGTTACACAGATCTGTTGATGGCTGTTAGTGATGAGGGCATCCTTTGTCTGTATGCAAAGACAGGGGGGCTCTGACTACCGGATGCTGGTAATTCACAACTGGGGAGGAAAATAAATATGAAGCCTGCCTTGTGAATCTTCCTTAGGCATTGATAAAGCCTGTTTTGTGAATCTGTTGCATCTTCCAGCAGACAAGGATCTGAGCTCATCGGGCGACTGCTCTAGCACAGAGTGACAGTTCTGATGTTCTTAGATTGGACTAGATCAGGGTTTGCCAACCTATTTGGACAGTGTTATGTATTGGGTTTAACACATTTTATGTTACAAGGTGCGTTCTAACCAATCATAGAAGCGTTGGTAGACAAACATTCTAACAGCAAGTAAGCGCATGCTCTTTCAACTGTCAACTGTCAATGGTCAGTTCATGCTCGGGGTTATTATTGTGTTGTCCAGTCAGTTTGGTTATTGTATTCTTACCGGACCAGCCCTTGCATGTGAAGGACATTGCCGCCGCAACCGCAAAGGATAGGCTGTTGTCCCGAGTCTCAGACTGGATGGGGAAAGGGTGGCCTGGGAAGCCGGGTCCAGAATTTTAATGCTACACAGCCCGCAAAGACAAGCTGTCTACTCACCAAGGATGCGTGTTACGGGGTAGCTGTGTCATAGTCCCCCCCCCCACCCATTAAGGAAAAATCTCTTAGAAGGGCTGCATGTGTCTCACCCGGGGATCGTCCGGATGAAGGCATTGTCCCGTAGCTATGTGTGGTGGCCAGGCATAGATGCGGAGATAGAGGGCTGGGTGAAACGTTGCGAGCCCTGTCAGGTCTCCTGGTCGGATCCACCCAAGGCACCAGCACAGTCCTGGGAGTCCACACAGTCCCCATGGTCTCGGGTGTACGTGGATTTCGCGGGGCCTTTTCAGGGCCAACACTTCCTAATAGTGGTCGATTCTCAGTCCAAGTGGCTCAAGGTGGTGCCGACCTCAACTGTGTCTGCTAGAGTGAATATAAACGTGCTCAGGAAGCTATTTGCAACACACGGCTTGCCAGACACACTGGTGAGTGATAATGGGACCACTTTTACTTTGGCGGAATTCAAGGAATTTGTAACCAAGAATGGAATCCGCCACATTCGTTCCGCTCCTTTTCACCCGGCGACTAACGGCCAAGCTGAACGCATGGTCCGTTCTACCAAAGATGCACTTAGGCGCATAGTTCATGGAGACTAGACTCTCCGGTTAGTGGAGTTCTTATTGGCCCAACACATCACCTCAAGTGCAGTGACTGGCCAGAGCCCGGCAGAGTTGCTTATGGGGAGGAGGCTCACTACCCTCCTTGGTCGTATGCACCCTGAGTGGGCTCTTGAGCAACGGCCATCCACTGTGGTGCGGGGGGCTCCATGAGGGTTCTCCCCGGGGGACACTGTGTACATTTGAAACTATGAGCCTGGACAGGGTTGGGTCCCTGGTATCATTGTCCACTGTACAGCTCCAGTTTCCTACGAGGTAGGGTTGGAGGGGGAACTGGTTTGGAAGAGACACCTTGACCAGATCAGCCAGGGCACCTCCGAACACGGAACTTCAAGCGGAACCAGAGGACAGAGAAATGGGTACTTCGGGAGATTCTGTGCCCAGGCCAGGGTGGGAACCAGACAGATTGCCGGTGACTGAGTTACCCCAGCAGGGCGACTTCAGGCCGGACTCCTCAGTGGCTCTATTGGCAGTGACCCTTCAGACCGCAGGTACCGGAGGAACCTCCTGGATCACCCACTTGGGCACAGGAACCATGACGGTCCCAGCAGGAGCAGAAAAGGCTGGCAAACCTTGATGACTATGTTTGTTCCTTTTGTTAGGAGGTTGGGGGGAGGAGTGTTATGTACTGGGTTTAACACATTTTATGTTACAAGGTGCGTTCTAACCAATCATAGAAGCGTTGGTAGACAAACATTCTAACAGCAAGTAAGCGTATGCTCTTTCAACTGTCAACTGTCAACGGTCAGTTCATGCTCAGGATTATTATTGTGTTGTCCGGTCAGTTTGGTTCTTGTGTTCCTATGAGTGAGCTGTTGTCACTGACAAATGTTGAATAAACTTAGTTGAGGAACTTATACTGCCTTGGGCTTCTGACTTTTCTCGAACATTTAATAGACAGTGGGCACATTTGGGATTTTGAGAAAGTGCCATGGGGCCAGTAATGAAATGGCTGGTATGCAGGTGTGGCAGAACACAAAATGGCTGCCATGGAGTTATGTAGGAGAGGTCAACCTCTCCTACATAACTGAGTGGGAAAAGCAGCTACTCAAAAGCATTGTGGATTTTTGAAGGAAGACTTACTAAAACCTTTTGTAGGTACTGTTGGGCACATTGGTGCCCAAGCATACTGTACTGACAAAGCTGGGCTAGAATGACGGAATGACCTTTAGCTTTCTAGAGGGGGGAATTTTGGCAGGTAATGATGGTCCGTCAGGAGACACACAAGTTACACCAGCTGAAATTCCTTCTTCTACACCACCACTGAATTGTGCCTTGGCATCAGGACATCTTCTGTGTAAAAATACAGCATGTTGGCTGTGAAATTTATTCAATTTATTTTGCTACTAATTTTTAAATATTTTTATCCCGCCTTTCTGTTTAAATAAATGCTCAAAGCAGTTTACTATCTAGTCAGCATATTAAAACAACACTAAAATCCAAAAAACCAATAGTGACAGAAAGAAGCAGCGGTGGATCAAACACTCCAACTAATATAAATATCTTAAACAAGATTGATGCTATACTAACATTTTAGCTCTGCTTATATCACTTTGAAAAAAATTAATCCCATGAAATGGAGCACTGAAGCCAAGAATAATTCGTAATGCAGCTAGTTTTTCAGTGTCACAATGCTACATTTTCATTCAAGACAGCAACTTACGGTATACTTTGAGAGTATAAGTTTAAACAAGACAATTAAGGCTAGGTTGACCTTTGTGAGCTGCCTTTGTCCAAACCTCCCTTCACTGCGGCTGCATTAAGCCTGGGGTAGGAAAGAAATGGAGAGATTAACATAATTAGCTCTCATTTAATAAGGTTGTTTAATTGGCCAATCCTTTTTCTTTCCTAGCTTCAGCCTCATTCTCCATTGATATACAGACGAATTCTTTCTTTCTCTTTTAATTGCCCTTTAGAAACAGGAAGGAGCTGGTACTGTTGTAATTATTTTGATCGCCTTGTAAAGTCAGCCTTGCAATAAATTGAAGACTATCTGGGATTCTGAGCCAACACCCTTCCACCTTGCAGTAACAAATTCAGATTCTTCTCTAGGCAAAAATAATGGCAACAAATCATACTTGTGACAACAAGCTACTTATACACTGGCAATAACTTCGCATGGCTAAATGTTACCTAGGGGTTAGGGCTTGAAAAATATTTAGAATATAAAGCTGCAGGCCTCACATTTTTTTAGGTACTTAGATGACATTAATGCCAACAAAATTCCAAACAATATTGTACACCATCTCTGTGTAGTACAGTGTGCATTATATCCATTCTTTCAGTGATGCTTGCAACTAGTAGCTTTGTATTACGTATATTTTGGCGCCTGAAACAACAAAGCCTCTCCCTGGAGTACAAATACAATGAGTTGTATCCAATGCTCTCTGTGCATAGTTGTGCTGGCGCAATGGGACTTCCATTTCCTCTCTTCCTCCATGCCTCTCAACCCTCCAGAGCTGATTTTGGGGGCATGCAGGGAGCTGAAAGGAGCAGAAGCTGTTAATAGTTTGCTTTTCCCTTTCATGACCTGAGGCAGTCATTTCACTCTGTACTTGGTAAGGTGGCCAGGAGGATCTAGATTGGCAAACTGCAGTGGTTTGGGAGCAGAGCAAATAGCAAAACATAAATCTCCTTGCTTCTGGAAAGTGTGATAGACTGTGTGCTCCTAGTTTCTATGACAGCAAAGCAAGTATGAGAGCAATCTCCGCTACTGCATGTCACACTATTACCTAGGGTGGCTTAGTGAGTAATGGAGATACATCAGTTGAAACTCTGCTACACAACTGTTGAGGGTGCAGGGGCCCTGTGCTCCAACCACTACCGCATTGTTCTGCCGCCACAATGTTCATCCTGATTCTTCTGGACTTCTGCACCTCTTTCAGAGTCTATAAGAAGTGGCTCAGGAAGAACCGCATGCATGGAGCAACCTTACATGGAGCAGTGAGTTAAATGGATGCTCAGCTCTAATGACAGGGTACCTCAGTGCATGTGAACATGATGCTGCTTTTACTCAAAAATTCCAGCAATGGTCCAGATTCTGAGACTCTGCACAGAAACATCTAGCAACCATCTTAGAGGTATTTAAAAAACAACCACCACCCAGTGGGGACTCTCTTTTTGTGATCAGTTGACAAGCCTAGCTATAGATTTTTAATGTTTTTCAGTTTTTAATGTTTGATGTTTTATTACATTTTTATATATGCTGGATGCTGCCCAGACTGGCTGGGGAAACCCAGCCAGATAGGTGGGGTATAAATAAATAATAATTATAATAATAATTATAATAATAATTAGAAGGGAGCTGAACAATAGCTCACTAGGTGAATTAAGTTGAGATTGAACCTGGAACTCCCTGGATCACACTCTTAACCATGATAAGCAGCTTCTAGTAATTTGAGACAACACAGTTCTCACAGCCCTGAGAACATAATCCTGCATTTCCAAGCATTGTCTAACAATCCAAGGTTCAACTGCACCTATTTTTGTCTTAGAAACATTTAATGCATTTTCTCCCCACTGTTCTTCAGCAGCCTGTTTATGCTCTTCTTGATGTGGAGCTGAACGCTAATAAAACAGAATTTGGAATCAACTCCTGAGAATGACATGTTTATGAGAGGAAGGGACTAATAAATCTGCCAGACCCTGCAGCCCTGCTAAAGGATAACATTAATTCCATCTCTTTTTCTACAATGCACCTGATAAGCAAGTCCCCTGTGCCTTTGAAGGAACATTACAACCTTTGTTCCAGTGAGGCTCTGCTACTTACACAGCTAATTGCCTTTTCTGCATGAGTGTTAGGATTCCTTACTTGAGGTTACAAAGCGGATTTGGATTCTGTACCCTCTTCTGGTGCTGGCCATGAAACTGTTCTGAATAGTGCTTGTCTGTTAGCATATTTCACATGTAAATACTTGTTGGAGGGTGATTTTTTGTACACACACACACTCTCTCACTCTCTCTCTCTCTATATATATCTCATGTTGAAATGAGAAAGTTCAGGAACCAGCCTGCAGTTGGTCATCACTGGATTTACCTTTCCCTGACTCATTCAGGTAATCTAGTTTAAGAGAGCTTCTTAATTCTCTCAGTACAGTGGTACCTCAGGTTACAGACACTTCAGATTACAGACTCCGCTAACCCAGAAATAGTACCTCGGGTTAAGAACTTTGCTTCAGGATGAGAACAGAAATTGTGTGGCAGCAGTGGCACAGCAGCAGAAGGCCCCATTAGCGAAAGTGGTGTCTCAGGTTAAGAACAGTTTCAGTTAAGAACGGACCTCCAGAACGAATTAAGTTCTTAACCCGAGGGACCACTGTACAGGGACGTGGCTCCTGAAGATCAGATGGGAGTATGTCCGGGTTAGGGAACCTGTAGCCCTCCAAATGCTGGAGGACAACAGCTCCCATAATGTTGAACTCAAGAGTATGTTGCAAACCATCATTCCTGAAATTCGATTCCGTTCTCATGTACAAGTTTCTTTAGCCAACAAGCATGTCTTATCGTAACAGCACAATTTATATCCAAGAATTTGAAGCTTAGATTTACATTAATTTTTTATGTTTCATCTGTGTGTTTTTTTAATTCCATATTAATCCTATCTGAGATAGCAAAGCTTTTTAGCACCCTCTGTCGTCTCAACCTGCAAATGCTAATGCAGATACGATCCACACACAACATATTATTTTAATGTGTCTGTTCAAACCAGAGCCATACATTTGTCTCTGGAGAGGTCTGCTTGGGGGCTCCTCCCCTAGGCTTGTTGTACCCCATCACTTTTGACCTTTCCCTTTGTTATCCATTCACATTGGCTGCCTCAAATGCAGAAGCGACTTTAGCCTATCATTTCATGTCATCAGTACTATCATACAGAGACGCTGTGTGCTATATGTGCATGTTCAATCTATAGTAGGCTATCAAAATCGTCCACCTGCTTCCCCCAGACTAAAGGTAGCACACTAGCCAGATATTGTGGCCTGCCAACCACATGATAGATCTTTTGGTTTTAGCACCCATGTAATAGTGCAAACCAAAGAATTTTGACCATTCTTATTTTCTGCAATACATAGTTGGGTCATGAGTGAAACAAACCTCTAACAAGACTAACTGAATGTTAGTTAGCAACAAACACCCCCCATTCATTCTTCTTCAGGGCAGGGGTCCCAACAACGTTGTTAGTTTTTGCTGGTAGGGGTGCATAGAGCATTTTTCATCATAGGACCACAGAGATAGGAAAGGATCGCTGCTGAATTTCTGCCCATCACACAGCACAGGCCCACATTCTACACACTGGCAATCAGACTAAGGTTTTTGCCTGAGCCTCCACTCTTAATGGATGCATCACACAATGATTTATCCTGTTTATCCTAACTAAAATGTCGGTGTCCCTGTCACACCCAGTATACAAATCACAATTTGAATAGCTTCCCATGTTTTGGGCATTGCACCATTATTCTCAAAGATGTGAAAATGTCTGGTTGAATAACTATGGAAACTTTTTTCCATTTGGTTACAAACACTACGAAAGCAATTGCTACCTTTAAATCAATCACAACAGAAACATCAAGTCATCTGCATAGGGTTTAATGCTGTAAGAAAATAGCATATATGGATTGAATTCAATATTTCCCACCAATTCATTATATTAAAAAAGATAAGACATGGATATATGATCAAAGACTGCATCTTTCAAAAATAATAATAAAAATAAGTTTGAAAAAAGAAGAGCACAAAAGTATACCAATCTAGTAAAGAATAGTTTTGACTGCCATAATTCTATCTGTTTAATTAAAAACAAAAACAAAAACCAGTAGCATTTTACTTAACATGGTAAGAAAAATATTACCCTTATGTTTCTGTAGAAGCAAGCTCCTAGCTGAAAACTTCATCAGGGTTAAGCCTGATCCTCTCCTCCGCTGAAACTATGATGGCATCTGCAGCGACTTACAATGGCTGCAAAAACATCCTTATATGTAAGAGGGGTGAGTATGCTGTGGCCTTCCAGTGGTTGCTGGATCACAACTCCCATCATCCCTGACCATTGACCCTACTGGCTGAGGCTGATGGGAGTTGGAATCCAACAACATCTGAAGCGACAAAGGCTCCCTGGACATGCTATAAGAAGCAGGTAAGGTGAGGGCTCTCAGACTCTATCAAATTCGCCTTGATATACATTCTTGTAAATGTTATTACTACGTGAATTTGGAAGAGTACTGTATACGTCAGAACACCAGCATAAGGGACTATTCCCACAGCTTTAAGAATAAAGCAATATGGGCCATGGTGGAAGCCAGGCTGACCCTGTTCTCTGCTGCTTCCATGCAGCAGAACAGATAACAACTGCATTCAGCCACGCCTTCCATGCTGCCTTATAATTTATAATCTCTTTATCGGTTAAGCCAAAAGCCTGCCTTTGCCTTTCCAGCCAACACACATTGTCTTCATCTACAACAAATATACCACACTGAATTTCATATCATAAACAGTAGTTACTTCTAGAATGTGTAAAGGAAACATTTCTGTACACAATAAGACACTGTCAATGACCTGTATCATATGTTTTTAAAAATTAGGGCCCTCAATATTTAGGGCGTGCTCTTTCTTTGTCCTTCTCTTTCCCATAGCAAATTCATCCTGGTGCCTGGTATTCAGTCTTCTTATCCATGTGTCTCAAGCCTCGTGTGAGGTCCTGTTATCCTTCATGTGGCTTCTCATATATCTTCAGTCCAAGTCTCCCAACCATCAGCAGGCTTTAAAGGAAAACGTAGTCAAGTTTATCTATATGACAGAACTGTGAGAAGCCGCCTCCTACACAATTGCTCTTCTGACTGTGCAACACACCTCCAATATTTTATTTCGGAGGCTGGGACAGAAATGGGAGAAAGCAAACATGTTGTCCAGTAGTTCTCTATTATGTCAGTAGCCCCAACTCTCAGCCTTCCCAAACTGGAACCATGCAGTTCCTCAGGACCAGGTAATGCTTGTCTCATTTTTTGGCAGTGCTAAGACAGTCTGTACCCCCATTTCTCCCAAGGGGTCTACAGTGCAAATGAGAAAATCTCCCTTCCTGGAGAAATGCAGACGTAGCCACCAGGTTGATTTGGCTTCAGAGTACACCAGTTCTGTTTTGTTAATTTATATGGAATGCATGCTTTTAGTATTATATGGTTTCACTGTTGTTTCATTTTACAATGTTGTGTATTTTGTATATCTGTTAACTCACCTTGGGACATGTTTAAGAAAGGCGACTTAAGAATTCTAATTAAGCTATCAACAAGTCAACTGCTGATTGGCTGAAGGGATGGCTCATAGGAGGCTTTGGTTGCCAATGAGTGGAATATAGATAATGGGAGATGGAGCAGGGGGAGAAGAGAAGGTTTCGAAAGGTGGCCGGCATGTATAATCTTGAAAGCCACAGAATGGGTCAACCTAAACCAGATCTTGCTTAATAAAATGCTCTTATCTAATAAAAAGTACCGAAATGCACAACAAAATTGCTTATCCCAAAAAAGTGTTATGCAATACAGTTCCTAGAATGCAATTCTATAAAACTAAAATTACAGCCTGATCCTAACTGTGCCGGTATGTCCCATTGATTTTAACTGGCATGTATGCAACAGGAATGCAGCCTTAATGTCAAAAGCAAAATAAATAAAATAAACACGGAGCATAATACCTTGCACCAGCAATCAGTCCTGCAGGCATGAATTTCCCCGAGTTGTAGAATCTCATGCCCATAATACCAGCTAAGGTTCCAGAAGCAACTAATTGAAAGATAGAAACAGAAGCAGCATTATATCAGGGGTGTTTCTGCCCACTTGAGGGCAATGATTAAAAAAGCCAAGTTATCAACTTTATTATGTCACATGTGCAAACAAACAAGGACACACACACAGCTCAAAGATGTGTACTAATGTAACCGTTTTACACTCCTTAGTAACAACTTCAACCAAACAATTATTTAATATTTATTTTGAAAATTTGTTGACCACCTAATCAACAAAATGCTCTAGAAATTTCACACCAAGTTCAAATTACACATTATTATTATTATTATTATTATTATTATTATTATTGCCAGACAGAAATGATGAACTGTAAGATGAATAATCTACTTCTACCTAAAATCTAACCTCGGAGAAAACTAGTGAAAAAGCTACTGTGCAATTGGGCTAAGCAGCTGAGAAAATGTACTCTTAAGGAATGTTCAGAGGCACTTTCCTAATTGCAAGTTGCATCACAGCACACAATTGGGAGCATGGGATATATCTCAGAGCAGGGATGGAGAACCAGCTGTCCTCCAGATGATGGACTACAACTCCCACCATCCATGATGATGTCCTACTGTGTTGGGACGGGGTTGCTCCCTAGTTAGTGTGTTTAGGATTGCTTTAATTCATCAAATGGTGAATTCATTTAATTCATCAAATGATGAATTCGTTTAATTCATCAAATGATGAATTATGTGTGCTTCAGAATCAGCTTCCTGGTACAACACACAACACACCACAAGAAAGGACCCCATATTTATTCCAAATCAGCCGCCTGATAAAATTGGTACAGTGGTACCTCGGGTTACAGACTCTTCAGGTTACAGATGCTTCAGTTTACAGACTCTGCTAACCCAGAAATAGTACCTCGGGTTAAGAACTTTGCTTCAGGATGAGAACAGAAATCGTGCAGCGGCAGTGGAAGGCCCCATTAGCTAAAGTGGTACCTCAGGTTAAGAACAGTTTCAGGTTAAGAACGGACCTCCAGAACGAATTAAGTTCTTAATCAGAGGTACCACTGTATTTAACTTTGCTGCTTGTATCAAGTGGTTTTGTTGCTGTTGTTAGAGTACACCAATGAAATAAAATGCATTAGATGCATTCAAAGGGTTGTGGTTAAGAGTTACTTTTTACGTAATTCACATATACACATTTTCCCAGTTATGCTTACTCAGTGAAAGCCAAATGTTTTTTGGGTCTTGAGAAAGCTGGTAAGCTCCAAGTCCTGCTAAACTCCCAAAAAGAAGGCCAGCAGCTAAAGATGGGACACTACCTGGAATAAATAAAACAAGTAATGTTTGTTAAGCTGTAGATACAAACGGGGTATATAAACCAAACCAACAAAATTTATTCTGTTCTAATCAATTTTCAGCTAAAAAAAAGCATTGCTCAAATGTTTAATATTTGAATTGATCTGATGCTTTATAGCGCAAGCCCTGAACTGGTGGGGTCAGATCTGCATGTAAGCCACACCAAAGTTGGTCGCACCAGTGGGACCACCATTTTCTTTGAAGGTTTTGGTAAGTGAAGGCAAAGGAAGGTAGTGCATGCTAAAAACAGAGGAGAAAGATGACTGTATATTGTAAAAAAATAAAATAAATATTGAGTAGGTGCAATGTTGCCTGTTGGTATTGAAAGTGAATCCTAGGTCTGAAAAACATGAAAAATCCTGCCTTACAAAATGTGTGATATCTGCTGTCCCAGATATCTTTAACCTATTCAGACTAAGAACCCACTTGTCATCAAAACATGCATTTGAGGACCCATTTTTAAACTCCTATTGCAACTCACCTTGAATCAGGCTGCAGCCCACCAGATGGAAAACCAGTGCACTATGCTAACCTCATAATCATATGTGCCATCTGGGAAACAGGTAAGGTTTACCCCAACTATTTAAATTTCCCCTTTTAAATACTTGAAGGATGAACATATTTTTCACATAATAAAAAAGGCTAGTAGTATTGCTCATCTACTCAAAGATGAAGACATTGTTCACATATAACAGCAAACCATGGCCTGTTTTTTTGTCCAGGTGCTGAACATAGATACTCGCTCCTTCTCTCAGGCACTCTGATTCCCTCTCTCACTTTATGGTTTGATCACATCGAAGTTTGACATTACATCGGGCTAGCCTACAAACCAGAAATAGAAATCTACCTTAAAAAGCAAACAAGCACATACCCCCTGTTCTTTCTGTTGTCTCCTCACAACTTCCCCATAGTAAAACTCAATATTTACTTTGGTGTGACTCAACGTTCACTTTAGTGTCCTTTTAAATGAGCCCTTAGTACAGTTACTCTGGGCAAAGGATAATCCTGCACTATTCTAGGAAAGCGGCCTCAGGAGGCTGCTTCTACTTCCATTATCAGTTTATATATAAAGAGGTGACCTGCAAACGAAATTGATGAAATGTCACCACCTTTGGCTACTGGTGAATGGTCCCTTTAATAAGGCTTAAGGGAGCACTCAGCACCGATTTCTAACACCACTTGTTCCATTTGCGGGTCAAACCTAATTGGACTTGAAGCATCAAGGGCACTGTTAAAACAGCCTTGAGTATTTTCTGTCTAGGCATTCTGCCTTCCTTCCATCATGCCACTGAAATGACTTGGAATGATTTGTTATTCTCATAATCAGTGTGTGATCTGTCATTTTCATAATGCCCTTGTGAATAAAAAGCCAGTCCTGGAATTCAAATACTTAGATCTCTTCTCCTAGATATCTTAAAAAACATGGCATTAGGTTGTTGCTTCCCTCTTTTAAATTTCGATTTGCTTGCCTTCCAGCCACAGAAAAGTTAAAATGAAGGACAAAAGAAAGAAACAAAAAAAAAATCCATCTGGGTTCACCCCCCCACCTTGACACTTATTCTCAGCAACCATTATGTCTCTAACCATCATTCCAACTACTCAAAATGCTGCAAGAAGAATCCTGTAAGAAGCCCCTCGTGAAGATTATCATCACAAATCAATAAATCGATTTTCCATCAAGGTTAATGGAAGTTATACATGCAAGCCCAGAGAAAAGTATGCCCCGAACGGCTATTGTTACAGAACTGCTACCGTCAGTTCTTGAGAGACCTTTCTTGTTAAATTATTCATCTGTAGGGAAAAAAAAACATGGGGAGAAAAAAAAACCCCACAATTATTTCCCTCTATGAACACAAAATACATTACTTGCTGCCTAGGTAGTTGCATGCGTGTGTTAGGTTTGGTAAGAAAACACATATTGTTTTTTTCTGAGGGGTTTTTCTGCTTCCCTCAAAACGTTAAGGAAGTTCTTGTTTCTAGGCAGAGTAGGTAAGTTCTGTCAATGCTAACAATATGCCATTGCAACACAAGATACACTGTTTAGCTGTGCTGCAGAGGTGAAAATCTACATGTCAGAATCACAGAGCAACATGTTTGTTCAAATAACCATGGGTGGTATTTAACTTAGTTTTATGTAGCCCCATTGAAATTGTTGGACCTAATCTTCATTAATTTCAGTACTACTCTGAGTAAAATTTTAGTGAATATGTAACACCTCGATGGGCACTGTGCGCAAGTCAGGGGAAAACAATGTGGCTTGCAACACGCAAACGTTTTGGGTCTTGAGACTGTAGATTATCAGCATAGCTCTGCCTGCGCACTTTCTCGTAGGAAGGGTGTCAGTTCCCTACAACTGCTAATCAGCACCCTACAGCAAAAACTAGTAACAGCAGCTTGATATCTGTATATAGACTGATAGTAGGCATGCATAGTTGGAAGTTTTCCGTTTTTACAAGAGGGACCTCCATTTCAGAGAATATAATTCTGCTTTTCCTAACTTGGTGCCCTGCAGATGTGTGGGGCTACAACTCCCATTATCCCTGACCATTGGTTCTGTTAGCTAGAGCTGATGGGAACTGGAGTCCAATAACTGCTGGAGGGCACCAGGTTTGGAATGGCTATTTAACACCAGAAAACAAGACTGTGAGGAGACATCAATACCATACCTGCTTTTGCATAGCCAATCATCCCGCCAGAAGCCACTAAAGCTGCATAGCCAAAACCAATCCAGTCCAACCCCATTCTGGAATGCAATAGAGAAATGTATGTGGTAAATGTTTGTAACGAATGGAAATCAGATACAAATTGACTTTTTGCACCTTGTGCTAAAATTGTCTTAAGTGTAGACTGTTCTTCCTAGGACACAGCATTTGTCATATTCTCAGCCTTGCAAATAAGGTCTCAGAAGTTACTGGCCTGCCCACCAAATACCAGTTTAAATTGTTTCAGGCATATGGGCAACCATAAAATATAGAAGACAAGACTAGAACTCTATAAATTCTCCCAAGCTTGATTACTGCAGGTAAATGACAATTTAACATATTCCTGCTCACAGCCTCCATTGTTTCGGATTATTTTGACAGAGCTCATGAAAAAACCCACTTGCTTAGAAGAAAACCCCCAATTTATGGGCATTTAAATGTGGGGGGATTTTGGTTATGTATTTTTGTGTTTTTATACCTTAAGGTACCTTGTGATCATTGGATGGAGAGCAGTATATTAATTTAAGAAATAATAAGGGGGAAAACACTTTTTCAAAAGGAAAAAAATATATTAGCTTGGTCTTGGATTTATTGAGTGGTTTTAGAGAAACCAATCGAAAATGGTGTTCCATGCAAATAGCAATTCTTTACCTCCCAAAAGAAACTGTAGAGGAGAGAAATGAAGTAAGGATTGTAAAACACTTGCTGAAAAGAGCAATGTAAGATGTGTTTGTAAGTACATTTACCAGGAATGGACACAGAAATATGAAATGAATTCAACAGACTCATCTTTAATGTTGGGTTTATACATTGGTTTGCTAAACACCTGCAGACTTAAATAATAATAGACTTATAAAGTTACATTTCCTTAGCATGCTCTTCTAAATTTTGAAATTATGGGGGAGAGGGAAACCGATTAAAGGAAAACATACATAATCCTCAGTCTGAACTTAACTCACTGTGTGGTTGTGAGGCTAAAACTATACCATATACTCCTTGCAATGGTGGAATTCACAATGTAGTAATTTATTTAATTTCAGGTCAGTCTATAAAAAGTTCTTCTAACTTCATGTAATTAGCAGCAAAGAGTTCTCTGAAAATTATTTTCAAAATAAACGCACATGTTACTCATATTTAGATATCTGTTTTGTTGGAGGGGAATTTTTCTTGGAAGTAGAGAATTCTCTGTGGTTTTGTTTTGAAATCTTGGAACACTCAGGCTTAGAAATAGCTCTGTGAATCTGCACTCTTAATCAAAAGCTCCAATTTAGATCGATAAGGCATTATTTTATTAAAACTCTGAATTTCTGTAATGGGGGGGAAACACTACCCTCTGATATTAATCCGATTTCCATCTATGTCCGCACAGGATCCCTTTACTGTTCACCAACTATTATATATACAGTATTCACAAAAGGTTCAGTACAAAGCCAGTTCGCTGGCTGCTGCCTTATTCTAAGAAAAGAAGAGAAAAACCGGGGCAGGGATCTCCATGAATAAAGTCACTTACTCTGCAGGAGCAGCAGAAGAGTCACAACGTAGGAACAGAACAAAACCGAGCCGTGCAAATATCGAACCCGCCGGGCAATGGGAGAACTACAAAACAGCAACGCACGTGACCGCGGGCCAAGCAGAGCAACAACCCGAGTTGTATTTGCAAAATCGTGGCCAAGCAGCGACTTGCCCTTCGGTTTTCTTACAGAAAGCTACTACGTCAACCCAAACGTACCATAGCCGGGGGGGGGGCCTTATTTCATTAAAGGCGAAGCCAAGCATCAGAACATTCCTCTGAGCCATTGCAAAAGCGTTTTTCCACCCTGCTGGTGCAATCCCCAATGGTTGCATCCAAAACTGATCTTTGAACGCATAAAAGAGACGAGCTCTAAACAGTGACTTTTCTTTTTAGTTTCTCCGGAATATTAGAGAGAGAGAGCCTGTTTTACAGGGGCAAGGGGGGGGTTTCTTGCAACCTTGAAATCCACACCGAACATTGCAACAAATTAAAAACCTTCATTGGAATCTGCAGGGCTGGTTAAGGCACGTTGAAGCCCCAAGTACATTTGCTGGGTAGGAATTAAGCGCAGGTCCACACCATACTTTGATTTATTTATTTAATTTTATCCTCACAACACCCTGTAGTTTTATTTATTTTTAGTGGTAAAAGTGGTACATTATAGCACATGACCCCAAAGAATCGTGGGAACTGTAGTTTCCTCTTCAGAGAACTACAACTCCCAGCATTCTTTGGGAAAGCCAGGTGTTTTAAACATATGGATCTGGCCTTTGACTGCAATCCTATAAATGCTTATCTGGGAATAAATCACATTAAACTCCACATGATTTACTTGTGTAAGTAGGCAAATTTAGGATTGCATGGACTCACTGCTGGAGTTTTGTATGCAAAATGTCCCAGGTTTGATCCCCAGCATCTCCAAGTAGGTCCAGGAACACTTCCTCCCTGAAGCCCTACTGTCCAGTCAGTGCTGGCAATAGTGAGCTAAATGGACCCTGAAAATTATTATGGCTTCAGTTAGATAACAAGTTGCTTGTATGAACTGGGCAGTCAGATAAGAATAGGAAGTTGGTTGCTGCACTACTGTTGCAATCAAAGTAAAACAGAAAAGAATCCCAATAGGCCATTACATTTATGCAAGAAGATTCTAGTTCTGTCCATAGTGCAACCCTATGCCTTTGTACTCAAAAGAAAACCTCACTGTCATCAAAAGGTCTAGTAGGAAGCAAAATATGCCAGTGGGGAGTCAGTGGGATTGCTCCCAAGTTGAATTGGAAGAGTCAGGGTGTGGTACGGCTGCCATATGGGGAATTTCCGAAAGGCAGCGCTTTGTCCTGAATCTATGAAATATTGCAACCCTAGGGTGTGTTAACCTGACTTCTAATTGCCAAGGAGAGGGCGGAGGAGCTGCCTCTATGGCGAGAGCATGAATGACACTCACAAATGTATCTCCAGTATGATTGGTGGGCATTCAGTGGTTTTGCTTTTTTATATTGCACTGTGGTCTAAACCACTGAGCCTCTAGGGCTTGCCGATCAGAAGGTTGGCGGTTTGAATCCCTGCAATGGGGTGAGCTCCTGTTGCTCAGTCCCAGCTCCTGCCAACCTAGCAGTTCAAAAGCACACCAAAAAGTGCAAGTAGATAAATAGGTACCACTCCAGTGGGAAGGTAAACGGCGTTTCTGTGCGCTGCTCTGGTTTTGGTGTTCCGTTGCGCCAGAAGCAGCTTAGTCATGCTGGCCACATGACCTGGAAAAACTGTCTGCGGACAAATGCCGGCTCCCTCGGCCTGTAAAGCGATATGAGCGCCGCAACTCCAGAGTCATCTGCGACTGGACTTAACTCTCAGGGGTCCTTTACCTTTTTACTTATTGTGCTTCTCTCCTGTTTGTAATTTGTATTAATATTCTGCTTATACTTTGGGGGCCTTTGGGCAAAAAAGCATTATATAAATGAACCACAAAATAACTTCATCATAACTAACGTGGCATGTTGAATCCAAGCATATCACCCTATAGTAATAATTTAAAACTATTTTCATACTAGGAAGATTTCTGTACTTGTTCTTCCAAAACTTACAAATTCAACCACTACAATAGAACGTTTCAGGTGTTTTATATAAAATATTTATTTAACAACATAAAATGTTTCCTCCTCTGTAAAAACATTTGGCCATAGGATCTGGAAATGCTCCCAGCTTAAATAAAAATGGTTCCTTTCTATAAATATTAACAGATCAAATTGCCATGAATGCATAGCCATAATATTGCAATTAAATAAAAAATTGTGCCGGAAATGAAGTGTACAGTGGTTGGTGGCAATTTATTATAGGATTAGAATTGCAAATGGTAGTGACATATTCACTTTAATTTCTGCATTATCTTTTTCTTCTTCTGCTGTACACCAGCCGATTTTCCTTTCTTGAGGGTTTCTTGGCCACCACCCTCTGATGACTTATCACACTCAGCCCAACCAATTTTCTTTTTCTTTATCAATGGTTGCTCCTCTTCATGCGCTGAAACAAAATGAAGTTATTCATTGTTAAATTTAAAGATGTAATGCTTTAAATACACTGGAAAGTATTCAAGTGTGTCTCTCTACACATGGAAGGCTCCTTCTTCCAGGGGAGGCTCCCACGAACGGAAGGCAGAGAGAGACTATTTTCACAAATTTCTCCTGCAGCTACCCACATCCATTCCAAAGGTTCCCCTACTTCTCTAGAACTGCAGAGGAAAAGAGAAAACAGCCCCAAACACTAACTACTTACAGAAGCATCTCTGGGGCAAAGATGAATGGAGGGACAAACTGGAGTCAACTCTACATTTTACAAAATAACCAGTTGTTGTTTTTTTGTTGAATGTATGAACAGCAACCTCCATGACCACCCTTGTCTAAATAATAACTTGAATCAAACTATCATTGGACTTGTGCATTTTTCAACTCTGCAGAGAGAACTGGTTTGATGAGAGCCAAAATCACTTGTCCCCAAAACGTTGTAAACATACTTTATGGTAGGATCTGGTTAATATAGATCAACCCTTTTTTAAACAAGTCATTGCTGTATTACCTATAGCTGAAAACTTAACAGAAGTCCAGGAAAGCTTTATGATACCTTGAGAAGATGTTGTGGCTTCATTGGGGATCTTCTTGGTTTCTGAACCTCTTTTGTGCCAAACTGCTAAACAGGTAAGCCTGGCCTTAGTATTGACTTCACACAGCAATGACGGGGAATTATTAATCTGAAGGGAGGGGAAAAGAAATGGTTAATGTAAATCCCAGAAACCATGTTGTTCTGTAGCAGCAACGGAGAAAACTCCAAGTGCTTAAGTCTTAATTCCTGGCATCTCTAGGTAGGACTGGGAGTGAATCCTGTCTGGAATTCTGGGAGAGCTGCTGCCAAGCAGTGCACATTAGACCCTATTAAGCAACATGGACCAATGGGCTGACTAACTATAAGGAATCTTCCATATGTTCCCATAGGTTGAATCCGCACCCTGTGAAACTAACAGCAAAATAACTCTTCAAACAAACCAAGATAGGATGGTCACAACTTGGATGGCCAGATAAAAAAAGAGAAGAGCTTACACCATTAATATTTGTATTGATGACGGAATTTCAGAAGATGTAGCTTACCTGCTGAAATGCCCTCTTCTACACAACTCTTAAAGGTGTAAAAGCTGTGTCTTCTCTTTTCACTTGGCTGCCATAGGCACACCTGTAACGTAATCCTAGCTGTGTTTACTCAGAAGTACACTTCCCACTGACGTCACGGCTAGCTGAGATTGTGGCTATTAAACACCAATGAAATACCGTATTTTTCGCCCTATAGGACGCACTTTTTCCCCCTTCAAAAATGAAGGGGAAATGTGTGTGCGTCCTATGGGGCGAATACAGGCTTCGTGCCGGGCTCCGGAGGGTTGCGCAGAGCTGCCTGCACTCCCGGGCGGCGCGCAGCTCTGCGCAACCTTCGGGACTACAACTCCTATAATCTCTGACCACTGGTCATATTGGCTTGGACAAATGGGAGCTGGAGTCTCAGAGCAGTTGGAGGTTGCAAGTTACAAGTTACAAGTCATGGCTTCACCCAAAGAATCCTGGGAACTGTAGTTTGGTAAAGGTGCTGAGAATTGTTAGGCGACCCATATTCCCCTCACAGAATGACAATCCCCAGAACAGTTGAATGCTTAATTCCTTTTTCCCTGGGAACTCCAGGTATTGTTGCATTATATTACTATTTAGATAGAGTCTTTCAGTTTAAAAAAAAAATTAAGGCGAGTAACAAAGAATAATCTAAGATATAATCTAAGTCAAATCCCTTATGAATACACAGTGGAAGTGAGGAACAGGTTTAAGGATTTATATTTGGTGGACAGAGTGCCTGAAGAACTATGGATGGAGGCTCGTAACATTATACAGGAGGCAGCAACGAGAACCATCCCAATGAAAAGGAAATGCAAGAAAGCAAAGTGGCTGTCCAACGAGGCCTTACAAATAGCGGGGGAGAGAAGGCAAGCAAAATGCGAGGGAGATAGTGAAAGATACAGGAAATTGAATGCAGATTTCCAAAAAATAGCAAGGAGAGACAAGAAGGCCTTCTTAAACGAGCAATGCAAAGAAACAGAGGAAAACAACAGAATGGGGAAAACCAGAGATCTGTTCAAGAAAATTGGAGATATGAAAGGAACATTTCGTACAAAGATTACCATAATAAATGACAAAAGTGGAAAGGACCTAACAGAAGCAGAAGACATCAAGAAGAGGTGGCAAGAATACAGAGAGGAACTATACCAGAAAGAAATGGATGTCTCGTACACCCCAGGTAATGTGGTTGCTGACCTTGAGCCAGACATCCTGGAGAGTGAAGTCAAATGGGCCTTAGAAAGCACTGCAAATAACAAGGCCAGTGGAAGTGATGGTATTCCAGCTGAACTATTTAAAATTTTAAACGATGATGCTGTTAAGGTGCTACACTTAATATGCCAGCAAATTTGGAAAACTCAGCAAACCTGGAGGGTTGCGCAGAGCTGACTGCACTCCCGAAGGGCGCGCAGAGCTGCCTGCACTCCCGGGTGGCGCGCAGCTCTGCGCAACCTTAGGGAGCCCTGCGTGGCTTCGCGCCCGGCTCCGGAGGGTTGTGCAGAGCTGCCTGCACTCCCGGGCGGCGCGCAACTCTCTGCAACCTTCCGGAGCCCGGTGCGGCTTCGCACTGGGCGCACAGAGCTGCCTGCACTCCGAAGCCTGGGGCGCGCTAAAGAGCGCTCCTGGGCTTTGCGCAGCTCTCCGCAAGCCTGGGGAGACCGGCGCAGCTCCCTAGGCTTGCGGATAGCAGGCTGTTTTGGGGGCTGGGGTCAGGGGAAGCTTGGGCTTCCCCCGCGCCAGCCCCGTGCCTGGGGGGGAAATAATTTTTTTTCTTTATCCCCCCCCCCAAAAACCTAGGTGCGTCCTATGGGGCGGTGCGTCCTACAGGGCGAAAAATACGGTAAGTTAGGACTGCACTTCTTGGAATTTAGGATTCAACCATGAATGGTGCACTTAGCTTTGTAATATACAAACCTTCTCAAGATCAAGACTCCACATCTTAAGGTATCCATCGCTGGATGCAGTCACCAGAATATGTAAGCCTTCCATTTCAAAAGTGTAGATCTCTTTTATTCTATGGATCAATAGTTGGTATGAAATATCCCAATAAAATCGGTAAACATTAAACAGCAGCAAGCACTAAGAAAACTGGCGATAGGACACAATTCAGCCCTATTTAACCACTTAAAGTGCTACTGGTTTAAACACATGCATTCTTCCATGTTAAAATCAGTAAAAAAAATTGAAGTGCTAAACTATGGCACATTCATAATGAAAATACAAAACAAGAATCCAAAGAGAAAAAATTAAAAACTGACTATTATATACTCCTAAAAGTTGAGCCAAAGCATGCATAATATCCTTTCTATTATGTTTCAGAAATAAAATACCTTTTTTCATGAGCTTTAAATTCACAAAGGCACTTTTGAGATTCACAATTAAATAACCGTACAAATTCTTCATCTCCTGCAATAGCAAGTATGGAATCCTGAAAGAAAAGGTGAAGAAAACATAAATCAGATTTAATTTATTTAAAATGCTTTACTTACTTTAACACTGCATTACTACTTACTGTAAGAAACTTTACTGAAGATATTCTCTTTTCTGCAACAATGGTGCCAGAAATAGAAGCAGTTTCAAGGTTGTATATATCCACTTTGTTAGCTATAACTACCACGTATACCTCACCACTGGGTGACCATTTAACAAGATGCGCATCTACGTTAAGAGGAAAAATGATACAGATTTTATAAAATATTAATTTCAAATAGACACCAAATAATCACTTTACTGCAAACAAAATAAGGAAATCTAAGATGGAATCTACACACATATAGAAAACATTCAGAAAATGTTTTTTTTAAAGTGTTTTTAAAAATACAAATAACTTTCCATAAGGCTCACCATCACCATAAAGTGTCACATTGTATACTGCACTTAAAACACATTTAAAATGTTTTATTTGCAGCTGTAAACAGTGGTACCTTGGTCTGCAACCGTTTTGGATTACAACCATGTCAAACCCAGAAGTGTGTGTCCCTTTTTTTGGATTACAACCCATTTTTTTGGAGGCCCCATTGGCGAAAGTGCGCCTTGGGTTACAACCTGTTTCGGTTTACATCCAGACCTCCGGAATGGATTATGGTTGTAAACCAAGGTACCACTGTAGCTGAGTCCTAATACTGAATGTTATCAGCAATCTAAGCCAAATAGAGAAATGAAACATCTTGGACATTGTTAAGCTACTGACCCCCCTCCTAGTTCCCTTCTGAATATTGCTAGAACATCTCTCTTAGACAAAGATTCTTTTCAAATGTGATGCTCTACAAATACTTATTCACAGTACGAAACATTACATATACCCCATTATGTAAAATTTTTGCCTTGTTTTTACGTCTTTTAAAAGAATGTTGGCTATAAAGATATAAAAAAGGCAAATATATTAGTTATCTATAAACCAAAGTTTCCTTAATGATTCTGCTTTGGAAAACATGTAGCCAGTGGTGTTCCTTGTGTTCAAGGAAGGCTCTCATCCAGCAGAGGCTTCTGTCAAGGAGATGATTTCCTGCAGGACCCCATTTCATCTCCCATGCTGTCCGAAGGATCCTAAGACCTTCTGAAGATTTAGGTGGTGTGCTGGGGAGCATGGTTTAACTATTCTGCCTTCATAGATGCCACCAGTGCAAAGACATTAGAAGCACTCCTAACAGAAAAACCAAATCCTAGCTATGCTGAAGAGAAAGAGGCATGAAGCAAGAAAGACTGCTTGGAGGCACTCAACAGGTAACTCCAGAATATAGGAGACTAAGAACTTGAGAGCCATTAACATAGATTGATAGGGGCTTTGAAGGGCTCAGAGGAGAGATAGGACTCAGGATGGGAATGATGTTTCTGCCAGGAACAATTGCCCGCGAGAAGGCTGGTGACTTATAATAGCGTTCAATGTGATCTTGAGGCAATGGAGATTATGAGGCAATGGGGACATTGAAACATTTGTGTAATAAATAGAGATTCTCAGAGTTTTCAGGGCTGTATCACAAATCCAAGGACACAATAACTGTGGACACTGAACTAAAAAATGAGACACACATGGTATTTGGCAATGCACGAACATTTCTATAATTACAGAATACGACAAAATGCAAAGAGGATATACTCACTTTGTTTTATATTTTTTATGAATGCAGATCTTCCTTCTACAAGGTTCCATGTTCTGAAAAACAAGATGCTTAATAAACATATTTTGGAGGGAAGAATTAACTAGTTTTAAAAAATGAACAATTTAATGTTTTTCCCCCCTCTGGGACTTCTTTTTGAATTTGTATCACTTGTTAATTGCTTTGAGTTTACAGAAAAGAAGAATCTAAAGTTTTAAATAAAACTAAAATGAATGTTTCTGAAGTTGCAACCTTCCGACTCACCTTAACGTCTTGTCTGTTCCTACTGACAAAGCTAACTTCCCAGAAGGATGAATAGAAAAAGATGTCACATGTCCCCTGATAAAAGAGGAAATGAAAGTCAAGATTCATTACTCCCGCCAACTCACTAGCAATAATAATTAAATGTTGCCCATGAATTAAGGCCGTCTTTTGCATCCTGCCATTAGGAACTATATTTGTGGGGGTGACGTGCGGGGAGATCTTTTCTGTAGTGGCACCCTGGCTTTTGAACCCCCTGCCCCTGCAATCCAGTTGGCAATTTCACTGTTATTCAAGTACTGGCTTAAAACATGGCATGACTTCACAGGCTTCTGAAAACTAATGCTAACTATCAGCTGAGAGATGGTGGATATATTGTGTTTTTATATATATTCTTGGGGGGGTGTTATATATTGATATTATTATTTTTAGTTTGACTGTTATCCACCCTGAGATCTTTTTGATTAAGAGTGAGATACAAACAGCTTAAAAAACAAGAAGCTCCCAACTCTGATGTATCCAGATTCTACAACCTTGGGAAATAGTATCAGTGACAGTTCAGACTAGAGCAGGGACTGTCAACCTGGTCCCTATCGCCCACTAGTGGGCATTTCAGGACTCTCCTTCCATCGAGCACTGGTGGGCAGTAAGGAAATCTTCCCATCAAGAAAGATGCATTAGTGGGTCATAGGTATAAAAAGGTTGACTACCCCTGGAGCATCCTCAGTTGTTACACTTCAGTGGAGTACTTGAACTCCCTAATTGAAAAACCTGCCCCAACCTGACCCTACAGCATTTTCTTAGTTGTTTAGGTGAGTTTGGGGGCAGTAACAAACTTAGGCTGTCTTGGTTGTTGCTTGATTCTGATACTTTTTTTCTGATAACAATTGTTTCATAACGATATTTTACAACTGTTTTATGCTGCATTCTCTGCTTACCGCACACGTGTGATAAATATATAGGCTTGTAAACAGCTTCAAGAAACCCTCCAGAACAGCATGGGATGTAGTTTCTGCAAGGTATTCCTATCCAATTTCCACCACCCACCATAGCCTTCTGTACCATGCCATTTTGGATTCTCTGGAAAAGTTGTTTTGGAATGGTTGCAGGGGAAGAGAGCATAAGAAAGCTTCTTGTGCAACTCTGAAATTAAGCCATACACTTTTTTTAAAAGAAGAAGAAGAAAACAATACTTACTTGTGTGCCTTAATGGACTTTAAGCACTCCCATCTTTTTGTGTTCCAAATGCATATTAAACCATCCTCAGCTCCACTCAATAGATGTGAACTTCCATAGAATTCCAAGCAGGTTACAGTGCCTGAAAACCCATGCAAATCAGTTACATTTAATGTATCTTGAACTAAAACATGTCTTCTACATTTCAAAATGATAATTTTGAAGCATAGCAGATTTAGATATGCCCTGCAAAACTGCACATGCTAAACTATGTTTGGAAGCTTATGGCTATCATTTGCTGTATAGGAGCCCTGCAGTTCTCAGTACCACTTTGAATTAGAGTCCACTGAAATCCATGAAAATTATTTCCGTGTATGCTGCTTAGAATTGGAAACAAACCCTTGAAATAAGGTTGGCATGTGCATTTTACCATGTGCTGGATTAAAGGCTGTGCCCTTGATCCAGAATCCCACAGGCACTTCAACATGCACATGGGGCACCTGCTGGAGCTGGCTTCCCTTTTTATTAATACTACAGAAGTGAATCAGGAAGCCTTTATGCTTGCAACCTTTCATGCAAGTAGCCTCTGGATCAGGGCAAATATTTGTAAGCTTCTTCAAATATTTCTGTACTTAAGTCATGCTCAGAACCAACTCCCACTAACATATCTCAAACCCAATCCCTGCAACTAATACAAGAATGATAAGCCCCTTACCATCGTGTTGCATTAGTGCCCCATGTTCTACTTTCTTTTTCATGTCGTAGATTTGTATGGTTTCATCCTTGCTGCCAGTGACTACATATCTGTCATTCACAGCTACTGCGGACAGTGAAGCAGTGTGAGCATGGTGGGTGAAATCAGGAAGAGCTGACCAGTTCTGAAGATGAAACATAAAAGAACAATTGTTATTTGCTAATGATATCCCAATTTTTAAAACAGAAAAAGGGAACTAATCTTCAGAGGGCCTGATGCAGCTAATCCTATTCATCAACAAGTTCCATGAAAGCAATGGAATTATAGGAGTGGCGAACTGTCATAGTTCTAAAAGGGACTTAGCTAGGATGAACTGTGTTGGGATCAAGACCAGAATGTGCACAGAGCACACAAAACATTCCATGTTCAATCAAGGAAATGTCTGCAAAATTTGTTGCAATCGAAATTTGTCATAATCTCTACCTCACAGACTTGATGTGAGGATAAATGGGGATGCCGCCTTGATCTCATTTAGTTGGAGGAAAGTGGGGAATAACTGACCCTCCAAGTGTCCCTATTTTTGAAGGGAGAGTCCTGGATTTACAGAAATCATCCTGGATTCTGATTTGATCCTGGAATGTCCTGCTTTTCCTCAGGACGTCTCTGTTTTCATTGGAGAAATGTTGGATGGTATGGAGTTATCAAGACCCCGGAGCCATCTGAAGGCTGTAGAGGTAAGTATTTAAATATTTAGTATTTTATTTTGTTCCTATAGATGTTGGAAGCCACCCAGAATGGCTGGGGCAGCCCAGTCAGATGGGCGGGGCATAAACAACAACACCACCAGAATAGGACGTCCCTAAATGTTGGAGGATTTGATAGCTCAGCCGGTAGAGCACTCAGGGTCGTGGGTTCGAATCCCACGTCGGGCAAAAGTATTCCTGCACTGCAAGGGGGTTGGACTAGATGACCCTCGTGGTTCCTCCCACGGGCGGTAGGAAGTCGCCCTTTCCTCGCCACCACCTCTCGGCAACATTCGAACCCACGAGGGAGCTGCGCGTGGCTAATGCCGCGAAGGCTTCTGGGAAGGAAGCCTTTGAGCAAGACGAGGCGAGCCAGCGAAGCTCCCCCGTGACCCTCGTGCGCGTCGCATCTCGCGTGGCGTGCGTCGCGCATGCGGCCCTCGCGCTGTAAGTGCACAGCGCGCCACTTTTTGCTCTTTCCAACCCCGCCCCCCGCTTTCGTTTGGTTTTTTTTTTTTTTTTTTAAATACAGATCTTACCTCACCCGGCTGTATCGCGAACCCGAAGAGTACCTGTTCGTAGCAGCCCCCTAACAGCTCCATTTCTCAGCCTTTCGGCGGCACCTAATGACGCGGAGGTCCTTAATAGCTGTGCGGCGTGGGGTTGTCTATTTCTCCCGCCTGATCAGGAGCCGGAAGACTGTGCCTCCCGCGTGCGCCGCGGCCCTCACTGACTGGCGCTTCCCGTTCGACTTCCTCGTATGGGGGGCGGGAAGAGCGGCCGGACGTAAAACCAACAGGCAGTCACCGGGGCAGCCTTGGGCGGAAGTCGTCGGGAGGAGAAGGAAAAAGGCGGGGCGGCGGCGGAAGGGAGCGTTGCGACATCCGAACTCCTCGTTATGGCGGCTCTCAGGAAGGCCGGAGACGTTAGTATCGGAGGGGCTGAGGGGGCGCGGGTGGCGCTGGCGGGTGGCGAGCGGGCGCTTCTCATTCCTTAACGGCCTCACTCCGGCGCTTCCGGGGGTGGTTTTCAGGCTCCCCCGGCTCTTCTCGTGGAGTTTCTCCAGCCCCGCCCCTGTGAGGAGGCCTCGGCGCGTGCGGGAGACTCGCTTCTCCCGCCCGCTCGCTCGCTGTCGGGTTGGCCCCTCGCAAGGGGCTGCGCAGGCCTCCTGGGCGCGCTTAGTCCAGGCTGTGCCGCTTGCGACTGACACCTGAACCTTGGGGGCCCGTTGGATCGGGCTTTCTGCAAAGGCTCAGCCCAAGGCTTTCGTTTTAGACGTAGCCCGGTTGCACTTTTAAGCGTCTCTAGGGGAAAGTGAGCCGCGTTGGATTAATGGGACTTTAAAAAGCCCCAGCAGGCGGGTCTAGAATTGAAATGTAAAGCACCTCCTCCCCCCCCCCCGTTTTAAACTCTTAAAACTCAAGGAAGACAGAGACGCCTTCTAGATAGTCAGATATATTTTGCTAAACATACAGTTCTAGGCGAAATCAAATTTTCAGTTGAAAAACGAAGGACCTGGTAAGGTGGTTTTTTGATTTTTTTAAAATCACAGTACTGTATTACACAGGCATATTTCTATTGGGAAACACAACTTTTTGCCGCCCCCCCCCCGCTTGAACATCTGTTACAGAAAATGCGAGAACTACTTTATTTTGGATTTTTCAGATTTGAAAATTTGAAAGTGTCTTTTTCAGAAATTATTTTCTGTTTTATATTTTGCCCAAACTACTAGGGTGCAATCAAAATCTGTTAAACTCTTTATGAGTGTTTTTCACCTTCCTCCATGTGCCCCCTCAAATCTTGCTCTGAAATTAAACCATGGAATTAAGTTCCTGCAGCCTATTGTGATGGCCACCAACCTGGATGCCTTTAAAAGAGGATTAGACAATTCATGGAGGGATAAGGCTATCAATAGCAACGAACCAAATTAGCTTTGTTCTTTTTCTACTGTAAGTGGCAGTTCTGCGAATTGTTGTGCTCAGGTCCTGCTTTCAGGCTTCCCATGAACACCTGACTGTTCTCTGTAAGGACAGAATGCTGAACTAAGTGATCATTTGGTCTGATCCAACAGGGTTTTTATTTTCTTATGAGAGGAAAGTGAAGTTCTGTTGCATTAACATAAATTCATCTCACTCATGTGCAGATATAATGGGATGCAACACTTGGGGTTTCTCACTTACCTAGGGAATGTATTCTTCTAAAAATTTATGTAAATACATGCTGTGAGCATGATCCTTGAGTGTAAGAATTATGTGGTGTGCTTTGTGTTTGGAAAAGTATCACGGAAACAAGTTTTGATGATTTCATTGAGACTTAATCCAGTTTAGTATACTCTCACCAAAGATTTGTAATATCAGTACAAAACAGCAAAAAGGCTCCCAGTTCTCCCTTCGGTCAAAATAAGTCCTATTGCTATGAAACTGTTATCATGTGTCTCTAATTCTTTCTTTCCTTGTATTGTAGTGAAAACATAGGTTTAGCAATCGTGGAGGAAGAAAGTACCAAAAATAGTTGTGAATTCATAAGATACTTGGAACCCGAAATACATTGGATGACACCCTACTTTGGTACTCTCCATCTTCTGCATCCAGAGTTATTTTTATTTGGCAGTTTGTGTAGTAGACACTGACAGGTAAGTTGAAATTATTCAGCTTGAAGAACTAGTTGTAGAACATGTTATTTGCATGTCTTTAAAGATGTTATGTCTGTCAGCAATCTTGTAAGTAGAGCAATATATTAGCTTCCTGAATGCATATTTTACATTACATTTTGCATTGCTAATCTACAGATTTGATGTGCTCTTGTACCTTGGGAACAAAGTTACCGTTACAGTTTGACATAGAATATAGTACTTCCAAACTAATTTTGTCTTAATATAGACACTGCACATAAAGGGATAATTTATAACAATATTGCTTTGGTTAATTTGGTAAACACAGCATTTTTAAAAGATAAAGTGCACAGCATACCGTAAAAAAGGGGCATGTATTTTTCTTTAATTTTCAGGTTGGGAGGAGACTATACCCATGTAGAGTTGCATTCATCTTGAAGCAACAAGTTTGCATCTTAGGGATGCTTCTTAATCTGGTACTTCTGTTAGACACTCATGGGTTTGGTGGGTTTTCTCTAACTAGTATACTAGCTGTGTCCTCACCAGGAAAAGTCAAACTAGGCCTCATTCATGATTTTGTATTTTATTAATTGTAGTTTTATTATGAGTTTCCTTAAATACACTATAGTGTTGAAAGTTGGTAGAGAAATTATTAATTTCATAAAATTAATAAATCTTAAGTGTTGTGGTAAACTACTCATTTCAAAAAAAGTATACTCTTCCATCAAATTGTTTTTCAGTGTCAAGGCCAAGATATACAAAATCTAAACAAATTGGGTGATATTCTAACAGTGTCCATCTGCCAGCAAAAATTAGCTTCCACTTTCCAGTGTGACTTTGTCCGCTCCTCCCTGTTCACGTGTCTGGAAAATCTGTTCCAGAAGGTTGATGAACTTGGATTTGAATTTCACCTGTACCTACTATTATTCTTGGTCACTGTTATATTCCTCAAGGAAGGAATTCCACAAAATCTAAGTAGTCATTAGGTTACATTTGCAGCAGTCCTGCAATTAAAGGCAGATTATTTTTCATTTAAAAAAACCTTACACATTTCTTTTCTTTTTTTATAAAAAACAGAGCACCGAAAAGAGCAGCCGCAGCGTATTTTTCTTCTGAAGATAATTTTTAACAATGGCTAGCCAGGTAAGACCATTTTATGAAAATGACACCACATTCATAGCTCCTTAGGGGAAGACATTAGCCATGGTCAGAGCCATTGGCAAATGTCAAACTTAAGCAAGGATTTCTGGGGGAGGAGTGGCGGTGGTGGTGGGTTTTAGCCCTATGCTTTCCTCAGATGAATTTCTGACAGATTGTTCTCCCCTGCTGTGGAATCCTTAATCACGTCAACTGAAGCAGCTTGGGGGCAGAACAAGGAGATTTGCTTTCTGCACTGTTGCACAGTGAGATCTTGTGGTGGGACTTTCCTATAACACACACTATTTAGGATGCCTGAACTGGTGCGCTAGAAGTGAAATGATACCATCCATGTAAGTAAACCTTAAATGAAAATGTTTAATCTCTATCCCGATGGTGAGGGATGGTGAGGGATATTGCCTTTGTTATCTGGTTGACTGCCGCCTCCTTCCCTTTTCCTTCCCATATAACTGCCTCTGCTGGTTTCTTTTTTTGGATGTGGCATTTTTTTTCACTTGCATGTTGCTAGTGTAAAAACTTGACGTAAGCTCCTTTGGCTGCGCTTTAGATTCAGTCTACCCCAGACAGTTGCCCTGAGATAGTGGCCAATACCTGGCAGTGTTGATCAATATCTCAGAGAAGAGCCCAAGACCCCTTTTAGGTTAAAAATAATAATTGGTGACCTGGCCCTGCATCTCATACACTGGACCTCTTCCTGCTGTAGCGTCTCTGGGCAAGTCTTGGAGAGATCTAAAGCAGGGTCCTGTTGTAAAAGCAAGTCTTAAATTTCATGCTTGGTCAGCCTCTAATGGTTAACTTTTTTTTTTTAAATTAAGGAAACCGAGGGGAGTCAAAATGTTGGCGTGAAAAGCAGTTACTCCTATAGCCAGCTTGACCAAGTCAGGGGAATATGGCTTTTCATACAATCCTTTGGCTCTGTTATTTTTGCCAGGCATTTTCCCCAGAGGCTGCTTTCCCTCATGGGAGGCGGAGGGAGAGATGGGACCCCAGGCTTCTGTCAAGGGAAAGGTGAATATGGGGAAATCACCAAGGTGGTGATCGGGAGAGGGAGGGAGGCATTTAATTGAGATGAAATACTGTATAACTGTTTTTCATTCTAGCAGGATACAGTGGGAAAGGCCAAAAAAGAAAGCCTGCCTCTGTGGTGGAGATCCCCCCACAAAAAACGGAAGAAAAAGAGTAAAGCAAGAGCAGGAAGACCAGATTTTACTAGTATTCCAAGCAGGTGAAGAAACCTTGAAACTGACAAGAAAAAAGCCGGCTCTTGTCCATATAATAATATTTAAATCAAATAGCACGAAATTAACAAAAAAAACCTCATTAGGCTGTTCTGAAAAAAAATATTTTGTAAAGTTAAATAAAGAAATAAGCCAGTTTTAATGGAGCTGTTTATTTAGTAGCTTTCAAAGGCCCAGTGGATATGAACTTGTAATTAAAGTGAAACAAGTTAAAAGGCTTCAGGCAACGGTTCCAAGACTATCGGGAGAATTCTGTGTTCAGCATGAAAGCTGATACGTCTGATGGTAGACATCCAGAATATACACAAGTATTGTACCCTGTTGGTTTGTTCCCTGCTTCTCAAAAGGTTTTCTGATTATGCTTTCTCAGTGTCATTTGAGATCTGCTTTATCTTTTGTACCATGTTTACCTTTTGATGCTTAAGGTTTTACCATGTACTGTATTCATCTTGGAGGGCACATGTTGAATAAAATCACAACAGCCATCTCAATGGCTAGAAAGGCAGTAAACGTATCTTGGCACTACAAAGCATTAATAGCATTACACTTTGGATATAAATTTGAAGCCCACCTCACCGTGGGATATAGACAAGCCCCATTCATTTCCACAAATTCAGTTTTATTTTTAATGAGGTCATAGAACAAGAGAGAATCTGGTCTGTAATTAGAGCCAAACTACCTTATGATAGTATTGTCCACAGTTAGTTAAATGCTTGCAACTGGTGTCCATTTGTCAGGATAACTTATCTCTAAAGCTACTTGAAGGTTCTTTCATACTTAGCTTTTGACTAATATATGTAGGTACGATATATGTAGAGTGTCTTGGCATTCTCTGATAAATGTTGCTGGAAAAAGGGCTGCGCAAATTTTTTTAGAATATGCCCCACTTGCTCAAAGCAACTCATGCTGAATATTACAGCATTTGGGGGAGTTGTTTGCCTGATCCATGCTTGCTAATGTTTATGATATTTCCGTCATGCTCATTCTCCCTATTTCTTGCTTCAGTTTAACCATTCTAAACTGGGAATATAAATGTAGAGTTTAGGATTAGAGTTCTAGAGCTAGAAGAAGCAGAATCATAGGTCCATCTTTTTGCTGCTTATGCAAGATTTCCTAGATATCAGCCCTCTTTACATATTACCCAGCTAGAGAACATGAAAGGCGCTTGCAGAGCAGAAGGCTCCAAATGATTCAAGCCACAGCTATGGGAGACGGCAACAGTAATAACAAAATAGATAAAATTAATAACTAGTTCGAGCTGCAGAAAAACTTGCTTAATTTTAGTTCTTTTCTGCATCACTTGAATATATGCCTCTGCTTGGCCATATAAGTTGAATCACATTATTTTGTAAGCTTGATGTCTCTTGATGGCAGTGAGGTAACAGTGAAGAAAATAAAGGGCTGGATTTAATTGCCCCTTCTGGTAGTGGAAGCCAGTGCAAGGACTCCCATTAGTGTAACATGGCTGCTCCCCCGTGCCTTCCCTAAATCCACTCTGGAGGGTCTGGAGAACCCCCAGAACAGCACACGGCAGGAGGATAGTGTAGCTTGCCCAACAAAACACATATAAATGCTTGTGCTGACAACATTCTGTTTGGTGCTAGAGTGAATTTCACCCAAAATATTGACTATTTTCTCTCATGGACGCTAGCAGGGTTGCTTTGGACTAAGCTTTGAGAACTGCTATCTTGACTCTGTAAGCAGAGAAGGCTAATAAAAACCCACAAGCTGCTTAAAAGTACTGATTAACTTTATTTTGGAGGAGGCAATTGTCCTCTTTCATGGATTTAATATTTTTCACTTGGGTGGTTTGGAAAGATGGTTGTGCTGGGGGAGCAGCCTCTCAGACAGTTTGGTCTGAAGCAGAGTTTCAGAAAAATGGTTTGAGGATTGTTGCTCAGACATGATCAAGATAATTGCTTCTGTGCATGGTGCCTGTGAATGCACCATGGACAAGGACAAACAAGTATTGGCTGGATCAATCCTAGGTAGGTATTTGAGTGGCATACACTCTGGAAAGTAACCTAGTGGATACAGGGCCCTGAGGCTTTTACTGCAAGACGACTAATTGTATTTTTTCTTTCAATTTCTTACAGGCCAGAATTTCCAAGGCAAGAATTTGTTAGGCCAGAATTTACAAGGCCAGAATTTGCAATATTTGTAGGAGAGTTAACTCCCGAGGTGGATGATTTCTTGCTCTATGACTACTTTTTCAAAAGGTATCCATCTTCTGTAGACTGCAAAGTGGCCACAGATCTGCTGGGATATTCCAGGTAACTTATTACAGAACAAAAAGCATTGGTAGTAAGAAACAGTGTACAACTGAGGCGCTCAAAAGCTTTACGTAGTGAGCTCTGCACATCAAGAAACAAATGTGGATTCTCCAATAAGAAGAGAGAAGATAGACTAATGGTGTTCAGTTTTCTCATAGTGTGAACCTGGTATCTCAATCGAAAAGTAGCATGTTTGGGAGGGAAATTCAGAGCTGCAGTGCTTAGTGACTGCTTACACTTACATAGAGAGGTCTGCTGTAGTTTGAGAAACCTGATAGGATCCAGATTTAATACGTCATAGCTCTATATGATCATGTAACAAACGAGAGTAGTTTCTTGACCTATTTATGAAGTTGCATATCTTAAGTGCACATGTTGCATTTAATAAGGAAAGGAAGATAACATTAATCAAAATCAAGTGTAAGGAGAATGGTAAGATGTCTCCAGTTTACAGGTACCAAAGAGAAGTAGTCTGCAGCTAACATTTTTTGGAATGGAATTTATTTGACTGACCACTGGAAATCAATGAGTCCACCAGTGATGCAGTAACAAAATTTTTGGGTGTCATTTCATGACCAGTGACTTACTTAGATAATATTGAACTTAGTAAGCATGAAGATCCTATGAAAAAACATGATTGTTAGAGGCTAAGTAATTTCAGTTTATCCTGGTGTTAGGGTTTGATAAAATTTGAAAGAAATAGCATTCTGATTTATTTCGTCAAACCCTAACACCCTAACAAATCAGTCTGAAAAAGATTCCTGGGGGGATATCCCAGAAGAGTGGTCAGAACACCCAAGGGAAAGAAATGGTAAACTTGATGAGTTGCAGCACTAAATTGCTGAATTGAATATGAATAGAATGTTTTCTGTTTCTTTGCGAGTGTTAGAACATGTACTAACATGTGTATTAAAACTATTTAGGGGTTATGGCTTTGTTCGATTTTCTGAAGAAGGTGATATGATGAGAGCATTGCAAGATTGTCAGAATGCGCCTGGTCTAGGTGGAAAACGAATCCGATTGACTTTAGGAATTTCTAAAAGGTAACTCATGAAATTTACTAATCTGTTACAAACACATCATTTGCATATGATTACTTTGGAGCCTAGGGTTATTTTTGTTTTGTTTTTGCATAATTGTCAACATCTTTGTGCTTTTCTTCTAATAATCAGCATAACTATTACCACATAAACAGGCCATGATTCATTCTTTCTTCTTCTTCTTCTTCTTCTTCTTGAAGTATTTTCAGGGTTTCCGCTTGCACAATAGGACGTTCCCCCTTTTTCTCCCTCTGTGTACACCATGCACCTTTCCCAAATCTGTTCCTGTAAGTTGGAGGAACCCCAGTACAAATTGGGGGCATGGGGAATTAGGAGAGAGAGAATGTTCCATTGCGCTAGGAAAAATCCTTGAACAGATGGAAGGAGAGACCTAGCACTATGATTCGACCCTGTATTCAGGTTAACTTTTTCTAGGGAATGTGGTTTTTGCTAGACTTTCCATGGCATGATTGGTTTTATTTCATGCTTTAGATAACTTGTACTCTTTTTTTTTTTGCCTTGTGTTTTAGATTGAAAGCAGAATTTCAGCGGTACCAGCCCTATAGTTATAATGATTATTATCAAGACTATCAAAACTACTATCGCCAGTATAATTATGAGAGAAATGAACGCTTTGATCGCTATGAACGTCCTGACCGTTTTGAACGAGGTAACCGTTTTGGGGACCGTTTTCCTGAACGTTACCCTGAACAATTTGGGGACCGTTTTCCTGAACGTTATGCTGAGCGCTTTGGTTCCCGTTTTGCCGACCGCTACGGTGACTACCCTGAATATGGAGAATATAATGCTGAATATGGAGATTATAATGCTGAATATAATGACTACAACTACAGCTATGCATCTTACGAAAGGATGCAACCGAGTGGAAATATGGGACAGCAAGCTATGAATCCAGCTGTATTTCAGGTATCCACTTGAGTATACTTACATGCTTTTTTACAAGGTCATTGGTAGAAATAATGGCTATATACCTTAAATATGGCTGTTGGGTGCTTTTAAACATCTGTCAACACAGTGGTACCTCTGGATGCAAACGGGATCTGTTCCGGGGCCCCGTTCGCATCCTGAGCAGAACGCAACTCACGTCTGCACGTGTGTGGGTCGCAATTCGCCGCTTCTGCACGTGCACGTGACATCATTTTGAGCATCTGCGCATGCACGAGCGGTAAAACCCGGAAGTAACTTCCGGATCGCCACGGAATGCAACCTGAAAACTCTCAACCTGAAGTATATTTAACCCGAGGTATGATTGTAATTGTAAACTTGTGCTGTTTTAAAACACACACAGTGAGAGGGCTGGCTGAACTAGGTCTAGGCTTTAAGAACTTTTGTAACCAATCGTATAGAGGTTTACTATGAAGTACCGTCCAGTTCAGTGAGACTTGGTCCCAAGCCATATAGGATTATAGCTATACTGTATTCATGGATCATGTTTCTGTTTGATTCATTTCTTTAACTGATTGTCCTTATTTAACGAGTAAGATTCAGATGAGACAAACCCTTGGAGTTTGTTCACCATTATACTGAAATGCAATAAACTCAAAATATAGCTCAGCTCAGTTGCATTAAATCACTAACTTTATGTGACTTTAAAGTAAAAAGGGAGGTGGAGGAAGAAGCTGAGGATCAGGTTACAATGTTTATAGCAATTGTGCTTTAACGCTTCCTTTTTCAAAAATAGCAGATAGATGTTTTTTCTTTAGATAAATGATTCATGTTTTTCCTCCCCCAGGAGACCTCTGCTATGGTTATGAATGACGATCTAATAACAGAAGGTAATTTTGATATTGTTAGTACATGCAAGTGGACTTTGATGCTCATCTTAGTTAGGCAAGATCCAACATTGTGTCAGCAGTTGCAATGGAATTCTTCTTCCTTATCTCCCTCTGCAGCCCCTGTACCCCAAGTCTGCTCCAGAGGGTCCCTCAACCCTCAAGCAGATTTCAGGGGTATGCAGGGGTGTGTGGAGGAAGGGTAAGTCTCACTGTAAGTGGAAATAACAATTGGATGTTGCCCCCCTCCCCCCGCTTTTTTTCATTCTGCAAAATGTACTGCTCTCCAAAGAAAATATCTGAAATGTTGTTTTACAGCAGGGGTGGGAAACTCCCGTGAATCAAAGTGGTCCTTTAGGCCAGGGGTTGGCAAACTACGGTTCAGGGACCAGATGCGGCCTCCCCAGGCTCGTAAATCCAGCCTGCAGACCCTGCCGCCCACCCAGTCAGTCCTCACACATTGCAGACATCTTGCTGTGCGGGGACTGACTTCAGCAACGCTGGCATGGCTTCTGGGCGGGCGGCGACACGGGCGCTCTTCAGATTGGCTGCAGGAAGTTCCTGCAGCCAATCCGAAGCCTTGCCGCCTGCGCACTGAGGTAAACCCGGCGTGGTCATGGACAGAGAGGCTGGCGCTGCTGCTGCTGGCGAGCTCGGCAGCTGCGCTGGAGGGCGAGCTGCATGCCACCTACCCGGTGCTCCGCATGCGTGGCCTGCCCAAGGACCTGGCCTTGGACGACGGGCCACAACGCATGGTGCACACTGCCTGGGAGCTCTACAGAGACAGGCCGATGGAGCAGCTGCTGCTTGTCAACAACGCCAGTGAGCGGCCATTGCCGAGACGCGCTCCTGAGCGTGTGCAGAGTACGTTCCTCCTCTAGGTCCGGAGGCAGCTGCGGAACCGGCTTGCAGGGTATTTATATTTTTCAAAATACAGTCCGGCCCCCCACAAAGTCCGAGGGACAGTGGACCGGCCCCCTGATGAAAAAGTTTGCTGACCCCTGCTTTAGGCCCTTGGCCTTGGGAATTTCCGAGGCTGTGTACTATCCTTGAGTGTTTTTTGCCTGGTTGCAATGTGTCCTTGAACTACGGTGATGTCTCTTGCTTATCTGGCCACAGGATGGAGAGATGTGTGATGAGCATGGGAACCTCTGGCTTTTGCAAAGCTGGAAAGTAGTGTACTGTAGTGTCATATTTATTACTCCATCGCCATTGTTTGCCTTTTGCCATGCTAGCACTATTTAGTCCCAGGAAGGTTATCCTTGAGGGAATGCAGCCCTCAGATTGAAACAGATTCCCCACTCCAGCGTGATAAGCACAATCCTTTGCATTCATGCTTTGAAATAAGTTTAACAGAGCTTGTTCCAGGTAGGCTTGTATAGCACTGCAGCCAAGCTTTGTTGGAAATTTACTGAATATGAGCATCATAAAAATAAGATTGCATGCAGTATAGAATTTTTCTCCAGCAATGTAGCTACTGCAGGATACAACATAATATGCAATGTCTCCTTCTTTATATACCGTATTTTTCGCCCTATAGGACACACCTTTTCCCCTCCAAAAATGAAGGGGAAATCTTGTGTGCGTCCTGTGGGGCGAATGCAGGCTTTCGCTGAAGCTTGGAGAGCGAGAGGGGTCGGTGCGCACCGACCCCTCTCGCTCTCCAGGCTTCAGGAAGCTATCAGCAAGCCTGGGGAGCCCGCGGGAGTTCCCTCAGGGCTCCCTAGGCTGCGGATAGCAGCCTGCTGCCCGGAGCGCGGGGCGCGCTGAAGCCGCGGCTGGGGGGGGGGGATAATTTTTTTTATTCCCCCCCCCAAAAAAACTAGGTGCGTCCTATAGGGCGAAAAATACGGTAACTTTGTTTAAAAGTATTCTAGTGTACATGTGGAAGCCCACTGCTATTTTAAAGATGATCTCTGAATTTTGTTCAGTGTCAAGAAAACCCTGTTTATCCCTTTTATGAAATAACATAACACAAATTACACAAAAGTCATTAACAACTAGAGAATCTGAAAATTAAACTCTTTAAAAATCATTTTATGGAGCTTTTGATAAGAATGCATTCTGTACTTTAAGCTGTTCTGTAAAAAATGAACAGAAGAAAATGGACAGAGAACACTATTTTCCAAAGTCCCCCCCCCATATAGTAGCTGTTTTACTTGATTCCTTGCTCACTGATGTTTTGTTTGCTTAAACAGATCCACAGCTCAACATAGACGTTCACAGAATGAACAGAGAATTTATGGTGAGAAGTGAAGAACTCTTTGACACACTTATGAGCTGTCATTGGCAACCTCTGGATACAGTCACTTCTGAGATCCCTACTGCTTTCTAAAAGTGTCTTATGTTAACACCATAGCATGACTATTATGACCAAGGTGCTAAATTGACATTTCTTCAACATTTCTTTGGATCCTAAGTTTTTAAGCACGGTGTTGGATTTTGTTTTGCTATGCTTTGATGGCCTTTGTCATTTTGTTCATCACTCGGTATCTTGAAATCATGTAAATATTCTGGAAATGTAAAGAGTTAGTCTAAAGATAGACTTGCTTATGTAAATAATAAAACTTTGTTTCTGCAAACATGTCAGTTGGAACCTGTCATTACCTTACTAAGTATGTGATCTAGTTTCCAAAATGTAGGGTTGGGGCTTCTGCGGGTGTGGTCCCTTTACCTGGCTGGTCAAGACTGGTGACAGTGCTGAACTAGATGGACCTTAGGTCTTTGATTTATTTTGTTGCTGTTGTGTAGTTTGCATAATCTTTCCTAATGATGTAAGGAAATGCATTATTTGTTGAGTAAGAACAAAGGGCAGTGTAGTCCCATACTGTCTCCAGGGTGGCTGGCCAGATTCTAGGGCAAAATTTACAAACAGGTCCTGATGGAGATAACTGTTGCCCCTTAGTCCACATACTAACCAGAGTTGGGCTGCCTTTTCAACATGAAAATCCCATTGGCTAGCTGATACAGTTTTAAACGAACCTTCGTGATTTCACCATTCATTCAAGAGTAAGCAGTTGTGTGTTTGTGGAAGTGAATCTGCCAGTAAAGATCAAAAGCAAAGGGATGAAAAAAATATTCACATTACAGGTCCTTACCTTAGGAGTAAGACTACTTTATTCCTATTGTGAGAATGTGAGATTTGAGTGGAGCAGTTTTCCTTGTTCCTCTGCAAAAATACAAAGTGACACTGTTCCTGAGGCCATACTGATCAACTTGTTTTGGAGATTGTGCTCATTATACGAAGCACCTTTCTCCCCCCCCCCCAAAAAAAAATATTGTGTGCAAATGCCACATATCGAAGCAGGCTGGAATTTATTTTTTCTTTTTAAGTGTTTCAGAGGGATAATGAATATTTTATAATAAGGATTGAGGAAGATGTAGCCCTGGCCAGAATAACTGGTGAGTCCAACAGCTGGAGGAACATAGGTTCCCCATTCAAGATCTAAGTTATTATTGGTTTCATACAACTCTTCCATACAACTCTTACAACACCTCTGACTTTTGCAATGTGAGGGAGATGATTGAATTTAATTAACTGGTAGGCATTTATGCTAATAGGTGTCCATAGTGTTACTTGCCCGTGTGTAATGTTAAATGTGTAGTTGACTTAGAAAAATCTGCATTGCTGCATATCCTTAGTTAAAGTGTATAATGAAAGTACTTTCTGCTCCATGTCATGGTTGTAATTCTGCTTACAGTGGAAATTGACAAGCCATAAACATGCAGAGGATTGGGCTACATACACGTTTCAGTGCAATCCTATGCATCTCATGTTCCCTTATGATTTACTTCCAGCAACTATCAATAACCAATCCTAACTCGTTAGTTTTGCCACAAGTTTCCCTTAATAGTGAACACAGAGTTCTCTTAATCCTTTTCCAGTGGGACAGCTCTTCTGTGGAGCACAGCTCTGCAGCGACATGGATTTAAAGGACTGAATCTATTCAAAATTATTACTTGAGAACATTTCAGGTACTAAATGGTAAACCAGCCTCTTTGTTACAAGTTGAAGCTAATTTGTCAAAGCTGACCTCTTTAACAAGATACTAGTTTATTGGATCCAGTTGTCCTATGGAGAGAAAGACTTTCCAAATTACCACTGTTAAGTATTTCAGATAGTGGCTGGGTTAAATCAGCCCATAATTTGATAGCTGCAATAGATTCTCCTCTGAATTTTTGCTAACGCAAGGAGAGAAGAGCTTTAGATTGGGTGAGGCAATGTCTTTTGATTTAGATTTCCATGAACATGTAATCTCCGGTCCTGTAAGGGTTTAAAAAGGCGCCTTGGAAATCATGTTCATTCCAGAATAGCGAGTTTCCGGCCTTCGCTGCGGCTTATATCGCGAGATTCTGTGGCGCATCAATGCGTCAGATCGGCAACCACCCCGCGAGAGGGCGGAGTGTGTCCATATGCTCTCTGCGCAGCCTCGGATTTCCAAAACTACATTTCCCGTGGGCGCTCATGGGCCGTCGGCGGGCGACTGGAATGAGGCAGGATGGCGGGTCGCGCGGTTTGGTGACGCCAAGCTGTCCGGGCGGGTGTCCTCTGGTTGGTCGGGAGGAAAGGAAGGAGGGGGAGAATCTCGGGCGGGCTAGACGGTGACGGTGTTGGTGAAGGGTGGGGGGGAGAGAAAGGGTAGGAAAGGGAGGGGAAAGTGGAGCGGCTAGGGACGGACTCGGCGCGCGCGCGCGCGCTAGCCAGGGAGCGAGAGGGAGGCAGGCATCCTGTGAGGGCGCGAGGCAGGCCGCGCGGCGCGGGGCATCGCCATAGAGACAGTGACAGCACAGAACGGGATTGGGGCCAGGGGTGGGGGCCAAGAGGAGCGTGAGGGAGGGAAAGAAGCGTGAGTGGGGAGAGAAAGCGCGCGCGCGGGCGCGCGCACAGGGGGTGGCCGGGCTAGGCCGGGCCTCTCTGTTTGCGCCGTGCGTGCGTGCGTGCGGGTTGCGGGTGGGTGGGAGGGAGGCCGGCAAGGCTCGGGAGAGGTCCCAATATGGATTCGGGGGAAAGCGGCGGAGCTCCGGGAGGAGGAGGAGGTGGTGGAAGCGGCGGCGGCAGCGGCTACGAAAGCGGCGGCGGGAAGATCCGGACGCGGCGATACCACCTGGCAGCGGCCTCCTCGAAGCCTTACCCGAGAAACAAGCAGGTGAGGGAGGCCGAGCGGGGGAGCATGTGGTGAGCGAGACCGGCGGCTGGACGCATAATATGGAGGAAGCGGCGCCGCCAGCCCCGGAATTGGCCGGCGAGGCTCCGGCTCTGCCCTCACGGGCCCCCTGGGAGCCGCCGTTGTCGGCCTGAGAAATGGCCAGGCCATATTCTGGGTGGGCGAACTACCTGGTACCTCGAGGAGGAAGAGAAAGCATTTTCTGCCCCCCCTTCTTCTTCTGAGGGGCAGAGAAGGGGAAGTGTGTGGGGTCTATGTGGGGGGGGGAGCGTTGATTTCCGAGGGCGATCCCAGCGATATGAATGACTCAAGTGCAGGTGGGGGGGATGTTTAGAGGGGTGGGATTCCCCTTCTCCGGTTTTGAGGCGCGCGCTTGGGTTCCATGAGATTTCTCCCCTTCCTGGATTTCTGTTACGGCGGGAAGAAAAGGAAGGAAGGGGAGGGCAGGCAAAGGGGAAAACGTGCCTCCTGCGAATCAAGGCGCCGATTCGCTGTTGTGCGATGTCTCAAGCAAGTGTTTTTAGCGGGATCCCTTGCTTTAAAGGTAACGCCGAAAAGGGGTAGGGTTTTAACCATTGCACAAATCGCACATCCCCTTTCCAGGCTTTAGGCTGCAGCCTTAGCCCCCACTTAACCTGGAAGTAAACCCCATTGAATTCAGTAGCAGTTATTTCTGGGTAGAAATGGTGAGGATTGGAATATTGGGGTTATACTTAATGAGTCTGCACAGTGTCCACTGAGATTTCCAAACCTGTCTTTTGACTTAGTTGGTAGTACTTTTTTTAAAGCAAATCTGGTTATGTTAGTGCTTTTATGAAAATGCATGCAAAATATGAATTGATTATTCAGGTGCTATTTGAATGCTAGCACAGGGATCAAATCAGCCTTTAATATATTTTAGAAAGAACTTGAGTGTTAGTAATTTATGAGTGGCACATGAATTTGTTTTGTTTAACAATTTATAAATGACAGCTTTTAAAAATTGCTGCTCATCCAGACATGTAAGATTTTGAATATTGGGTATTCAGTGAAGTTTATTCAGAGCAGACCTACTGAAATTTAGAAACTTAATTTAGCCATGTCCATTAATGTCAGTGGGCCAGCTCCAAGTTGAATTAAAATGGGATAAAACTCACTGTGTTCTAAATTTTTATTTTAATAAATTTAAAATATGTGAAAATGGTTGTAGCATGGATTTTTTTCCATGATGGGACAAAGGTGAGATACTAATGAAACAAATAGGTGAAGCAGAATATGCTGATTTCAATGTTATTTTTAGGTCACAACCAAAGACAATATAGCTGTTGTGAGAAATGCCTGAAGTTGTAGGTAAAATGTGAAAGAATATAAAATTTGATCAAAAGCAATTCATGCTGTGTTCAGAAACACTGCTTTTGAAGCTAACTAGAAATATAAATAAAATTACACTGTGAAAAGCGGCTTCCTTTATTGTATTTGAAAAGCATCAAACATTTGCAATGGGAGGTTATTGGTCAGATTAGCGTAGCTGTTGGGTTACAGCTACTAGTGTGAGCAGAAAGTAGGACAAACACCTATACCTTTTAATTATTGTGTAGACGAAGGGATTTCAGATAATTGAAGCTAGTTATGTAGGGTGAGAAACCATGACTACCAAAATTCCATCTTCTAACTAATTATTAAAGATCACTGTTGTCATTTGCATGATCTCACCCTGGTATCTGTACTTTTGACATATTTAGTCGTTAGAATGTAATTGTTTATATATTTATAGCAAGGAGTTGTATTGACTAAGTTCTACTCTGGAGTATGCCTATTTGAAATTACCGTAACCTATGCTAACCATGCCCATTAATTTCAGTGAGTCTGCTCTGGGTATTACTGAAGTTGGATACAGTCCATACAATTTACCACCATTACACTATTTGGATTAAATGGGTGAGCAGTTATGGGCATGATCTTTGTCATCTTCTCTTTGCCTGTACATAAAGCCCAACAGTGTTGCTATTTCTCCATACATCTTTTGTAATTGTTTCAGTTGTTCTATTTTATATTAAGGTTCAGCTTTCGAAATGAAGTTTTAAAAACCCCCACTTATATAGGGAATAGATTTCTTGAGATTCCTGCCTCTGTGGTGGTGAAGACCAATTCAGCAGTTCATTTGTCTTCAACACAGTTCTGTTCTGCCCTAATATTTATGCAACTGTCATTTAAAGCCAATTAGTTAGTTTTGGCCTTTGTTAATGGAATGTATAAATCTTGGAAGCCTAAATCCTCATAAACCTTGTTTTAAGATTAAATTTAGTATCTTTAATCCTGTTGGGAATTTTACAAATTATGTTTGTGAGAGGATTTTAATAGTGCTGTATTTCTGAACACACAAAAAAGCAATACACAAAGATTTGTGTGTGTGTAAACCCTATTAATTTTCTGGATTTCCACTTTGTAAACCCAATGAAATGTAAGTGAATTGACAACCACTAGGAATTTCCTTGCTTGCTTTTTTCTGGACTTTTCTCTTGCAAATCTTTACAATATACAAGCAGATTCTACCGGTTTTAATGAAACATTTTGCTTTGCTTTAAGCACATTCTTGCATGTTTGCCAGCAAAGTGGTCCAATAAAAATTATCCTAATGTAAGCTGCTTCTTTTTATGGAACCACCACCAAAGCATCATTTCAGGGTAACTTATAGAAGCTATATATTATTCAAGTTGAGAAATCGCTTGGAGTAAGTTCTTTCTGATCAGTAGTAGATTGAGATATCTTTGTACCTTGAGCACAATCTCATTCAATACTTTGATTTTGAGATTCTTTTGGAGCAGATATTAGCCTGACCAATTTAAAGCATGTAATAATAACAATAATTTATTATTTATACCCTGCCCATCTGACTGGGTTTCCCCAGCCACTCTGGGCGACTCCCAGTAGAATATTAAAAACATGATAAAACATTAAACATTAAAAAGTTCCCTAAACAGGGCTGCCTTTGGATGTGGGTTGGATCCAGATTAACAGCAATCCAACACCCAAAACACATTCTGCTGAGCTGTTAGGAGGGTTGGATTGCGTGAAGGTGTTTTTTCTGCTCAGCTCTATTCTTCTGTCAGGTCTGACCTTCCTCTTTTGCCTGCCGAATGTGCAGATTAGGAAGGAGAGCAATAGGTGTTCGATATAAGCACACTGAATTTGGATCCCATTGAAATATATGGGACAAGTTATCTTGACTAACTTGTCCCTTATATTTCAGTGAGATTCAGGTTCAACAAATTTATTCTGGTTCTAATCATGTATTTATAACATTGTTGCTGTTTGTAGCTGATTATATATTAAAATTCTATCAGCTGGATATTAGGGCTGAGCGATGTCTGGTTCTTAATATCATGATATATTGCCAGATAAACATTGCAATATACAGATATATCACAATGTCTGAAATAAGGATGGAACTATGTAGAGGCGAATGGGGTAATGTCCTGGCAACTGCTACTACTTAGGGGTCTAAATCGGATACATTTTTTACTTATCTTTATCGTTACAACTGTTATTTTAAAGTACAGAGCAACAGGGGCTGCAGGATTCATGAGAAAAGCGATGACTGGCCACACTCATGATCCCTTCCAACTCTACAATTCTATGATTCTTTATCCACATCACAATTATTATTTTTTACATAGCACATCACAATTCACAATATATCACCATGTTGTATACAGTTGTATCTTGGTTGTCTCGGACGTTTTGGCTCCCAAACGCCGCAAACCAGAAGTGATTGTTCCGGTTTGCAAACATTCTTTTGGAACCCGAACATCTGACAGGGCTTCCGCAGCTTCTGATTGCAGCCAATCAGAAGCCGTGATTTGGTTTCTGAACATTTTGGAAGTCAGAAGGACTTCTGGAACGGATTCCATTCGACTTCCAAGGTACGGTAATATTATGAAACTGTTACCATAATGTAGACTTCAGACTGATTTTGGATGATATATTGATACATCTCCCAGCCCTATTAGATATGGGTATTTGACAGAAATCTGCTAATTGGACACTCCTGTGGGCAGAAGGTGATTTTCAGCAGTTCTTCCCCATCAGCTGCCTGTGTACCTGCTTGATGGGGGACACCTAGAACAATGTAAGAGGAGGCATGGCAGACTGCAGTGAGAAGTAGGGGTGTTGTCACAAAACATCCTTCCTGTGGGAGCATGCGCTGAATTATGTATTCCCATTCACAGACAGAAGAAGCCCTTCCATTCAACTAAATACATTTTAAGTGATGTCAGAGGTGTAGAAGTAACTTTTTCTACTTAGACTTCTCAAAACTGTTCTATTAACAAAATCATCTCTTTATTGTTGGAATTGTATAGAATGCAATTCTAATGCAAAAACATGCAAAAACTGCATGTTTGCAAAAACTAATGCAAAAACATGTAGAGCCACAAGACAAATGGGAAATCTACATCTGCCTACTGTCCATTTTCCATCCACAGTATTCAAGACTCTCAGTACTATTATGCACTATTTTATATTGCCTTACATAAGAAAGGAAATCCCTTATAATTTGTATATGGTCTGTTCTGTATGTGCAATTTCATATACAGTCGTACCTTGGATCTTGAACGATTTGCAAGACAAATGTTTTGGGTCCCGAACACCGCAAACTTGGAAGTGATTGTTCCGGTTTGCAAATGTTCTTTGGAACCCGAACATCCGTCGCTGGATTCGGAGACACATGGTGGAGCTTGCACCAGTTTTTCCAGCCTGTTGCGTTCGGCCATACTGCACAATCCATCTGTTCTTTCCTGGAGGCCTTGCTGCTAAGATTAGTGAGAACAAATTGAGATTAGATTGAGAAAGTATATCAAAAATAGTTTCTAACTTTTCCCCCCCTTTGGTCTCTTAAGAGAGAAGGGTACAGAGAGACCTGTTATGGTACAGAAGGAGCTATGGAAATCGGAGAAGAAGGAAGTGCAGGCAGTCATACCTGAGGGATGTGGAAAAGGGGATAGCAGAGAGATGGCGGTGTGGAGACCTATGGAGTGTAGGAAAAATGATTAGCAGAGGCATGGGCATATAGAAGGACATATGGAATGGGAAAACAAAAGAAGATGCAAGATAGAGGTTCAAAGAAGATATTGCTATGTGGTGAAGGTACAAAAAGGGGTAGTATGAAGGTGTAAAGAGGTCTGTAAAGAGTAGAGAATGAATAGTAAGCAACAAAAATGGAGCTGTAGAGATACCTTTGCGTAGGGAAAGAGAAAAAGAATGGGTATCTGAGATGTGTACAGAGAAGAAGCAGCCATCCATTGGTCTACAGTAGAGGAAGCGAAGGTAACTAGGGTCACCATTAGCTCTGCTGAAGGAATGAGGCCTGCTTTCCATCTCCCCACTGAAGCCGCCTGCAAGAATGGCTGTTACCAGGTAGCAGCTGAGGGAGAGGAAGATTTAAAGTTGCTTGTGTATTTGTTTTTTAAGATGTTTCTTGATACCACACATACGAACATATGTCTGAAGTGTATGCCTAAGCAGAGTGGAGAAGCCTAGGAAGTACTGAGTGTTGCTCATATAATAACTTCTGATATGGCAAAGGTGTGCCTAAAGTTGTTCTAAGAAGGCCACACAAAAAACTGCAAAAAAATTATTCTGGTTGTGTTTAAGCTTTGGTTTAAGGGTGTATGCTTGAATGGATTTAGGTTTAATCCTAATCATTTTTTGTGAGCAAATCCCCTTGAATTATTGGAATTTGAGCAAACATGTTTAGGCCAAATTGTCAGAGTAGCATTCTTTTGGAAACATTTTGTTTGCTCTTTCTGCTATGCTCTCGATTTCTGAAAGTTGTGTCAGTGCTTTATGTTAAACTCTGAATCATTTCAAAGACGGTGCAGTGATTCTGGAAAATTTGGAATATGCCACAGTGAACGCGCATTTTAAAGGTAGTATGTCATAAGGGCTACATTGCCACAGCATAATTTGTTCAGGCCCCTGTGGACTCTGCTTCATTTGATTTCAAAAGAAGTTTGAATGGTGATAGTCATATGTTAGATACCCCAGTCAGCAGTAGGGGACATTTTGAATGGCTACTGCTTATAGAAAGGGTGGGGAACCTCTCCCTATGTCAAAGGCTTCACCCACTCATGGGAAATATATCTGTGATGCACACCGGGCATCGACATAGCCAGAACTGGTGGTGAGCAGGGCTGATACCAAAAAGGGCCAGGGCCAGAATTAACAGTAGGTCACCTGTTTTCTTTCTACCACCCCTCTCTCTGGCACTGTCTCTCTCTCTCACACCTCTTCCCCCATCCCCATTACTTCCCTGCTGAAAAGCCCTTCGTCCTGCAATGAAACATAAGATAGAGAAAAGTCCCAGTCATGTACGGTAAATAGTACCTTTTTTGTTAGCACAGCTGGAAGGAGGGACAGCTGTGGGCCAGATCCCAAGGTGCCAAAAGTCATACAAACATTCTTGAAGAACTGTAATAGTTCCTATGTTTTGCAACTCTCTTCCATTGCATATCAGACAGGTGCCTTTTCTATTGCCTTTTTGGCATCTGCTAAAGATGTCCCTCTTTCAACAAACCCCTAAAATCTGTATCCAGGTTGGTACCTGTTTTGGATTGGAACTGGTCTTTTGTATTTGCTGTCATTTTAAACTCTTTCATATTTCTAATACTTTTTTAAAAAAAAACCTATGTGCAGTTGTTTTAAGTTTTTATTTATGTACTGTTTTATATATATTGTTGTAAATTGCTTCAGGATGCCTCAAAGGAAGTGAATCATAAATGAAATAAAAGAAATAGGACTATTGTTTATTTACTAGAAAATAAATACTAGTCTATTTAACAACACTTAGGAGCATTCTTAAATATAATCATTTTACTAATGCACAAATAATTGAGAGTTTGAAAATAATAGTTTTGATTCAAAATAAAAGTATTTGTGTTTAAAATGCTTTTTATGTTATGCTTTCATGGTGGGAGAATCCTCCTGCAGGTCACTTTGGTGTCAAAATATTATGTGGTGAGATGACAATATGTGTTAGTACCGCTGATGCTGTCAGTGATCTAGATAAAACTTACCCCCAAGAAGGATTCAGACTTTGAATCCCAGGGTTGTAGTCATTGGTAGTTCAGTTTGGAGTAGATCCATTGAAATTAATGGTCCTGACCAACTTATTTCTATTAATTTCAGTGCGTCTACTCTGAGTCTGGTGGAGTTTGATACAACACCTAAACATGGCAGTTACCATGAAAATGTAATCTTACTGATATTATCAAAAATGTGTACTAAATTATAATGTGTGCCACACTCAAGCATTATTTATTTATCTATGGTTTGCTTCGCATGATACATCCCAAACTAAATAACAATAAAAATATCAACAATAAAAACAAGCAACAACAACTTCAGATCCAATTTGGATGTGGAACGTTTTAATAATGTTCTATTATACTTAGTAATAAGCTCTTTTCTGAAACAGATAACCTTGCATTCTGTATATTTGAGAATTTATCTTTTGGAAGTATCTGCGGTGTGTTAGTTTCCCTGAAGAAAAACAAGAATGGAAGTTTTTGTCTGGATCTTGCAAATATTTCTGCACCAAAATAGCATGCTCTCATATCAGTTTTTCTACAGTGGTTGGCCTATAAATTGTAGGTGTATGAGGAGTCTACTAATAACTCTTAGTGACCATAACAAATTACACATCCCAGGATCCTTTGGGAGAAACCATGATTCTTAAAGTGTTTTAAATGTATGATATGGATCTGATCATTGATGAAAGAATAGTTGGCCCCCATTGTGCAATGTTACCCTAAAAATGAGCACCCTCCTCCTGTTTTGGGCAGTGATTATTACTGGTAGCTATCTTTAACCCTAGTTTCTGTTAACTGAGTCCCCCTTATTCTCATCATAGATAGTATATAGGCATTTCTGCTATCATTTTTTTAAAAATAAAACTCAAAATTGATAACCCCTGAGTTAGATACTGATGCATGGGGAGTGATCCTGCTTAGCACTGGGCTCTCCTATGCACCCAAGCCCAGCACAAAGCAATATCACCACTCTCCCTTCACATTGCCTGATGTGAAGGGAGAGTGATCCTGCTTTAGCGTTAAATCCTCACTTTGTGCAGTGCTTCATAGGCTCCCAGGAACCAGTTGGTTGTCTGGTTCTTTGGAAGCTGCACAAAGCAGAGATTGAACAAGTCCTAACCTTCCAGTCAAGTCCCAACCACAATGCCCTCAAGGGCCAAACGAGGAAGCCTGGTAGGGCAAGATTGGCATGTGAGCCAGGCATTCCCCACCTCTGCTATATGCAACAAAGGGAGGTTGTTCTCACAAAGTACCATCTCAATAGGATAACAATTATTAGAAGAGCTAATAGTTACATGTCAGTTATTGATCCAATGGACTACATTTTTTTAAAGTCTGTCCCCTAAGAATGTGTCTAAAGGTATAGTGGATCTGAACTAAAACATTCTCAATTTGACCGTCTGATGATGATGGTTTTTAAAACCATGCTTGCCTTGAAGAGGAGTCACTATTCTTTACTACTCAGTAATGAGATGCCTTGAGGCTTAGAACACTACTGCTTGCTTTCCTCTCTGTGATCATGACCTTGAATACATTTTAGTTGTCCCTTTCTGAAGTTTAAATGAATTTATTACTCACGAACACATTAACAGCAGGTTGTTCTGAAATGAATATTGTAATCCATGACTAGCCTGGAAGTGTAGTAAAAGCTGCCTTATATAGGAGGTAAAAACAGAGATGGTAATTTTAAAAGTATCTGTAATAGGTTAGCCCTGATAAAAAGCATAGCTTTATCTGTCTTAATTTTTAAGCTTTTAAAATTCGTAACACTCTGACTATATGTAGTTTAGGTGGTCAAAAATCATTATTGTTGCACATAATTTTATAATCTGTTTTATAATTTTTTTATCTGTAATTTGTGTCAGTCTCAAATTTGTCTTTAAACATAGGTGTTCTAATTTGCTGTTTTCCACACTTTGCTAACCAGTTGGCGACTAAACTTGGCACTCTTAACATAAAGGGTCAAGTAACTGAAAAAGCTGTATTCCATTTAGGCCTAATGCATTTAAATATGGAAAATAGAAATCAGGATTTACCATAAAAGTAGCCCAGTCAGAAGGCCACAAACTGCAGTACTTGATTGAGGTTCAGACTCATAACAGTAAAAAAAAAAAGTATTATAAAGAATACACTGTTCTCCAGTGATACTGATCAGGCTTAATGCCTCCGACAAAGCCAAGTGGTAGAAATGTGGAGAACCTGAACAACTGTGACCTACATTGGAATTGCAAAGTTGCCAATAAACTATGGGCAGAAGTCAGACAGTGAATCAACTTTACTCACAGACTTATTTGTGAGTTACCTTTTGGTCTTTTAATGATTGGGCAAATGATAAATTACAAATTTTAATAGATTCCTGTTCAGCCTGAAGGCTCCCAGAAGGGCTTACACAATTTAAAAACAAACAAACCCCAATACACCACAACTGCTAAAAGTTAGTAGAACAGAAACATCATAAAAATTGAGTTACACTGACACACATGTCTTAATTCTGTCAGTTAGATTGTGGACATGTGCTCTACAGGGAGCTGTTTTTAAAAACTCTTCAGAAACTTCTGCTTTTCCAGAATGCAGCAACTAGAAGTTTGACCAGAGCCAGTTTTTGGAGGAATGCATGTGATAGCCCCCTTGCCTTTTGCAACAATTCACTGACTTCAGGCCCATTTCAAAGTGTTGACTAGCTTTTAAAGTCCTGTACAGTTAATACTTAAAGAACTGTATCCTCTCATATGAGCCTGCCCACTCATTGTTTGAAGTTACAAGTGTTAGCATCCACACTTTACTATTACATCTGTGATATTTTATATGTAATGATTCAGATGTGCCATAACACATGTGTTCTGATAATTTGAAGTTCTTACTCCTAGATGGTGCCAACGACTGTTATGGAGCCTATCCATTTGTGGGGGTGTCAGTTTGTGTGGAACAATATACTTGGGGTTTCAAGTCTGTTGTGTTATATAATTATTCCTTCACTGAAGGTAGAACAGAAATTGTTTGCAATTACCTTGTTTCCTTTGGCTTAGTGGTTTTTAATCCTTGGATTATTGCTGAATGTATGCTACTCTTAATATCCCGACTATTTACATTGAATTAGATTGGATTGCGGGGGGGGGGGGTTATGCCTTTTAAGTAAAATTTCTGTGCTTCAAAAGTGTATGTTAAAGGTAATTGTGTTCATTTCAGGAAACAAACTAAAAGTCAAGTGTGTGGATTATTTTCTCAAAGTGAAAGAGATGAGTCCTTCATAGGTTGAACAATCTTGCAGTTCTGAATAATTTTGGGGAGCGAAATCTTGCTTTTGTTTTCCCTGTATGTCTTGACATCACTTAGGAGCTGGGTTCTCTTGTTCACTTCAAAAGGATTCATTAGCAAGGCTCTACAACAAGGGTCAGCAACCTTATTCAGCCGTGGGCCAGTCCACCGTCCCTCAGACCATGTGGTGGGCTGGACTATTTTTGGGGGGGGGGGGAATGAACGAATTCCTGTGCCCCACAAAGAACCCAGAAATGCATTTGAAATAAAAACACACATTCTATTCATGTAAAAACACCAGGCAGGCTTCACAAATAACTCAGAGATGCATTTCAAATAAAAGAACACATTCTACTCATGTAAAAACACGCTGATTCTCAGACCGTCCGTGGGCCGGATTGAGAAGGTGATTGGGCCGTATCCGGCCCACGGGCCTTAGGTTGCCTACCCCTGCTCTACAAATTGAGCCTGGCCTTGGGACCAACCAAAAACATGTAGTTTCCAGGGCCTTTCTCCTCCCCTAAAGTGTAGAAATATAATTTCTGACCTCATGGCATGCCTTTGAGACTGAACTTTTATTTTGGCACTGTGTTACTGATGCACTCAAAGCACTTTGGCGGCAGGGCACCAAAATGAACAAATCGAAAAGGGGTTGTCCCTTTCGTTGCACTGTGTTTTGAACACTCTGGGAAAGATGCCTGTTGCCTGTTCCACCACCAAGCTTGGGTGGAAGATGGGGATTGGTCATGTGCATCATAGAGTAGCAGAACTGAGGTGACGGCTGCACATTGGGGATGTTTCTGTGCTAGATGACTACACTGAGGAATCATGGGTTAAAGCGTAAATTGTAGAATGCAAGCACCTGTTTGGAACATGAATATAATTGGAACTGAAGTTATAACAGATTTGCTATTTCAGGCAGCTTCATAGCATTGTAAACAACTACCAACAGCCTGTTGGTAGGTTCTAGTAATAACTTTGTCAACTGGGCCTTTGTTATTCTAGATATAATTTAAAAAACATTATTTCTTTCTTAAAAATAGGGAATTGTAAATATCGTTAAGGAATCTGTGAAGAGTATTGTTCCAGCTTGGCTTCAGAGATATTTCAGGCAAAGCGAAGAGGAATCCCCAAGTGAACAAAGGAGCTTAGAGGAGAATGTAAACTATCATCCTGCCTTTGAAGATGATGATGCTGACAATACCCTTGAGATTGATGGACGAATTACTCCCGAGCCAACAAGAATTACTTTAGATGGTAGGCTAAATATCTTCTCCAACCTCACAGCTAGTGTCTAACAATTTGTTCTAGAGATCTATTTACAAATATCAAAACATTTTAATGGTTTTCTTAACTGCAAACTGAGGGATGCTATTTTATATACGTCAAATATTCTGTTAAAAGAGAGTAATTACAGACCCCTTGATATTCTGGTGCAAGGGTAGGGAACCTCAACCTACTGGCCAACCTTAGCTTGCCAGGGGTTCAAATTTTCTTCCAAAAGGCCATTTTTAAAACCACACCCATCTCCTAATCTGATGGGCAGATGACGTCAGCAGATGAGCAGGAGACGGGTTTTAGTTTTGCAAGTTCCTGTTCCCTATGAGGAGGAGTAATTCCGAGGGGTCAAACAAAGAAATAATAAAAAAGTGACAAAAAAGTTATTTTTATAATGACGAGTTTTGCGGCTCCCAGTTTTTTTTTCTTTGGAAACGGGTCCAAGTGGCTCTTTTTGTCTTAAAGGTTGCAGACCCCTGCACTAGAGTATAGATTGGCGTACCCAGGATCATCTTTCGTTTTGTTTTTAACATCGCAACTAATGTTTCACTGTCAGTGCTATCATTTATATTGTGTTGTAGTAATGTAGTACTTGGAAGAAATGTAGTAGCTATTCTCAGATGGATAGATGAAACCATACATGTATGTGGCACAGGTTAAATTTAGCTTATCGTCTATTTTTTACACTTGAAGCTTAGCAATAGAACTAGTGTTGACAGTAAATAGCTTTTGACTGTTCCGTATGCATACCTGCAACTAAAGATAATTCTGATTGTGCTGCTTTGTTCCTCTTTAGAGCCCTCGACAAGTAGATCTGGTTTAAGCTTCACAGATATTTTAACAAGACCCTCTCTCCACCGGAGTCATCTTAATTTCAACATCTTGGATTCCCCACCTCCACTTTGTCAACCCTCCACATCATCTGCATTTCCAATTAGTAATTCTGGACTTTCACTTGGGAAAGAAATGAAAGATTCTACCTCTCAGCATGATGATGACAACATCTCAACTACAAGTGGCTTTTCTTCGAGGGCGTCTGACAAAGGTAGCAAAGTTCACCAGAATCATTAGGATCTTTTTGTATGATTATTCCATAACGTGACTAGGTTTTGTTATACTGACATCACTTTAGAAGAGATGGTGCACCAATGACAGATATTAACTGTGCATTTTAAGACTCTGATGTTATTAATGCAGTGTTATTTTGGGGGAGTGGGGAGAGGCAGCAGAGTATGAGGGAAGGAAGTTATCCCATGGTCCTTCGATGCAGAGAGCCAAATTAGGCGTGTTAATATATCTATGCTATTTTTCACCCAAAGGACCCCCAAGGCAGTTTGCAAACAACATGAAACACAATTAAGAACAGGAACAGATGAGAGCAGCAACTAATAAAACATAGTAGTATATTTTTAAAAGAACACAGTAACAACAGGAGTCAGCCATCACAAACTAGTCTTGGAGAAAGAAATTAGGCACTATTAAAAGCCCATTGGAATGGTATACACCATTAAGGGCCAGTGTTGTTGTTTTTGCCAGGGTGTGTGTGGAAAACCTACTAGATCAGAACTATTAAGACCTATGTATCATGAATTCCCACTTGTTAAATTATATATGTTTTCCTTTTGGGAAAGGAAGAGGGGAGAAAACCTCCATAGATCTCAGTTTCTTCCTCCTTTCACTCAATTCCTCACTTCTTTCCCTCCATCCCTCCCTTCTTTCCATGAGCTAGATAAAGAAAAGTAGTGTATTTTCTTTCAAAGAATTTCTGGACTGCAAAATGGGAAATGTAGGGGGACAAAACTTTAATATTGTGGTTATCGTAGTATTAATGATCACTATTTTATAATATAAAAAGAGCATTGATGCAGTTGTGTACACATGTTGTCTTTTTAGATATAACAGTTTCAAAAGTTGCTTCAGTACCACCTCTTTGGTCCTCGGAGAGTGAAAGACTTGTCTCCCTTTCTCAGCATTCAGCCACCAGCTCTAAAAAGCCTGGCTTTAATCTGTCTGCTTTTGGAGCCCTTTCCCCTGTAAGTACTGCACAACGTTTGCTTTAACTATGTTACTTCTGTATCCATTTTGCTAATTAGATATCAATATGTGTTTGCAGTCACTTGGTAATGCATCAGCTTTTAAGACAAGCCAGCTTGGGAATTCTCCATTTTATCCTGGAAAAACCATGTATGGTGGTGCAGCTGCAGCAGCAAGGCAGTCTAAAGCACGGATTACTCCTTATCAGGTAACAGAAATGCTGGTGATCTATGGAGGATGTGAAAGAAGAAGCTACTTATATTAATAATTCTGATATAGCTTTTCACGTTGTACTTTCCATAGTATATGCATACAAGTATTTCATTCTTTTGGTAACAATAACTTTAGTGATGCAGCTCTGGAATACAAACGAATCTCAGCCTGTTCTGGTTCATACGTAATGTTAAATTATGGCTACTTAAAAAACAGAAATGAGTACTGTCTCCTTGTGGCTGTGCTGGGGGAGAGGAGTGGGGAACTGTCAAGCCAGAAACTCTATGTTGTCACCACCCACCTTTCCACTGGCAGAAATTCACTCTTTAGAGGGTCCACCTGGTGGGCAGGGCAATCTCCTTGCCAGTTCAACTTACCACCAGCCTCACTGCAGGTCACTCTTGCAGGCAGCTCTGGGTACTGTAAAAGAGAAAAGGCGGGAATGCCATTTTGGAAGGGATCATGGCTTAAAATAACTATTCAGTTTCTAAACAAGTCATTGTTAAACCATGGTCTTCGAAGCTGCCTTGTGTACCTAAGTCACTTGTTTTCATCATATGTGAAATGATTTTGCGCAACGAAACAAAAACTCTAGCAATGACCTTCCTTGTAGCCAAGCAGGAGGAAAAGAGTGAAGGATGGAGTTTGTGAGCCTGAAACTTTGCTCATTCTAGCTCATGCACATAATCTTAAACTGGGTTTAGTGCAGGCTTCCTCAACTTCGGCCCTCCAGATGTTTTTGGCCTACAACTCCCATGATCCCTAGCTAGCTAGACCAGTGGTCAGGGATGATGGGAATTGTAGTCTCAAAACATCTGGAGAGCCGAGGTTGAGGAAGCCTGGTTTAGTGTTACATGTGAACCAGAGCAGTGGTAAAATGTGGCTTAGCTTGACTTGCAAATGTCCAAACAGGTTAGTTGCTGAATTTGGATGTGACAATAAAGCACTGCAAGAACGTGTCATGGTGAAACTTGAGTTTGCAGTGTGTGAGGGCATAACAACTATAATTTAAGTTGTAAACTCTTTGTGGGCAGGGACCTGTCATCTGTTCCCTCTGAAACACCTGAAGTCCATGTTCACTGATAATGTATATATGATGGATATTAATATGTATGAGGTCTACAGAAAATACTCTCATTAGGCTACCTGGGCCACGTTGAGTATATTTGAGTCCTTTCTCTCCAAATCCCTTCTAGACCTTTGGAGATCAACATGATAACTGACTGTAATAGTGTGTAGACCCAAAGCTTCAAATCACACAATGTAACATCCATAATCTTGTTTTTTTAAGACACCAGTAAGAAGGCAGATGAAAGCCAAGCAAGTGAATGCACAATCTTATGGAGTGACAAGTTCTACTGCACGGCGCATCCTGCAGTCTCTGGAGAAGATGTCAAGCCCAATAGCGGTAAATTTCTCTCTTTGAAATGTTATTTATTCAGTACATAACATGAAGCTTTCTAATCCTGTATTGCATTAGGCAAACTCTTGCTTTGAATACATATGGCTTAACTTACTTCAGTGCTGTTGTTTTTCCAACAGGATGCTAAAAGAATCCCATCTTCTTCATTTTCATCTGTAAGTTAGTCTTCAAACTTATTTAATGCATGGAGTTGTTATTGTGGTTTTAATCACGCTTGTTAATTGGTGTTTTAATCACGCTTGTTAATTTGGGTGTTTTGTTTTCCAGCCTGCAGAAAGAAGTATGCAGAATATCACTGACTTCCATTCACCAAGGAAAAGGGTAAGTTAACTTTCATGTCTTAGTTGCTTCTAAGTGGTGTAGAACTGTTTTATATTTTATGTTTGATATGCAGCAGACATGAAATTGCCTATGGATTCCACTATAGATAGCTGCTGGTATTTGCCTACTTATGTTTTTTAAAAATCCATTTACTTGGTTTTGAAAATTGGAACCTAGAGCAAATGTTAGTGGAATGCTAAATTAAGCTTTTATAAAACCAGTGTTGTAGTCGATGAATAAATTCATAAATTGCACTGCATCTGTATCTTCTGTCTTGAATATACCTATCAGATGTGTTTCTGTCATCCAGACTAAAATGTGCAACAAGGAGAAAACAAGAGGCTTATGTTTACATGCTAGAGGTGCCGTATGTAAGGCAAAACTTTCACATGGTTTGCTAGATCTTCTGTCCTCAATGAGGGTTGTTGAAGATATCATTGTGGGGGGGGGGACCATTTTGGAGGCCCTACTCTAACTGTAACAGACTTTAGGAAACGGTATCTCTTTGTGAATAGTGGGTACAACCTAATGAAGTCAGTTTAAAAAAAACAACACATTTATTTGCAGGATTGGCCAGGTATAAGCAAGCACTATTTCAGCTTAAATTTGCAGGTTGTTGACTCACACTTGTGCAGAAAACATGGAACACCAGCTAACAGGCAACAGAAACTAGAGATGTCAGAAAGAAAACTCTGTACCCAGCTGTCATTAAGTGAAAAAAAGAGGAATTGTCTATTCATACTGTAGTAAATGGTTGGCAGCAGTAATTCTTGGCCAAGAAAGGTTTGCTGGTGATTTGCCACCGGAGTGAGTGGGCTGTCAACAGTCCACTTAATTTCTTGAGTAAAACAGTTACAGATGTCTGTACAGTTGGTATTCTAAAGACCTGTGTCTTCAATCTGGAACTTATCTACATTAATCAGATAATTATAATTTATTTTTAATGCCTTGAATTGTTCAAACAGTGATACTGAGTTTTTATGGTGAACATCATTTGGAAGTTGCACATTACTTTCAGGGCCTACTTCCATCAAAATAGCCTTGCCAAATTCAATTTTTTTGTCACTATTTCTGAATAAATAATATTTAGATGCAAACCAGTTTTACTGTAGAGGGCAGGGGGAGAGATCATTACTACTTGTAAAGATAAGCAAAAAAATTGGACCTGTTTTGCCATTTTCTGAATACAACACTACAATGTTGGATTAATACTAGATAGTAGTCATTTTTCTAGTTCAATGGTTCTCAAACTTTTTTTCACTGGGCCACACTTTCAGAATATAAATTTTCTCAAGCCATACTGATATTTATATATATATATGTGTGTGTATGTGTGTGTGTGTGTGTGTGTGTGTGTGTATATATATATATATATATATATATATATATGAGAAATACATTGGGAAACACAACAAGGATTGTCCTCAGTATCACTTTATGTTCTTGCTCTCATCTTGAAAAGAAATCTATCCATATTCTGCAAAGTAAAAAATACATTTTGATACTATCCTATACTACACTGAAATGTTTAAGTGTTTCTTTGATTGTCCTTGAATCTTCCCTCCACGCTTGCCGTCCTCTCCTGCCCCACCAGTGTGGTGTGCCACACCCTTTAAGAATCACAGGCTTGGTTTATAAATATAATGGTGATGGGATGTGCTAGAAAAATCACAAAAGGGTCCTGGATTTTCCTTCCTCCTGAGCCGTCAGCTTCTCAGGAGGGTTGGGGGGACCTTGCAAAACAGTGTTGGAAATGCCGCTGACATTAGCAGAGGGGGAAGGTGGCACTGGAGGGAATTTTCCCCTTCCATTAGTAGAACAGCGGGTCCAAGGCACTTCAATCTATGAAAAGGGACCTTTGCATCCAGCCTGGTGTCTGCATGCAACTCCCTTTCACACCTGCACACTCCCATTAGGCTCTATTTCACGTGGAAAGTCCATAGAATTGCAAAAGTTGACCATGATGATGTTTATCAGCACCTGATATCAAATTCCCCTATAGACCTAACCTAATTGGTGCACATGACCCACTCCTTGCACCAATCAAAATGTGCAGAAGAGGTATTAGTAGAATGCTAGGATTTTAAAAACCTCCTTAAAATGTTGTCTAAAACCAGTACATCTGAAAGCAGAGTGTTGGACTTGTGATGACATCCATCTCCTGTAGAAAAGGAACTTACTTAACTTTGAAAAGATAGTTCCGCCCACTCGCTCCCAACAGACAGGGCTATGCAAATCAGATGTTTAACTGCCATCCTGTGTAGAAGAGAGCTTTCTCCAGTCTGACACAGCAAGCAGGGAATAACTCCAGAGATGCTTGAACGCTCCTGGATAATATAATGGTACCTCGGGTTACATACGCTTCAGGTTACAGACTCCGCTAACCCAGAAATAGTACCTTGGGTTAAGAACTTTGCTTCAGGATGAGAACAGAAATCGTGCTGCGGCAGCAGCAGGAGGCCCCATTAGCTAAAGTGGTGCTTCAGGTTAAGAACGGACCTCCAGAAAGGATTAAGTATGTAACCAGAGGTACCACTGTAAAGGGACAGCAGCCATTGACAACAGAGACGCAAGATCAAACATGGGTATCCTCACACCCAATTAGGACTGACTGAGACCCTTACAGCAGGGTTTTTCAAAAGTGGGTCCCCAGTTGTTGTTGGAAAATGGCTCCCTTCATCCCCAGTGGGGACCCAAGTTTGAGAAACCCTGCCTTACAGCCTGAGGCCACCCCCGCAACTCCCTCTAGCAGTAAGAAACACTTCTCCAGGGTGGGGAGGAAACCCTTCATGCAGATTAGGAACTTAAAACAAGAAGTGCAGTATTCTCTTTTCCTACAGTAAAAATACATTCACTGTATTAAAAGCTGTATCCGTTACACGGTGAGGGACCAGAGACACCATCTGCTCCCGGGCATAGAAGTAGACACTTTGTAAAACAGGAATTCAGGTATTGATCCGTTTCACCAGTATGGCTTTGAAGACTTCCTTTCCCACAGTTTTAGGGTGAAAGGGATACACAAAGGCAGGGTTTTACTTAGTAAAAATAAAATAAAAATAGAGGAGCTGGTATTCGTGTATTGATAACAGTGCCATGAGTGTCAGCATAACATAGCTGACATTACAGCAAAAAAGAAAAGAAGGTGCCGACACTTTACTAGTGAGTACTGTCACAAAAAAGCCATGCATGTAGCTTATCTCTGCAAAAGAAAATTCTGGAACTCTTTTAATTTCCTTGCCAGACATCTCAGTTCAGGTCTGACAGTTAACCTCTTGATGGCAAGGTTTGTGGAAATTACCTAGCAGCTCCCCAACTAAATGGGAACATTTCATGAGTCTTAGGTAACCACAATTTGTTTTTAAATAAAATTGGTAATAAGGGATGCATTTGTATTTGTTCAAGACCATTGAAACATGTGCATAACCACCTTTCATGTACAGACATGGGGGGTGTACATACATACATAGCATTACCCAGCTTTATTCAGATTGGTTTTGATTAATTCAACACTGTTTCATTTAAAGGCTGAATCCCATTATCCTCCAGTCCAGAAGCTTGTGACTCCGAAGACCGTTCCACTGTCAATGAGTCGTTCACAATATTTTAAACCATCTCTACCATCTGCTACTGAATCAGGCAAGATTCGACAGAGAATAGAGATGAACCATAAGGTATGTATACTACAAAGCCGCTGACTGTACACCATCTTTAACCACAAGCTCCCTCTTCCCCAATACCATCACACCCTGATCTGATTGGGCAACCCAGTGGCTGCTTTACAGTTTAAACGCTCACACACTTCCTTATGACAGTATTAGTCTGATAACTAGGATTCCAGTGGATCCCTTTAAAAGTTGTAGCTGGATAAAAAGTTAATAATTTCACAATTAATCTAGTTCAACATGGGGGGGGGCATGGGACATTTTATTGGTATCTCATTCCAAACACACAGTCTAACACAGAAGCTTCTAGGGCACAATGTTATCTTCAAATTCCTCATTGGGCTATCAGGAAGCCCTAGAGGAAAAAGTGGGAGAGATGAATAGGTGAAATACTATGCTCAAAACTAAATAATCACAGTAGTCCAAAGAACCCCAGTAGCCTGTTGTTGATGTTGTTATAATACTTTACTTTACTTACAAACTGGAATCCAGTGTTGCAGCTTTGCACTATGCAAGCAGACTTCTGCATCAAGATAAACTCAACTTGCAGAATTAATGGAGCAGAATTAACCTCCAGGGTATACACAGAAATGTTCAGAATTATTTTATGGAAACTGAAAACGTATAAGCCAGTGCTCTTTAAGTGATATAACTACAAAAAAATGAAATTTATGATGCAGAGAAAATGCAGGGTTATTTTGAGAACTTGCTGAGGACAGAAAGGGCTTAGGCACTTTGCAGCTTTACCTTTCCATTTATTTCAGTGTGGTAGATTGGACTCCTGATGGAAATAGGGTTAAATGTTTTTTTTTTTTTTAATTAAAAAAAATGAAAAGGAGGGAGGAGGAAGAACCCTAGAACAAAAGATCCCATAATTGTTGAGAAGTTCATGGTGTATGACATGGGTAAGATTTACTAAAGATGTTGTACAAATATTTCAAGTTGCAAAAACCACATTAGCTCGCTTTTAAGTTGGCAGAAGTTTTTGAAAGGGAAATTCTTTTCACGTTTTCTGGATTTTGTATCTCAGAATGTATCTGAGAAATTAAGTTCATTCTACTATATTGAATCATATGGACTTAATTTTCCTATTGAAAATAAATGAACACGCTTATTTACTGAGGGTTGTATCTAATGGCAGCTTGGCACTAGTGGAAGCTCTTCTGCTTGTGAAAGGCAGGGGAACCTGCCAGGCCCCCTTACTAATTGCAGCCCATTGCACCATTACCCATACAGTTCTGGAGGGTCTCCCAACCCTGACCAGAAATTTGGGGGAAACAGGGCTGCACTGGGTAGGAGGGAATTGGTGAAAATCAAGTGTCCTACCTTGCCGAAGTGCTTCCACTACTGCAGAGCCGCTATTGGACCTACCCCTATCTCTGTGATCCTGCAGAATGTTTTGTGGAGTAGGTAATTGCTGTAGACAGGCATTGTCACATGAGCCTTGCTCACAAGAAATACAGCTTGTGGTGGAAGAGATTTATTTGGATAACTTCAGGCAGCAGGGGGCAGTAAAGGAGTACTTCTGCAAAAAGCCATATAAAGCTTAAGTGTACATGAGAAAGGCATTTGCGTAAACAAGGATCAGTGGCTTCCTGTTACATGCTCCAACGTTTAGTCTCTTTTTTTTTTAGGAATAGCGAATCAGAAAAAAAGAATTAAAACCTAAAGTATTTTTTTATCCTTTACAGGGAGTACAAGAGAAAAATCTGGCAGCAGAGCAGAAGATAGAATCACCAGAAAGGTATGTGATGTATATCCTAAATCTAAAAGACATATTATAATTGCTCTTATGGGTTTTTCATTAGTACCCTGTTCATTTGTCCCTTATGCAAAGCAGACAATTAAATAATAGGCATAATAACAGAGATATGTTTATGTAAAAAGTTTCCAGAGGGGTAGCTGTGTTAGTTTTGTGTTGCAAAAACAGTAAAGAGTCTTGTGGCACCTTGAAGACTACAGTGCTAGTATGGCATGGATTAGAATCCACTTCATTCGCAATACAATTCTTCAAGTTTATATACACACTAGGGCATGGATTTGAAGGCTGTGAGGTCATAGGAAAAGGAAATGCAAGAAGGGCAGTCAGTGTTTCAAGTGCTGCAAGACTCTTCTCTGTTTTTACTTAGGAAACAGAAGTTCACATTTAACGCTGTGCCCAAACCATGGGTTAATGTGAATGTGCTAGCTGCTGATATCGCATCTGCTTTCTTCCTCCCTGATCCTTTAAGCTCAGCTCAGCAAGTCAGCTGTAATCCCCCCCCCCCCCCAGTTTTTTGCTTTCATTTTCCCCTCTTGCTAACTTTTGCCACTTTGCCATTTTGGGCAGCGTCACTTATTTCCCCCCCCCCCCCCAAAAAAAATATATAGTGATATATCACTATTATCAGTTTGCATATGCATCCTTTGTTGCTGCTTTGTTTGTAGGACCCCGAAAAGCTATATAACATATATTTGATTCTCTGTCAGCAGTGTCACAAACCCCAGGTTCAGTTCCTCTGCAACCAATGGGCTTCCTCCTTCAGTAGGAGTTGGTGGCGGCAAAATGAGAAGGGAAAGAGGTGTCCACTATGTATCAAAACCTGCACAAGAGGAGGTAAGAATATTTGCTCAACTACACTGTGTGTGTGTGTGTGTGTGTGTGTGTGAGAGAGAGAGAGAGAGAGAACGAACAATGCATGCATGAATGAAATTGAAGTACTCGTTTATGGAGTAGTTTGGAGCTTCAAAGCTGTTTATTCACAGCCTGATTGAATGGACAAACTTAGTATTTTAGTCATTGGATGGAATCCAACATAGGGCAAATGTTCAGCAGCCCAAGGATTTTTCTATGTCCAATGGCACACCTTCTTCCTGTGCACCCCTAAAGCTATTCCACGACTTCTCCCAACCTTCTGGAGCAGATTTGTGGAGGATGAGGAGGGGTGAAAGTCCTGTTGTACAAGTGGGAATTCTTGCGCTGACAGGACTCACTAGTAGAATACTGTCCATTAGATTTGGACAGTTTTCAAGCCTATGCTCTGCTTTATAGCAGAGTATAGGATTTATATGCAGGGTTCATACTCCAATTTAGGAATGGAAGAGGAGAAGAAAGTATTCTAATGATATAGGAGTGCTCTGCAAGGTGGCTGGGTGTGGCTGTGTATAGCGTTAATCAGCACCAAGTTACAGCAGCAGAAAGTTATAGCTCACTAGGTTTTTACAAATAATAATAATTATACTCCACCCATCTAGTTGGGTTTCCCGTGTTTTGAGACATAGGTACAATTCATGGTATATTGCTTTAGCTGTTACTGAGGAAGGCTCTGTTTCTGGGGCAGGTATAGGCACATGGGCTATAAAACAGTCAAATCCTGTATCATCCCAAATTTCATTTATTGTGGTGCTTTTATTTACCCTTGTATGTACTTTTGCTGTGGGGTTGTTTTTTTTTTAATTCTTTAGGATTTCATTGATAAGGTCAACAACAGTTTCATTACTTGTTGGGTTGCTTTCATTTTTTCCTGCCGAAATAGGCTGAGTAGAACTAAAATGTAGGTTTCAGTGGAACTTGGAAAATAATTGCATCATTGTTCCATTCTAGGAAATTGATATGCCAGTGCTACCAGAAATATCTTTGCCCATCAGTACGTCATCTTTGCCAAACTTCAGCTTTGGCCTGCTTGCTAGCAGTACTACTGTCTCATCTACGCCTGTCAGTTCTGCACAGTCAGTGGCTAAAAAGGTAATTTGTGCATGAATCAAGGTTTTGCTTGCATACTCTACCTGTTCTCTCCCGCAGATTCACCAAACCCTTTGTCTATTCACCTGACTTTAATTTTCAGCCATGTGCTGTTTGAGAATCCTTTAAAGGACAGCCCCACTCTTCACTGGCCCTTTCTTTGCCCACCCTGAGTGTGTCTGTCTGTCTGGAATGTATCCTTGAACTGTGAGAATGCCTCTTGCCTGGAGGGAGAGAGGGTGCCTCTGACTTCTGCATGGCTAGGATGTAAGAGTTGCATTGGTTGCTTCGCCCACTTTTGTCTCTGGTCCCAGCCCTTCACTGGCATACGATCTGTAAAAAAATTGTCCCAGGGCAGTTCGTGCTTTGGGCTTTGTAGCACCCCTGTGGTAATGGTTCATGATAAGTGATTGTTGATAGTAACATGGTTGCCATATTGGTCATATCAAGGCAAACGTTTTTTTCTTTTTCTTTTTAAAAAACTGGCTTTTTATGCTTGTGTCAGCTATTCTGAGCTGCTGCATAGCAAGCTCTTTATGGGGGTGGCCTTGTTCAGTGCAACAGTTTGTCAAAAGTTTACGCAGCAGGCTTTATGGAGATAAGGCTTCAGTTCTCTTTGTAGGTTTTTCCCCTTTGGCAGTTACAAGAGCTAAGAAGTTGGGAGCTCAGAAACAGAATGGGTATTGTCAACAACAGCCATGTCCCCAAAATAATCAGAGAAACTGTTGTTTGTTAAGGGTTTCCTACCAGTTCTCGGAAATCTTAGCAAACTGCAGTTCCCAGGATTTATTGGGGAAAGTCATGACCAATAAAGTAGTGTAAGAAAGAGTGCTTTCAGGGTATGCTGTGGATGTGGCCCTACTGCTATAAACATTAGCACAATTGCTGTGTCTTATTATAAACTGCTTTTGAAACTCTCCTCCGTCTTCTAAACATCTTGTCATATGCTGTATAGGCAGAGAAAAGGACAGCTGCTGATTGAGAAACGGAATGGGTTGCTTTGGATCCTTGCCAAAAGTCACCTTCCTAATTTGAGCACATTTGTTTTTGCATTATTAACCAGTGACTTGTAATTCACTTCATTTAAGCTATTAAACACATTTCTTTTAAATAATTAGGTGCAACCAGCCAGTAATGCTAGCAGTCCTGTGTACAGATTTTCATCTCCAATTGTAAAATCGACAGAAGCAGAAGTGCTGCCATCAGTGTCTGTAAGTAAAAAATGCATAAGTAAAACTTGTGACAGAAGAAAGACAGGAATGATAGAGATAAAAATATGTTTAATACTCACCTTGGAAATTCAATGTTAGGAACCAGAAATCTGCAGTTCACATTTACGAGCCTATGTAAACTAGGCGGCTGTTTTCTTTTGACTTCTAAATTTTATCTCCTGCCAGGCTGGTGCATTCAAATTTAGTGTTCCTGTTGCAAAATCATCTGATCCTTCAGGATCCAAGGATACCCCAGTATTGACTCAGAGTAATGCAGGTAATTAAGTTGGCATTTAATGCAAACATTTTCTCCAGGCGGGGAATTAAGATTGAATTTTGGTTAGGCTTTTAAAACTTGCCATTTTGTGTGACATCAGAAGCAAATGTATTCCCGGCCTCCATTCTGAGTACAATCCAGTTTAAATAGAACCTTATCCAAGCATACGTGTCTGACTTCCAATGAAATATATCATTTAGCTTCTATGGACAGCAAGTCGTTTGTGCTTCATCCAGTAAGCTACCTCATGGAAATTTTTAAGATGGGTTCTGTGTAGACGGGTGTGTGTTTGTGTGTTGGTGTTCATAAGCCATGAACCTTGTAAAACTATTACTTTCTTCACACCTGCAGCGGTCAATAGCATCAGCAGTAAGAGAGATCATGAGTATGATGGTCCCTTTAAGCCTGCAAAAATCCTGAAAGAAGGAAGTGTGCTGGATATTTTAAAGAGTCCTGGTGAGTCGGTTGATGAGGTTTCATTTAGTGTTAAATGATAACTGACAATGAGACCCGTAATCTCAGGGCCTTGGTTTTGAGTCTTGACGTTGCAGAGAGTTGGACTAGATAACCCTCAGGGTCACTTCCAACTCTACAGTTCTATGATTCTATGATTTATATGCCACTTTAAAGAAAACAGTTGTAGGGATGTTGCACTGTAATAAGCGTTCTATCAGTGCCAGCATTTCTGCTTGCCCTAAGGAATGATTTTTCCTCTCCTTCCTCTGTTTGGGGGGGAGGGCAGGTTCTCAGAGCCAAATGGGGGGGGGAGGGGGAGAGAAGGTGGAAAGCCTCATTGCTTTGATGGAAGTAGTTGTATGGGCTTCTGCTAGCAGGATCAGGCAGTTAAATCTGGCCCTCTGTATATTTTCTTAATCCAGTCTCATATATAATACAGTGGTGCCTCGCAAGACGAAATTAATCCGTTCCGCGAGTCTCTTCGTCTTGCGGTTTTTTCGTCTTGCAAAGCACGGCTATTAGCGGCTTAGCGGCTATTAACGGCTTAGCGGCTATTAACGGCTTAGCGGCTTTAAGAAAAAGGAAATAAACTCGCAAGAACTCGCAAGACGTTTCGTCTTGCGAAGCAAGCCCATAGGGAAATTCGTCTTGCGGAACGACTTAAAAAATGGAAAACTCTTTCGTCTAGCGAGTTTTTCGTCTTGCGGGGCATTCGTCTTGCGGGGCACCACTGTACCAATAATGTCAATTTTTGAAAAAAAGGAATAGCCACATTGAGAGAGAGTATTGTCTCCAACTTTCAAATATATTGCCAGCTTCCTTTAGGAATAGGGAATTTCAAATCAATTTCCATTGTTACCTACATTTCTCATTGCTAGACTCAAGATAAATCTGGATAACATAAATTTTAGAATGTGGACCTTTCATTGGTTTGGTATTAATTACAAAGGTTTCAAACTCAGTTTTCGGTATAAATTTCTGTTTTGTTCAATAATTTGGTTGGAAAAGAGACTGCAAGTGCCAACAATATGTATACATATTTGTGTAAGGGTTTCATGTTATGTGCAGTGATTTTTACCATACTATGATAGCCATTCTTACCCAGCTATTCTGTGCCTGCATTACCATTTGCGCAGTATGGTTCATCAATAAATCTTCTGTTTTAAAATCGTTTGCTTGGCTTTCCTGTAAATGTAGAGTCTTTGTTAGGAACTCAGACTATTTCGTTTTCTCTTTCTTAGGCTTTGCATCTTCAACCACATACTCATCAGCAGCCGCGCCACCTGTTACAGCAAGCACAGTAGTTTATACAAGGCCTGCAATAAGTACTTTCTCCGGAACTGTTTCAGGACTTGGAGATGCTTTGAAACAAGGGTCAGCCCATTGGCAGTGCGATACGTGTCTTGTGCAAAACAAGCTGGCAGATACCAAATGTGTAGCCTGCCAAGCCGCTAAAGTGCCGATGTCAGATGGTACTAAGCAGACTGGTACTCAGTTTAACTCAGCCTTGAAAGCAGCTCATTCTACAAAGGGGACACAGGGCTTTGGAGACAAGTTTAAGGCAGCAGCTGGAACTTGGGACTGTGATACTTGCTTGGTCCAGAACAAACCGGAGGCTACAAAATGTGTGGCATGTGAGACACCAAAACCTGGGACAGGAGTAAAACCAGCCTTTGTGTTTCCTGCAGTCACAGACAATGTAACAACAGTGACTTCCTCTTCTGGCTCTACTGATCTCACAGTCAGTTTGGGATTTGGAGACAAATTCAAGAAGCCAAAAGATGCTTGGGAATGTTCTGTGTGCTTAGTGTCAAATAAGGCAGAGGATAGCAAATGTGTTGCCTGTCAGTCGGACAAACCAGGTGAGTTTGCCGTATTTGGTCATTGATTAGGGTGGACATATCCAGTTATAATCCTAAACTTCTTTATTACGACATGGAACTTAGTTTTGAGGAAACAGGCATTGTGCTGTGTGAAGAACCCTATGTTGAAAAGAAAACAATAGAGGGCACCACTGAATATTTACTGGAGTTTTAATATGTAAGAACATATGGGAAGTACAGACGACTAACATTTCATGCGTGGGTTCTGTTTCTGGCCCCTGCGCTCACCAGCGGAGCGTGCCCCACCTACATTTTGGATTCAAAAGGACCCGCGTGTCTGTGATTGCATACCATTCGGATGCACCTAAAATAGTCACCACCTGTATTTGAATTATATCCAGTGCTAGTCCCACTTGCAGTAGATCCATTAAAGTTAGGGGGCATGACTTAGGTTAATTAATTTCAGTGGGTGGGATTCACCTAATGTACCTCCTCAGCAGAAGCCCTGCACAACGACCTCAGCTTTCTCAACAGGGCCCCTCACCTCATGTCCATGAAATTGGCTCAGGGGTTGGTGTTTCAGGAGGACCCCCCCAAGGACAGCATGGTGGGGGTAATTATTCCATTTGGCAAGCTGCAACACTTGCACAAACAGAACATTTGTAATAGTGCATTGCTCATTTCCACCTACTGGGTCTACACTGAGTAGAACTTAGTTGGATATTACCCCCATTTTACCTATTTACAGTTAAAGTCCCTGTTCTTAACCCTTATTTTTGTCACTATGTGGTATGGTAACCAAGCTAACATGATGGTCAGCAGTAAGAAATAGTGTCTCAGCCTAGTGACACCGTTGGGCAATATCAAAGTTTTGCTACTATATAATGTACTATATAATGCCTTTTGTTTGAAGTAAAGTGGAGGGGTTCTGAAAAGAGCACATACTGTTTTTCACTGTTCCTTTCTGTATTTTTATAACTGATAGTTCATGCATCCATGTGACTTCAAGAAATAAACTTGACACTAGGACTAAGACGTCACCCTAACCTGAAATTCTGTATTCATGTAGCAAACTAGATAGGCTCTTATGAACTTTAGTTTCACTCTGATTAAGTCTGATCTCTTAGAAGCCCAAACTGAAGGACAAGGCAGTTACCTTTTATTACCTTTCCTACCTGGATTTTATTTGATGGTAAAACAATGCAGATTTTTATATTGTGTCCTTAAAATAGAAAAAAATATAAGAACAGTAATTTTCTCCCAGTTATTCATGAAATAAATGGAATTTTATAGCTTTCTGAAACTATTTTGCATGTTACCTTGAACAGTTAGTTCGTGAGGTTGTCACTGGTATATTAATTACTATAGTACTGAATTTAAGAAGATAATTTCCCTTGTCAAAATTATGGTTCTAGTGATTTCAAAATACTCTAGTTGGTTTACAAATATTTTTCTCTTTCAACCTCACCTGAGATCTCTTATGAAGATGTTGAAGAAAATATCACCCATTTCCCCATAAAAATAAAGACACAGAAAATGTCATAAACTGGAATACCTAACAATTAAAAAGTATGGGCAACTTTAATTGTTGCTTCAGATGAAGAATACACAAATAGCACTTGCTAGGACAGAGCAGGAAAAAATTGCTAAATTCTAGGTGTATATATCATTTTCATTTAGATGGTTTAGATTGCTTTAACATAGCAAGTTTTCCTACTCTAAGGGCAATTATTGCAGTTCGGATAACTCAGTTTCTAAGTTTCTCTTGCAAGTTTCAAATAGGTATTTTCAGCTTTGTTTTTGGTCTACATGGGCAGAACTGCTAATGGTTTACTTTATGCTATGTTTCATTATCTAGGAAGTTCAGTGCCTGTGGTGAGTAGCAGTGCTTCCTCTTTACCTGCTCTTTCTGGAGGATTTCTAGGCTTAGACAAATTCAAGAAGCCGGAGGGAAGCTGGGACTGCGAAACATGCTTAGTACAAAACAAAGCAGATGCCACAAAGTGTGTTGCTTGTGAGAGTTCAAAACCAGGCAGCAAGACTGAACTCAAAGGTACGTAAAGAGTATAAATGCTCTCTCAAAAAATCATGTGTGCGTATTTTGCTCCTTAATTTTCTCCTCCTTTTTAATTTCCCCCTCTACCCACGACTCATGCTTTCACCTCTAAATAAGGAGAGCCATGCCCAGAAGCAGTTTTCTGCAGTTGTGTCACTTGTTGGATCCAAAACTGCTCGGTTAAGTCAGATAAAAGTACCTGAAAAGCACATCTCAATGTGGATGAGATGCATATTCAAATCTATGTTAAGTGCATATTCATTGAAAACAAAGGAGTGAATATAGATCGGATCTCATCTGCAATGGATACACCTCCAATTTATCCCCCAATCCTTTAAACTCTGAGAGGTCCCCTCACCCTATCAAGTTAAGGAACCTTTGGGACTAATTGCCTCCCCCCCCCCCAAAAAAAACCCCTTTCTCCTCCAGGCAGCCAAAAGACATTGTCTGATTTCAGGGATGTAGTCCAGCTGACAAAATCACTCAAGGGTTCAAGGCAGGGCCAGAAAGGGGTATGTTGCCTGGGAAGTCCCAAGGACTAGGTAGAGAGGTCTAGAGAGTAGCATTTGTCCTGGGCCTAAGCTTAGCCTTTCCTTTTTTTAATCAGTTTTTATTGGTTTTCATAAATATATCATACATTATTCAGCTTAACCAAGCAATCGTTTTATAAATTCCCCCCTCCCACTTGGCTTCCCTCCGTTTCCGTTTTTGGTTTGTTAAACCATTTGTTGCATTCTGCTTCTTATATGTACAGTGGTACCTCCGGTTAAGTACTTAATTCGTTCCAGAGGTCCATTCTTAACCTGAAACTGTTCTTAACCTGAAGCACCACTTTAGCTAATGGGGCCTCCTGCTGCCACTGCGCTGCCGGAGCACGATTTCTGTTCTCATCCTGAAGCAAAGTTCTTAACCCGAGGTACTGTTTCTGGGTTAGCGGAGTCTGTAACCTGAAGCGTATGTAACCCGAGGTACCACTGTAGTAATATACTATCACATTGTTGTCTTTCTTGTTCGCTCTGATTACATTATGTATGTTTATTTAAATCCTGCCAAAGAGTCCATACTTTTACATTGTTTCTACAAATATGTTACAAAAGGTTCCTATTCTTTTCCAAAGTCACTATTATCTTTTTCACACAGTTTATCTGTCAATTTTGCTAATTCTGCATATTCTATCAACTTTTCATGCCATTGTTCTTTGGATGGTATTTCTCCCGTCTTCCAGTTTTGTGCTATTAGAATTCTTGCTGCTGTTGTCGCATATATAAATAGTGTCCTCAATTCTTTCTTCACATCTTGTCCTAAAATACCCAACAGAAAAGCTTCTGGTTTCTTTACAAATGTTACTTTAAACATTTTTTTCCAATTCATTATAAATCATTTCCCAATAATTTTTTACAATCTTACATTCCCACCACATACGGTAAAACGTCCCTTCATTTTCTTTACATCTCCAGCAAATCTTTTGTTCTGTTTTGTACATCTTTGCTAATTTAACTGGTGTGATTTACCACCTATACATCATTTTCATGTAATTCTCTTTTATTAAAGTACAATCCGTAAACTTAAGATTTATTTTCCAGAGCCTTGTTCAATCCTCAAATCAGCCATTCCTGAATCAGGAGCACATGCCTCCTGTAACTTCACATTCCCATCTCTGCAGTCCTTTAAATGGCAGTTTCCCCCTCTTACAGATGGAGAGGGAAAGAGGAGAGAAACTGGGCTTGGTGCAGTTGAGCACTTTATGGGGATAGGTCCCAGACTGAATGAAAGCAAGCTCTTCTCGATTTCCTTTTACTGAACCTTCCAATTCCGGTTAAAGGGGACATGCCTGCATGCTGCTCTCTGCTGCCAGCAAGTCTTGGCAGCCTGAGAGCTGTGTACATGGTTATTAACCCATTTGTAGCAATTGTGCGGCTGCTGCTGTTTTCTACCTGCCCCCCACCTTTCAAAGTAAGATTTTCCTGCATTCCTCAGGGATAGTCCTCTCCTGTCTACACTGGCTCCCTCCCCTCTCCTTTCTCCATCCCTCAGCATTCAGAACATGCACTTTACAAACAAGGGGGACTGATTTCATTCCAGTGAAATTTGCTAAACTTGCTTTTAAAAAGGCAAGTGGCCTTTGAAAAAACATACTTTTATAGAATATCCTAGTCTTCAAATAGAATTCATTAAATCCCCCCAGAATGTGACCATGTGTAGTCAAACTTGTCATGTGTGTAGTCACACCCATAATTACATTATCTTAATAGAATATTTTTAATTCTTTCAGTAACATTTTACATACACCTCTATCCACTTTATGTTAATGGTGCTGATACCATCTTCAAATCTACTGAGGAAAATACATTTACCTCTTGCCAAATTACTTTGTGCTTATTTCCTAACCTGAACTCATCAGTAATCTGTGAGCTAGAATGAGTTATTATAACACCAGTTATGGTGGTGAAGAGAATTCACAGTATTGGGAAGTGAGAATGATTATTTTTCTAACAAAAAACATTTTTTTTACATAAAAATGTTGCTATGATTGATTTACAAAACAACTTGACCCTGCAGCATTTCTCTATATAAAAAAGGTTATGTTGGGTTTGTAACACATTTGGTGTTTTATGTTATTTTCAGGTTTTGGAACTGCTGCTGCTTCTACAGTCCCATCTACTACTTCCTTCAAATTTGGTATTCAGTCATCACCATCAGAGCTGCCTCAGACACTGGGAAATGCAGAAAAAAGTTTCAAATTTGGAGAGCAAACAGGATTCAAATTTGGTATTACATCAGAGCTGGGATCATCAACAAACACAGTGACTGGAGGCTTTAAATTCTCGAAAACAGAAGGGTCCAAACTGGGAAGCTTTCCTTTGGAATCTGAATCGGAGGACAATGTGAAAGATGGCAAGAGCAATAGTAGTTTCAACTTTGGACTTCCCTCTGGGGCTAAAAGTACACCCTCTACATCATTTCAGTTTGGAATAGCTAACCTTGGACAGCAAGAGAAGAAAGAGGGACTTAGCAAGCCTGCTGGAGGAGGCTTTACTTTCGGCACAGGTTCCACAGCCTCTGCAGCTGCTCCTGAGAGTAAAACTGGAATAAGCGGTTTCAAATTTGGTAATACAGAGGAAAAGGAAACTTCAGTCACTCCCTTCTCCTTTAAGAAAGTGGAGGAGAAAAAAGATGAAAACCCTTCCACAAAAGGTGGCTTTACTTTTGGTAATGTAGAATCCGTGCCCACCCCGCAGCTTGTTTTGGGAAGGACAGATGAAAAACCGGACACTGTTGCCCCTTCCTATCCATCAGTGTTTGGAAAGAAAGCAGAAAATGAAGAGTCAAAGGCACAACCCATGTTTCCATTTGCGAAGGCAGAGCAAACCAAAGATGACAGCACAGCAAAATCTGGATTTAGTTTCAGCCTAGCAAAACCAGCAGAGAAAGAAACTGAACAACAAGCAAAGCCCGCTTTTATGTTTGGAGCACAAGCAAGCACTGCAGGTAGGTACAAAAATTCCTTATAATTTATCCCATCATGTTGTGAAACGGATTTTTTTTTACAGGTGATTTAAGAAACTGAACTATGAAGAGACCCTGAGAGCAATGATAGAGGCTTGTAATATTATCTCTGTTGTCCTTTTGCTTTGGAAATATACTGTTAATGAACACCACTTGCTGGAAGCCTACAGAAGTGGTTTATTTTGAAATGTTTGGGAAGTGTTCTTGGAAAAGGCAAATACCCCTTAGATAGCTTAAGGCAGGGGTCAGCAAACTTTTTCAGCAGGGGGCCGGTCCACTGTCCCTCAGGCCTTGTGGGGGGCCGGACTATTTTTTTGGGGGGTGGACGACGACAAATTCCTATGCTGCACAAATAACCCAGAGATGTATTTTAAATAAAACGACACATTCTACTCATGTAAAAACACGCTGATTCCCAGACCGTCCGTGGGCTGGATTTAGAAGGCGATTGGGCCGGCTCCGGCTCCAGGGCCTTAGTTTGCCTACCCATGGCTTAAGGCCTACAGTGGGAAACTAGCCATACAAATAAGGTACGCAGTTCCTGTAGGACTGTAATCTCTCGATAAAGCTCAGTGCAAGCTCAGGCAACCTGCCCGTAGATAGGGTGCAAATATGATGCTTTGTAACAACCCATTTGATCTACTAATTGGAGTCTTACAAACATTTTATTTAAGAATTCTGACAGCAAACCTAATTAAGAGACAAACTGAGTTTATTTTAGAAGAGTTGGTAGAGGGGACTATTATTTACACTTAAATATTTTAAGTGAATATTGTAGATATTCTTTTGCTATGGAATAGCAGCCATTTCTGATTTTAAATCCCTAGGATTGCGCATAGATCATTTAATTGCGAGCTTTTGGAAACTGCTGTCACCATTAGGTTTGGGATGCTGTTCAGTTGAATGACTTATCACCAGGCTGTAGGTCTTTACAGTGGCTGATTATAAAACATTAAACAAAACTGTATTTGTAGGTACTTCAGTTTCCAGGGTGAATATCAAATAAATCATGACAAATTTTGTGGGATGCCGTAGGGGTCCCAAATAACCAAGAAGAACTCTTCAATCTTTTGAACATATTTGGCACATGTTTAATGTGCATAACATAGTTGGCTATAAATAACTGTTTGCAATACTTAAGGATTTAATTTTCATCAGTTAATTAAATTTTGTCCTTGGCATCAGTATCTCTTATAGCTTTTCTAAATTAATGCTTTAAATGCTTGACTATTAAGTTCACTGAGTTGGGGTTTTTTTTACTGGTCAAATAGCCAATACTAAACAACAGCTCTTAAAGAAAGCAATGCTTTCAGAGTAGGAAATTGGAACAGGAATCATACTTTGAAAAAATGAATACATTAATTGAACGAGAATTGTACGTAACAATCTTTGCACATGGATAATTATGAATGAATGATTTCACAGGAGCTGGGGGAAAATTACAATCAGGGAAATAACCACAGAACATCAGGGTATTATAATTACTGTTTTATTATTTATTACAAGGGGAGAGAGATAGCATGGAGCAAGAGAACGAAGACACAAAGTTCAGTAACAACTTATGATAGATGCAAGATGGAAAAGGAAGCCAATACTAGAAATTGGACATGGGAATCATATGGTCAAAGCAGTGTGCATAACATCAAATGAACAGAAGAATTGAGAACAACGATTCTTAAGATGGAGGAGCAGGAAGACGGGAATATAAAACATTACACTGATTGAGTCTGGAATAAGGGAATGTAAAAGTGTCCCCATTATAGAAAGAGACTAGTGATCTTAGAGTTAAGAAAAACTGGATTTGAAGACAAGGGAATTATGTGGAAAAAATAATCCAAGCAAATGTAAGGAAAGGGAAAAATAATTTCGTGAAAGAAGAATTGAGAAAGAACAGGCAGGAGGCAAAACCAATGGGTTTGGTTTTAGATAAAATAGGAGCTTAGTGGGAAGACATTTGGTGAGGCATCTAGAACTATTGAGAGAAGAGGCAAGATCATGGGCAGGAAAATGGAGATGTAAGTCAATAGGTTAAAAACAGTTTAAGATAAAGACATGGATAATGGAAGCAAAAGGAAGATTATATAGGACACCTGTAACAGAACACTGTAGGTCCTAGGAATCAGTCTCTTTTACTCAAGAGTTTTACTACAGTTTTACTAAATTAAAACAAAATATAAAGGAGAGGGAGAAAAGTAAAGACTGTTGAGGAAAATAACGACATTAGTTTAAAAAAAATGCTATTCAGGCTTTTTAACCAAGATCAGACAAAACAATGGAAACAGGAAAAAATAGAATATTGGAAGGAGGTGGAGGAGATCCTGGGATATAAAAATAAGATACTGTACTTCACATTTATCTAGCCGCCACTGAGTATTCAACGCATTTTGCATACATAATTTGAAATTTGAGTGTCCCCCCCTCCCAGTAAAAGTAATGAAAATGGAATGAAGACTAAACAAGTCAAAAGCAGTACTAGTAGAGGAAAGAGAATGCAAGCATGGCCCACTGAAGAATTTTGGAAACATGCTGAAGGAGAAAAATAGAATGATAGAGGAAATGGGAGAGTTGAGAGGAAGGTTTTTTGGAAGTAATGAGAGTATGTCCAAGAGAACAGTATGTGAAGATGAAGAGAATATCAACATAGGAGCTAAACACAGAGGAGCTATAGGAGAAGCATAAAGAAGGAATAGAGTGAAGAGTGAAAAGAGGCTGGTTGGAAAAATGTTTACCAACATAGGCCAGGGTTTATTCAAGGTGAAAAGGAGAAGGAATATCAGACCAAGAATACAAACTTGACACCCTCTGCAGTTCTGCCACTGTTGCATTGTCATTTGCATGTGGTTGGTAGAGCAACTGCAAAGTTCAATCAAGGCCTTGCTATTTAGATCACGTTCTGGCACACAAATACATCTATGTCAACCCTGTCTTCATGTCACCTGACATCAGGATATCTTATTGCAAAGTGGGTGGCAATTGATCAACCTGGTGTAGCAGTCCTATGCCTTGGTGCAAGCATGGTGCTGACCCATTTCAGGCAATATTGGTTTAAATTATCTATGGTTTATCAGAAGGAGCACTGTGCCTGCACATCCCATGGGGTGTTAAAACAATAATTTCCTGTAACATATGAACTGAGAAATTGTGACCTCATCTCCCAACTACAAACCAGGATTTGAAAATTCAAGTTTGATATTCTGCTTTTTATTTAACTTTATTTAACATTTATTTTTAATTAATTAAATCATACTTTCTTGGTGCAAATATAATGGGCAACTGTTTGTGATTTAGTTTTGGGTTATGGCTCATTAGAGAAGAAACCATGTTGAGCATAGTGCTTGTCCCAAGTTCAGTAAATCGTGATTTATTGGACAGCAGTTGTCATACCTGAAATGACTGGCCATTGTGTCTCATAACTGTGATGCCATTTGTGCAAAACATGATATAGCTTTCATAGGATTCTTAGTTGAATTTTCCCATGGACATTTCTGCATGCAATTCCTGAAATCCTTTACGGCATCTAAAATCTAGCTTTCTACTTCTCAGCCAGTGAATGGAAGTGGAAGTTGTTCAGTTAAGATCCACAGTTAGTTTTACAGCTGTTGAGGAAGGGATAAAATACAGGATTCAAGATGATGAAGAACTGAGCCAAAGCCAACAAATGAATTTAAAAGATAAATGTAAGGATCTGTGCTTATCTAGACTTCTAGATAGTAAGCCTGAGGTCAGAGACTGTTGTCTTTTTGGTAACACTCACCTGATCTGCTATGTACAGTTCTGGGCACCACAGTGCTATGCATTCTACTGAAATTTGAGTTTAGTCCAGAGGAGGGCAACAAAGATGGTGAGGGGCTTGGGAACCAGGTCCTATGAGGAAAGGTTGAAGGAGATGTTTGTGTTTACCCTGGAGAAGATATGATTAAGAGGTGATATTGATAGCCCTCTTCAAATACAGTGGTACCTTGGGTTACAAACACTTCAGGTTACAGACTCCGCTAACCCAGAAGTAGTACCTCGAGTTAAGAACTTTGCCCCAGGATGAGAACAGAAAACACACGGCGGCGGCGGCAGGAGGCCCCATTAGCTAAAGTGGTATCTCAGGTTAAGAACGGTTTCAGGTTAAGAATGGACCTCTGGAACAAATTAAGTTTGTAACCAGAGGTACCACTGTATTTGAAAGCTATCACACAGATGATGGAGCAAATTTGTTTTCTATTACTCCATGGGGTAGACCCTAATCCAACAAAGTGCAAATTACAAAAACCTAAATTTCAGCTAAACATTTCTGACAATATAAGCTGTTTGGCAGTGAAACGAACTGCTATTGGACTTCCCTTCATCAGAGACGTTTAAAAAGAGGCTGGGTGGTTACCTATCAGAGATGTCATAGTAGTGGGTTTCCTGTACTGGATCTTTGATATACAAGCCAACACAGATTCTGTGATCTAGCTTTACTCTGCATCTTCATTTCTTTCTAAAAATAATGTTAATCCCTTTCACTTTCAGATCCAGGATCATCAAAGTCTACATTTGGCTTCCTGAGCTCTAGTTCCTCCAACACTGCTGTGCAAAGTGTTGCTGCTGCTGCTGCTGGTGCTGGTGGTGGCGGCGGCAGTGGCGTGTTCAGCAGCACCACCTCTTCCTCAAATCCTGCCCCACCAAGCTTTTTGTTTGGACAGGCCAGCAACACTGTGAGCAGCTCTGCTTTTGGTAATCCCTCTGACTCCAGTACAACCCAGTCCTTTGGGTTCTCCCAAGAGAACAAGCCACCAACAACCACTTCCAATACAAGTGCTCCTGCTCCATTTCTTTTCGGTACAGCAGCCACCACTAACAGTGCAGCCAACACTGGCTTCAGTTTTGCAGCAGCCACCACAACAGCAGGTCCTGCAGGTATGCTTAGAACTTGAAGAGATTTGGTTTGTGGCTATCTATTGAGGGATTTGTTTTCCAGAAACTTGGCTGTACAACAACATACAGAGAGCTTTGAAAAAGATTGACTTGGCAAACTTATCAGTGCTATGACAGTTACGTTCCATAACAAATTCAACTGATTCAAATTGAATGATACTTATATAATGTTCTTCCTAAGTGGGGGGGGGGGGGAGAGACCAGCTTTTCTAAAGCTACCCAGTGTGGTGTTGGCTGAGCTGACATTGAACCAGGGATTGCGCAGTTCATAATCGTAACTAGCAGTGCTACACCAGCTACATACATTCCATTGATGGGCTCTATGTGCGTCAAATACTGATGTAATGTTTTACTGTAGCAACGTGAATGTTCAAAACAATGCTTTCCTCTGCACTGACTGGAAGTCTTCTTCCTCCTGCTACTTTGCCTTCAGCCAGCTGTCTCTTGATGCCTTCTGTTTTCCCTTTGTCAATGTGCCTACCTTCCCTTCAATTGTTTCCCGTTGCAAAAATGGAGTGCAGTGTTACAGTGGCAACACGTATGTGCATTAGTTTTAGGCACTTGATGTTCAGTAGAGGACTGCTTTCATCCCTAGCAGTGGATTGACCTGGTGATAAGCTTCATATGTACCCATTTTTAACAGTAGTTTACTCTGAGGCACGGTCACATGCACTTTTGGTAGGGACGCTTCTGACAGTTTACATGCAGGAATTAGCAATGCAAATCCACTTGTAGTCAGAGATAAAAGAGCAGGTAGAGTTATTGAACATTTCAGGTAGTTTAACATTAAAGATCAGCTGAAATAAACTGTTAAATAAGCAAAAGCCTATATACCCCAGGGTAGAGTCTAAAGAGTTAGATTCTTAACCACCGAGAGCAGTTCTCAAGTTTATTCTGCTCACTTGTTTTTCTAGGTTCATCCTCTTCATTTGTGTTTGGTTCTGGGTCTTCAGCTCCTGCAACTGGTCCTGCATTTGGTGCCAGTCAAACACCAACATTTGGTCAAAGTCAAGGCTCCAGCCAGCCCCCTGCTCCAACCTTTGGATCACTCTCCTCCTCATTATTTTCTACTGGTGCTCAGCCTGCGCCTCCAGCTTTTGGCTCCGTGTCAAGCAGTACACAGCCTCCTGTCTTTGGACAACAAACTACCCAACCACCTAGTTTTGGCTCTAGTACAGCTCCTAATTCTGGTAAGTGCAACCTCTAGAGGTCTTGCATTGTAGGCTGGTGGTGTTGCTAAGGCAGAGCTATGTTTAAGTTGTTCCATCCTAATTTTTCAGTCGTCTTTGCATGCTAACCTGTGCCAGCATCATGAGTGCCACTTTAAAATACTTCTTGAATCAAATTGTTTGCAAATTAACTAGTGATTTGAAAAGTTGAGTAGTATTGATATAATACTAGAAACAGAAAATGATCTCGATAGGTTTCAAGTGGTATGTGCTTACCTTAATATAGTATGCATGGAAGGTCAAGTCAAATGTCAAAACATCTGTACAACGGAGCACAGGTGATTTCTTGGTTTGAGAATCCCTTATACACAGACACATTCTTTGTGCAAATGGCATAGAATTTATAAATGATAAGTTCCTTTTAACTCTGCTCAGAATTTTTTGTTTTGTATTGATAAAATTACACCTCAGTGGGATACTGAACATAGGAGTGTAAAATGTTTACGTGGAGAAAGATAAACATTATTGTCAAAAACACACAATGTATTTTGAAAGATCTAGTTCAGGGGTCAGCAACCTTTTTCAGCTGTGGGCTGGTCCATCGTCCCTCAGACCATGTGGTGGGCCGGACTATATTTTGGTAAAAAAACAACACACAAATTCCTGTGTCCCACAAGTAACCCAGAGATGCATTTTAAATAAAAGGACACATTCTACTCATGTAAAAACTTGCTGATTCCCAGACCGTCCGCAGGTGATTGGGCCATATCCGGCCCCCAGGCCTTAGGTTGCCTACCCCTGATCTAGCTGCTTTTCTCCAAGAATACTGATGTGATGCTTTGTGTGATACATCTCCTTTATTGGAATATTTTTTCCTCTGAAGATCCATGGCTTTGTACATACTTTATGAATCATTTCAGCCAAAATATAATCCAAAGAGCTAATGCTTAGGATATATGCTATCTGTTGCACTGTGTAACACACGACAGAAAACGAGAAAGTTAGCCAGAAACAAAAAACTACATTAGCTGTGCCAGTGGATTTGGACATGGCGAAGTGGATTTTTTTCTTTTTTGTATTAGAAACTGCTTTTGAAGGTTGCATTGGTTTCAGAAGAGTTTTGCCATGTAGCATCGGAAGGTCTTGTTAAATAAATGTGTGTGCTGCTCTTGAACATTTTTTTTTAATTATTATTATTATTTTAGATTTAGCTCTGTGGAATCCAGAATATCATATTGGTGCACTCCAGCAATGCAGTAGTTGCTTTGTGAACTACTATACTTGCATTCTCCTTCTTTTTAATCACCTATTTAGTGCTTCTTAAGAAATTAAAGTTCCCCATAGACAGATAATTGCGAAACAATGCTTTTCATCCAAGAGGCTAAGTCTTGGTTATCTCGCTCTCTTAGGCCCGGTGTTCCAGTTCGGAAGTAGTACTAATTTCAACTTTACAGGCAACAGCCCAGGAGTATTTACCTTTGGTGCAGCTTCTGGTGCTCCAGCACAGCCTGCAGGTGGCTCTTCGGGATTTTCATTCACCCAGCCTTCATCATTTAACCCAGGGTAAGAAGGGGTTAAGACTTGGCATGATAGTGTGGCAGGGTGTATATATATTGAAGGTGCAATCTCCTAGTGCTTCCATGCACATGTTGTAATGTAAGGGAATCATTTTCAGGTACATCTATGGGAATTCCACACTACTGAATAGCATTGCCGGGGTGGGAGGCAGGATGAACTTTGCATTAATTGAATCTACAGATTTGCTGTAAATTTAAATTTCAATCTAACTGTGGCTATTGGAAATGAATATTTAAAGCTGATGGCATTAAGCCTTTCAGATCAATTATACGCCTGCAGCTATCCTTGAAACAAAAGTTTAGATTACAACTCCTTAACTGAGTGACATAATCTCTAAAAAATGATGTATTTAGTAAATGATCTATGGGATACTTACTCAAGTGCCTGGTTTTTTACAGTGGATTTTTTTTTCCATTTTTGTTCCACAATATTAGAAGCTTTAAGACATATGACTATCACTTTTAAGTTCCTCATGTTTAATTCTTTTCCTCCCTAAAGCAGGAATAATGGGAAAAATATATTCTCCACATCTGGATCTTCGCAGCCTGTTCGGAAGATAAAGACAGCTGTTAGACGTAGAAAATAAAATATTAATGATTGTTACAGACAGCAGTTTTCTTACCCACAGCTGGTTGCCCTGCATTGTTCAATTACTGAATTGTACCTCATGCTGGGTTTAGCTGAAGCCAGGTCTGCCTAAACTCTGCTCGCTTTTTCCCCTCCCCATTTAGGTTTTTTAAATAATTAAGAGTTGGTGGCAGGGAGGATCTTAAGCAAAACTATTTTAGAATCCAAGAGTTTCCACTGACTTGGCATGGTCTGGCTATAGATATAAATATAGCCTGCACAGCGAATGGCTTCGTATAATACCTCTGTTTGCACCACTTTGTGCGCTCATCTGCGTTTACTGACACCTCGAAATTGTAATTATATCAGAGGGGAGTCTGTATAGAGTAGAGAATGTGGATAATGAGTGGTTTCTATGCGGAGTTTGTGCTGATGTATGTGTGAAGTGAGCGAGTTGCGTGTATTGTGCACTAAAAATTTCTGATAGAGGAAGAATGATTAAAGAATGGTCCATGCTAAGGACTAGTTAGATCAGTAGTACTTCATTCAATAATTAGATGCTCTTTCTATTTTCATTCTTACTCCTTATCACCTGTCTCGCTTTTTCAATATTTTATTATGAAACAAATGTGTAAATACAATTCAGTTTCTCAATGTACTTTTACATAACAGATCTGTGAACTTGAAATTTTAATTTTGTGTGTTACAGCAAATTTTTGTTTAGTATTGTCTCAGATTTTATTATGTAAATCTCATTATTCAAAGTTGCCTAAATCCATTAAAGACCTTTAAAATTGGGAATTCTTAAAGTGAGTTTATTGGCTTTTCTGATCCATTTTTGTTTGGACCAAAAACCAGTATTGTACAAAGTGTTAAGTATATATTTTTATATTTACGGAAATGGACTCTGGTGACTTTGGATAATAAGGAAAAGTTTAATATTAAAGCCATGTTTATTACAGTATAATTAACATGTTAAACCATGGGATAAATGCCATCAATAAAAATTATGGAAATATGTTTGTGGTGAATTTTAATATAAGCACATGGTCTTACAAGAATCTACAAATTCTCTGTTAGTAGGATATACGTCTTATATTTACAGTTAACAAATGCTGATCAATGTAAATTAAATGCATCTGTTATTGTGCTAATAACAGGGTGCCTGAACTTCAAAACCCAGAGGGCTAAACACAGTTGTCTGGAGCATTTGAATACACTTTACCTTGCAGTCATACGTAATAAACCAGCAACAATAATGTCTTTATTAAAATAGTTACTGCCAAGTAACTGGCAGCAAGTGAAAGATAAACGATCGCAGGTACCTTGATTAACAGTCTCAGCTTGGTTTATAAGAGGTTCTTCTTCTTTGCGGTCTGCAGTCCCATATGCAGGTCCACAGAACCCTTCAAGAGTTCCAGTCAGGAGGTTTGTGCTCATTTCTCCCCTTTCCTGCTATCTTAAGGCTAGTAGGTCTTTAGGTTTATATACATGCCTCAAAAAAAACTGGATAAGCACCTTTCAACTATGTTTTTCCAACAGCTTGCATTATCACCATTGAGCAAACCATTCTCCATTGTTTTCTCTTGCCCTAATCCTCTGCTGCAGGGGCCAAAGTCCTCAAAACAAAGAACATTTTGTCCCACGTATTTTGCTTTTATCCTAGCAGTCCTCAGGGATGGGTTTCTAGCATGTTTGATAGCCTAAAGAAAAATAACTTAAGTGGCTGAACACATTTACTCCCTTTTGGAAAGGGATGTGGGAAGTCAAGGAGCAGTTGCCAGTTGTGGGCAATTTACTTTGTGACGTAGAACCTGCTTTCGCAATATGCACAACTCCATGTCTGGCTGGCTTTTTTGTATATGCTTGGGGGCAGGTAAAAAAAACTTGTAACCTTTCCATTCTGGTGTTCCTGAGACCTTTTGAAGCATGGTGGCTCAAGAGTAATGCAACTAAACTATTAGTTTATGAGCCAAGGGTCTAGAAACAAAGATGGATTTATGAAGCACCTTTTAAAATAACATATGACCATAATAAATTTATCAGCCCCAGCAGTCAGTAATTAGCAGCTTTCACTGAAAAATGTGGGGTTTTAAAGCCTAAAATATGTAATACTCAGCTATGAGCAACAAAGCAACAACTTGATAAATGCAACATAAAGACACATACCCAAAGTATAAAAAAGCAATCATGTAGGCAGTTTAAATGCTGGCTTAATTAATCTTTATAATATCTAGTAACACAAGTACTGCAGTATTCATTACTAAAATAGTTGATCAAAGCAGTTTGTGTCCTTTGTGCTCTACAACTGATAATACTGCTGCTGCTGCTGCTGCTGCTGCTGCTGCTACTACTGTGTCTCTCTCAGCTTAACTAAAAGTGTAGAAACGTACCCTTCAATTGATGGAACTGTGTGCAAAAAACACCTTACAAGTTAAATGCAACACAGAAGGGTAGTGCAAACATAAAGTCAAAATCCACAATCCTTGAACTGGTAACAACCTTTTTCACATCCAGATGGACTGTGACTTCCACTAGTCAGAGCTCCACTCCATGATTTTCCACATGGTTCACTGTTCTGGGCCTGACTACTCTGCAGGTAGTCAATTCTGCTATCCCTTGCTGTTGGAAGTAACTGAATGATCTTATCACACCAGAAGCAGACATGCTATCCCCAATTGATATCAGCTTTAATTAAGCTAGGATAAACTACAGTAGCACATAATTCAGCAATGCTGTGTGGAGCTACCTCTTACTACTTGATTCATAGAGCTTAATTGATTCGTCAGCCCAGCAGTTCTCTCAGAGGGACTGTATTGGTGCTAAGTTATAATTAATGAAGACAGGAACCTAAAGCTAAACATGAACAAACCTTGGTTACAGCTTGAGGTCTGAATGACATTCCACACCCAAAGCATGCATTAGCAGGGTGTGGGAGAAGCAGAGAAGTGCAGTGGCCAAGATCTCTTCAAGACACCCATGCTAAACTAGTTCAGCTTAGCATTGCCTGCCAATTGGCTCATAGGTTCTTTAGTTCTAAGGAATAGGATATTTGCCATAAGACAAGTGGGTGTGGTAAATCTCCCAATCCATCAGTGCTCTCCTGTAAGTAGGCCTTCCTCAACATGCATTTATGTTCAGTGCTGCAAACCGTAGCAGCAAGACTACTTGCAGATTTTTCAGCCTGAAAATTAATTCATTCAGAAAGATGGAAAGAGACGAGTTAAGGAAGCAGCCGTGGCACAAACTTTTAACCCTTCCAGAAATGTATTTTAGGAGAAATGTTAAGTACTTACTCCTGTATGATCTCCCCTCCAAGAGGCTCTCGCACAGTCATCTTTATTTGAACACAGGACTTCTCAAAATTCCTGTGAGGCAAGAAATAATATTTCTTTGCTGCTCTCTATTGAACAGCAGCCCTTCCCTCTTAACTGTTTGTCTAATTAGAAGAATATTTATGATACTCTGTTACATTTGGAAAGTCACCACTGTAGCCATATGATCTGTCAAGTTTGAGATCCCTGCTTATGTACATGGACAAGAATCTGAATCTCACGACACCATTGTACACCAGTTCCAAAACTAAACCAATGGCTCAGTTGTGAACTTCCTTAAATTGAGATACTGCAATAACTTGAAAACACCAGTGTATGTTATAATAATTACATTTTTAAAAGACGTGGTTTTTTTTAAAAAAAAATCAGCAATATCCCATTACAATAAGTTAGTTCCTTATCAAATGACCAGAAACAAATTAATAGAAACATTGTGTTCTGGTTACATAGTATTTGATCTTAAGGGAACAGAAGATTAAGGGAGAATGGTAATACTTTTTAAAGTTTGCCAAGCCATAAAAACTTGATACCAATGTGCTATTCAGCTAATATTCTATTTGTAAAAATAAATCATGCAAAATATGCTTTGTTCAATAAGGATAATTTAAATTATCTAGGCACACAACCAGATAAAGTGAAAGTGCACCTATTTATATTTGATTTTTCAAAGATCACACAGATTCTCTATTGCTTTAGCGATAGTGTTACTGGCTATTTTTTAAAAAAAATATTTTGTTATAAAATGGTGCAAAAGGCTATGCATAAACTTCCTTTTGCTCGTATCTCAAACTTACTGTGGTTCTCATTAAACAAATCTGAAGCTTTGTTTTTCTCCTTTTTGCACTAGTTTAAGTTTTCTGTGCTCTTACAAAGGGGGAGGGGGAGGGGGAGGAGAGAGAAATCAAACTTTTCCTTATCCTAAGCAGTGATTAACATGTAATTTGCATCTATTCCCTATAGTAATACTGCCAGAACTCCAATATATACCAGTTTACCAATACCAGAATTATCTGCCTTCCATGATATAGCACATATTAAGTTACTGGATTTGTGTTCAAGATCGCTTCATCATGCAAGATACACAAGATGTTTAAAGAAAACTTTTGAGTATTAAAATACAATGTTTGCATGAGAAATTCATGATAAGGCTTTTATAAAGTGGCAACTCAAGTCTCCCACCATAGCATTATGTAACTTCTAGCAATTTGCCGCAAACACTATAATCCCTTTGGTTATCTCCTGTAATAGTTTTGAGTGTTCATGAAAAATAAGTCTCTCTTTTGCTATAGGACCCTCACTGTAGAACTAGCATTTCTCATACACTAGAAGACACTCTGACCATAGGCTGCCAATAGCTTTTGAAGATAACTAATTCTCTTGATCAGTTCAAATACTCTCAAATTATATCAGTGCCATTTTCTCCAATGTTTATGGCACTGCTGGAATTAAAAAAAAAGTTCAGTGTCATCATTGGCACTGTTCTGGAGTGACAGATTCAGAAATCCACCAGATGTCATCAGCACATTTGAACAGTAGAATCCTGGCTTCCTTGTGTATCATCTGACACCGTTTCGTTTTACCACAATTGTTCCTGCTACAATATCATAGGCTGTTCGGTTATGCTGAAAGAACAGCAGGGTAATGAATGCAGGAAAAAAGGAAGCAATAGAAAAATTCTTGATCAAAGCTCGTATTGTGGATCTGGAAAGAAAAGAAATTATATGTCATCTCTTCAGTTCTGTAAACGAGTTATTTTGACAAGAGTTATACAACTGCTAAAAAAAACAAAAAAACCAACCCCACTCTCAGAATAATTTCCCATTTCTGAGAACCGATACACATCAGCTTTCATTAAGACAAATTTTCTATTGTTACCTTCAGAATCAAGGATATTAGTCCTAGTTTGAAGAATCCACTCTTAACATAGCCACACCAAAGCCATGTTCCCCCTTCACAGCTGGTGTACTGCTGCACAACTAGTATTTTGTGTTTTACTAACATATTTCTTCCATTCATTAAATATTCAAACACCGTTTCTCCAGGAAAATCAACCAGAGATCATTAGTAAAGGATTCAATATTATAATGCCTTTATACAAAGACAAGCATTGTCGCACCATAGAATACCCTGTACGGTTCTGATTGTTGTACCTCATAAGGATAAAAATCAGAACAGTAATTCAGGGAGTTATAAATAACCAAGCTTTCTTCCTCATAAATTGTTAGATGACAATGAAGGGAACAATCCTACGCACAAGAAGCTGGCAAAAAGAAAGCCAGTGTAAGTAAAGCTGATGCAAAGTTACACTGGATCCAAACCCTGTTCAGCTGCAGGGATACTGCTGCTCTGCCAAAGCCTGGTAAAGGGAAAACTTGCCTTTAAAATAGTTTTCTATGCTGGGTTGCCAGGTCATGTGATTGAACTGAATGAGCTTAGGATCCAGCTGAAGCCCCCCAATCTGGTCGCACCATACCCCTGGAATCCCCCTTTTGGGGGCTTACACCAGCCTTGGCCCAATGACCTTCAGCTCAGCCCGTTGAGTGCCGTCTGAGCACCAGCTGAACTAGGATGAACAAGTTACGGTGGTGTATCTTCGACAGAGTTCAGGGTTAGGGACTTAACACCAGCTGAGCCAGGGATCAACCAGCTAAGCCCGAAATCTATTGAATCTTAAGCTAGTCATTCCAGCAGAACTTGCCATAGGATTGCCCACTAAAGTATCAAGTTAGAGGTTAGTCTTATTATTAGTTCAAAAATAAAATAAGTTCTGCCTACTGATGTATGTGGTTTTTAAAAATGTCTTTATAGTGCTTGTTGTTTTCAATGCCAGCTGTCTCTATTGTTGGCTTATTTTGTTAAAAAATCTTACTGTATAAAGTTTAATTAGGCTGTATGCCACCTTGAAATTAAAGTGGAGGTGGGCAAAAGACCTTATCGAAAGGCTCTATTGAACGAAGGAAAAAATAACTATTTATTCAATGTAACTAGAAAAAATTGATGAACCACTACCTGTATCAACATAATAGTGATACAAAAAAGTTAACTTACGTTGTCATGCTCACATTAGAAGATGGAATCACTAACACGCGACTTGGTGCAATAAGTACAGATGTGTCGCATGTCACAACTCGAAGCCCAAGCAGAAATTTCCCTGGGGTTGCTCCACCTGCTCCCCAAATGCAAATAATCTGAAAATAAATGCCATTTCAAATTTTGTCGCCAGGAAACAATATTTTACCTTGCAAAACCTTCCAAATGCAAACACTTTAAAAATGAAGCTAACTTGATGAAACCAGAAGAACTTCAAAACATGTTTTGTAACTGGGGATATAACTGAAGAGGGAGGGATAACCTGCTCCCTGTCCTGGGCAACTCAATAACCCTAGAGACTATGTAGATAGTGGCTTCTGCTTCTTGGTCACACTAGAATGTAACATAAAATAGGAATTCATTTTGTATATCGGTGACTTTTCCAAAAGTTCTCATTATCTGTGTCAGTTTAAGCTCACTAAGGATTAAGACATATGTTCTCACTCTTCACTACTGAACGTGTAGTTAAGGCTTAGATACCTCATAGAAGCAGACTAGCAATCTGTAGACAAGGGCCACTATCATCATTTTCTGCAAATCTTCCATGGAAGTGTCTTCATCTATTTCCTCTATGATGTAATGCATGGCAAACTTGGATATATCCCTGCACCAAAAAAAAATCATTTTAGTAATCAATAACAATAATTGTAATCATACAATACAATAATTGTAATCATACAATATCACACTACAGTATAGATGCTTCTATTCAATCCCCACTTTCCTGTCAAATGTTTTCACCTGATGGGAATTTTAACTGAATAGAATTGAGTAGTGACTAAGGAATCAGAATTAAGTTGCACGGGTGTAGCCAAGGGGGGCAGCTGCCCCTCCATCAAGAAAAATCAATAAAAAATACTTAAATAACTGAGGTTCTGCTCCCCCACAACAAAAATCCTGACTACACCCATGACAAGTTGTGTCTCTATTTCAGCCAGTCCCAACTGTATTTAGATTACACAAGCTGGATGCTACTCGCTCTTGGCAACAGTTTCAATTCATGTAGAAAATATGCTTATTTCGCATCTAAAAGCACAATTCCACATCTACAAAATCATGAGAGATAGTATATGGTAGGACATCCCCAGGACTAATCTTGCCTGTGTCATGAACTTCACAGTGTAACCTTAGGCAAGCCAAACTCTCAGCCTCAAAATTCATGGATAAAAATACTCCATCTTCTCCTCCAAACTTCCTCCAACACGGGGAAGTTGTACAGTCTAAAATATGGTAGTGTATGTGAACTGTTACAAATACTTCAAAGTGTACAAAAATGCTGGATTATGTTAATTATTTTGAGGTAAGCAAACCCCATCTGAAAAACCTAAATATTTTATATCAACCAATACCAACTTTTCAACTTTTATCAAGCTATACAATTATTTTAAAAATGCCATGTTAAAAAACATTAGGTGAGATGCAAACAAGTATTCTATAATTTTTAAAAAGATGAAGATAATTTTCCAATATACTTCTCTATAAGGAAACAATATTCATTAAGTCAAAAGCCACCTATACCCAAGGACTATTGCACTCATTTAGCAAGTACTGTATTTACTAAATCTTGAAGTATGACTTGAGTTTTGCTGCAACTCCAAAGCTTGAGAAATAGGGTACAACTAAATTTAAGCTTATACAAAGTATTATTATCATATTAGTTTGTTGTTTAATAAAGAAACATTTTTTGGCTCAAAGCAACTAACATTTTTTTAAACCACAGCACCAAATTAAAATGTATCAAAATATTTGAAAAAACTCATTCATGAGTGTTCCTACATGGAAAAATAGTTCTACACCTAGAAACCTAGTATGGCAGGGAGGAAACTTGGCTAGATCCTTTAACATATAAGTTTTCTATGTTCAGGGATTTATTTTGGTATGAAGAACATTCAGTCATTCAGCCTCCACCTGCAATTTGAAATGGACTAGTTCTGTTATACGTTTTTCTAATTCAATGAAAAGAAGAGCACAGTTAAGAGGAGAAGAAATTATAACATTTTCTATATTATGTATTATAAAACTTACTTTATTCCACTGAGGTGCATAATACTCAAAACTATGGTTGCTTTAATAAAGAAAAGAATGAAGAAGTCCACCATCTCTGCTATAAACCTGTGAGCCAAGGATGGGATAATATATTCACGACCTGTTTTTTAAAAACAAGAGTATTCAATAGTATAGCATTAATACAAAATAAACAGCTTGAAAAAAGGTGCAATGTGCACAAGATAGGCTTATTATATTTCACTTTACATAAAAGGTAAAGGTAAAGGACCCCTGACAGTTAAGTCCAGTCGCGAACGACTCTGGGGTTGTGGCGCTTATCACGCTTTACTGGCCGAGGGAGCCGATGTTTGTCCAGAGACAGTTTTTCTGAGTCATGTGGCCAGCATGACTAAGCCGCTTCTGGCGAACCAGAGCAGCACATGGAAATGACGTTTACCTTCCCGCTGGAGCGGTACCTATTTATCTACTTGCACTTTGATGTGTTTTTGAACTGCTAGGTTGGCAGGAGCTGGGACCGAGCAACGGGAGCTCACCCCGTTGTGGGGATTCGAACCACTGACCTTCCAATTGGCAAGCCCTAGGCTCTGTGGTTTAGACCACAGCGCCACCCGTGTCCCTTCACTTTACATAACCAATGGCAAATGATGCAATATTATAGTTGTAAGTATGTATAATGCACGAAAACACATAGACACAACTGGAAACCACACCAGCTTAATGGAAATTTACCACCATATAATCATTACTACGTGAACCAACGTTCTCAAGTGAAAACAAAGTGCTGAGAAGCAACAAAAAAAGACTGCCTGATAGTCTTCTCCCATGCCATGCTATCCTGGCACGAGGTCTGCTGCAATAATACTTGAGCTATTAACAGATAACAGAGGCCTTGCCATGAACCATCTAGGGTTGGGATGGAGGGAAAGTAGACTTTGGATCTATTTGTAGATATCTGGCTGATTTGTAGGGATCAAGGGATTCAAATTACATGTGTGGAAACTAATGTGCTAATAAAGAACTTGTGTTTAGTTTAATTGACAATTACAGTGTTAAATGGTTATTTTAAAAATGATCTTTCTACTTATATTCAATTCTATTTCTTCTCTTAATGAACTTTACTATTTCTATTTACATATTTTAAAATGAGCTGTAATTGTATGCTGATCTAATCAATACACTTTATATACTTTTTCCAAGTTAAGTTAATGAGAATTAGTTAATGTAATCTAATTCTCAACAGAAAGTAAATCTGCAATCAAAAATAATTCTCCGCCATGGCTGGTCTTGTACTAATCACTTATCTCTCATACTGAAGTTTTTCTCACCTGTAAGATACACTTATTAAATGGTTGCTTTTAACGAGGCCTTACTGCAGCTTTGCTAGCTAGTTTGAAAGCTGTATGATCAATCCTTATGCCACTATTTTGCAACTAGTCCTGATGCTTCCTTGTGCTTTAAAAGGGAGGCAGTGAGGAAGAACATACATTTTACACTTGAGTTGGAAAGCACCCTTTTTCCTACTCTAAATTTCATATTTCCCTTTTGAAAATAAACATGAAAATCAATGCTTGAAAATGGAATTTCAAGATTTGAGCTTCCGCGTTTATTTTATTTTGACATTCTGCATTAGATGCACTTGGTGTTTCTACAGAAATGACAAATATTTCAATGCAACGGTATCATACCGCAAACTGCACTTCTGAATGACATTGTAGGTTTTCCAGAGGCATCTCACTAACAATTGTAGGAAACCGGCTGCTGGCCAAGAAATACCTTAATTAGGTCTAGGAATGCTCTTATGCACTTATCCAAAGGGCCCCACCCAAGCCCTTCCATACTTATCTTTACCAAAAGTTTCTAGAAGGGTAGACATGTTGAATTCCAACCTATACCTATTTCCTGAAAGCAAGCCCCACTCATCTCAATGGAACTTAGAATGCAGCAAAATCAACAAAGACTCTTGCAGCCCCTTAAAAACACAAACAAATTTATTAGGCTTTTTATCAGGCTCAGCTGGTCTGAGGCCAGGGTGGGGGTCCTGTTAGAATAAAGTTGTAAACTCAAAAAATCAGCCAGTCTGGTTACATAAGATAGCAGGGCCCCTTGGCCGACTTAGCTCTCCAAGGGCCGCTACAAGTGTACCCAGCTGCTCACCCCTCTAGATGGGCTTGCTTTCATTCCAAGCTTACTCCTCCCCCTCCACTCTGTCCTCAATGAACTGCTCAGCAGAGTTTTTCTTAGTAGTAAAATAATTGGTGAGGCACAGCCTTGGAGGGGAAATGGCCAACCACTTGGAAATTGACCAATCTCACATTGAAAGTCAATGTCTGCTCCAAACTTGATACCACAGTTGATTAGGCCTTTAGAGGTACTTAGAGCATTGTCATTTTTTCCAGTTATTGTTGCCTGAGGAGACAACAGAACAAGAGAAGATGTCAGGCCCACCACATGCTCTCTTGACCCTTGCCCATTTTGGCTTTTAAGATCTAGCAAGGAGGGACTTGATTAGGTGGACCAAGGGAATGGATTATGTCTTACTTAGAAGTCGTAGTGCATTCCTTCCTGAACCACCCAGTCACATATCCCATTCCTGGGCAAGACAGCAGAGTGTGACAGCTCGCCAACTACAGACATTCCAGGATAAAATTAATTATTCAACCTAATTTCAGTTTGCCTTCAGATCTGGGTATGGCACTGAAACAATCTCGGTCATCCTTAAAGGACTGCTCCCATACAGTAGTATTGGGGGACATCTGCTCAGCTTCATGGCATTCCTATTGTCCCCCATTCACTTTAATGGAAACCAGCAGCCATGTGTGGACCAAGACAGCCTGGTGGCAATGACCACCAACACACACTCTACCATCTCTCAGTTGAATTACTGCAACACACTCTACATGGAGCTGCCTTTCAGTATAGTCCAGAAGATGCAGTTAGTGAAGAATTCCACTGCCATGTTTTTACATGGGGTAGCAAGAAGAACTCTGCACAGGGCCCAGTTCAAGAGTATGGACATATAAGGCCCTGTACAGTCTGGGGCACTAGTACTTATTTATTTATTTATTAAAGATTTTCTTGATTTACAAAAGTCTGTGCAATGTCTCTCTCTCGTATTCCCCCCCCACCCCATGTAATATTTTTTACAAATCAGTTTCATTTGTTGAGACATTAGGAAGAAAAGGGGGAAAGCGGTGGAGGGGGGGAAAGATGGGTGGGGATGTTTCTATTTTACTTAATATATGTAGGGTTTGGTGTCTGGCACTAGTACTTTTAGAACACCTCCCCAGATGCTCCTGCCCAGGACTGACCTGCTGGGAGCCTGAAGGGCCCTGCCCTGCCTCTCTCCACCTGGCTTGGGGCGGGGCCTGACTGGCTCCATAAAGGCCTGCTGCTGCTGCTGGACAGAGGGGGCTCCTTTTTTAATTTGTTTTTATTTTTTATCTATGTCATTTTAAATTGTAATTGATATTAATGTTGTATTTTTTAGTTTTAGATTTTATTATTTATGTGGAAATTGTTTTCCATTTGGCTGTGTACCTTTTGATATATTTTATTTATTGTTTATGATTTTTGTTATGTTGGTAATTATGTAAATCTTTTCATGTTGTAAACTGCATTGAGCAATGTTTTAACTATGGAAAGGCGGCATACAAATAAAATGATGATGGTGGTGGTGATGTTACCTTCCAACCTATGCTTGAGAGAACTTGTTCATGATGCCACCGGTAAGCAAAGACCAAGGAGTAGGGGCATAAGGCAGGGAGTTCTCAGTAGTGCCCGCCCCCAACATTGTGGCATTTCCTCCTGAGATTCAGTTGTCCCTGTCCCTCCACACTGCCAACAACTAGGTGTAAAGTTAAAACATTTTGCCACCCTGGGTTGCCACCCGGAGGTGAGGGGTAGGTATTTAATAAATAAAACTGGTGCTATTTTAACAGAGAGTTTATTGCCTTCTGCATTACATTCCAAACACTGTTATCGTTCTGTTTTATTTATTTTAAATTACGGTTTTGTGAAATCTGTATTGTGTTTTTAAGATTGTTGTTAGCCACCCTGGGCTCCAGCTGGAGGAAGGGCGAGGTGAAAGAATAACAAACAAACCCTCGCTGACAGCATTTCCTTCTCTTGTGCAAGTGTGTTTGTGTGCGCCCAACAACTGAGAACCACGTTCCGTTTCTTTCTCCTGTTAAGGAAAACTTCTGCCACGACAGATTTGTTGAAGTCTTTAAAAGGGCGCCACAGCATTTACCAAAACGCTGCCCATAAGCCTCTCCCCTTCACTTATTCTAAGCAGCCCACCTCCCAGGCGTTGCTTCTCGCCCCCACCCCAGGCCAAACAGCGCGCCTCCCTCCCCTCCCCCAGTCCCGTAAACATCACCATGGAAACCCAACCCTCAGGCCGCCCCCGCCCCCTTCTCTCCGCTTCAGCCCCGGCGTCCCTTCCCAGCTCAACTCCTCTCACCTGCCGGCCGGCCGGGTTCCCTCAGGGAGCTGGCGGCGGGGGCGGGGGCGGCCCGTTGGGTCAGGGGCGCGTGCCTGCCTGCGGGCGGTTGCCAAGCCGGGGCCGCGCGCGGTGGGGCGGGGCCGCTGGCTGCGGGAGCCGGAGGGGTCGCGAGGAGGTAGTGGAAGGGGCTGTAGTAGTAGCCGCCGGGAGGCGGGGCGGCGGCTCCGGCCATGAGCGCGGCCAGGCCGCTCTGCCAGCTCAGGTAGCCGCAGTAAGAGTCCCACAGCCACTGGTGCACCCGCCGAGAGTACTCCCCCGCGCTCAGCGACTCCGAGGCGGCGGCGGCGGCAGTGTGGGCGCCGCCTGTTTCCTCAGGGCCGCCGCCGTCGCCGCCGCCTGGGACCTCCTTGGTCTCTGCCATGGCCGCGGCCCGGTGCGTGGCCTTCTCCGCGGCGCCTGTCACTGCCCGCGGGCCTCACTGCGCAGCTGCAGGGCCATCCCGCTCCCCGACCGCGTACGCCGGATATATAATATATATCTGCGTGACAGGCCGAGCGTAACTTTCGAGGCGCCGGCTGCGTAGCTCTGACGTCACTGGCGGAGGCGGGGCTGAGAGAGAGAGACGCCCCAGGCCCAGAGGCACGGTTTGGAGCGTACCACTGCCTCTTCACGACCCTACGTGAGATGGTATCGCCCAGCTGCGCCGCTCGGTGTTTCCGGGGCTCGGCTTGCGCCCCGCCCGCCCGCAGCAGAGGAAAGAGGAGTACGATAAGGAAAAGAGGCAGGGCGGCCAAAGTCCTTGCACTGGGACAGGTTTCCTATCATCCCGAACCCATGCAGTCTGCCATACCCCTTTGCAGGTGGGAATCAGAAGGCGCCGAGCTGCCCAGGATCACCAGTGCACCTAGAATAGCAACGTGTTTGACCTGTGAGCTTTGACCAGGCGTCCTTGCAACTTACACATCCTCTTTTTTATCTCCTTCAAGTTCTCTAGAAGAGGGGACTAAAGGTTTTCAGCGAAAGCAACAGGCAGTTGTACAGCGTATGGGTGCTGCTGACCATGCCAGACTTATGTTTTGAAGACTCGCCCAGATTAGCTGAAGCAAACAAGGATCCCTTGGAAGCAACCTGTCCCCAGCTCCCTGACCCTCTGGGGATCCTTTATCCTCTCTTGCCTGGCAGCCAACGAGATAAACAAATGCCTTGTGTTGGGATAAGTTGGCACAGCTCTTGGCTGTAAGGCCAAACCTATTTCGTAACATCCTTTGTCCGTGTGTTTAGCTGGCTTCAGCTGCTTGACCTCATTTCTAAGTCCTTTTGGATCAGACTTTGCGTGAAGTATTGCGTTCATTGTGAGAGTTTTTGCTACAAGTTTGGGCTGCTTCAGAAAATCAGTGTAGAAAGCAAATGTGTTATCATTCTAAGAATCTAGTCCCCAATAATATAATAGTAACATAAGAAGATCCCTGCTGGGTAAGAACATAGGCTTATCTAGCCTGGCTTTCCATTCTTGCAGTAGCTAAGGAGAAGTCTCAGGGAAGCCCACAAACAGGATATGAGCACAGCATCTTCCTGCCATTCCTGATCCCCAGCAGCTTACTCAGAGGCAAACTACCTCTGGTACTAGAAGTAATATACAACCATTGTGACTACCAGCCTTATCCTCCACGAGTATGGGTGGATATTCCTTTTTTAAGTCAACGTGTTTAGGTTTGAGTTCAAACTGTAGTTTGGGTTGAGCTTAGAAGTCTTACTGCCTAGTCCTATCAGTATTTACTCTGAGTTCAGTGAGGCTTACTGCCAAGTAAATGTGCATATTTGCAGTCTTAGAACTTAGCTGCAGTCCTATGTGCAATTGGGAATACCTCTGCCTGAATTTTCAGTGGGATTAATAAATACGCAAACACTGAACAAGAAAGTTTGCTAGAACAGTATATTGCCACTGCAGCAGGTAAAAGTAAGGTAAAGGACCCCTGGACGGTTAAGTCCAGTCAAAGGTGACTACAACATAACATTATGACAGATATATTATTTTAATTCAATTGCACACCAATGTAACCTGCATACTAGAAATGAACAGCAGCAACCTGCCATTCTCTTATAGGATCAGCAACTTTTTTATTCCTTATTCATATGTACTCCTTGGTGCTTAACTCTAACTTGATTGTGAGTATTCACATATATTCGAATAATTAGACATGAGACCTTAGTGATTGTTTTCCCTATCTCTGCCTGTATTTGAATGATTGCCCTTAGAATTCTAAAATAGTTTCAGGTTTTAAAAATATAAATGTCACAGCCCACTTCAAGATAAAATTAACAGTATCATTTGTTCTTTTTTAATTTAACAAACATATTTTCAAAACTGTAGCTCTTCCCATTTTTTCTGAGGAGCGTTTGGAAATCGTTTACATTCTAGTGCTTATTCTGCCACCTGGTGGCTATGCAGAGTCAGTATCACAACAAAGGTTGATAAGTAAAAGTCAGGTATACTGTATTTGCTTTTTTGCTTTATTTTCACAGTCATATTTGTAGATTCTGCTTTTAATTGCAGAACACAAATTGATTCACATTTAAACACATAATTTCCCCAAACTTATGTTATTTAAAGCCTTTTCTTACTGAGTATTTGCTGAAGGTGGTGAAAGCCACTGAGCCTCTTGGGCAGGGGTCGGCAAGGTTTATCTTGCCTGGGCCGGATCGTTCCCGCGGAGATCCCTCCATAGGCCAGATTGTGTGTGCGCATGAGCGTGCCGGTCTGCAATTTTCAGTTTAGTGCAGTGCACGAGCGGGCAACTCGATTCAGGGGCAGCTCGTGGGCCAGTAAACAACCTCCATGGGCTGCTTCCTGCCCATGGGCCTTAGGTTGCTGACCCCTGCTCTTGGGCTTGCCGATCGGAAGGTCGGCGGTTTGAATCCCCGCAACAGGCTCCCATTGCTCTGTCCCAGCTCTTGCCAACCTAGCAGTTCGAAAGCACACCAGTTCAAATAGATAAATAGGTACTGTTTCCCTGGATAGTGCGTGTGTCCTCAAGGTTCTCAGTTCTTAAATCCGCTTAAATCATGTGCTCATCATTCATTATATAATTTGAGCAAATTTGAAAATGCATTGGATACATATATCTTTTAACTTTCTTTTCCCTTCCTTACCCTCTTGTACATCCTGATCTTCCAAAATTCCTATTGGTAAGCTCCTTTGGTGGGGGACTGGGGTTTGTAGTATGGTGCTTTGTGCCACACACATTGGCAACATATAAGTAAATAAATCACTAAATAATCAGATGGGCAAGGGCAGATTCTTTGTGTAGTGTCTTCCTCTCAGCCTCTCTGTTTGCTGACTCTTGGCTCATACTCTGCTTAGGATCTTTTCAGTTGTGGCTTTGAAACATTGGGACACTCACCCCAGTGCAGCTCATCTGTTGTCAAGAAGACTGATTTCTTTTACAGTTCCAGATGTAAGTGCTTGTGAGTTAAATGCATCTTACTATATACACAAATCTCCCATAAATTTTGAACATGAAAGGCAATTTTAATAAAAAAACCTCTACAATGCATTATATTTAAACAAGTTACCATTTTATTTTTAGTCATGTCAGGTTTACTATTGAAAAATGACATGTACTAAACCCACAACAACATTATACATACAGATCAAACATCAGATAGCAAAATCTTATTCTGTGAGCACTATTTGTTGTAGTAGCTATACAGTACTACAGTCAAATATAATTTAAAAATGAAGGAGTTACATATCTTGTAAGGTGCAGTAGGCACAATTTATATCCTGATCTAGCTTTGCAAGCATATTACCATTATTTCACTGTTACAAAGTAGTATAAGTAATCAAAATCAAAATGTATTGAAATCATACAACATGTACTGCACATCACATTAGTGTTACAAATTAAAAATATGGACCGTGTAAGTCAAGCCCATCTCCCAAAATACAATCCTTTTAGTCTGAGTTCAAAATTTATTCAGAAATAGTCTATGGCTTTTCTTAACGTACGTTTTTGAATAAATGCATGCATACCTTACAAATGGAAATAGAAGCAGAAATACACCCTTGCCCAATACACAAAATAAGATATATAACTAGGATAACCAACTTCTGCATTATTAGGAGCCACTCTAATCTCCAGACAGTGGTCTGGAAGTGTATTTTATTGCAAAAGCTGGCACTCTCACAGATGGCGGCCAGGATGTATAATAAAATTGGTGCTATTCAGCAACACAGCCTTCACAATGATAGAGTGGATGTATGCAGGCAGAGGGGGATACTACATACAAAACAGCAAGAGACATATAACATCCAAGTGTGGAATAGCTCTTGGCATTTCTGAAGCAAAACCCTATTCCTTGAATGGAAAACAGGGCAGTATCTAACTCAGAGTGCACCTACTGAAATCAGTGCACTAACGTTACAATGTAATAGCAAGTATATTGATTTCAGGGGGTCTGTCTCAGATTGTGACTTAAGTCTGATACCATTATATAACTTCTTACCATGTCTTCATTAATGTTTGGTAGGGTGGCAAGTAGTAAACTTTGGCCTTACCCCAGAAGACACTGCATTTTATTGTCTTCTCATTCCTTCCAGACCTAGGAATAATTAGCATTTGTGAGATCCAGGAGAAACGATGCTTAACATTCAGCTAAGACCCTTTATGTTATCAATTTTTTTTTTCAGGTTGTTAAATACTGTTTGACCTAAGTAAACAGTAAAACCCACAAACAAGGAAATGTTATAATGGACAGGGGAGAAGTGTGGGGGGGGGACGGACGGGGGACGACACTCAGTAGAATGCAGATTTACTTAAGTTTAAAATAACTTTTTCTATAAATTATCTCTGAGCTAATGTCAACAAAATAGAACAGAAACAAAGATAACAGCAAACTCTCCTTGTTAAAAATAGATGGTTAAGGGAAATAAGAAATTGAAAAAAATCTAGCTTTTCTTTTCCATTAGCAGCTGTATTGCTGAGAGTTCTACCTTTTCAACTTTCAGAAGCACAAAGACATATAAGAACTACAGACTTTTTGGGCTCCAGGTTTATTAGGTGATACATGAATAAAGTGAAATCTAAAATGAACATCTTAACCTCCTACGGGTTTTTTAACCGGTCAAAACATTAAAAAAGGAATGCACTGAAACATAACAAAAGTGTATCATGCAGACATTTGGCTTCCTGTATGCAGTGAAATAGCCAGTAACCTGAATAGTTAATTTAAAAAATATTTATACATTCACATGACATTGTGTATGACCTATTTGCAAACAAAGTCAAATTGTGGACGTGTTGAGAATATCAGGATGCCTACAAAAAGTGAACAGGGGCTGTGCAGTGGTTTCAAAGTGTGTCATGGCAAAATGAACGTTCATGCCTCCCTCAAACATAGTTGTGTACATCAGTATACGTTTTTCCTCCACAGAGATAGTCTCAGTGGAGGAAAAATACTATGTAATACAGCGTATGGTTTCCAGAACACAAAGTAGCTGCTGGAAGGTTTATCACTCGTTACAAACCAGTGCTACTTCTTCATGCTGCTGTTTTAAGATGAATTTCTTTGGAGATTGTGGTCATTGGTTTCTGTCCGGCCCTAGGAAGTTAACCCACAATCTCTGTAGGATCAGTGACCAACTTGGATCCATCCCACGATGTCTTGAACTGCTCAGGAACAGGAAATTCTTTCTATATGGACACAAGATTGACAATGTCAGTTGGTCAAACAAGTGGCTGTTATGAAAACTGATGCCCTCACTGTTAGTGGCACATGACTGAGGAGGCTTTTATAAGTCAGTCATGCTATAAAGGACTTTCTTGATTACATTCAGGGGGGGAAACAAGTGTGGCATTTTTGCATTTTTTGTTGTGATTTCTCCTCTTGATCTAATTTGACGGCAACCATCCCAATCTTTTATGTGTAGGGTTAGAACATAAGGTTAGGATAGCATAAATGCCAAAAAGTAAGAAAATGCTGTCATAGAAATTCTACTCAATATTGATCCAGAGCAGATTCCAATGTATAGTTAAAAGTTAAACATGTTGCAGGATTAGAAAAAAAAGAAAAAAAAAAGACCAGGGGCAATTAATATTTCATCCAGCAGAGTGTTACTGCTATTGATGGCAAATGAGCACAATGGCCACAAATCCAATACGTTCAGGATTGGTGCTGTCCAAAAGAAATCCAGTTGCAGCAGACAACTTAAACTTAACAATAACTTATAATAAGTCTAAACCTTAACACCATATACAGAATACCACACCAGAACAAAAAGAGAAAGAGAATGAGTATATATTAATTATACTGTATATATTCCAGATATGATTTACTTTAATCCAAAAGACTGTTTTCCTCAAAGCAACTTGCTGTCAGTATACGATTCAGTGTGTATTTCAGGAATTTGTATCAGAAAGTTTTAAAATAGTACACTTACATAATCACCATCCTTTGGGATAAGGATGTTCATTTCAGATGACTTAGCACTCACAATCTCACAATCTAATGATTCCTCACTGAGGTATATATGACAGCCTTCAGTCTTGTTAATTGAAATGGTTGGCACTTTCCCTATTACCTGCAGAACAATCAAAGGACTTTATAACAAATCAAAATAGTAAAGAAAAAGATGTTAACACCAACAGAGAAGTGTTTTGGGGTTTTTTCCACCAGACCAGGCAGAGCTTAATTAAAACCAGCAAAATTTCAATGGTAATTCAATACACAAGTCAGCCCCCATAGTCCGTTGCCACCGTGTTATAAACAACTGTGAATGGTTGCATAAAAAATTCGCCAAGCATTGCTCTCATGTTACCCACTTTAATTTCAACAGGCCTTCCATTGAAGCAGGATCAGGTGACATGCAGCTCTCTGGCAATTCCCCCCCCCCGGCATTGAAAATATCATCAGAATAGGTGCCAGGCAGTCAGCTAAGGGGGGCAAGATCCATCTGAGGAAAACCTAAACAATCAAGGAGGTTTGCAGGCAGTTCTTCAGATACCTAGATTGTGAAATATTGTCATCCATCAACAACCTATCTCCTCTCCATCTCACCTGTGCACAGAATGACCTTTGCGTGCCCCCTAAAGGAGAGGAGAAAGTGGATCAGAGGACCTCCCTAAGCAGGATATTCCATAGAATAAGCATGTTTCTTTGAAGGCGGGTACAGGGAACAAAGCAGATGGATATTAGCCAGCTCTTACTGAAAGTTTAACAGATGTAAAGGACACCACAGATTGATGGACTGAGTCACTGCTTGTCAAGAGCAATGCCTGGTGATATTTCTCCCCTCCCTCCTTCCTTCTCTATAAAAGAGCAAAGGTTGCCTGAGGTCACAAAGAGCACATTTGTAGGTGCATATATAAAATGGAAAGAATTAATAGTCACACCATGTTATAAATATAGTGTAAATGTTGCTGAAGCTCAAAAGTAGAGCATGAAAGCAACAGAGAGATATAACTTAAAGGCCCAACTAGACACGGTGTTAAATGCATCTTTGCATCTAACATGCATGTTTTTTAAAAATACAAAGAGGAGCTGTTGGTGGAAGCTGATGATCAGTGGAACCTCAGCAGGTGGAGTAGGAGAGTCTATCTTTCTTGTTCCCTGTATTAGTGTTATGAATGGATGTTTACCTGTATCTGAATATCCTTGGAATTGATCACTTCAACAATACCCACAACGTTGTCAAACACAAGGCCAAACTTTTTGCAATTGTCTGGAAAAATGGGGAGAAATAAAAAGGTCACAAAATGTATTCAGTGCTATCTATTGTTGAACATATGAGAAAGCGATTAACTGCTACAACTTGCAAGTGTTTACGGGTTGTAGCTAATTAAGATTTACAGAGTACCGTATTTTTCGCTCTATAGGACGCACTTTTCCCCCTCCAAAAATGAAGGGGAAATGTGTGTGCGTCCTATAGAGCGAATGCAGGCTTTCGCTGAAGCCTGGAGAGCGAGAGGGGAAGGTGCGCTCCAGGCTTCAGGCAGCTATCCGCAAGCCTTCAGAGCCTGGCGGGAGTAGCAGCCTGCAGCCTGAAGCTTCAGGCAGCTATCCGCAAGCCTTCGGAGCGCGGCGGGATAAATTTTTTTCCCTTTATTTCCCCCCCTAAAAACTAGGTGCGCCCTATAGTCCGGTGCGCCCTATGGAGCGAAAAATACGGTAGATCTACTGAAATTAACAGACTTATGTTAATCATGTCCATTAATTTTAATGGATGAGTATTACTAACATTGGAATCAACTCTGAGAATCTAGGTAATTTTATTCACATTCTTATCCCCCCAGATTTCAAAAGGAGTAACAATTGTGTCCTAAAGTGCTATCACCTATAAAAGCTTTGCAGGACATTCATTACAATTCTATGCATATCCTCCCCCCCCCCCACACAAGTAAGTCTCACTATATTCAACAGGGCTTATTCCAGGTATATGTGCATAGGATTACAGCCTTAGTCTTCACTCTAGAAATAAGCACACGTACCAACTGTAATGGAATTAATTTTTCCTTTCATCTGTAATGTAGATTTGTTGCACTTGAAAATGTAAGCTACTTGCTTGAGTTCAGTGTCAGAAATTAAAAGGTCATTCTTGTCTTCTTGGTATTCCTGCATTAAAAAGAAAGAAAAGAAGGAACATACCACAGATTAGCCTTAACAGATCGTAGCATTTGCACTTTTCTCCCAATCACTATTATCTCACAAAAAGTGGGTGAGAATCTAACCTGCAGCTACATTTGTTTGGTGTATCACCTGCTTTTCCACCAAGCTGCAAGTCCCACAGGAGTGTTTTGAGAATGAACACAGGTATACATGGTATCAGTAATTTGTGTATTTCTTTGGGCTAGACAAAGTTATCCAAAATGATTTCGAAGTTTAATTATTTGAGATTTTAACAAATGAAATTAATCCAATTTTGGGTGAAGTTTCCAAACATTTTGGGTGAAATTTAAATAAGCACATTTTTAAAGAAAAAACTACCTGCAGTGATAAGAGGTCAAACATGCCGGTCATCAGGGGAACAGCACTGAAAGTTCAGCCTTTGTTTGACTTTTAGATTGGAAGCAATATTTGTTCTGCAAATTTGTTAATATCATACCCAACTTTCTAACAATATTTGCAAGTAAGCAATTCTGAGGATTCTTCCCAAAGACTGCATAATTATTTCCAGCGTCATTGGTGCATATCATTCCAGGTCATGTTCTTAAGTGGGGCTCCACCTCCTCGCAATTTACTTACGTTTGTGGAAATATGGCAGTATGCTATTTCATGCAGAGCACAGTTACACCAACATCTTATGGCATTTACTTAAAGGGAAACATTGAGATGCTTGAATGTGCTGTTTCATACAGTATGTTACTACAGTCATACCTTGAATCCCGAACACCTTGATACTCGGATGTTTTGGCTCCTGAACACCGCAAACCCGGGAGTGTGTGTTCTGGTTTGCGAACGTTCTTTGGAACCTGAACATCCGACAGGGCTTCCACAGCTTCTGAATGGCTGTAGGAGCTTCCTGCAGCCAATCAGAAGCCACACTTTGGTTTCCAAATGTTTTGGAAGTCGAATGGACTTTCGGAACGGATTCCGTTCAACTTCTGAGGTACGACTGTACACCTTTTGCACACTCCTTACTCCAGAGAAAGTTCAGTAAACCAGGTCAGTTTACTCTAGTAAAGGTCATTTATACGTGAGCTGAGCTTACCACTCTCCATTTCTTTCCTTCAAGTTCCAACACAGGACAGTGGCTCTGCTGGGGAGGCTTGGGAGTAGTCAGATTTGGTGCATGGCTTTTTGTAGGAGATCGAATCGGTGTCCCCTGAGCCCGAAGACTGGGATTCTTATGAGTCTTCAGGTCATCAGAGACATGGCGAAGCCCTAAGAAAACCACAAGCAGCTGTACAAAAATAGCAGCTTCGTGCACCTAAAAGCATTCATCAGATTGGTTGATATGGTGGCCCAACATTTGCTATTGTGTTGTGTTCGATAAATCAACAGGCACTTGCATTTTAATGCAACTTTGCCTGCAGAAAAGCATTATGCCTGATTCTATTTATAGAGTATCATGGAGTCACAGAGCTGGAAGGGACCACAAGTCATATAGCCCAGCCCCCTCAATGCAGGAAACCTATGCCCAATGTGGGGCTCGAACCCACAACCCTGAAATGGAGAGCCTCTTGCTCTACCAACTGAGAGCTTTATGTCTGATTAAGAGCACAACACTTAATGTTTCTCAAAATGTAAAGGTGTGCAACATCAAAAGAGACTCCGGAATCAACTGACAGCAAATTAATGTTACAAGAGTGGCATCAGGTTTCTAAATGATGTACTTTTGTGTACACAGGGTCCTGAAAGCAATCAGGATGTCATTTTGCGCTTCCTTGACCAGTGGCTCTGTGCCCTAGAGAAAGACGCATGGCAGTTAATGAAAGCTTGCTTGGTGTTTGTTTCTTGAAGAAACAAAAAAGATAATGACTATCAAATTTCAAATGTATTATTTTCTTGGCACCTTTGGTAATTGTTTCTCCCTGGTTCAGCTGGGCAAATAAGGCTGAGCGGGTTGCAGTTGCATCATCTTTTGCATTTTCTGTATCAAAGACAGGAGGAGGTCCTGGTGGTGGTGGTGGTGGAGGAGGAGGAGGTGGAGGTGGAGGAGGACCCTGGTTGCTTGCTAGAGTAGACAGCCCAGATGCTGCTGATGCGATTGGACCCTATAAGGAAAATTTAAAAAAGGCGTCTGTAACTATATAAACAAATGGTGTCACAAATCACGAGAAACTCTTCTGCACTATACTTTTGGTATGATGGAATATGCACTGATCCCATAATTTCATTGTGGAATGCATGATTAAAAAACAACAACAACCTAGAATACAGTGATTATATGAAAGGTTCAAGGTGGTCATAGTTAGAAAACAAATAATAGGTTTGGATGCCTGTAAAAAAATTAACTGTTTAGATTTATGCAATTTTGGAATTCTGTCTCCTTTGTTGCTTACGACCATTGGCCATCACAAAATAGTTTCAGGAAAAAACATAAAGACAAGCTACAACCTGTATTACATAAAATAATATACAATACATAAATGAATAAAAAAAATTCTTCCAGGGAACCAAATTGTATTATTCATATTCCTAAATTGATTAGTCGTCTTTACAAATAACAACTCTGATGTGGAATTTTCTATTAATCTTTCTTTTTTTTATATAAGATATTTATTAAGGTTTTCAAAATATTACAAAATAAAAATAGAAAAAAGAAAAATACAAAATAAAAATAGTTAAAAACAAATCAATCTTTCCATTACTTATTTTTCATTAGCTTGTTTCCCAGACCTCCTCACGCCTCCCTTTTTTGTATTCCAGTTCAGTTTGTTGGTTCAGCAAATCCTTCCCCTCTTTGTTTATCCTAATCTTTAATCTTAAAGTATTGTAACATTAAATTTTTACCTGTTAGTAATCCATTTTTCATATTCCCTTATAATATTTCAGCTAAAAACCATTTAATTTCTATCCAACATCATTCTAACATTCATTAATTTTACAATATTTCTGTAAATAGTCTTTAAATTTCTTCCAATCTTCTTCCACCGACTCTTCTCCCTGGTCTCGGATTCTGCCAGTCATTTCCGCCAGTTCCATATAGTCAATCACCTTCATCTGCCATTCTTCCAGAGTGGGTAGATCTTGTGTCTTCCATGGAATTTTCTATTAATCTTTCAAGGCTTGTTCCAGGACATGCACTTTCAGCTAAACCATGCATGATATGTGAACTTACACCAAATATTATGGAAAGAAAGATTAGTGGTAAAAAAAAAAAAAAATATCAACCTGATAATAATGGTCACTTATTATACCATCCCAAGGACTGACAAGATGTAATGTAATATTAGAATACAAAAAGTTGGGTACAACCCTACGCATTCTTATTTAAAATTATGTATCGCTGAAGTCTGGAGTTTAAACCAACACCATCAGGCTGTTAATCAGCAATGTAACTCACAGCACCTCCTGTTAATATTGTGTGCTTTTTCTCTTGTATTTTTCTTGTACAGTTATACCTTGGAAGTCAAACAGAATCTGTTCAACTTCCAAAACGTTCGGAAACCAAAGCACGGCTTCTGATTGGTTGCAGGAAGCTCCTGCAGCTGAGCGGAAGTCGTGGAAGCCCCGTTGGACATTTGGGTTCCAAAGAACGTTCACAAACCGGAAAACTCCCGGGTTTGCGGCATTCGGGAGCCAAAACGTCCTAGTACCAAGGCATTGGGGATTCAAGGTATGACTGTAGTTCCTTTTACTGCCTGTTGGCTTTTGCCTGCCAGTGAAATAGTTGTAAGTTACCTTCATTAGCATGGGTCCCGTTGAGGAGCCACACTCGAACAGACTGACAAATTCCTATGTAAATCTGGTCCATACAGCATCAAAATTCATGCTCAAAATGACTCCTGAGCTATCACATTTTCCCAGCATGTTAAATTGCTATACAGTAGGCCTGCCACTTATGCAAGGATTCAGTTCCAGGGGTATGCGTACCTCCTTCCCGAAGCCCAGTGCCTTGGTCACCCCGCTTTGGGAAGGCAGTGAGGGGCCTCTGGCAGTGTTCCAGAGTCCTTGTGACACCTTCCCAAAGTCTGTCAAGCAAGGAGAATCTGCTGAGTGCTCAGGAAATTAATAAATAGAGAGCAGAGAATGGTGGGTTTCCCTGGCTCTCCATTTACTTATTTATCCCGCCTGCATAAGGTTGCGCTTGCATAAGTAAAGCCAGCGCAAATTGTGGGCTTCATCTATATAGGGAGCTTTGACATGGGTGCTTTCAAAGCACCACCCCACATGTGCAGTCTGGGCCCATTTACAAAATGAAACTGCGGAGGCTAGTCTAAAACAGAAGACCTGGAAGGTGAGGCAAAGAGGGACTTTAAAACTCTTTCATATCCAGGTTTGCCCTTTTTTTCTCTGCTTTGAAAATCAGCCCATCTGCTTTTCGTCCTCCTAGCAACAGGGTAATGGCAGCAGCAGATGGCTGAGTGAGGGGGCAGTGCTCCTTCAGCCAGTTGCATCACTGCTGCTTACCAGGAGGAGCAAGGAAGCAGGGAGGTTGGCACAGTGCAAATACACCGATAGAGACAAACTAGTGTGTTTGCTTTATGCTGACCTTATCACTGCCTCAGCCTTCCCTCTCTACCTCCTGGTTCTGAAAGGAGCACTGTCTCTGAGGGAGCAGTTATGCCCAAGTAACCTCTTTGGCCACAGTGGTCCTTGCTGGGGCTTAGTAACAGTCCCAGCCCCTTTGTTTCCTCACAAAATCTCGTCTATCTGAGCAGTGCCTGCATGAGGGAGCTGCAGGACTGTGAATCCACAGACTTCAGCTTAGGACCTTGTACAAGAAAGATGTGTTACAGTTTCTCAAAAGTCCACCCTTCTCTTAATCCAGCAGATGCTTGCTGTTCCAAACCATTCTTTAGATTAAGTGTGAGCAGATGTTAATAACAATGTATCCTTATAAAAAGGCATTTAAACAGCTATTTAACTAGCACAAATGGTTACGACGTCCGTCTTCTAGGTTTATGTCAGCTGCCTTCCTTAGCAACAGCTGCTCTCTCATTGCTGCCCCTTATAGCATATAGTTTGGTCAAGTAACATACGAAAGTATTTGTGCCAAAGAATCTGTTGGTGGTTGATCTCACTCGCAAATAAGATCCATTTGTTGCCAACCGTGGAATTGTTTGAAAGTAATTCCAAAAAGCATAAAGGGAATCAGGATTACGGATTATAAATGCATGCAGAAAAGACTTGCCTTTGAAGGGAAGCACATTGTATTTTAATGTCAAGTGTATCATTAGTTTTCTGAGGAATATTTATGTAGAAAAGATACTAGATTAGCCTTACAGCAATTGGTAATAAATCCTGCGTTGATGAGGGTGTGGGAGCTACCAGCTCCTGCCCTGGGAATGAAGTTGGCCAAGTTCCTAATGTTGACAGGAGATACAAAATGAAGTTTCTAAGGATTAAGGTTTTGCTCCTCAGCTTCCATCACCTTCCACTGGAGATCAACATAACATGGGGGAGAGATATCCCTGCAGGAACTCTGATCAATGATGACTACACATACTTACCTTGCCCTCTGGCAAGTGGGAGTTGTGAGTGCCCACACTTGGACAGACACCACCTGGGTTTTGTGCAGGTACAGGAAACCACACTGGTGTCATTCCACTGGCAGGTGCTTCAGACTCCACACACTGGAGGCCAAGGTGTGGGGGGGGGACAGGGGAGATGTTGATCAGAGGCCCTGCAATGGCTTTTATTGAACTTAGACAAATATAGGAAGCTGCCTTATGCCAAGTCAGACCACTGGCTCATTTAGTATGGTCTACACCACTGTTTCCCAAACTTGGGTCTCCAGCTGTTTTTGGACTACAACACCCATCTTCCCTAGCTGGCAGGACCAGTGGTCAGAGATGATGGGAACTGTAGTTCAAAAACAGCTGGAGATCCGAGTTTGGGAAATACTGGTCTACACAAATTGGCGGAACTCTACAGCCACAGCAGGTGCTGAAACTGTCCAACGGTTTGACTTCACCCCCAAAGGCACACTCCTCCTTTGTCTCCCGAGATGGACGGATGCCAACAACACAAACTGGCAGTGGCTCTCCTGAGTTTCAAACAGGGCCTCTCCCAGGCAGCTGGAGATGCCAAGGACTAAACCTGGGGTCATCCGCATGCAAAGCAGATGCTGTACCACCAAACTATGGCCCATCCTTGTCAACTCCTTTGAGATCAAGATCGAGCAATAAATAATAATAATAGTAACAACAACAACAATTTATTATTTATACCCTGCCCATCTGGCTGGGTTTCCCCAGTCACTCTGGGCGGCTCCCAACAGAATTAAAAGCACAATAGAACATTAAACATTAAAAACATCCCTAAACAGGGCTGCATTCAGATGTCGTCTAAAAGTCAGATAGTTGTTTATTTCCTTGACATCTGATGGGATGGCGTTCCACAGGGCAGGTGCCACTACCAAGAAGGCCCTCTGCCTGGTTCCCTATAACCTCACTTCTCGCAGTAAGGGGAACCGCCGGAAGGCCCTCGGCGCTGGACTTCAGTGTCTGGGCAGAACGATGGGGGTGGAGATGCTCCTTCAGGTATACTGGGCAGAGGCTGTTTAGGGCTTTAAAGGTCAGCACCAACACTTTGAATTGTGCTTGGAAATGTACTGGGAGCCAATGTAGGTCTTTCAGGACCGGTGTTATATGGTCTCAGCAGCCATTCCCAGTCACCTGTCTAGCTGCTGCATTCTGGATTAGTTGCAGTTTTTGGGTCACCTTCAAAGGTAGCCCCACGTAGAGCGCATTGGAGTAGTTCAAGCGGGAGATAACTAGAGCATGCACCACTCTGGTGAGACAGTCTGTGGGCAGGTAGGGCCTCACTCCGTGTACCAGATAGAGCTGGAAGACAGCTGCCCTGGACACAGAAAATTTGGGGTGGCTGCTGCATACGTATTTCTACTGCTATTGACTCCCCCGGTAGTTGAAGTAAAATGCACATTCACTTTCTTTGCTCATCAGTTGTTTGACCTCCTAATTTTCATCTTCAGTCAGTGGCATTTGAAGAACCAAGCTCGGAAATGGGATATAGGTGTTAGAAAGAAGAGTCCATATACCACTACTGTTTACCTCACTCAATTGTAAAAAAGTTCCTTATGCCCACATTCATGTCTCCACCTTTCAACCAATCAGTGTGTGGTCCAGTAGATAATAACTGGACTTCAGCTCAAGTTCAGATCCCAGGTTAGGAGTGGAGTAATTCTGGGTGGCCAAGGGAGTAACACTGGCTATGAGATTCAGTTTCTTTCTGTAAAACAAGGTATCAAAGACCTACCGCATAGCAGAAAACTGTACATTGCTGCTGCTATTCAATAATACATATAACAACACCTTATTCTTTCCCATTAACATTTATCTTTTAAAAGACAGTCTGAACAAAAATGGAGCATTTGAACTTTAAAACATAACTCTGGCAAGCACAAGTCAAATTTCACCATTATGTTTCATATGCTAACGATAGTTAATTTAATTTTGTGGATGTGTGCCTAATCAGCCTACAGACATTTGAGTTGTGAACGAGGGGGACAGGTGGTGTGAGCAGTGACATAAATGAACTGAAAATCCACCCCCCTCCAGGAAACCAATTACTGGGAGTCTCAAAGGGGAAATTTTCATTCTCCTAATAAAAAGCTACAAGCACTACAAACTCTTATAATCCTAGTTACATGCTTAATATGATTACAGAGCTCCATATTGTCCTCTTCACACATACACACACAGACAAAGATGAGGATTGTGAAGCTCAAAATATCATGTAACAGCCGAGAGGAACAGGTGGACTATGTCGAGGAGACATAAATCTTTTGTTAAGGTGTTTCTTCTGTAAACGTATACTAGCGTTCTCCCTGCTAACGACAACATTTAGACCACCTGTCTGCCAGCATTCCTGCTGCCCAATGATATGCTAGTTACAAGGTGAAACAGCTGATGATTGCTGCCTCTATAGAAAAATCTAATCCACTTTGGCTGTTTATCTGTTTGTCCGAAGCCATCCAAAAAGAAAAAAAAGATTAGCGCCATTTATCACCTGTTGTGGATTTGCCATGCTGTCTGTACATCAGTGTGGGTTACATTTAGCCACACTATTTAGTTTAGCGAGCCAATTTTTGGTCTGGTGATTAACTCTACCACCCATGACAGTTTTCTATAGCACAGGAGGGATGAATATAGTGCTGTTTTCACATGCTGACTTTCTCATAATTGTGGCGTTACCCTACTAAAATAAATATAATTATTGAGATACATTTCCTTCCCATTTTCTAAAAGAGTTCTTTCATTACAAATTTTTGCCTGTTAGTGGTGAGCTGATATGGCTAAAAAGCCGTAAGTCTTGACATCTTTCATTTAGAAGGCAAGTTATGATGATGAATAAATTGCACTGAACTAAAACACCTGGCATTTCTTACAGCTCTAGATGGTGAACCTGCTTCTTGCTAAATGCTAAATATTCACTACAATTTGGCACCACGCAGAAGACAAGAAGAAAGCAAAGGATCTGGATGAGGCCACATAGAACTAACCAAGTTCCTGAAAATTAACTCTTGAAATGTTTTCAACCTACCACACCCAGTCACTTTGCTTACATCTGGATGTCTTATGCCAGGAACTGCCACACACCTGATCTGAAAGCAGAGTCACTTACGGTGAGAGCTGAGGGGGCAACGATGTCACAGCTGTGCAGGAACACTGGTAGAGCCAATCTGCTGCTCTCACTGGTGTGATTACTCAGCATTAACATCCCCTTGCCTTCACCCCTCCTAGTAAGTGACTCCACTGCCAGGAAGTAAGGTACTCCTTGCCAGCCATTACAGTCAAACCTCAGCTCCCGAACGCCTCAGTTTTGGAACTTTTCGGCTCCCAAATGTAGGTAAATGCTCCGGTTTTCGGACGTTTTCCGGAAGCTGAATGTCTGACACGGCTTCCACCTGAGTGCAACCAATCGGAAGCTGCGTCTCGGTTGTCGAACATTTTGGAAGCTGAACAGGCTTCCGGAACAGATTACGTTCAACAACCGAGATTTGACTGTACTGTCTTACGCCTCAGAGGCCAAACTGCATGCGACAATAATCGCGTCGTCTGTCTTTCAATGCAAACTTTCTATTTCATTAAACATGTCTGCATTCTACAGCAGCATGTAGAGAGCCCTTGACTTTAACAAGTGTGACATGAATGTGGTCTTTATCATTGAGCTTAGGGTTGACACAGATTCCTGAATTCAGCTGCCAGCATTATCAGGTCTTACATTACCCATTTAAGAGAGAGGGCAAGTAATGGTACATTCACTAGGAGCTTCTTTTTCCTCACAGTAAATTTCTGTAATATAATATCCTCAATTAACCATTTCCAAGGATCAGAGGGAAAAATGAATCCAGGGTAAAAGAGAATAAGTATTATTCAACTTTTCTTGCATCGGAAGGAAATTCCAAGAAATGCAGCACTTACAGTTTTACTCCATGAGAGCCCAGTGGTGTGATATTCTTTGATGTATGCTTGAAGTTCTGCCCAGATATTCAAGAATGACTTCACCCAATCAACATGGCGCAAATCACTGTAACATAATGGAAAATACTTGTGCATGCATTAAACATTTTTTGGGGGGGAGGGCAACCCTTCGATCCCTGGGATCACAGGCCCAACAGAATATTGCAGATGCAAAGAAGGAGGTATTCCAGCAGAAAAGGAGGTCCACCATCAGATGTCTCCTCGCTGCAGCTGTGGAAAGCTCAACAGCCACCAGTCCCCTACCATCAGTTCTTCAACAGTGATGAAGGGAGAGTTTGGGAGGCAGGTTGAGCAAGCCTGTTCCCCATACATATTCCTGACAAGGGAAGGAAAATACACTAGTTGTGGAACTGGCATATTTATTTTTCCTCCAGCCTCCTCACTCATCCTGGCTGGAATGTGGCTGCATTAGTTTCATAGACACATGTAACATTACTAGTGGTGGGTTAAAGCAGAGACTGCGGCATCTGTTTGGAACACGTTCCCATCATCGGCATGAATCAACTCCTTGTCATTGGCTTTTTCACCTTCAGCTTTTGTGCTGGGTGAATATACCAATGTAACATAGCTAGAATGTAAGGGATCCGCCAGCGTAGCTAGGAGCATAGGAGTGTCCAGCCATTGAAAAAAAGGCCTGGAGGCTATGAAATCTTCAGCTGAGTTAGGACAGTAAAATAACACAGCATTAATGTATAAGCATCTCTCTGAGAACTTCCTGCATTCTTGTAATACACCTTAGGTCAGCCTTCCTCAGCCTCAACCCTCCAGATATCTTTGGCCTACAACTCCCATGATCCCTAGCTAGCAGGACTAGTGATAGGGATGCTGGGAACTGTAGTCTCAAAACATATTAACACTTACCAAAAAGAAAAGAAACAAGATACAAAAACGAAATCCCAACCCACCCACCTACCCCACCTCCAGGATGGACAAATCTAGTTAAGTCTGCCAAAATCCAATCTGTGATTTTGGGAGACAACACATATTTCTCAAATACTTTTTGTAGTAGATTCAAAATAATACGATATTCTTTAGGGCTTGATAAAACTGGTTCTGAAATATCACCAGAGAAATGTAGCAAAAAAAAATTTTTTTAGTAACTTACCTATGCTTGTAGTCTTTTAATACCCTGTTTGTATAAAAGGTAGCAGCATCATTCATCTCCTTGACATAAGGCCCTGGCTTAGGAGACTAAGGAAAGGTAGAGGACCATCACGTAAATGATGCAAGAGTAGAGAAAGAGAAAGAGAGAGAGGATGTAAAATCAAAAGGCAAAACTTTCCTGCATTTTAGAATGTAAGCATGAAGATTTTGAAACATAGGGAGGGGGAGAAGACACAACTTGAATTTGACATTAGCTGGGCACAGCATGTCAAAAATAAGGATTTTTTTTTTAAAAAAGAAAAATATAAAATTCAAAACTCACCACAGTTATCCAACCAAGAGCTGGAATGCTTTCACTGACTGCTGACAGATGATTAAACATTTTACTTCCTCGGTTTCTCTCCCTGAACGTCTGAATTTCCTGGATCTTGTCTGATATTGGTTTTAACAGAATGGTCACTTCACTCTGCAATATTAAAAAGAAGAAGTAGTGTTATTACTGCTGACAGAAGAGGAGCACACTGGATCTGCAGAGAGGAGGAGTCAGAAAGTTGTACAGCCAGCCCAAGTTGACAAGGTGGGTCACTGGCGAATGGTCTCTGGATTCAGAGGTTCCACTATTGCCTGTGGCTTGGTCAGGCTGCACTTCTTGGCTCCAGCTGTTCTGCAGCTTTCTAATAAAGATTTAAGTGCCATTGCTGCTGCACTTAGGCTTGCTTCAAATTCATGGAGGAGCATCCATACAACCCTAGTTCAATGTTTCCAGCCATGGTGCCACCCCTTGGCACTGAGGAGCCTTTCACTTTGGGGGAGACAAAGGAGAACAAGTCTGGTGACAACCCAGCTCTGATGCCAGCCCCATCTCCAAGGACGTGACGGTGACAGCAGCTATGCGAATGAGCCTTGTGTAGCCAGCCTGTTAAAGGAAGGTCCAGTCCTAGAGTGCAGGACACTCGCTGTGCAAATAGTGGTGCCACCCCTTACTTCAAAAGGAAGGTGCAGGCAGTGTGTCATTTGCTGGGTCAACAGTTTAGCTAGTGCTTAACCATGTATTCTTGCCTCTTGTGTACCTGTTGAAACTTGTTTTGTTTAGTTTGCCTTATGTTTCACTCAGATTTGAGCACTGAAGCCTTGGACAAACCTGGAGCAGGGAGTGTCTAGCAGTGAGGGTCAGGACACAGAATAAATATCAGAGGAAATTCCATAGCAGAAAATAACCTTGCACTTACACATTGTTGATTGAGAAGTTTTCATCCTGAATCACACAGGCCAAATCTAGATCATATTTTTTTTACTGAGATTTATTTCCAATCAGATGGCTGATTGCATAAGTCTATGGCAGACTTTAAACCATGGAACTCCCTGCACCTGCAGCCTTCACTATACAGGATTCCTGGATAGCTCAGTCAGTAGAGCATGGGACTCCTAATCTCAGGGTTGTGGGTTTGGGCCCCATGTTGGACAAAAGATTCCTGCGTTGAGGGGGTTTGACTAGATGACCCTCATGGTCCCTTCCAACTCTTCAGTTATATGATCTCCTGGAAAATGCTGCTCTTTACCCTTGCTTGAGGTATGTATATATTGGGACCTACCTTATTTTGGTGATTTTAATTGTTTTTAATATTATGCTTTTGTAACTCAACCTTTGGGTGAAGGGCAGGTAATTAATAATAACAATAATAATTCATAACATATAGTTTAAAGTAGTAGGATTTGTTCTGATTCCTCCCCCCCCCTTTTTTGCAGCGTGCCACTTCTATGGACTATGAACACAACAAACACACTTCATTGTGATTTAGGTTTGTTCTGTATTGAGAATCCTGAGTTTTGAATATAGAATCTGTGTATTAATGACAGGTATGTCAGTCTACAGAATTTCAGCATCAGACCAGCTGGGCTATTGACAGCGATGAACAACACGTTTTTAAATGAGGGGTTTTTAAAACACCATTTGTATTTTCAGCAGCATCTGTTACTAATCTTACTATCTGTAGTTGCGCCGCTTGGCAAGGAGCCAACTTCTCCTTGTGCAGATACTTCTGGAAGCTAGTTTTAGGATTTGCATTTGCGTTTTTTAAAATAATATGATAATAGGAATTGATCAGAGGTTGCTTATAATGCTCTATAGTCTATATATCACAATTCAACAGACTTGTATAGGATTATTGGAAGCCACAATACTGTAATTGGGGAGGCAGGAGGAAAGGGGCTCCCTCAACCCTTACGTTCTTCTTCTACTCTAGGGTAGACCATGCTGGCTTGGGATTATGAGAGTGGTAGTCCACAACATCCAAGAGGGATCACATAGGTTACCTTTCTTATTACATCTTATTACATCTGACCAGTTTTCAAGCTACCAATGCTCTATTAGGGTTAGTGCAATAGAAAACAGTAAAAGGGAAGTTAGGTATGCAGTAAAATTTCTCAAGCTACATTTTTATAATATGTGCTGTGATGAATATAACATTAATCTGCTTTGAATCCAATTAGGCAACTTGAACCAGAGTTCTTACTGCTTGCCACTTGGAACTGGTACAACACTCCTATATATGAAAAATCAGATTCTGCAGTGGTGGGGAGGGAAAACATGTCTGGGTGCAGCTTCATGGTATTATTCTCAACATATTGTACATATTTCTACTACTGTTTCGAAAAATAATATTTTGGGTCCCAAAGGTAAGTTTCAAGGGTCAGAATCAAAACAGCTGCATTGACAGATTTTAAGAAAACTGGAATCAGTGGCAAACCTGGAATCCCCCCATGTACAACTATGTTACAAAATGCTTTAACTTGTAGAGGAGTCTGGATTCTAGCATTATCTTAATTAGTAAGAAAAGCTCCCAAATGCTTTATATATGCAACTCTCCACTCTTATTTCCTGACTTTAAAGTACAACTTACAGTACTTTGCCATTTTAATCTTTGATATGAAGAAATCAGAAATGAATTCCAAATAACTGAAATGAGTTTCAGAAACAATCACGGCTTTCTAAAAGGTGATTCTGCAGGCAACAGCCACTAGCTGGTATACATAAGCTCTAATATCAGAGGGTGCTTTTGTCATGTGATCATTTCCACTTCACATACAAATATAGAACATGACCATAAAAAGTAACGTAACATTCACCCTGCTAAGTAATTTATTGTAGTTGATGTAGGATTGGCATGCCAGCTGGAACGATCTTCTCCGCTCTTGCTATTTTTGCATATACAGAAAGAAAAGTGCTTCAAGAAGGGATAAAATGTAAACTTAACTGCTGAAAGCAAATCTAAACTGCACTGGAGGGACACTTGGTTGTGATTTGCTAGGTACAGATACTGAAGAAATCCCTAAAATTTGTGACCCAATGAAATAAGGGGGGAAATCCCAGATACCATATTTTTTGCTTGCCCTTTTGTGTTAATCATAGTATAAAGAAGTTTCAGCAACACCCTTTCCATTTTGTTCCTGAGTTCACTTGTTTCTTAAAGCAGAGGACAGACATCCCCTCCACCAGTATTTCCTCTTCTAAATTAAGACATCCCTGTGTCCAATCCGGCAGGAACTCGGCAAATCCCTTCAGTCTCTACAATGCTGTTTCTGAATATCTGCAAAGCTACTATGCTGTGATCACAGCTTGCCAGCTCATTCACAGCTTTACATTACTAAAGCAAACCGTCTAGACAGCAGAATGACACAATTACTCTCTTTTCTGCAGCACTGAGATGCTGTCACCTTCATTCGCTTTTCTCTGCTCTGTGAGTTCTAGTAAACTAATGGTTGGCTTTCCTGTTTGGATTTCACACTGACTGCATAGTTTTAGGTTATAAGCAGAGGCAAACGCAGATGACATCGCAAACAAAGTTATAGGGGAGCCTCTTTTCTTCTCTCTTCTGGACCATTCTGTGCACATCAGGTTATTGTAATACCCAGGGCTTTTTTTTCAGCCAAAACTCGCTGGAACTCAGAGCTGGCACCTCTCAGGTGGGCGCCATTGCCATAAAAAGAGAACAAGGGAGGTGTTCATGGTGAGTTCCAGCACCTCTTTTTTTAGACAAATAGCAATGGTAATACTGTAGGAAACTAGGGTTACCATAGGAACGCCACAGTTGACAACTACACTGATATATTTGTATAAGACCCCAAACAACCTTTGCTCTATGTCCTTGAATTCAGGATATGTCAAAGCAAACACATTTTGGTTATTTGTGGCAAGTTTTCTTTTTTCCTTTTCAATTATTCAATTACTGTCCTGACTTTCCTCCTAAAGGAGCCCAGGGGTGGTTTGCCTATTTTGTGTTAATTACAAACAGGTCACATGCCCATGACACCTGCACAGCACTCATAAAGGATTGGTGTGAATGATCAGAAGTGACTTCATTCGCTCAGAAAAGTTTGGAAAGGTCAACAAGGCATTTATTCAGTGCCATCCAACTAAAAAAAGCCACCTCTCCCACATCTCTCTTACCTCCTGAGGTTCTTGATATTGCGAGGTCAACAGTAGATATGCTCTCTGTGCTTGGAAAGCTGCGCGGATCATTTCTGCCTGGAAAAAAGGACGACAAACCGAGTTACAAGTATTTAAAATATGTAAACACTAAACACCTTCACTTGTGATTATTATTATTTTAGGAAATTAATGGCTTCAAAACTAAAGCTATCCTAATCCACATTGATCTGTTAATTCCAGTTATCTAAATCCATATTATTTATTATTATTTTACTCTAATTTCACATTGTTCGTTTTTATAATTTTATTTGCAGCTCTTCACATAGATTAGTCAGTCTTACAGCAGCATGTAAGGCAGGCTAGTATGAGCCTCACAATGGATGGAGGTACAGATTTAACATTTCAGGAGTACCAGGTGACTGCAGTGAGTAAGCCCGTCTGAAATAGCAGAACTATGTTTCAGAGAAAGATGGCTTCTTCCATGCCATCTGTACCATCCCAGTTCTCGGCTTCCTGGGTCATGCTGTATTTGCAATTAAGGAAACATGAAGTAATAATTGACAGAATGTGGAAAAGGGAAAGAGGCATTTTGGAGACTATATTTTACCCTCCGTTGTAGCACATGCCGGTATATGTGGTGATGCATTTACACTGCAGATTCCACCTGACAACCCCGTAGGCTTGAGTAGCGATCACAGTGGGCTATTCTATAATGCAGGCTCATCTGATGCCACTCAAGCAACAGAACACAAGGTGTGTAAATAAGGGCACTGCCATTATTTCCCATACAGTCTCAAAGGACAAGGTTTTTTGTGCTATCCTATTTTGTACCTGGAGCAGGAATTATTTGCTCTTAACATGGAGACTATCATAGGAGACTGTAAAACATAGAAATTTAAAAACCATTCCCTTAGAGCAGATAGGGGGAACCATTGGGCCTCCAGGAGTCACTGAACAAAAACTCCCATCAACCCTGGCCATTGGCCATGGACAAAAACTCCCATCATGCTTGCTAGAACTAGTAGTCATTGTAGTTCCAAAACATCTGCCTTAGAATATTCAATGTGGTCCATTGAAGCATCACTTGAACAACACCAAGCCCCAAGAATTAGCCATTTTTCTTCTCAATCGCAACATTTTGCTTCACATTATGTTCTTTTGTGGGCTTTCAAAAGACCTTCTGCATCATTTCCCCCCCCCTCATTGTATACGGCCCTACAATGGAAACTGCACTCTCCAACGGTTACTTTCAAACACCAGAAAATGCTCCTCACAAAAGTGCAGATACAAAGTCCTTTCTCTTCTGGGATAATGACATCATGCCTGACTCAACTGTTAGCAATGTGTCCAGCCTTTGGATGCAGCCAGATCAACATGGGCACACGTGTGAGCAGACTGCTTTGCTGATGGATCACGAAGTTGCCAAATAACGGCAGCAACAGTGAAGCAAGATCAATTGTGACAATGCTCTCCGACACATTAGCAGCTTCGTTACTAATTTAGAACTCTGGATTTTTATTGATTTTACTCTTTATAAAAACAATAAACAATTGCATTGATCTTGCTATTTATAGAATTGTTTATGAAAACAGCAGTCACTCTAAATCATCTAAACCAGCCTCAATTATGCCTAAGAACTGGCCTTACAATGGAGGTAAGCAGACCACATACAGCGAATTGCATTTAAACTGTGTGGATAGCTCAGCTGGTTAGAGCATGGTGCTGGTAATGCCAAGGTTGTAGGTTCAATCCCCGTATGGGACAGCTGCGTATTCCTGCACTGGAAGGGGTTGAACTAGATGGTCCTCAGGATCCCTTCCAACTCTACAATTTTATGATCAAAGGGACATTCAATGAAGCTGAATGTTGGAAGATTTAGAACAGGCAAAAGAAAGGACTTATTCACACATTGCATAGTTAAACTATGGAATTTGCTCCCACAAGCACCAGTGAGGGCCACCAACTTGGATGGTCCATCAGACAAATTCATTGAGGATAAATAAGGCTTTCAGTGGCTTTGAACTCTGATGGCTATGCTCTGCATCCACAGATGGAGGCAGTATGCTTCTGAATACTAGTGTTCTTCTTATGCTCATGGCACAGCAGCAGACATTTCTCATGTCTTTCTTAACAAAAACATTTACACAGCATTATTGCAAAAGCCTCCAAAAATTAGTTCACATGTAGCCCTTGCTTACTTCTATTTGTGCTGATACTCTAGCATTAATGCAGTGAAGAAATCCAAATGTGTTCCTTGACAATGCATAATTGAAGGATTTCTTGCGAGTTTCACACATATTACTATCCTAGTCACTCAGGTATGCGAGGGTTTTCTAGGCAACAGGTGTCTTCTGAAACCAAATACAACCTTCTTTCCAGCTCTCTCTGTGTGAACAAGGCAGCAGCTGCAATCATAATGTACAGGACACATGGTCTATAAGATGTGTAGAAGAAAAACATGCATTGTCCGACTTGTTAAAGCACAGATGTTGGAGCAGCACCAAATCTTATAGCCTTTATTTCACAATGCAGATTATGACAGTAAACTCTCAGAAAAAGTTAACTAAGTCAACTGTACACAGTATGACACTTGGAAGCTATCTAGTATAATTATCTGTTATAAATAATAAACATTTTATCATTAGTATTCATTTTATTTTGTTTAAATGAATTATTATTTCCACCTTAATAACAAACATTAGCAAACATGCACAGATATAAAGGTAAAAGGACCCCTGACCATTAGGTCCAGTCGTGGCCGACTCTGGGGTTGCGGCGCTCATCTCACTTTATTGGCCGAGGGAGCCGGCGTACAGCTTCCGGGTCATGTGGCCAGCATGACTAAGCCGCTTCTGGCGAACCAGAGAAGCGCACGGAAACGCTGTTTACCTTCCCTCTGGAGTGGTACCTATTTATCTACTTGCACTTTGACGTGCTTTCGAACTGTTAGGTTGGCAGGAGCAGGGACCGAGCAACGGGAGCTCACCCCGTTGCGGGGATTTGAACCGCCGACCTTCTGATCAGCAAGTCCTAGGCTCAGTGGTTTAACCCACAGCGCCACCCACGTCCCATATGCACAGATATACTTTTATATTAATACTCATCAACAGAGACCTGGATTCTAGTCCCTATTCAACAACAAAGCTTACTGGGTGACCTTGGACTAATCAACTTTTCTAAGCCACCTCACAGGGTTGTTGCTAGGATAAAAGGGTTGAAGAAATGTTAAACTGCCCCATGTTCATTGGAGGAAGGGTGAGAGATAAAAAAAATGTTAATAACAATAATACGTATTAGCTGAGGTACTCTCCTGTAATGAATACAACAGTAAATCTATATATATTCATAAGGATCGTCACCCATGCTGAACTAAGGTGTTCAATTACTTTGCCAATGAATTGTAAATGAGGAAGCTACATTCCAGAGGCACAATTCAACTAAAATTATTCACTTTTAGGTGTCACTGTTTTCAATTAGAGTGTTAAGTATGTGTCATTGAAATCCCTGAAAGTTAAAAGTGCTTTATGTTGATATGCTCACACTCCAATTGTTTCTAACAGCCAAAATGAGCCATTCATTGTTTGCCTTTCTCTATTAACTTTCTTACCCTAGACGTGGTTCAAATCCGGATATCATAGAGACTTCCGGGGTGGCGCCATCGGTAATGGCGGATTCCCTCTAATCCGGAGGGACTGGCTCCACGGAAAACGGGTCTTTCCCGCTACGGCGAAGCGGGGACCCTTTGAAAAATCACAGGCGGATGAAGCCTGTGACCATGGGACTCGGCGGGCACCTTTCGCGCCCCCCCAACTCGTAAAGGAACCCAGTTACGGGCTCCGGAGCGAAGAGGGGCAAGTGGCGCGGTGCTGAGAGTCAACTGCTTCTTCCGTGGAGCGAAGCCACACAGCCGTTGCCGGAGAGCGCTGCCTTTTTCCTGGGACAATTTGGCTACCAAAACAACTACCCGTGAGTAGTTTAATTCGGACAATTGGACTTTAAACAACGACTTGTGAGTAGAAAGGAAAACTGGACTAAGAAATTCTTCTTAATTTGGCACTGAAACGGGAAGGTCTAAACAGGAAGTCAGCCTTCCGTTTCTTGTAGATAGATTAAAGCAAAGACATGGCAAACTAGAGTTTAGAAAATCGTTTGTAAAGGATTAACTTTCATCATCTAAAATTGTTGAACCCCCTTCGGAAGCAGGAGAAGAGGGGGGATTTTTTCCGGACTGTTTAAACCTGCAGAAGAGAGTGTAAAGAAAAGTAATTTTCCACCGTCTTGAACCTGGGAGCGGGGTGTCAGGACTGACGTTTTGGGAAGTTCATTGACTATAGACAAACGTCTTTGACAGACAGTTAAAAGAAGAGAAACATAGTGATTCCACTGTTCTCCTTCGCATTTTAAAGGAACAAATATTGACAAAATATCTGAAAAAGGAAACTTTGTTGTTAGATCTGCTTTTAAAAGAAATAAAAAAAAAAGAAAAGAGATGGATACAAATAGAAGTTCTTCCCCTAGAGGGAGCCTGTGAAACTGTTACTAAATTTGAACCGGGGAGCTCTGCAGCTGCAACAGATTAAGATCGTGGGAATAGACTTCTGACCTTGTATAACAATGTATTCAGAAGCTCTGGTGCGTGCTTTCTGCAAAACAAGTGCCTTATTGGAACAGTTACATGAGAAGACGGACTTGATGACTGTTGCGATCAGAAATTTTGAACAGGTAGTGAGTAACTATATAGAACCCACCCAGGAACCAACTCAGGAGTGTGCTCTGACAGATCAGATGAGGGAGGAGGATGTTGCTGGACCTCGGGTGTCAGAGATGGAGCGAGCTGTGGCCCAGCAGGAACATGAGTTGTTGGATCTGACAAATGAACTTGGAAATGCCAGATTTGGAGAGATAGAGTTTTGTTTGGTTTGGAAATGGGGGGTTGGATAGACCCCCCTATGCAGGGATGTTTTGGCTTTTCAAGTCTGCCAATGGGCCGCGAGATGTTTGGGGTTGTGGGGGTTCTTAATTATGGAGGGACTTTGAAACATGTTTTTAAATACCACATGGAGTTTAGTGTGGACTATGGAAAAGGGGCTGATTTGTCGAGAAGGGACAAAAATACTGTCAAGTTGGAGTTTCCATGAGTGAAAGGAGCAGGAGACAAAGTAAAGTACAGGTATAAATATGAAGAAGATCTGCGGAAGGGACATGGAAGAGACTTAAGGGCCTCGGACATAAGATTACCAGGTTAATGAGCTAGAGGGATGGGATAGAAAGGACTGACAAAACCCGGGACCAGGAGGAAGAGACGTTGGATGAAGATTGGAAGAAAGTTTTTAAAATTTTTTATTAGGATTGTTTTAAAAAATTGATGAATGTTAGAAAAATGTTGGAACGAAATTATTTGGCTTTAGCAGAAATGTTAAAAGAATTATGTAAGAATATGTTATGGTTATGAGAAATTGGTATAAATAAGATCTAAGTTTTAGGGTCTTTTATAGTAAGATAAGGTTAAAATAGATTAAGGTAATTTAATGACAGAATATTATGAAAAATGGAAAGCATTTGCTGTGATAATTAACAACTAGAATACAAAAAAGGGGAGGAGTGAGGAGGTCGATGAAATAAGGCAATGACAGTTAAGGATTTGGGAATATTGGATTTGTTTTTAAATTTTTGTGGCTTATTTTTGCTTTCTGATTGTGATGTGTTACGTGTTTTGTTGTTGTTTTTTGATTTTGATTTTTACCAATTTGTATTGTTTGATTGTGGTTTGTTTTTCTTTTGTTTGTTTTTCTTTTTTTCTTTCCCCCCCTTCTTTTTCTCTCTGTTTTTCCTGTAATTTTAAAATTCTTAATAAATATCATTTAAAAAAAAACAAAAAAACAAATCCGGATATCATAAACCTATTTCTATTTTACAGAATGTCAACTATGCCTATACAATAATGAGGATACTAGAATAAATGTAAGAAAAACTGCATTCTCCAGTGGCTAAATTTGTATTGAAATTATAACAATAGCAAGCCATTCATTATAGTTCAACTTTAAATCTGCAGCAGTTCTCACAATTTCCTGAGGGAAGCTTTATATTGCAAGTGGATTCACACTATCTCTGGAAACACAGATATACTGTTTCTGAATAAAGTTCCCTCCCAGTCAACATGTCAACATGAGATGTGCTGTAACCACATAATAGATGCAACTATAAATTTAATAAATAATAACAATAACAGCCTAATAATCTGAAAAAAGATATACTTGTTTTCAGTCATCATGGAGAAAGACTTTTCATCATATATAAATAGTACCTGTGTAGGGTTGATAATGGATCACACCCTACCTGTGAGATGTGTAAATCCATTCTTTGTACTGGGGGTGGGGAGAGAAACATTGTAGGTCCTTGAATGTCAGTGTGGTATGGAGAGAAACCTCACTTTTTCTGCTGCTTCTTTCCTCCACAAGCCCTAAGCCCCAGGATGCTGTTTCCATCTTGGCTGTAAATCCTGAAGGACCTGCTCCCTGCTCTATAGGCCTTTCCCTGCCTGGCCTGGGAGGGTGGGACCCTGACTGACTCCAACTACAAAAGCTGAGGCTGTGAAGAGGCCAGAGATCATCTTGGCTGTGAGTTCTGGAAAACCAGCTCTGGCTCACACAAGCCGAAAAGGCGCAGGGGGTGTCTCGTTCAGCTGCTCAGCTGAGGCCTCCTCTTGTCTCATTTGAGCAGCCTCAACAAGCCTCTGGCTGGTGAGGAGATCCCTTCTCCAACCAAATATATCCTCTTTGGGCTCTGGGGTATGTCTTCTGAGGGATGTGCATTCTGGCCCCTTTTTTTCTGGAAAAAGCACTGGTTATTTCTAAATTTACAACTGTGCATTTACATCAGTGTAAACAAATTCTGTATGTTTTAATTCCTTTTTTGGCAATGTGTCAGTGGCTAACCAACAAAGGTCAGCGATCAAACTTTAGAATCTTTCTGGGATGCTAGGTTGTTTTTATTTCTTTTAACTGAGGATGATTCCCCCCCCCCATGCAAGAGCACTAACAAATAGCATTCCCCACCTGTTGCCTGAATGGCTGCAGCACAGCCTACCATCTCTGGCTCCTACCACCTCATTATTCTGCCTGTGTAGAGCAGATCTAATGCTACCTACATTACCCAGTGTGTTGAGGGACTGCCTGCTTTGCAGTAACTTTTTCTCCAATATAACCTTTACAGAAGCGTGGGAGGAAGTAAGATCCATCACAGATGCTGGCATCAGAATGCATGCTGGGGGAGTTGAAATGGAAAAGATCTCTATTTCAAGATTCATATCAGTTAACTGTTTATTTCTTAACTTACACATTATTTTATTATCATCTTTTAATCCTGCCTTTCCTTCAAGGAGCTCACAGTGGCACACATGCTTCTTCCCCTCCCTAATGTATTCTCACAGCCCCTCTAGTAAAGTAGGCAAGGCTGAGAAATGCTAGCTTGCTTTATGGCGGAGTGGGAATTTGAACCCGGGTCTTCCTGATGAAAAGCACAAACAGAAGTCTACGCTTTGTACAATAAACATGACTGTAAATTATTATTGTTCCCACTAACAGCAAACTCAGGTAGCTGAGTGTTGACAAGATTGAAGCCAAAACAGGGCGAGCCAAAAGCAACCAAGAGGGAGCAGCTGTTCTGGTGATCCTTGAAGTAGGCACAAATACGAACCTCCATAGGAGACAAAACCCACAAAAAAAGAACAGCCAGATGAGGAAGGACTCAGCATGCTCTGTGACCTTGAAGGACACAGAATGTTGAGGATCAGTTGCTAGGGGCATGCAAAAAACCATGAAAGGCAAGGAATGACCTGCTTAAGTCCCTTGCGACTTATAGTATCCTGGGTTGCTGGATATAACTGGATTGCTGAACGGCAGCACTCCTGTTGGGTGAGGAAATATTGCAACCTTTCATTTCTCTGAAATCCACTCGGGGGCCCAGTGCATGAACTGTTGGCATCTGTCCGTCTCAAGAAACAATGGGGATGGCTCATTAAGCTGCTCAGCTGAGGCGAGGAAGGAGCATGATGTGTCCCTCAGCCGAGGTTCTACCCCTTCCCTGAGACCTCCAACACCTCAGTGCATGAGTACCTATATAGAATACTCAAGTATTTTCTTTGTGGTTTTCAGTTTGGTCACATGATGCAACTGCCTTCTTCCAATGGGAATGGCACTGCTGTTTCAACAACTGACTCATAAAACTCCATTTCAAAGCAGTTCCCCTTAAAGGGCAGAGGGTCTCAAGAACCAACCAGCCAGTGTCCGTAGTATACTTTGTGACCCATGACACATCTCTCTATCTTTCTGCCAGTCAAGAATCACTATGCATACTTTAAGGTAGTTTTGTTAATATTGTGATTAAAATAATCACAATTAAGGGTTCATTACTTCCCTGCTGCACCTACATTTAAACCTACAAAAAAATATTCCAAACACCAGGAAGAAAATACCCCTCCTTGCACAGGCCTGCGGTTTCGTCATCCTTTTCATTTTTTAAAATTTTGTTTTCTTTAGTTTTGTGCCCTTGCCATAGACAGTGCACATCTACTGGGGGGGGGGGGACAAAACAAATTCAAGTGGGACTTGGATTTGCCTTGTAGTTTATAACCTTCTATGTAACAAGGCTATTTCCCCATTCATCACACAGAGATGGGAAATGTCATGAAGCATATACAATCCACTGGGCAGAAGTGACTAACATTGACTGACTGAATTGTGCCCTTTACTTATAGATAAAACAAAGCATCAGTAACATTACGCCATATTCTGGAAATAAGATAGAGTGGCAATAAACAATAAGTCTTTATGGGAGCACAGGCTTTACTGTAGTTACTGAAATCAAGAGGACTATTTATCATTTCAGATGTGCCTCAATTATGTTATTGACAAACAAATCTGATCCATTATGTTTGAGATTCTCATTTCTGTTCTCCCCCCAAAAATAATGATAAAGAATCAACCCACTTAGTGAGCACAGGGCATCCAATTTCCTCCCCAAACTTGCCTATGACTTATGACAAGTAAGTTTGTGTGTGTGTGTGTGTGTGTGTGAGAGAGAGAGAGAGAGAGAGAGAGAGAGAGAGAGAGAGAGAACCGTGTTTCTCTTCTCTTGCAATGGAACAAGAATGTCGAGGATGCTAAATGAGCTACAGTGCACCATTTTCAGTAAGCTCAGCAGGGTTTGCCAATATGGTACCATTGTGATGTTTGCTGCAAGTCGGAGTCTAACAATATCTGCAGGGCATCACATTGGCTGCTTCTGCACTACATATTTAAGAGATTCTAGAGAAATGCATATCCTTCTCCCATGCTATACTTATTTCAAATTCAGCACACCTCAGTACTCTCATGATCTATGGGAATGCCCACAATCAAGGAGATGTGAAAGGTACAGCATGGTTTCTGCTTATATTTTAAGTAAACCTCTTAGAGATGTGTGTGTGTGTATATACATACATTTAGTGGTATATAGACATTATAAATAAAGTTATTAATGTTTTATCATTCCCTGTATGTCTGACATTTGGGTGTGAGGCTGAATATTTAAGTAGCAAAAACAGTAGCAGAAGGAGAAGGTATCAGTGAGCAAGCCAGATGAGAGGTCACAGAAAGACAAAGAAGTGCTCATATTTTCAGGCTAGGGGTTTCATCCTTTGGAAACCAGAGTCTTCAGACTGGGGGTGGGGTGGAGCTTACGAGAGGGGGGTCTAAGGAACAGACTCATAAGGCCTCAGTTCACCTGCAACCACTAAATTGGACCAGACAACAATCGGGTTGTTCACAGATTGCTGGATGTTCCGATTCAGGGGTAAAGGGTGTGTTTTCCAGGGGAAAGCTGTGGGACAAACACAAAACACCTCAGATCTGTGCCTAGAAAGAACGATACAAGCAGAAAACTGCTTGGACTCAGACAAAGTGAGGAAGAGCCCATAGCTGCCAATCATGGTGCTATCCATGGTGCTGAAGCTACTGGTTTCCCTCGACCCCATGAGTTTCTGATATGTAAGAGTCAGAGCAGCATGGCTTGCTGAACTGAACAATGAACAGGAGTGCAGCTCCAACTTACTTCAACCCTAACCTCTAACTTTGTGATATGCATTGTTCAGCCAAGTTCTCTATTTTTGTCATTTTCTATAATAATACATTCCTAAAAGGTAAAGGTACCCATGACCGTTAGGTCCAGTCGCGGACGACTCTGGGGTTGCCTGCTCATCTCGCTCTATAGGCCGAGGGAGCCGCCGTTTGTCCATAGACAGCTTCCGGGTCATGTGGCCAGCATTACTAAGCCGCTTCTGGCGAACCAGAGCAGCGCACGGAAACGCCGTTTACCTTCCCTCCGGAGCAGTACCTATTTATCTACTTGCACTTTGACGTGCTTTCGAACTGCTAGGTGGGCAGGAGCTGAGACCAAACAACGGAGCTCTTGCCGTTGCAGGGATTCGAACTGCCGACCTTCTGATCGGCAAGCCCTAGGCTCTGTGGTTTAGATCACAGCGCCACCCACGTCCCTTACATTCTTACCTATGGTTTATTCCTACATTGTGAACTTTTATTCATGTGTTTTTTATATTATAGTATTTTTTTTAAACAAACAAATGTGGACTATACTTCTGACTTAGCAAAACAATGATCCCAAGCTACTTTTTAAAAAAGAAGATCTTAAGTCCAAACAACCTTTTGGTTCTAAATGTATGTTCAATGATAAGAATAAGGGTTGCATCAAACTACGGAAGACTAGACTCATTTAAATTAATGTGCCTAAGTTAGTTATGCTTCAGTGGATCTACTAGCATTGGCTACAGCCCTATGTTTCTGACAGCTATTAGCAGTGTGAGAGAAATAGTAAGATTTTGGGCTCAGCCATTGCCATAGGAATAAATGTATAAACAATAAACACTACAATTTGCTTATGGAGCCAGACCTGTATTTATTTTTAGAAAATCACAGTTGCCGTATACAATCAGATGGTAAAAAGAGAAATACTTACATGTGTCTTCACATCACCATCAAGGATCTTGCTATTTCTTAGAAACTCAGCTACACTCCCCTTTATGATCCTATCAAAGGCTTCGACATAGGGTGCTACATCTGCAGGAGAACAGAACTTCACTAGATCTGGCTGAGAAGGTTCATACATTTTGAATGCTTTTACATCTAAGATTAAAATGCAACACGACTGGAAGATGTTTCATAGAAGCATTTCTACATCAGAAACCGAAACAGCAGAATGTGATTTGAGTGCTGGCCTGTGGCATTTATTTATTTAGTCATTCACTTTATCAAATTTATTTATGTATTAACTTTATTTCCTGCCCTTCCTCCCAAAGGAGCTTAGGGTGGAGAACAGAAAGCAAGAAAAATAAAATAAAAACGTATTTAAAACAATTCCAATACAGATGCACATTAGGAAAGATCAACTACTTGGGCCTTTTGCCCCTGAACTGTTTCTGTGTCAGCTGATGATTATAAGAGCTACTATTTAAGAACCGGCACCCTGAGTTTGCTTTATTCCTCCCCCCCCCCATGGCCCCTTTCCATTGTGTGTCATTTTTAAGATAGTAAGTCTGTAGGCAGGGCCTGTCTTGTTTTAACTGACTGTATGTAAGCTACTGTGGGAGTCTCTTTGGCTGTGAAGAGCAGGGTACAAAAGTACTAAACAAACAAACAAACAAACAATTAGGCAGGTGTCCTTCTGGGCTTTTCTCATAATGGAGTCTTAGATTAATACCCATGAGTACTGTCTTGAGTGAACTGTATTTGAATGCTAACATGTGTGATCCAGTGTAAAACAGAAAGTATTTTGAGAGGGTAAAATGTTTATTTGTTTGTTTGTTTAAATTTATATACCACCCTATATCTGCAGGTCATAGGGCGGTTCACAGAATAAAATCAGAATATAAAACCGCAAAATACACAAGCAAAATAAAAACAACAACAACCCAACAACCCCCAACACATTTTAAAAGAAAATAGGATGCCAATTATTATTATTATTTTCATCTGACGATCACAGGGTGGCTTACAATATAAAAACACAAATGATAATAACCAATGACTTCCCATTATTTTCACTTGCAGACTCTCAATATTACCTGTGAATAGGCTGTCTGTTTTGTATCATTCTTTTCTCTCTCCCACCTTTAAGCTTAAAGAATTTCTGGGCTTCCATCCATCTGACAAATGCATGTTCTCGCATAGCCTTTCCTTGCATCCTCCTCCTCTATAGGTATTTCATGTTGAACAAAACAATTTCCATTTTGTGTGTGTTTTGTTACTTTCTTTTAAATCAAGTGCAAGGCTTCACGGTGAGTTCAAATGGTAGCTACCAACTCTGCTTCCCACTTTCAGGATTAACTTCTTGATTTATGACAGCATGTTTTAGATTCTAATAAACCACTCTGTGGTTCTGTAATTAAATCCAGTTTTAACTCAAGTAAGAGAGGGAAGATGCTGTATTTCATCAAATCCTTGGGAAACAGAATGAGGTAAACCAAAGAGGATAATTTGGTGGTTGGAGTTGTATGCCGGTTTGTGAAAAATGACCACACTTATATGAGGCAAGGTCACAGAAAACAAGGATACTGAGCAGTTCCAAAAATGTCATAAACATTTCTCCTTCTTGACCTTCTTTCTCGCTGCTGATCGCATTCTCTTTCCTCCTCTTTGCTTTCTCCTCTTAACAGATTCTGCCACTTTTTATTCTCCTCTTTGTTCTTTTGCTTCTTTGACATTTTTCTGTCATTAATTCCTACTTCTACTTCAGCACAGTTGAGTGTCTTTGACACATGTCCAGCATGTTGGATGCCTGAATGCACTACATGTAATAAGCTTAGGCTCAATATCTTGAGAAAGGGGTTAACCAGGTGGTTTTATTAATTATCAGTTACAACAAGTTTTCCACTGAAGGTTCTTCAGCTGGTCAGGCTCTACCCCCTCACCCCCTTTTCCCAGGATTATCTCTAAACTCCCATCTCAATGCTTCTTGTGAAGAAATTTCTCTAAATTACTACAGTCACTATACTGTGTAGACTTATGCTTTCTTTTCTTCTGTTTTTCCTTTTACTTGCTGAGAAGAACTCCTTTTCCTCTTTGACTTTTCATGCCTCTTCTTGTTTGCATTCTGTTCTTCACTGGTTCCAGTTTCCCTATCATCTCAGTCATCTCCTTATTTTTGTTATAATTTCATTTCCATCTCTTCTTCCTTTTTTGGGTAGCGTGACTGAAGAAGAAATGTACTTTTGTACAGCTAATTTATTATTATTATTATTATTATTATTATTATTATTGAATTTACATACTTGGACTAAGGTAGAATTTTAATACATTTTGGGGAAAGATTGGTAAGCCAGATCCTTGACATTTAGAGATGCCTGGTAGAATATGAAGATACCCAAACCTCCACAAGTTTGTGGTACTGGTGGGTTAAAAACAACACAGTTCCAGTGGAGAATCCCCTACCCACCAAATTCTGGCTTCATAAGAGATTTGCCTCAGGATGGGAACAGGGAAGGAAAAGGTTAAATTCTACCACTCCATGCCTGCTGTGATTCTAGTAATGATCAACCCCTCCAGCTATGTGCATGTAATGATGCCAGTGCATTATTTAAAGGCTGTGTGTTAAATAAACATATGCTAATAGATCTAGTTTGGCTTTGAGAGGTAGGAGTGCTGGATTGCAGCAGTGAGACTGTGACTTGTGCAATTTCAGGGGAGCTGCATGGGTAACAGTCAGAGCAGGAGGTGTGTTAGGAAATGCTAAAGCTCTCAGGCCTGGCTCTAAGCCCAGGGTTACTTCCAGGTTATTTCTTGCATCTCCCCTTTAAGAAGTGAACAAAGACATTTTGATACATTCATCTGTGCATTCACAAACTGTTATGATAAGGCAAATGAATGAATGCTGTGAAAATTGCACTAAAATATGGCTTACAGCATCATATCAATGCATGTGGAAATAGTTATAATAACTTTTGAACCAATGTATTGCTGTGATAAGTCAGAATAAGCAAAACAAATAAAAGTAAATAATAATGAGGCTTACATTTGTATGCAACATTAAACACATACAGAACACACTGTACAGAACAAATCTCAGGAAGTTAGAAAACAGAACCAGTATCTCTTCTGCTAATTTCTATCTGATTCAGCAGTTATTCATTATAAAAAAAACAACAATCGAAACAGTAACACTGAAAGATCAATAGACACTTGAAACACTGGGTTGTATCGAATGGTGTACCTCATGCTGACAGAACACTCTTTGATCTAGTGGAGACTTCTGTCAATGGACTGGGGAGGCCAGTTTTCACAATTCCCTCTCCCGTCCTACAGTCCCCATGGTGATCCAATGGGTTCCCCCCTGAAGATGATTTTGGAGCTGCCTGGAGACCACTGGAGGAGAGGCTACCATCAAAAATTGCCTGCCTTTCTATTCCACTGATGGATGTCTCTGCTAACTCAAAGAGCCTTCTGTTAGTACAAGGGACACTGCTAAATTCAATCCATCGACAACACATTTAATAGAAAAATCTTTTCCGTGGTCCATTAAATTATAATTATAATTAAAGCTGACATCGGCCATTTTCTGTCTGAGCCCACAAAATATCCCTTACTGCTAATTTAAGAGCTGGGTGGGGGCGGCTGGGAATCATCCAGCTTCTTTTAGAACAAATGCTACCAGCACATGGCATTTAGTAGTTCAGTTCCTAACATTCAAAATTATGAATACGGCTTCTTGAAAGACGGAACCATACCTCCATTGACGCCATTGACAGTTCCACATTCCATCCCCGCAAGCCTGTGTGAATCTGATAGCAGAGATTCAAGCCTAACCACAGCATTCTCCAACCTCTCAATCAAAGCCATTTCTGCCATCCTGGAAAAGCTAAACAAAGACACAAATTATATTAGTTGTTTCATTTCATGTGTGAATTTCAGAGAACTGTATCTCCTTCATACAGTTAACAGGTACTATCATCAAGGCTTCTGTGTTTTTTTTTATATCATGTTACAAATATATTTGGCTGTTGTTGCTTTTTTTAAAAAAGGATTTCAACAGTTAACATTTGATTTCTCGTATATAACATAGAAACAAGTCAAATATCCTGCCTTGACCAAGTACTATAACCTCTGTAACTTATTTCACAAGTTTCACGCATTTCACATTTTTAATGTAAGGTGGTGAACACTTTAGCCTACTAAGTGAAGCATCCCACCTAGACATGTAAGTCTCTAAGCATCGTCAAATATGCAATACTAGAACTCTTACTTTAAAAATTTTTTTTTTACAAAATAAGACAATCATACTGAGATGTCATCATAGCACTAAGTATATTGTTCCATCAGTCCAGTGCAATCAGTTCTGCTTACCTAACATTCCCCCCCTCCCTCCTCCAGAGCAGGTTTGGGGAGTGGGGGGGGGAGTCCCATTGCAATAGTAGGAATCCTTGTACAGGCTTCCACTAGTGCAATGGGTTAGTTGGATACAGCCCTTAAGTCTTTTCAGCTGAATAAGTGGCACAGCAAGAATTAAGCCCTAAGGCTGCCACCCTAAACACATTAACAGGGAAATGCTATTGTGAGAGTGTATGTGGGGAGAACCCATAGCAGAGCAACCGCCACGTCCAAAACCTGGCCAAGTAACTGCAGTCAGGGAGGAAGGTAGTTGCTTCTTCTTTACTCCTTTCCACCCCTCCACCCATTAACTGCAATGGAAGAAAATGAGTTATGCCATTTCTAGGGCTGATGTAGTTTCAAGGGTTGTGTGGGTAGGGGGAAGGAAGAGTCTCAGCATCCTCTGGATCCATGGACTCCCACAACGTGCACACACCCCAAATGCCACATTTTAGGATCTGCCACTGGCAGAACACCTTCACCAGGATATTTATGCCCAGAGTGTTTTCCATGAGTGTACCAAGGACCCCCAGTGGAATATATGCCATCCCACCAGAGGGTCTTCTGCTCAGAAAATGGAGCAGCACTTCTGCCCCTGACCTGGCTGCATGCTGGCTATGGTTACTCTTCCATCTCTGTTTAGGAAGGATGCTCCCATATTTTTTCTCCTTTTTGTTCATGGTGCTGGATTAATCTTTAAACCAGAAATGGGAGAGTTGAGGCACTGTGGCCCATAGTGCATAGTTATCTTAGGAATCAAATTAAATTCAAATCAATTGTATTTTTAAAAACTCTTTTCCAACTCTCTTATTTTCAAGAGTGCACAATTTTTCTACAGTACTGACTCGCTGAAACAGTGCTTCCAAGGGATGCCCCATCAGCAACAATAGCAGGGAAACAGGAAGTCCAGGTCTGTTAAAGGTAACCAACCCTGTCATCGCTGTTTTAGAGTGACAGGAGTTGTTTTAATTTTCTTGCTAGTCCCATTAGTCTTTGTGAATGAACAGCCACTAAATGGAAATCTCCATCCACCCATGCATGCATGAGCGCGCCCACACACTGCAAACCACGTGGTTTGCCACAGGTGATGGGCACTTCTGTTTTTGAACAGCAATCCCTTGTAAATGCATTCATATGGAAGTGCTTGCTTTTTTACACTTAGGAATAATAACTTCTCATACTGTAGCAACCAGATTGTCAGTCTCTGTTAGAATGATTGACTTAAAGTTTCCAAGGCAACCAACTTTGCTAGTCCATGCACCTGATGTATAATGCTGCTTTATTTTCTCTTTGCAACCAACGAAGTGTAACATTTTAAGTATCTTCCCCACCAATGGTCATGCAGAATTTAGAGTACCCTTTCCCTCCCATGCATTAAGCTCAAACCTTTTCTTGTAATTAAGCATTCTGAAAGGCTTGTAATCCATTTAATTACATGCCACTAGTCCAATTACTGGAAGCAAGCAAATTGCCCTGCTGAACTCTAATAATGGGAACATATACATGTATATGTTATACCATGGATACTAAACTTAAGTGACCAGATCAAAGAAGAAGGACTGGTAAATCTAATGTCCATTTGAAAATCTAATTGAATTGAAGACAATTAAGAATTTTTAAAAAGATTTTGAATAGTATTCCAGCAATGATTAATTATTATAATTATTTGTCATCCTATATGGAAAAACTGGCTAATGATCTTTTGTCTAAAAACATCAGCAGAACACCTGTTCCAGCTTAAAACTGCTTCTTACAAGCATTGAGACACCTCTCCTATATATACGGTACACAATTTGCCACCAAATAATGATATTTATCTTCTACATATACATCTTACATTACTTCTAGGACTACCACAATTACTTGTCCCTAGTCCTGTAGATTTCACAGTTCATTCGATATTGCTGGACAATCCAACAAGTTATTCCAGAATCCCAGAACAACTAGTGTAAAGAGGCAGAGTACATTTCATGGTAACTGCATCTTTCTCCTTGAAGAGAAACAGACTAAAACATCCTGTTCAAATCCAGCAACCTCCACACTCACTACTATTTACAAGGAAAGTGGGATGGCTACATTTTGCTCAGCATGAAGTAAACAATAGTGACAAATCAGGTTGGGGGGAAAGTAGTCAGATCTCAATTAAACTGTGTGTCAATAGAAGAGGCACTCAAAATAATTACCTCAGTATAATTAATTGTATACATAAGGAAATAAACGATAAGCAAGTTGCCAATGGCCTTGAACTGAGTCAGCTGTACATTCAGGAAGAGAACCAAAGCATCCTATGTTCCAAGAGTCTATTGCAAAAGAATGAAGAATATTCCAAAGAGCAGCAAAGGAAGCCATAGTGGGCACTTGCAGACTGCCAGTATTTTCAGGAGGGATTCAATCACCAAGACTATATTACACTGGTTCTTAAAGACCTATACTGGCTCCTAGTATGTTTCCAAGCACAATTCCAAGTGTTGGTGCTGACCTTTAAAGCCCTAAATGACCTCAGTCCTGTATACCTGAAGGAGCATCTCCACCCTCATTGTTCTGCCCGGACACTGAGGTCCAGCGCCGAGGGCCTTCTGGCGCTTCCCTCACTGTGAGAAGTGAGGTTACAGGGAACCAGACAGAGGGCCTTCTCAGTAGTAGCACCCGCCCTGTAGAACGCCCTCCCATCTGATGTCAAGGAAATAAACAACTATCTGACTTTTAGAAGACATCTGAAGGCAGCCCTGTTTAGGGAAGTTTTTAATATTTGTAGTTTTATTCTGATTTTTGTGTTCTGCTGGGAGCCGCCCAGAGTAGCTGGGGAAACCCAGCCAGATGGGTGGGATATAAATAATAAAAGTATTATTATTATTATTATTATTATTATTATTATTATTATTTTAGTTGATTGGGAGGTTTTACATAACCCATTTCCCTCAGACTTTTTGAGAAAAGGAATGCAATGGGTGAAATGCCTTGGAAAGTGAAAGATAACACTTGCTTTGACCTATGGTCATCTAACCTTCCCACGAACGAACTACAGCAAATGCTCATTGCCTGTGTTTGTCAATTCTGCCATCATGTCAAGGCTTCCCCACTTCAGCTTCTTATCCATTCCAAACTAATGATACCTTTGCACCAATCTATGGTGCATCCAGACTCAGAATACTGTGGGCGGTTCTGGTCATTGCACTTCAGAAAGGCTGTTGCAGATGGAGAAGGTGAAGAAAAAGGCCGCCAGAGTGATGCAACTCCCCTATGAGCTAAGGTTACAAACCTTGAGACTTTGTAGTTTATGAAAGAAAAGATGAGAAAGGGGGAACACGACAGAAGTACAGAAAATTATGCACCGTATGTAAAAACAGACCATTTCCTTCCCTCTCCCTCATTATACTAGAACGCAGGGTCATTCAATGAAGGTAAGTGCTGGGGAATTCTGGACAGGTAAAAGGAAGCGATTCCTCACTCAGTGCACAGGTGAGCTGTGGAAGTTGCTACCACAAGATGTAGTGATGGAAAAGCCTGGAAAGCTTTAAAAGGGAATTAAGACAAAATCACAGAGGCCAAGGCTGTCAATGGCTACTAGTCATGATGGCAATGGTCAAGTGTCAAGGGCATGCACCTCAGTTGCTGGGGATCATGACAGAAGTACTTTTGAGCTCAGGACCTCCTTGAGGGCTTCTCAGAGGCACTTGGCTAGCCACTGTGTGAACAGGATTAGATATGCTGTAAGCCACCCAGAGTGGGCATGGTATAAATAAAATAATAATAATAATAACAATAATAATAATAATAATGTCTTTGGTCTGATGCAGCTGGCCTATTATTATGTTCTTATATTAACTAATCCGCTCCTATCATTCACATTTTCCAAATGGCACCACACCTTCAGGGCTTTGAATCTTCCGTTATGCTCTATTACAAAAGCTTGATTTGAACCAGCAAACAACTAAGACTACTCCAATTGGCCATATATAATATATATGGAATGGTGTTGTCCCTTAGGTATATCCTTTCACTGCTGCTAGAACCACGGTCCACGCTAGACACCCAAGGCCAGTGATGCATTAGCCTTAGTGCAGTAGTGAATAATGCACAGCCCCTTTTCATTTTTATTTAATTAAGAGAACATCTTTTATTCATGTGCCAGCATTGACAACACATCCTTTAGAGAAGCACTCAAGGAAGGAGTGAATGAACCACAAGTCCTCTGATGACCATTCTATGGACATTGGAACTAACTTTATTTTGTTTACTTCTATAGGGAAAAAACTTACATACATTTCAAAAGTATATACTACCCTAGTCTATTAAATCTTTACTTTAAAGTTCTGAAGCAAATATTTAAAAGTACAATTTAATTTAGTTTCCCTTTATTGATTAAAAAACGTGTTTGCAAGCGAAGTCCATGTGGTTATATGTGATATTAAGCAGTTTTATAAGGAGCTGAATTAATCCAGTGTTCTCCACAATGTGGATGATTGGCTTTATATTAGGGAGAAAAAAATGGATGCAGGTACAATAAATAAATTCTTGTAATTTAATAGAAAAATGAATCACATCACCTAGCACTCCTGCTATTTCTTGTGGTGACTTAAACAAAGCTTTATTTATAACTGTGTTTTGTTTTTCCTCTAACAAAGGCTTTCCTGTAATATACTGTCATGTTAATAGAAGTCACTACAGAAATCCTTTCTCCAAAACTGAATCTAATCTGCTAACAAATGAACCTGACTCACTATCCTATTCCTGCAAACAATCCCTGCAGCTCATAAAATTACATTAAAAAAATTATCTATATTTGCACTCTTGGGATTATTCTGGACACTCCACAGAAAATCATATATATTTTCCTTAAAACACCCAGCTGTAATCTTCCCCAAATCATCACCCACAGGCTTGGGGGGGGGCAGCCATCCAGTGATTAAAAGAGGTTTTCTTTCAGCAGGGGAGAAGTGAAAGATGACACCTTGCAGGGAATCTGCCACGCCCACAAGTGCCCCATTGCCACCCTGTGCCCTAGATGATTCACAGCTTATTGAGAGTCCAGTGTTGTTCCCTAAACAGAATTAGGCAAAGTGAACCATTACGAGCATCCCTTAACAGAAACCTAAGCACTGCAAACAGCCAGGTGGTTGCCTTAAAAGGCGTGAAATAAGACACGCAGGCAGGCACGCATCGGTCACAAACCTAGCAATTCCGCTGCCAGTTGCCACCCTGCACCAACCCCGGGTGTCCAAAAGGCGAAGCCCAACGCCTCAAAGGCTAACAGAAGCCCACGCGTTTTCTCTCCCCTCTGCTGTGGGTGGCTATAGAAACAAAATCACAGCAGCGCGCAAGAAACCAGGCACGTCCCTAAGGCCAGAGCTGCAGAACCAGCGCAGGTCAAAGCCCACGATGGGGAAACAATCCTCCTCCCCCCGCCCCCCCCTCCGGGAGGCATGCCAGGTGCCCATTGCCAACACAGTTAAGAGCTGTGGCGTTTTGCCCTGAATAAAGAGCCGGCCGCTAGTCACACCCACACCTAGATGCGATCCTGGAGGGGGGGACAAAACCTCCAGGTTGGTCCCTTAGAGTCGACCGGGCCCCTCGAAGCTGCAGGCCACGGCTCCCCATGGGCGGGGGAGGAGGGAAACGAGGGAGAGAGACGGTGACCCAGATTAGCCCTTCCACACACACACACACACACACACACACACACACACACGAGAGAGAGAGAGAGAGAGAGAGAGAGAGCGCGCCAAATCAATCCCCCTCAGTAGCTCGCTCCCGATTCCCGCCCCCTCTGGCCTCCCACGCCCAAGCAGAGGGGCTGCGGCGAGAGCCACCAGGCAAGGCCGCTCTCTGCGGGGGTCTCTCTCACGCCCAGCCAGCCCCTTCCCCGCATCTCCTGCACGCCTCCCTCCCCCCAAAAACCCCGCTCCCCTCCCCTCTGCCCTGCCCATCCCTTGCCTGCGACGGAGAGGGGGGCAACCCGCCTCCCAACAGACGCCTGGCTCGCTTCGCCCCTCCCCGCCCCTTGCCAGCTGCTCTGGAATTACCTGTTCGGATGAGCCTCTCGTTCTCCTCTCGCTCTGCGCGCGGAGGAAAATCCGTGGCGGCTCACTCGCGCTCCTGCCGGCCCCCCTGCGCGCTCTTTCTTCCTGCCTTCCCCTCCTCCTCCTCCTCCTCCTCCTCCTCCTCGATGTGAGCTGGTGTCACTCACAAAAGCCGCGCAGGAGGGGGAGGGCGGGAAAGAGAAAGAGAGAGGGAGAGGGAGAGAGATGCAGCCCCGGCGGGCGGTTTCCGGGCGCGCCAAATATAGGCAAGTCCGAAAGGAAAGGGCGAAAGAGACAGAGAGAGAGAAAGAAAGAGAGAGAGAGAGGCGCTGGCGAAGAAGGAGAAAGAAAGCGAAAGGGGTGGGAGGTGGGGAAGAGAGAAAGGTGCCTCTCAGCAATATCAGCTCTCCGCTCACGCAGCCCGATGTGTGTGAAAGGAATGGGGACGGGGGGGGGGGAGGCGGCTGTCACATAGCGCTTAGGAACAGGCGCCGGTGGGGAAACCGAGGCTAGGGAGGGGCCGGTTGCGAGGAGAGGGGAGTGCGATTCTCAGGGGAAAGGGGGCCAAGGCAAAGTTTGCCCACGCGCCTATGGCTCCCCGTCGAATCTGGAACCCCCATTCCTTAGTTTCGTGCTCCCTCTGTCCCTCCCGAGTCAGGACCAAACGCGTATCTCTCCAATGCAATGGATGCATCACAAGGGCATGTTTCCATCGCCGACGATTCTGCAACCAGAGACGGCCCTGATGCTCGGGTGCGGTGTTTTGTTACCAGATTCGGGGTATCCTTTAGAATTAAAAGGTATCATTGCATAATTACCAGGAAGCCTAAGCTTGGGCAGAGTCAGTGGCACCCACACACACACTGCCGTTTTGCCTCGCCTTTTGTACCCGCGCTCCCCTGTTACTTTGGCTGAGCTCCCATATGCTCAGCTTTGCTCAGCGCTGCCAGTAGATATATTTTTTCTGTTAGACGCAAGGATTTCACATTTTGAGGAAAGTGAAGAGAAGGAACAGGGATAATGCAAGAGAAGCAGCGCGCGAGGCTGCAATCCTACACCTGCTTACTTGGGAGTAAGTCCAGTTGAGCACAGTGGGGCCTCTGAGTAGACATGCTTGGCTGTCAGTTTATTAACATTACACTAGAAAAATAAGCTGTCAATCAATACAGTACTTTCCATCCTTTTAAGTACAGTATCTTAAACAATTTAAGATCAATGGCACATGGGCAGGTTTGGGGAAACGTAAGACCTGCCTATAGGACAAAATCCTAGGGGAAACATAACAAAATAATTATTCCAGATTAATCACAGTCACACAATTATTGTCATGTCTACTTTGACCCAATTTTTGTTTCTTTTTTATCATTGATATCCTGCATTCTTTCTCAAGAGGTTTACTCACGCTGGCTTCCATCCTTCAACAAATGCCAAGCATCCCTAAAGAAACATGATGTATTTATAGCTCAGGTAGAACACGATTTCTGTTCCCTTTAAAACAAAGCCTTCGACAGGTAGCATCTCTCTATAATAATAGTGCCTAGACCCACTGTGGGAGAGATAGTTATAGCAGACATCTAAATCCGGAATGCTGTAGCACAGAATGTCCTAGTGATAGAATCATCAGTCCAAATACAATGGTTTAACAGCACTGAATACAGAACTGAAGCAAGTTTATGCTAGTGCACATACTATCTTATGCCACCAGTGTACGCTGTATTAATCCAAAATAATAATGAGCTTGCATTTCTGTATTCATTAACACAAGTTAGAATCCATGTTTCACCAGTAAGCGTGCTTTAAGAGGATGAGTTAGGTTCGAAGCCTGAGGATCTGATATTATCTCATTACTTAAGCAAACGTTTCCCAATGTGTACATGTTAAAAGGTACACACTGGGACATAGGAAATAGAAAGAAGCTGAGGGAGGCTTTGAATACTATTTGTAATCCTGCCTTCTCCATTGCCCCCTCCATCATCAGTGGCACACAGGAGAAGGAGGAGGATTGTAAAGGGCTTTCCTTTGCACCTCCAAAGAAAGTGGGAGAATTGCAAGCCCTTTCCTGCACTCCCCCTTTCAACTCCTGATTTTGCATGTTGGAAGGGAGAGCACAGTAAATGAAGGCTGCTGTCACTGCTAGTGGTGGAAGCAAGAAATAGTTGAATTTTAAAATAAAGGTAATAAAGTGTTCCCTTATGAATCTCTCTTTGAAGTTGGTTAAACAGCCATTTGCTGCAATTATGGTGGTTAGTTTGTCATATACAGTGGTACCTCGGGTTACAGATGCTTCAGGTTATGTGTTTTCAGATTGCGCACCGCGCCGAACCCGGAAGTACCAGAACGGGTTACTTCCGGGTTTCGGCACTCACACATGTGCAGAAACCCGCACATGCGCAGATGTGGCGCTACAGGTTGCGAACGCTGTGGGTTGCAAATGTGCCTCCCGCACAGATCACGTTCCACTGTATATATTTATCCAATTACTGTTCTTCACCAACACTTGCTTTAAGAAACCCCATTCTACCCTGTCAGAAGCCTTTTCAGCATCTAAAAGTACAGTACGATGAGCTTCTTATTAGAGTTTATACTTTGTACGACATTAGTCTGTGGTTTATTCTCTTTATTAATCCATTTTTGTCTTCTGTACTAGCATAATTTTTAAAAAATACTCCTTGATCTAGCTGTCAAAAGAGAGTTTAGAGCATTATAATATGTCATTATCAATGATATTGGTCTTTAAGATTCTGATCATTCTAGAATTTCATCAGGTTTTGGTATCAATACTATATTTACTTTGTTTCAGGTGCTAAGCATCTTACCAGTCTGCCTGATATAATTAAGCAAAACAGGCATAACTATTTATTCAAAGGTTTGATGTAAATCTGCCAATAATCCATCTGGTCATTATGACCTATTTGTCTTATTTAAAATTTATATTGTTTTCTTGATACCTTAATAGTACTGATGGAGGTTGTACTAAATGACCTTCAGGGTCCCTTCCAACTCAGTGATTTTATTATCATAAGGTTGGAGTCTGGGAAAGAGTCTACTAAAGTGGTCAAACCACTTGGATAGGAGATAACTAAAAAGTAGCCAGGAACTATTCTGGAAAGGAAAAGCATGTCTTTCTCTCACACATACTCTTGGTGGAGATTATGTAAGCACTGACTGAAGTTAGAGTTAAAATGCTGTGTTTTGAGCTCTGGAAAAGCTAACAGCATCTTTGGGTGCTGACTGTCTCCTGGAGATCTGAGAAGCAGATTTTGACTGTGTTGACATTTTAAAGACATACCGGTATGTCTACTTGTGTACAGCTTGGGTATTTATAAATATCAATCAATTAATCATTTATTTATTTATTGTATTTGACTAAAAGCCATTACAAATCCAGTTACAAAACCAGCAAAACCAATAAAACCTATTAAGAATGATCCAGAAATAAACAACCATTTACAGTAAATCAAATAAATGCAGATATTAAATTCTGTAAGTCTCCTGTAAAATATGTGCTATACCAGTTTGTGTGAAATTCTGAGCAAATGTATAAACATTAAAGTATTGGCATTTGGTAGTTCAGAAAAAGAATCGCTTATCAATAGAAGGAGGTATATTGGAGGAACTAACATGTTTAATAATAGAAAAAGAGAAAACTAATTTATCTTTAGCATAATATACACATTACTCTGAAGGTGCACCTTTTATTATTGCATTTCTTTATATCTGGTTCTTAATAAATATAACATAAATACAACACAATAAGTATTTATTGTTGTCGTTATTATTATTATTATTATTATTACTCCTCAGAAACACTCCAAACAGCACCTACTAGAGTGCACAGAACTGCAGTCTTAAGGATGTGGCACCTCAGGCACAAGGGGTGCAGTAGGGGTTGGTTGTGAAAGCCCCTCTGCGTAAGTGACCTTCTGCACAAGCCAAACCTAAGCAACTGAAAGTCTCATTGGTTTCAGTTGAAAATATGTAACCAACTCACCTACCGTAATTAATTAAGAGGCATATCTTTGGAAGGATTATGCTCACAGCAGTGATAAATGCAACTCTTAGTACTGCCATTAATAATAGTGTCCTAGCCTCCTCATCAAGAATAAATGTGGCTTAATATGCACTGACCCCCAGATGAAGGTTTTTATGTCCTGATGTGTTTCTTTTTTGAGAAAATAATAATAATGCTAAATTCATAGCTATAATTAGATGTTATCTTTCTCACCCAATAACCCAGAACCCTAACAATCTAATATCATTTTTAACCCAATACTTTGCACCACCACCACCTGATCTAAATATTGGACTTATTCAGAAGCCTGCTGGAACTGTCATTGGCTTGCCAACAGCTTGCCATTGAATAAAATGAAACATTCCTTCCCAGTGTGGGCTTGTAGCCAGGTCACCATCTACCCATAAATAGCTATCGCCTACAGAGAGAGTGACTAATCTTAAATAGCAACAAACAAAAAGCTACCGCTCTTTGATTTCTCATTTATGTGTGGTTTTATTTTGTTATACCTTCTTCCTGATTACCTGAGGACACATTTTTAGTTGATGATAGGGGGTTTTCAATAAATTAATCTAACCAATTAATAAACTAAATGTTCAGCCTTGCTTAACATACAAAACCAGTGTAAGAATGCGATCTCTCTACAGTGGTGTAGCATGGGTGGGGCCACAGGGACAGTTGTCCAGGGTGCAAAATTATTAGGGGCACAAAATTTCAAAGGAAAAAAATAGAATGTAGTAATAATAAATAATAAATAGTGCACCCTCCCTATCACACAGAATATCTCCCAGTGTTTGAATGGGCAGACTGAGGAAGGGATTTGGGTAACAGCTGGTTGCTAGGGCACCCTCTACATGGACTTTAGAAATACACCCACTCCCGACCAATCCCCCTTCTCACTCTCTAGCATGCTCAACGCTCATTGGGCACTACAGCTGGCACTCAGGTAGGTCACCAAGCTACTACCCCTTCATTCCAGCCTATCAGCGGGTGGTGCCAAGGATACCTGCCTTGCCCTGGGCACTGGCAACCCACAATATGCCACTGGCTCTCTGTGACCTCCTTCCTGCCTGTCATTCTCTTTAAAAAGCCAAGATGGTCCTTCCTCAGAGCGGAAAATCCTGGGCAGGATGGTTTACTTCAGCAGTAAGAAACACTGCTTAAATTTAGCAAATAGTAAAGATTATTTGATAACCTAAGCCATTCCCCTAAATTTATAGCGGCTGCAGCAAACCATGACTGCAACACAGGCATACTTCCAGCCACATTATCCAGGATGCCCTGCTCTGAGAAAGTATGCCCTTGGCCCTTCCTAAAATGAGGCAGACAGGAGGTGGAGGGAGTGATGGACAGCCTTGCTGGGTGAGTCGGAGCAGCTGGTGGGCAGTGATGGAAGCAGGGCTGGGCAGACAATGAAGCAAGGAAGTTCAGGGGGCTGGGAGGGCACCACCAGAGACCAGTGTACCAGCTTGGCTAAAGAAAAGGACTGGCCTTTTGCGAGATAATCATTTGTGCCTGTCTCCTGCTTGTGGGCTCCTCATAGGCATCAGTGAGAACAGAATGTGGTGAGAACGGAATAGTGGACTGATGGGCCTTTGGCCTAATCCAGCAAGGCTCAGGAGCCCAGGTCTGATTTCTACAGGAAACAGTGTAGCTGGCCCCTTAAATGAAGTGATGGCCTGGGGAACATAGCTTAAGATGTTCCTTTCAGTACTGTGGTAAAGATAAATGCCCTAAAAACACCATCAAAAATTACAGTTTGCAAGACATGTAATAGCAGCAAGATAAAGAACATCCTGAAGATGCAGCCACAATTCAACACACCTACTTATATTCCTATAAGTACATTGTGATTTTTAAAAATGAAATATGGGTTATATACAATATTCCCTCACAATCCCTTGGTGGGATGCCAGTATAACACTTTAATAATGAAGATTAACTATAGTTAATATTTATATACTAAAAGGGAGTTCAAGGCTTCCTTTCACCCCCTAGTGATTTATCAAGGAAAGGGAGAGCTTTCCACTCAGCAACACTCAATCTTACTTTCACTGCCTCTACAGAGGGTGGAAAGGGGGTTGGTTGCCTTCCCTTTCTGTGCATCATTTTATTGGCATTACAGCTGGATTAACTATTGTGCTGAGAAAGCTGGAAACTGCAGTTAAACAGAGGCCCTGGCAGCACAGAAAGGTTTGTATCACAGTGTTGTTCAGCAGATAGTAAGGTTTCTGTCAGCAGAGCAAGGAGAGAAGCAAGTTCCAGTTATTTTCCTCTCTTCTGTAGCCGCCCACCACCATGTTCCCCTCAATCTGTCCTAGAGGATCCCCCAACTCTCTAGCAGATCTAGAGTAGATGCAGGGTGAGGGGGGTGGGATCACAACAAAATGCTTCCCTCCCCATTCTACTGATGAAGGCATTACTATCAGCTGAGCAAAGTGCCCAAAGTGTCCAGGTATTTCCCACCAGGAAAAATCCCGGTTTGCTCCCTGCACTGAGCTCTTTTTAAATCCCCTGCATTTTAGGACTACTATCCTCAATGAAAGCTGTGGTTCCCCCCTGTGCAAGAATCAGAACACCCTTGAACAGAAAAGATTCTACAGCTAATGCAGGAGGACCCAGACTGGGCAAAAGTGAGGGTTCTGTGATCCTATTTTCTATGTGAATTAATACTGCTAGATCAGAAAGCAGGGTTTAGGGGGACCACTTTCTTTAATCCAGTCCAGAGCAACCCAATATGGCATGCTTTCCAGTGAGAAATTGCAGGTTTTAAATTTATTTATTTATTTATTTTGAAGCTGTGTATCAAAGCTCCAAATGTTGAATTGGCTATGGAAGCACAGGCTCTGAACCTCATACAGGCTGCGTAGGAATAATAGGGCATTATATGAGGTGTTAGCTGTCAGCAAATTGTCTGTTGTCAACAAAAACTCTGCATTTGAGGCTTTAGGTTCATTCAGATATGGGCTCTTTTGTACCTTTTGTCGGATACACAATGAATTTTCTCTATGAGGATTGTACTTAGCTGATCCCCTCAAAAAATACTGAGCAGCACAGGACATGTGTAGACTTCTTGTTTCGCTACTGCACTTGGTAGGCTGGAGTGGAGTAAAAAACAAAGGGTTGGTCAAACCTTTGACTTCTCGTTTTGTTTGAGGAGATAGCTGCACTTCATGCACTTGAAGTGACACATGGAGTTACAGAAGGGAAACTGAGAGCTCCAGTGCCAAGAGCTGTGGTCTGGGGAAAATGTCACCCTTTCCTCTACATCAGAAGTTCTTAAATATTTGTACTTGGCCCTGCACTTCAAGGTTGTTGTTGGTTTTTCCAATGGAGAATGGTAATCTGGCCCTGATTAAGAAACAGGCTAAGAATGCCTGGTGCAGTTGCGGAGGATGAGGTGGCATTCAGACTGGTGAAGTGGGAAAAAGCCCACCCACTTGTCTCCATAGCTAGCTAAGGCCATTTTATTACAAAAAAACTAGTCTGACCAGTTCAGCGGCCTCTTCTAGTTTCTAAGCCTCCTTGATATAAAATCGCTGGCCTAGAAGGGACCCATGGATATGTTCTAGACCAGGCATAGGCAAACTCGGCCCTCCAGATGTTTTGGGACTACAACTCCCATCATCCCTGACCACTTGTCCTGTTAGCTAGGGATGACAGGAGTCGTAGTCCCAAAACATCTGGAGGGCCAAGTTTGCCTATGCCTGTTCTAGACTGATTCCCCACCACCACCTATAACATGTCAGTGCAAAGGGCACCATTGGATACAGCCCACTGGCTAAAGGGTGGTTTAATATTTCACAGAACACAACTTACCCTCTACCACCACAAATTGTAATGTATGCACAGACTGTTTCTATGTAATGATGAGTACAATTTTTGCTGTGTGTGCCATGCCTTTTAATGATTATATACAGATTAAAAACAGATTATTTTATCAGTGTATTCTGGAAATATGCTTTTAATGCATACAATAATATGAAAGTGAGCGGTCATACAAGACATCAGCTACAGGTTGATTTAAGATGTTTCCTTTTAAGTGTCATCAGTTTTGAAAATGACCAACTTGTGTGAGTATTCTACTCTTTTCACAGAATAAAGCCAGCTATTAGGAGAACATAGATTTGAACTGGATAGTGGATAGTCCATCAGGTTCATAAGAGATGAGCTATATAGATATATTTCTCATTGCAAACTGAATGGTAAGGACATGTGCCATGAGCTCAAAGTATTTTAAAATGTAAATTGCTATGCAATATATAATCCATGAAAATAGAACCCCTATTGCTGTAATAACTGAAAGTATATTGGATTTTTCTACTATGTTCCTCTAATTGAACTTGTTGCAAATTTTTATCAATTTGATGTAAAACTAATGCACATCTTACCTGTCCAGCACAATGTAGCACTGAATCATAATCTTTTTTAGCCTTTTCTCATATGAAATCGCACTCTTCTGATTGTTATGCATGTCTGTACTCTTTTTCCTTCCATGGTTATAATAGGCAATTTTCATTCTAGCATTCTGGAAATAGAACCAGAATTATACTTTAAATTGTATTATTTTTGTGCATCACTGCTTCCCTAGAACTTCCTGTGTCCTGATTCATCCTCGAAATGTTATGAACGGTTTTAAAAAAGTGGTTACTTATATTTTATATCTTGGGGAATGTATTGCTCATGTCTGTTTAGACTACCTTCCAGAATTTGACTAGTATGACCATGCCTCTGTGTCAAATATATTGGATGATCTAATATGGGAAGGTATAAGATGCTGTGTCACAGTGAGTATTCAGTTCCTTTGGAACTAGGACACCACACCAGCTTCGCCTTTTCCACATAACAGCATTTCTTATTAATAGAGTTCTACATGTCGTCATGGATTATTGATAGCACTTGATAGTTATGCAGAGCTGCAAGTTATCCTTAATCCAAAAAGCAAGTCTACCTCTCTCTTTTTCAGTTTTAGTAACAGGATTATGAACACATTTCCCCACATGAAGCTACTGGCAAAGGTTGAGTAGAGAGTATAAAACCTGAAGTGTTGGGGGATATTGCAGGCTTGACCCAGCGAGTCCCTTAAATGTGCTGTTAAATGCACACAGCTGTCCTACAAACACTGCTTTTAATTTGTGAAAAGGCTACATACAGGGATAGGGGCTTGAGGCCACTAGGAGAGGGTGTTGAGGATGCAAAAGAACAACTGGATCGTGCCCTGCCTAAGACATTCAGAGATCAAGGGAAATGAGCAGCCTTTAAACACGTTGGGGCAGTAAGTGTGATGTTTAAAACATGCTAGTTGGTACAGGTTAACATGTTCAATACATACATAGGCGCCAGTTCCTAGGGGCCGAGTTCCCTTTGTCCCCCACTCATAAAATATTTGAGGGGGCGGAGGTCCCCCCAAGTTGATGGGTATTGCCATTCAAATGGAAGTCAGTATGTGTATGTACATAAAGATTACTATGATGGCATGGTTTTCTTTGTAGTTGTTTCCCCCCCTTTTTTTGGATTTTATGTTTGCAATTTTTGTTGTAATTTTGCATTGAAAATGATAAATAATCAAATGGTGTGTGCATGCCACAACTTGTGATTGATTATGTGGGGTGGGTCTTACCTGGCCCCCCACATTATTTTATTCAAGTTGGCACACCTGAACAGCTACGTTCCTTGCTGAATTCAAAATACTTTTATATTAGGGACTTAGAAGTTATGAAATATAAATTTGTTTCCGAAGAGCATACCACATTAACTTCTTTATTAATCAAGAGGGCTTAGTGCGGTAAGCAATGGTAAATTACTTGAAGCATTGCAGCGAATGTCTGTTTAAAGTAAGAAATAAAATGGATTTAAATATCTGATGGGGGGGGCACGCTTTGAAACAGGCCCAGATGTTGGCACAGAAAAACTATTTACTATAAGATTCCTAGAAACACCACTCCCTCAGAACAGTATACTATTCCCATAGTTCTTTTAACTTTCTGCCAACGGAAGTTGTTCAATAAATGTTGCTTCTGGTGTTTTGTAGTGGTCCCCCTTCCTGCCCCCCCCCGGATGAAGTTGCATCATTGATATTCCAGTCTCCCAACCTTATTTTATTTGCTTAAATATACCATAGTAGCATTTTAAAAAAATATCTCCCCATTATCTTCTGAAAACCTTGAGCTTCTTTTGCCTATATGGAGCTGATGGTTCAATAATACAATAATGAAGGGAGCAGGGAGAGAGTTCAGTGTTTTCCCCTCCATTGCCAGTAGGACCCAGAATGGGGCATTCAGGGCCTGGATGAAAGTGGCTTTGGAGCCAGAGCCCTCAATTCTGGCTCCCCAAGAAACCAAATTGTGTGTTGCTGTTAAGAAAATCAGAACTTCCTGCCCTGCCTGGTGTCAGTAGTATGACTTTGGAAGGGGTGGGCAATCTACCACCTCACTCCCTGCCACTGCCATCCCTATTAGGATTACTTTGTCAATTATAATGGGCATCTGCTACTAAGCCAGAAAGTATCATAGTATTTAGAGCCTGCTACCGTGTGGTGCAGTGGGACGCAGGTGGTGCTGTGGTGTAAACCACTGAGCCTAAGGCTTGCCGATCAGAAGATTGGCGGTTCAAATCCCGGCGACGGGGTGAGCTCCCGTTGTTCGGTCCCTGCTCCTGCCAACCTAGCAGCTCGAAAGCACGAAGTGCAAGTAGATAAATAGGTACCGGTCCGGTGGGAAGGTAAACAGTATTCCCGTGTGCTGCTCTGGTTTCACCAGAAGCGGCTTAGTCGTGCTGGCTACGTGACCTGGAAAACCTGTCTGCGGACGAACATCGGCTCCCTCGGCCTATAGAGTGAGATGAGCGCTGCAACCCCAGAGTCGTTCGCGATTGGACTTAACTGTCAGGGGTCCTTTACCTTTAGCGTGTGGTGCAACTGTCACATTTTGTACTGTATAATAAATTCCACAAGTTAATTATGTATTGTATGAAGCAGTACTCGCTTGAGCCTTAAAGCTTAAGATTCGCAGTATTGTACAATACTGAACAAGCCAGGCAATGCTTCAGTTGTCTTTTGATGTGCATCTTTGAAATCACTGAACTTGCTCTTCTCACAACTGAGGAACTTTAGAAAACACATAGAGGCATCTTGATATGGAAAGAAACTTTTTTTTTTTTTTTTGGCAAGACTAAATAGGTTGGATTCAACAATATTTTTATTTTTTTTAATACAAGTGTATAGATTAGAAGATTTGAAACATTATAAAGCAATATACATAATAAATAACATGCACATGAGAGTCATGTTATCTACCTTATATAACACTGGCTAGTACTCAAAATACTTAAAATAAATCCAGTGACATTGGATAAAGTCCATAAAAATGCTATCCTGTCTTCCCTTGTACGAAATTGTTCAAGTATAAAAAGATTTCCAATACAGTGTAAAATATTAAATTCCTTTTTTAGGTCAAGAATAAAAATTGCAAGTTATTGCAGTTTCACAGGACAATGTAAAGCAGCGTTTCCTAGCAAAGGAATAAAAGTTGTTCTACAAAGAGATGAAAAGTGGGGAAAAACCTACCCCTTTTTTGATAGGAGGAAATTCTGACAACCTACCCATAACACACTATGTGGATAATTTCATGGGAGTTTATTTCCACATAGCAAATCTAAAAATGGAGCTTCAGATTCAGTATCCCATTTATCTAGTTCGAACTAAGTCTCATTAAGTTCAGAGGAAAGGGACTTAGTCCCATTTACATATTACCCCTGTGATGCGGGAATTGTTTCTGTGTTGCCCAGTCCTGTGTGTTATCAACACTTTCTATAATTAGGAACCCATCACATTGTAACAGTCACATGGTCAATTCCCACATCACTCACCTGATCTACATGGTTCCCATTTGCAGGCATTATTGGTGAGGTGTGTGGCAAGACCACAGAAACAGTTCCTATCAGCACAACAGTAATGCATTATTTGGGCCTTACTCCTGAGCAAGTGTGTAGAATATTATAGCTTTATAACCCAATCCTTTGCCAAGCCTTGATTTCTTGGGGGAAAGTTCCACTGAAATCAAGAGCTTTCTTCCAAGAAAAACGGTTTATGGTTAAGGTGATCGCGGGAAAAGCATGAAACTAGCATTTTTTAAATCAAAACCTTAAAAAAAAGTATTGAAAGTACCCTTATAAAAAGAGTACTAACAGAATTTAAATAAACCCATGTCAGCATTTTAGTTGATTAGGTTAATATTTCGTATACTATAGCTAAACCTACTAAATAACTTATACCATGAGATGAATACATAATTTTACAGTTTCACATCTAAAGTTGTTTTCTTTAGAGTGCAGCATAGTACAACTTTCAAAATAAATATATCTTTAAATAGCATTACAATTAAGGCACAATATAACCTACCTAGCATTAACCCTTGAAGAACTGCAATCTCAACAAGCAGTCTCATGAGAGACCTATGCTTTTTCCCCAATAAATATTTTAAATAGGTATTAAATTGTATATAAATCATTTCCAAAAAATAAAATAAAAATTCCCTTAACACAGTTCTTAAAGGTTTAAATTCAGCAAATTTCTTCCTGCCTTTATTCGCAAGCCATGAATAGATACAATAAATAAAAGGAGAAGGCTGTTGTAGTAAAGAGCTGATCCTATTTCAGAATCAGAATAGCTGACACCAGCAGTCAAAGTTTCCTAAAAGTGAAACAGGATGGAGAGAGGGATTAGAATGTGACAAGCTCATCAAACGAGCACAAGTGATGTGTTCTTTCCAGATCGGTCTGTGTTATTGATTGTCTGTACAGCTGTTGCGCCCATTAATTCCACATCACTTGCTCCATAGTCCCATTCACACAGAGGACAGATGAGAAAATAACTTTGGTGCCTGTCCACCTTTTCCCCCCCCACTCCCCCCAAAGGCCACGTTCCTTAGTTTGTTCGATGCCCATTAAGAGATAGCCAGAAAGCATTTTTCTTACTCATTCAAACAAAGTTCTGTAGGCCATAATGAAAAGTAGTAATGACAGTCAGTGCTTTCAACATTTAAATAATAGTCGTCTTCAACTTGATACAGGCTACATATTGCTCACCTGGACTTTTTTCCCTGATAATGTAAAATGCATCTTTTACTGGTTTTTTGTTTTGTTTTAAATATAAGCTTCTTTTTGTTACTTCTGCCATCCTTTCATGATAGGGATGATCCTTGGACTGATATTACGATACCCACCCCACAATACCACCCATGATATGGATGCATGCTCTACAAAGACAGCAGAATCTGTTTTTGTAGTAATACACTATTGCATTGTAGCTTTCCTTAAAGCTGGATTGGTTAAGGTTAATTGCCTCTTTTGTAACTATTTCTACTGGAAGGCTTGAAGGTAAAAAGATAGGAAGAGTAAGAAACAGAACTTTCTTCACAAGTCCATCCGCTATTGCATACGGTCTGTTTGCAGCTGTTGTGGCTGGTATTGGCCGAAAGCAGCAGCAGCTGCTGCAGCTGTCCCAGGTGCCGCTGCAGTGATTGGTTGCTGGACTGCATAGCCATAACCCCCGGCTGTGACATATCCTGTAGCAGCTGGGGATGCTGCGTAGGGATACTGGTCATAGGCTGCAGCGGCAGCAGCTGCTGCTGCAGCTGAATATTGAGCATATGCGGCTCCAGTGTAGTCAAGGTAAGGTGTGGTGGAGGCAGCAGCTGCTGTAGGCTGGACATGTGGAATGACTACTCCTGGCTGCACAAAAGCTTGTGGATATACATAATGAGCAGGGATCCTGTTGAAAGACAGAAGACGAAAGTTAGATCTCACAAGTAAGCCTTACTTCCAGTTTCAGAACTTAAAAACAAACTCAAATTTAGTTGTTGTTATACGCATAGGGTTGCCACAATAACCAATTTCGATGGACAAATTGATCGTCTAAGCAAGAGCCGAAAGGGAAAGGTCTTACTAAAATCAGAACATAATCACCACCACAGTGTCACAGTGTTAGTGCCGATTTAACAGCAGCTGATAGTAAGTACTATGAAACATGTTACTAATAATTTTAAATACTTAGAGGGACCTTGAGATGTGTAGAACATCTATTAAAAGAAGGAATAAATGAGATTTCTATCTATGAGACTGGAGAACACAAGGTTTTAAATTCAACGGGAAGTGACAGGTTCCCCCCACCCCCCAATACTTGCTAAGCAAAGCTAGTGAGCACTTATAAAATTCTTAGCTCCATGAACTGTATTATCAGGTGTGGGGTTTTTTGTAGTTACGTTACATGTTTAGTTTTACATTGCACGTTTCCTGTAGTCATTTACACGGATCTGAGGAAATAATCGTTTTGTATCGTGGCAACCCTACTTGAATTGCTATGCAGACTCAGCACACATTAATTTCTCTGCAACCTCAGTCACCCTTATTAAAACAAAAAACAAAACAAAAAAACCAACAACACAGGCGACAAAGGAGCTTAAATAGAAGTTCACAAGTGTGGTAAACACAGCAAGAATCACACTTTTCAAACGGAACTATAGTGCAATTCACTCTGTCACAAGAGGCCATTGAGGGGAAGCTACATAGATGCCATTAAAATACACAACAGTGGTCCCTAGGCAAATGTGCACCACACTTCTGGAGAGGTTAAGGCCATGAGAGTCAAACCTGTTGTGACAAATCTGGCCACTGGTGTCCTGCTTTGTGCCAGCTTGTTTATTTCTATACAAGACAATGCTTTGGAATGGGTAGGGGCAGGATTATATTCAGGAAGATCTAGTGTTTAACAAAAGCAGAAAAAAAATATTGTGAGGAACAACCTCACCGTTTTAAAATACATTATTTATTATCTTCCATATTGTGAAGTGTTACTTCTTGTGTGCACGCGTGCTCAGTAGTACAGTCAGGGGGTTGGACTGGATGACTGGATGACCCTCGGAGTCTCTTCCATAATTCTATAATGTTGATATTTTTAGCAATGCTGCCACACTCAAAAATACAGCATTTACATAGCATACTGAGTACGCAACATGCTTCATGTATCATCTCAGTAATGCTTACAAGACCACTCTGCAAGGCAGATCAATGTTATTGTGGACGTATGGCTGAAACTGAAGTAATTATTTCCCTAAGACTCCAAAGGAAATATATCGCTGAGATTTGAAAGATGGACTCTTCAATTCACATTCCTTAGCCACTAGCAACCCAGCTCTCAGTTCTCCACCTGTTATAAAAAAATAGACACAGGGATCCTTCATATCACAGGAAACCCAAAATGTATTATTTTTACATTAATAGTACCATCTTCAAAGCTTTGACCTGCAACTGAAACTGTATGGGGGCAGGGGAACGCTTCTATCCACATGAAGTGCAACTCTAAGGAGATCCAGCAGACACACACGCACACACAGAGCTCCAGATGCAGAATAAAAGCTTTCAATGTCTCATGCAATGTCAAAAGATTTCCTTTCCAGCTGTTGCACAAGTCAGCTCCACCTGGTCACCCTATATAAATATAGTTAAGATTAATGAGAATATATTTAAATAAAAATTACTTTCATTTAAAGTTGCCAAGAAAGAAAATATTTCAGCTGAAGAATGCTGCCAACTTCGAAAAGTATTTCCCCCCCACTATTTTAAAAGCGAAAATTTGCCTGTTTAGCAACTAATCACTCCCCCTTCAATGCCTGCAGCTCAAGCATTGAAATGTTAAAAGTTTAACTAAGAAAAAAATATATTTACATCATCAATCTCCCACTGTCCGTGATGGGAGAACTGCAAAGTGTTAGCGATACATGGAGAAACAGATGAGAACAGAGCAACAAAACTGAATCTTAATCAATGACCTTTACAGATTTATTTATTTTTTAATGGTGATAGCAATTCACCAGTTTTTATGTTGAATCCACTTGCCTGAACCTTCTGTGTATCTAAGGCCTATCTAAATAATAACTTTGTATTCTTGTTGTAATGTTTTTAACCTACACAAAAAGATGATTTGCTTATACTGTTTGCTTAAACACAGATTCCTGAGATTTGCTTCTGTCAAATCTAACAGAGAAGATAGTCTTTAGCAATCATGTGAAGTTCAGTTTATAATATTGGTTGAAAAGAGAACAAAACTAAAACAAACTAACAAACCACCCTCTATCTTTCTCTACATGTCAACAGAAGCACAGTCATCATGGCTCCTGTATCCTTGTTAAAGAAGGGAGACGCATAAATGAATGTACTCCTACTTAAGCTCTTGTGATTTGTTTCTTTTAAAGCCAAGCAACTAACAGGTGGAGAATTATGAAACACTATCCCTTTAGAACCTCTTGATTTACAATATGCATGAACTCCTTGCAGGCGCCCCACTATTATGCCATTTTGCACGTGGTGATTGACAGGACAAGCTGCAGTGGGTCTATTTTTGATCATCTGTCATGCGACAAGGGCTTCCAGCTGAGCAAAATGACTTTATAAGGCCAAAGTAAACTTCCATCTGTTGGAAAGGCCAGCATGCAGAGATTGTCATGATACTGAAATGCTAGCTCCTTTTATGCTCAGCAAGGTCAAAAGGTTAAAGAGCAGTTTCCCATTATGCTGCAGAGGCATCTTTATTCAGTGGCTTTAGGAGTGTTATTTTGAACTTATTGTTTGGTATATATTGGTAGGAACAACTGAAACTGTTCTAGATTTCTTCATTGAAAGGAGATAGTTTTACTCTGATGTACTAGAAATAAGCATTTGGTGTACCAGAAATAAGCATTAATACCACAAACCTCTTCCTATGACTGTAATATGATTGCTTAGGAGGAGTAAGCCTTGCTGAATACAGCAAGACTAGATTTTGAGGAAATATGCATAGGATCGTGCCACAAACCCAGAAACTTATTTCAGTGGTTTGCTTTTAAGCAAGCGTGCTTTGGATTCCCTATGAGTTGTCTGATTCCATGCAGATTTACTCAGAAGTAACTGCTGCTGAATCGAAGCAATCGAAGCAATAATTTTGTGGTAAATATTAACCTAATAACTTGTATCATATAATATTGTGGACAAGTCTGTACAGAGCATACTAGACACTGAAAATGGAAATATAATTTACAAAACATAAATACATCTGCCACAAAACAGTTTGTATCAAAATTTAATAGCCTACGTTTTTGTTTTGTACCCAGATTATTAATGAGGTAGCTAACATGTTTCATCAAGAAGGCTGATCCCCAAAGATTTGATGCTTTTGAATTATGGTGCTGGAGGAGACTCTTGAGAGTCCCATGGACTGCAAGAAGATCAAACCTATCCATTCTGAAGAAAATCAGCCCTGAGTGCTGACTGGAAGGACAAATTCTCACATCATGAGAAGAGAAGACTCCCTGGAAAAGACCCTGATGTTGGGAAAGTCTGAGGGTACAAGGAGAAGGGGACGACAGAGGACGAGATGGTTGGGCAGCGTTCTCGAAGCTACCAACATGACAGGAGTGCCTGGCGTGCTCTGGTCCATGGGGTCATGAAGAGTCGGACATGACTAAATGACTAAACAACAACAAGTTTCATTCAGGGCTGAAGCAGGAATAGCCTTATTATATCACAGGTGTTCCCTTAAAAAACCTTCAAAATAGTCCTTTGAATCTAACCCTCTAACAACAAACTTTAATTACTGCGAAAGATATTGTATAACTTGCATAATATTTTTGAATTGTTTCATTCAACAATTCATAGATGCCCATTAAATCAGATGTTTTACTCACAATACTATATTTGATCACATGTTATTCATTCCAAGCCCCCAACTGCACTCAGCATAATTGCTTAAAACTGGTAAAGGGAGCTTTGTGGAAACTCACATCCACTTTTTTTAAAAAAAGTTAGCTTATATTAAGCCCTATTTTGTCCCTATTGATCACAATGGAAGCATTTTCAATAGAAGCACATAAAGCCTTAGACAAATGTAAATAAAAACAAAAGAATGAGAGTTTTCTGGTAAGTCACTGATAGTCATTCATAAAAGCACAATCATTTCACCACTGATATCAAGCCTTGAATTCAAAAGCATTTCATTACTGATAAAAACATACATACATGTATGTTTTTATAAGTTGCACTCCTACACACTTTTACCTGGGAGTAAATTACACTGAACTAAACAGGGCTTACTTCTGAGTAGACCTGCATAGGACTGCACACCAGGTAAAACATAGATAAGAAAAACAGGCCCTTTCCCCAGCAGCTGCATGTAACACAGAAGCACGAATTGTTATGTTACCCTTACAGACATTCCAGGAAATAATAAAACATAAATTGGCTGGCCCAGTGTCCTTTCCATCTTCTTTTAAATTGAAGATAGCACAAGTATTCAGAAAGTTAGAAAAAGCAACCAGCAGCATTAAACAGAGTCTTCCAGATCTTAACTTGCAAAATATATTAGCTCTGGCAAATGGGATTTGCTTACCACTGTATCTTTTAAGTCTAAGGCCAGTTATTTCGCAACATTAAATATTCCAAGATACAGGAAATCATTTTCAATGGGTGCGTTCAATGCTTTGCTATCAGATATTATGGAAGATTGATTTACTAGGTTACTTTGGCATTTGAAAGTTTGCCCTTGCAAAAGCATTTCAGTCAAAAAGTTACCCATATTCTCCTATCTACACTGCAATTTTTATAAGGACCCATGGAGTGGGGGCGTTCTGCTGCACAAGTGGAAATCCTTGTGCTGATAGGATGGTTACAAGCAACGGGATGGATACAAGTCTCACCAATATTTTCCTCTATACTTCGAGAATGAAGTTTACTTTTATGTTTCAATTTTAATGGCAGACTCCAACTCCAGTGTTTTAGATAATATAGCCAAGTTCCTCACTGTATCCAGAGTCAAAATTGCTTTTTAAAAACCGTTTATACAGTGGTACCTCAGTTTTTGAATGTCTCTGTAGACGAACATTTTGGTTTTCAAACGCCATAAACCTGGAAGTAAACACTCTGGTTTTCTAACTTGCTTTGGAAGTTGAACATGAAACACTGCTTCGTATTGAGTTTTCCATTTTGAGGATTCCGTACTGAGTTTTCTGTTTTTGAACATTTTGGAACTTGAACGGTCTTCCGGAACAGATTACGTTTGAAAACCGAGGTATCACGGTACAATTTGTGTGCATGTATATTTTTTTTTCTCTGCTGTGGTTGGCTTGACACCATAGTTGTAACTATTTTTTATGGTCTGTAGACCAAATAAACCGAAAGGAATGTTTTTAGCAGGCACACAATGAGGTTTGCAGTGGATACAATGAGCCACAGGGCCGCTCTTTTCTCTTACCCATAACCCAAACCTTTCGGGGTAAAATTGCACTCCTGGTACATTTTTCATTTCAGGTATTCGTACAATCAGTGCTTTTTTCAGGGAGTACTCAACGGTATGCAATAATGGAGCCTCTTTTCGTTGATAAAAAGTGTGGCACTTACGGTAACAACTTCATGGTGAGTACCGGCACCTATTTTTCTAGGGAAAAAAGCACTGCCTACAATGTAGGACATTACAACTGTGCAGGTAACAAATAATGTCCCCAAATTTCAGCCACTTTCCATTTAGAGTAGGGTTGCCTAACTTGGGAACCTCAGGTGTTGTTGGACCCCCAAGTGCCATCAGCCACAACTAGCATGGCCAATACTCAGGGAGTTGTAGTGAACAATGCTTGGAGAGCAACAGGTTAGGCATCTCTTAATTTAGCATTATTGTTCTTTATTTTTGCCTGGGATAAAAATAAGTCTCAAGAAAACCAACAGAATTTTACACACAGAGTGCTTATTTGTCGCAGACAATGTAACGTGTGCATAAACATTTTCTAACAAGAAATGAACCAGTGATGCAGCAATGCCTAGACAGAGGTTTATTTTTGAAAACCAAAAAGAGCCTAGGACAAAGAAAATATTCCAAGATATTTGATTTTTTTTAACCCTATTTTTTGTCTGGGACTATGTTCTTGTTTTGCGACACACACACAAAATGTCCTGTGGCTTTTTCAAACAAAAATTGGTCCATGGAATCAAACCTAAGTGCTCTTTTTCTGACACAATACACATGGGACAATATGCTATGGGACATTTTACTACCCAGAGAAACATTTGAATTTAGATTGGGGTCCCAATAAAACCATTTGTGTTCTGTTTCCCAGGGGCGTGGGTCACTGTCTAAAACTAATGTACTGTAAAAAAAAAAAATCCCAGAAGAGGCTGCATATATATAAATAGCACCAGCTAATTATGGTGGCAATAACAATGGATCATATGAAATACGGGCAGTAAAAACTTCAAAACTGGCCATCACCAGATCATCATGCTTTATATTAAAAATGAGTTTCAAGTATCAAAATTTACGTGAACAAATCCAACACTCTAGTTATACTAAGATTTCCAAGAAATTAATTAAGCAAATGTTTTTGAACTAAACACAACCAGTTGGAGGAGAAGAAACTGACAGTCCAGAAGGCACTAACTTCTGGCTTTATAGGGAAGCAATGTTATGGAAGCATAACCAGGTTCTCTCACTATGCTTAAACCCTTTTAAATTACACTGCATCCGACTAACAGTAGCTGAGGACAAAATACAGCAGGCACTCACTTTTCTATCAGTACCAATAGCCTGTATTCTGGAAATGGCAGAATATCAGGAAAGAAAACTTTTATTACAAATTAGTAGGGACAGCCACTATGACCTTTACATAAAATGTTAAGACATTTACCTATTAACGCAACAATAGGCAAAAAATGCTATTCAAAAACAAAGGAAGTCTGAAGTGTTTTCCCCCCTCCAAAAGTAAAATACCAAAGGGGGGGGGGGAAATATTACTATACTACTATACTATACATCCATACTAAAACAGTGGAAGGGAGCGGATGGCGCTGTGGTCTAAAACCACTGAGCCTCTTTGGCTTTCTGATCAGAAGGTCAGCAGTTCAAGTCTGCGCAATAGGGTGAGCTCCCCTTGCTCGGTCCCAGCTTCTGCCAACCTAGCTGTTCGAAAGCACACCACTGCAAGTACTTAAATAGGTACTACTCCGGCGGGAAGGGAAACGGTGCTTCCATGCGCTCTGGCACTCGTCAGTGTGTTCCGTTGTGCCAGAAGCAGTTTAGTCATGCTGGCCACATGACCCAGAAAGCTGTTTGTGGACAAACGCTGGCTTCCTTGGCCTGAAAGCAGAGATGAGCGCTGCACCCCATAGTCACCTTTAACGGGACTTAACCATCCAGGGGTCCTTTACCTACTAAAACCTTACCTAGTGAAACAGTAAAAATCATTTCAAAATGTCCACTTAGGATCTGATTTACTCACTATTCATCACGTCTACCACCTCATATATTTGCACTGTTTTCAAATGAAAATCCATGTGACCATTGGAAGGAAGTTACTTAATGGCGACTTTTGATGAACAGTTTAGTCTTTTTAAAAACAATCCTGCAGATTTGCACACCACAGAAAAAGTGATAAAACACACAGCACACTTTTTTAAAATGAATTAAAAAGTTTAAATCAAGGGGTTTCAGTGTGGTGCCCACAGGCATACATGTGCTGAGAGAGACCTTTGTTGGTGTCCACGAGGTCCCCTTTCTCACTGAAGTTAGTTTTGAAAGAAGCATTCTATTACGGACAATATAATGGCTAGCAATGTGTGCTTCGCTAATGTGTATGTCTGGTGCCCATGGCAGTTTCTCCAGTTTGCAAAGGTGCCCGTGAGCCCAAAAAGGTTGGCAACCCCTGGGTTCAAATACAGTGTTGCATATTCAATCTATTTTAAAGTGTAACTCAACCATATGCACAACCTGTCAAATAAGACTTTTATTCGTTCAGTTACAATATAGCCCTACAAGCTACTTTAAAATTCTTTTACGTACAGCACAATGCTATCCATGCATACTCACAGACCTTGATGGGACATAATATCAGCAGGATCGCAACTATCCAGATACTTCTAAGTAGCCAGTCTCAGAAATTGAGTATTAGGGCATATTCCAATTACGCGTTCCAGTTACATGTGTTTAAGTTTATATACTGGTCACTTTGACTGCGATTGTGATCTGATTGCTAAGTTTTTTGTGCTGGTGAATGTCCTTGTTCATTCCAGATACTCCAGGGGAGCTCTAATATTCAGAAGAAGTCTTCCCTCCAATACACACACTACCAAGGCATCAAGTGACTCGATAAAAACAAAATGCTGTTTACATGGAATTGCTCCACCCTCTTAAGAAATGGATGGGACACAATTATATGAAAAAAAATCATGTGCTGGCTAAACAAGCCTTATATCAGTTGATGAAATATCCAACTTAGTCTTCCTCTCATATCTTGTTTGTGGATTGGGCTTTAATTAGGTTGCAATCAGGGGTGGAAAACCTAAGCCCTATGAGCCTACCTAGGTCCAGCACAGGTCCCTCAAAGTTTTTACCCCAAACCATACTGCATGTGCAGTCACATGCAGCATCACAGGACATGTAAGGATGGGGGTGCCTACAAAGGAACAATTGCCAGCTTGTTTGAAAAGTTCCCAGTTATTCCATTGCAAGCGGATCTTGCTGACAGCTGACTGGTGGTCATAGTAAGACCTACCGGCATCAGCTGTACTAAGGAGTTCACCATTAGGATTAAAATGGCACCTGGAAATAGACTTCAGAAGGACTTGCCATAACCACTGATCCATGAGAATATTTCAATTTTGCAGGTGGGGGAATCTAAATATTTGATTCACTAGCTAGGTTCCATTCCCCACTCCTGCTACACACACTTACCTATGGGTAAGTCAGTCCCATTAAACTCAGTAGGATTCCTTTCTGAGTATGCATATATAGGATCTGTGACGTTAGTCTCTTTAGCTGGTGTCTGCTAGCCCAACCATCTTAATAGACCAGCTAAAGAACAAACTGGGTGTTTAACATTTCCAGTTTTTAAATATGTAAATAGCAGCTGGGGGTGATCAGGATAAGAGCATGCAGGAGGGGTGTGTGTGTGTGTGTGTTACCCTTTCCTCCCATGCTGTGTTCTTGATTAAACAACCCCACCGTTTGTGGGGAAGCTTCCATTGATGCCAATGAAGGCATCTTCTAGAGGAGGGACATTTTAATTGAGACTGCAGTGAGAGAGGAAAGGGTTAAAACCCTGCCCAGTTCTGCTCCATAAACTTGCAGGCTCTTGGGCTCTGTTCTTGGTTTAATAAAAAGCCAGGAGAATGTTATATGCCACTACAGGTGCCACAAAATACTTGCTCCACATTTGTAAGAACTCAATCATTTAGTGTGGCAGTACCTACTCTTCGGAACTTCCTGCCTGTTGATATCAAGCAGGAAAACTTCCCTTGTATTCTTTTCATCGCCTGCCTAATACATTCTTGTTTAGACAAGCCTACCCAGATGCTTAGAAATGCTGGTGTGAATTTTAATCTGTTTTAGCATTTTAGCATCTTATATGTTTTAATGTATTGGAACTTTTTCCTGATTTTACCTTTTTGCAAACCACTTTGGAGGTTTTTATTACAATAAAGTGGAGTATAAATTTCATTAAATAAAAATAAATAAATGTAATATATACTTTGGACTTGGTTTAGACAGTCAGCAACGTGGTTGCTAATGTCTAATTTCAAGATATATATAGTGTTTCAAAACTATTCTCCAATAAGCATGCGTGCTTAAAGTTTATCCCCCCTCCTTTCCTTGTTAAGTATTCAACTAACTTTTTGTCACGGGCCTTACTCAACAAGAATCAAAGAGGAGACAGCGTACAAGACATTCAAGCAAGCAGATGTCACCTCCAACTTTGATGCTTAATTGTAGAATAAAAATGCACAGCAACTTTAGGAATAGCATATGTTTAAGTAAATCTGCAGAAGGCTAAATATATATATATTTATATGTATTATCTAATGGGAAAGTGCACGTGGATGCACACTGTTAATACAGGGAGCTCCAAACCCTTCCCAAGGAACAAAACCAAAACTGTAACATGCAAGCAATGTTGATTTTTCTTTTTTTTTAAAAAAAGAAATCAAAAAAGAAACCACACAAATTTAGCACTCACTACAAAGTACGGTTAAAAAATAAATATAAAAAAAGAAGTCACAGGCTACAGCTTGAAAGCAAGAGAAAAAAAAAGTCCCTTCGCTCCCCATGGCAAAGTCAACACTTCTCCACAAAACCAAAACGAAAAGACCACCAAAAAACTTTCACTACAGCTCTCTCAATAAATAAAAGCACACAGTTTAGCTATCAACACCACTTCATTACTGTAATAAATAAATAAAAAAGCACACGGATATCTATTGACTATATAGAAAAAAAACATACATGCATCGTTAATCACCATTTTAGCTTGGTTTGTGTGTTTGAGTCTACTGGTTACAGAGTTTAATTCCAAACAGAACTATTCCACCTCTTATCATCATATCCTTCTCATCAGTTATCTTAACTGTAAACGATCCCTGTCAGATTAGAAAGAGATAAATAACATTGAGTCAACCTGAAGAAAAATACCGAATGGGGCACAGTGGCTTATTAAAAGGCACACCTTGTTTACCACATGATCTTACGAGCATAGGGGCTGCTTGAGTGCAAGGCCGGCATGCATCTTACACCACTTGACTCGGATATAGTATTTATTTAGAGAATTATCAATGAAGTGATGCCATTTTAAATCTGGAAATTCGAAAAATATAATTTTATTTCCAACGGTCAGGTTAAGACATACACGCTATATTGTTCCCACCCCCAAATATGAGCTTAAGGCAGACTTACCCAAAAGGCCTCTGTATTAATGCTGGGTGGAGCTGCTGAACACCAAAGGCAAAACCTAACAACAAAACACATCACATTCTCTAGGTGAGCATTGCATTTACTTCACGTGAAAATTCTAATAACCACCCTCCGATCATTCTCAGTGAAGAGGAATATGTCACAGCATAAGCCTACTCATGTATACTCAGAAGTAACTCTCAGGTCACCGTCTTAATAAACTGTGCAGTACTGATTTTAGGTAAACAAATCAGACAAAAAATGTGATCTGATGCCATATGGTTTGAATACCTTGGTAAGATCAGCTTTATGGAGTACAAAAGTATTTCTCTCTCGAGCGTTATAATGTAGAATTAATGAGCTATTACTTCTGGCAAACTGCTGTAACCTGGAGCAGACGTAACATTCACCATCTTCTAAACTTGGATGCAAGCCCCTCTCCTGTACGAATTTCAATTTGACATTCATGGTTTGAGTTAACCATGGTACAGGGTTATATACCTGCACTGGCACTAAGCCTATGGTCAACACTAATCAAGATAATCCAGACAGTGCTGATGCAGAGATAACGTCACACTGTTAAGACAAACAATGGAAGTGAGAGGCATTCTGGCAAGAGTGAGGGGGGAACTTGCAAGTCAGTTGTACACTCCTGATCTCCTAACCACGATACACTGAACCAAGCTGGTTTGATCCTGGCTTGATTATACAAACCACAGTCTAAACTAACCAGAGCCCCACCACCTTTTTGAGTTTGGACATAACAATAAACTGAGAAAGGAATACAGAACCTGAGTCTCACTTCTGCTCAAACATGACATGGAGGATTTCAATCTCCTGCTTGTGGCCATACCAGATGAGAAGGGAGTACAGAGGCAGAGGCTCATTTCTTCTTATTCGCACAGTACCAACGGATGGTTTAGTGTTATATCTGAAATGGGCTGGTCTGATTAATCACTGTTTACTCAAGTATTTAAACACATCGTTTGGCTGCCTGTGTTTACCATCTTCTCAGTAATCACTTTTATAAGCTGATTCTAGAGGGCAGCAGCAACTATGATATGTCAATTTATAGACTATGCCAATTCATAGTTAGTACAAATTACGGTTCACAAACCCACTTCAAAATCGAGGTTTCCACCTCTGGTTTACCAGACAATTGCATGGTTTAGCATGATGTCTGAACTGAGGCACTGCAGAGAAGCAACGAAGGCTCACATACATTCCTGTTAAGAGTTATAGGATATTTCCTATGGATTCCAATGTGTAAGCAAGATACAGTAATCCAAAACAAAAAGCAGTTGCTTGGTACCTCAGATAAATAAGGAGTTACTGTAACATTACAACCATGTTGGGCACCTTGTTAACAGATTAGTTCAGAATGATTTCTACACAATCAAGGACCCACTGGCGGTAATAGAATGGTTAAAATGGAGGTGTTTGGGACAATGGGATAAAACAATCCTTAATGCTTGCAGTGGAAGAGGTTTGTAAGAATGTACTGGTGGGTTAGAGGGAGCGTTAAATTCTGTTGAAGCTCAGCCATTGGATTTTAGGAACCCTGGTAGTTACTATGCCAATTGTTCACATTCCCTTAATAGCCCTAAATAAAAATCTCCAGCATTTAACTTCTAAAATCAGAAGCATTATGCTGGAACCCGTTGCACTAATTCCACATATGGAGATGTGTGGTGGCTGACTGTAAAAAATATTATGCACTCATTCGAAGGCTGAGCTCTGGTACCTACTAAGGACAGCTTCCAAGGTTAAACTGTAGCTCAGATTCAGCCCACGTTATCCCCAACCTTTACTTAGAAAACAAAGCCAAGTAGCTTTTTATCCCATGAATACCAATACTGAGTTCAGCAAGACCATGAAGCCCATAATACACTCTGGTTTTTCTTATCAAGACGGGAAAGTATGTTTCTGTAAATGCAAAATGGGAATCTGGCCTCACAAATAATTGGAAGCCATTCCAAGTGGTCACTTCTGCTTAGACTGGACAAAAAAGTTGGCATCCGTCTACCACAGATGGCGGCAACTGCCAATGCCGTCACCCTGTTGCACCATGTAGCAGGTGCGCATTTGCACTATTTTTAAAAAATTATTTATTAAATTTATATGTCCAACATTACAGGAGCACATTGTGCAAGTAAGCCTCCAGCATGTCCTATTGGAAACAGGTGGTTTCAGACCCAGAAATTTATATTCATATAAAATAGCAGAATTCATCTCCAATAAACAATGGTGCCACTGTTTTAATTTGCTTAAAGTTGCCAAAGGAGGACATTCATTTAAGTAATGTACCACTCAAAACATGCAGAAAAATATTGAGTGTGTACCTAGTCCTATGTACTGTATCTACTATTTATGTGCATAAAGGCTATAATCCTATGCACATTTATTTGGGAAACAATGCATCAGTGAGCCCTAACTACAAGTAAGCTTACAAAGGACCAAGGTGCAAGTTTTTAATATGAGGAAAATGTCAACAATGCACATTTTCAGCACATATACAAATTATACTTCAAGGCTGTGGTTTCTGAACTCATACCCCTATTTCTGGGAAACTTCTTACCAAAACATTTGTTTCGTGAGGGAATGTGTAAGGTTCCCTGTAAACACAACTGATGTGCACAATGGCTTGCAGATCCAGACAAAAGGATATTGAAAAATATTTTACCAAGCAAAGCCCCCCTTTTCCATTTTTCTCTTAGATAGTGAAGTGTATTTGTCTGTTTTGTGTGTACACTCACAGGACAATAAGCTCCGCTACAGCGCAGCTTCTGGAAGTAGTGGATTACTTCCACAGCTCTAGCATATAACCCTCATGGAAGTATCGTATGTCTCCCACCACAAACACTCATAGGAGACCCCATGGTTTTATGCTCCAAGGGCAGTACTGTCACTCTGACAAATTCAGCATTCATATTTGTGTTACTGCATCTTCCATCATCATATCATATCAAGTTATTAGGCTGCATTAGCACAACATTTGGCACAAGCCATCTTTAACATGTCTTGGCCAGCATGAGAGGCAGACTTGGGGGGGGGGGGGGAGAGAGGCATTTTAATTGTAAGAATTGTGCTCCTTCCAGGAATCGGGACCCAATCCTCAAGCTATTCGTTCACTGAAATAGGATAAGGTTAAAAGTTTTCATTCTCTGCTCGGCTGATAAGAAGCCAGATAAGAAGCCAGGTAGGGAGACTGTTCTTACCTGGCTGCATTATCCTTGGTTTTGCTCCTAGGTACGCTAGGTTCACATTAGCCTTTCTGCCATCAATGATTGGGTTAGGATCTTTGCAGGCCCTTTCAGCAGCCGCTCTGTCAGCCATGGTTACCTTGACAATAAACAGTGCAGGATATCAGAACTCATGTATTTGACACGACTCATATAGTACAGTAAGCTGGTGCAATGTGAAATGGAACACTGTTTCCAAGAGGCTCTCTCTGAACTTACCCAAATGAAACCGCTACTACTATAACAATACAGCAACTTTAGGTTTGTTATGGGGTTTGGTTATTTTTTGGTCAAATTACGCTCGCACAAAAATCAGGCTATATTTGAAGCGTTTGCCATTTCCCAGAGCACGGAATTGGAATTTTGCAGGCACCGAACACCCACTGACACAGTAGCATGTGCTGCAGCAGATAAAAATACGAACGTGTCATATCAGCCTGTAACCAGCTGGCTCCATCGGATGCCAAAATTTCACTAGCAACTTTTCATATGCAAGTTATGATGCAAATCTCATCTGAAGGGCACAGCACACAGCTTCCCCCCACCCCACCCCAATGTTTCCTTTCCTTTCGTTACCCTCTAGAAAAGAAAGAAGTGGTCAAAATACACAATCCCGTCGACAGGGGAAAAGGAGACACCTCGCAGGTCATGTCAGTATTTATTGCGCCTATCAGCCAGCTGCTTTTCCAATCCGTTGCTCACAACAACTTTTACTTAACTTCCAGGAAGTTCAGTTGGCTCACCTGCTCTACCCATCCCAGTCGCCTGACGATCACGCTTCCCCTCCTCCTCCACGCTTTTTAATTTTTTTGAGAGGACGACGACACGAGATCCAAAAATATCGCCGAGTGTCTCCCTTTCCCACCCCCTTCCTGCCAGTTGGGTTTAGGTAGCTGTGTTAGCCGCTCTCCAGGCGCGCCCGCACATCCACACGTTACACGATCCACCCATCCCCGCACCCTTCGCACTTACAAATCCGTATCCCCGGGATTTGCCCGTCTGCCTGTCGGTGATGACCACGGCTTCCTCGATCTCCCCGAACACCTCGAAGTACTTGCGCAGGCTGGAGTCCGTGGTGTGGTAGGGGAGACCCCCGACGAAGATCTTGGTGTACGTGGTATCTTTCTGCGTCGTGTGCATCTTCCAAAAAGATGCCGCTCTCCTCTAGCTACAAGCCCCGCGCAAGCGAGGGCTGCTGGTGTTGGTGGCGGAAAAGAAAGGAAAAGTACAAAAAAGAAGGAGGGGAAAGACTCCGCGGCGAGTTGGGTGGGCTTTGCGCGTGCCGCTCACTTCCAGCCAACTTCTCCCACCTTCCGCAGAGACTGCCCTGTTTTATATTTCTCTGGCTTGTCAGCTCTTTCCTTGCCCTGCAGGTAGGCAGGAGGCTTCGGGAGCTGCCTTGAGGTAGACGCTGTTCACGAGGCGGCGGAGAAGGTGGCGGCAGCGACCACAGCAAGGAAACGCACCAGGGCCCAGCCGCAGGCGACTCTGCTGCCTCCCGCCGCCTTTGGCTTTCCTCTAAAAAGCCGCCAGGCGCGACCTCCCCAACTCCCGCTGCTCCGCCCTCCCTCCAGCAAAGCGGGGCGGGGAGCCGGGCGGGGCCGGCCCGGCTATTGGCCGCTTCCTCGGCGCGCCGCTGCCACCCGGCCGTTGGAAAGGAACAGCTGCTGCTGTGTCTGTGCGCGCGTGCGCGCGTCTGTGTGCGCGCCTCAAGAGAAGCGAGCCTGGAGGAGGAGGAGGAGGGGGCTGGGAGGATCCACGTGCGCGCTGGAAGGTGGCCTCGGGCTCTGCGCGCACACGCGCCTCCCCCCCTTCCTCGCCTCGCTCTGGTCAGCCGAGCGCGAGAGGCGGAGGAGAACCGAAAGCGCCTCTCAGGTGCGGACGGGTAGAAATTCCCTCAGCGCGCACTGCTGCTCACTTTGGCGCCACTGCGCACCGAAACCGAAGCTCTCCAGGCAGCCCCGCTTGCTCTTTCTTTTCCCGCAGGCGGGCTGCGTCAGGTGGTTCTAGGTTATGGTTCTAGGTTATGGGGGGGGTACCGAAGTAGCCCCACGGGGCGGGTTGGGGGAGAGGGTGCATCTCCCTCGCTCCTCAGACAAAGCAGCTCGTGGCTGCTTCCCAAGCTTCCTCCGCCCAGAGACGGGAGAGCGAGAGCAAACGGGCAGAAGAGGCTGGTGCCCAACGCCCCTCCTAGGGCAGCACGCTTTATTTTCTTCGCGGGTGGAAGATGGGGCTCCGTGGGGCTGCCGAGAGAGCGTGACCTGCCGCCTCTTGAGAGTTAGGACCATGGGCGTAGCCAAGGGTGGGCAGGGAGAGGCAGCTGCCCCTTAAATCAATAGAAACACATAGCAAACAGGTTCTGCCCCGCAACAAAAGGCCTGCCCCCCCCCCCCCAATCCTGACTATGCCCATGGTTAGGTCAGTGGGATAGTGAACTCAAATCATAGGAGCCACCTCCTACGGGCCTATGGCCCTTCGGCGACCACCCCCAATAAAATATTTGAGGGGGTCACCCCCCTCCAAGTTGATGGTTATTGCCACTCAAATGGTGTGCAGGTGCCGCAGCTTTTGATTAATTGTGTGGGGTGGGGTTTCCTGGGAACTCCCAATATTTAATCAATTTGGCATTCCTGATTCAGATGTACAGGCAAAGCCTCCATAGCCATACCCTTCATAAGATGGCAACATAAACAATTTTTTGGCCGATGCAGACATGATGCCTTTGGTACCAAGCTTGCTTTTTTCTTAGCCTTTGCTCTCCCTTGACTGGTTAACAGTCATCCTCATGAAGAATTACAGAGGACTCAATACTTCTTCAAACTGAAAGTGGCATTTAACTCTTTGGCGGGTATGCAAGTTAATCTGCCGTTTCCTGACCACATTGTGTGGATTTTGCTCCATGGAGAGCTTATTTGGCATGCAGAGGATTGTAAATAGGAAGTGACATCATTTCCCCTGGTGTGCCAATATGATGACACTTTGTCCCTGCCTCACTACACCACTGGGGTGGTGTAGATTTGCAAGCGGACAGAGGTCCTGGCTGTTGGTGGAAGGAGGATTCATCTCATCTGCTTGCTTTCCCAAATCCACTTTTCCTCTGGGAGCCACAGTAGCATAAATTAAGTACAGCAAGCCTAATCCTCCCTTATTGCTCCAGATGTTCGACAGAACACCAATTGCCAGGTTGCATATTAACAGAAGAGAACTATTACCCTTGGGTCCTGCTTGTGGGTTACTCATAGTTACTGAAGCTGGCCACCGTGAGAACAGAATGTGGACTAAGTTTGTGTGATCCAGAGGAGCTCTTAATAGGATCAGCAAAAGAGAGACAGGGTGAGCAAGCAGAGGAGGCTGGTGGTTTCTGTCTGTCCTCACAGTTACTCTGGGCAAGCATGCTGAGCTCTTTTTGTCCAAAGAAAGTATGCAAGCAGGTAGGGCTCTCCCTGCCCCAGTGTGAGAGGGCAGACAAATGATTCAAAGCTGTAACAGCCAGACTTCTAACAAATACTGCTTTACCAATACTCAGTGCCACACAACTCGGAGATGGAGGGTGACTAAACTAGAGGATTTGCTTGCTTGAATTCCCCCAGTAAAGTAGTGCAGCAGAGATGACTAGAGTTTGTTTTCATGTCCTTTGGGGCTCTAGATGGCCTTTTAAAATTGTGCATTCATTGTGATTTGTGCTTGTGATGTTATCAGGTTGGTCACACGCGGTTCCCCCCTTTAATCCTGTTTGCGCCTGCAGAAGTTTTGGGGTGGTTACCCTTCATTTCCAGTCATTGCATGCCCCATAGCTTCTTGCTGAAATCTTGTAACTTTTTATACCATAAATGTTCTGGTTTATTAGTGTCTCACTTTCATTGCACTACAGCCCCTGTGGACAGCAATAATGTGGTAGCCCTGAAGAAGCATTGCAGAACAAACTAAAGCAGAATAAATCCACCATTAACATAATATTATTGTGCCAGGAACATGTTGCAGAATACACTTGCAAAAAAACCCAAAACACCTGTCTGGAAAGCTCGTAAGAGTCAGCACCTTGAATTGAGTTATAAAGATTATTCAACCAGTATAGATCAAATAACTTGACTCCCTGATTCAGGTTCAAGCCTTGCTACTTTCTTTGCCATGCCAAGTCTTCCCCACTGCTAGGAACAAGCAGAGTTCTTTTCTCCCACCCTCCTTTTAACTGCACTTTAAGCTTAAGTGAAAATTCTCTCAAAATTTACCTATAGGGCTTAAAAATATTTCCCCCTTAGAACTCCAGTTTTTCTGTATGAGAAACCTAATCTTAGTTGAAGCCACTTATCTGAGAGCAAGAGCCATAAAGTTTCATGGTACTACGTGGGTGGTGCTGTGGGTTAAACCACAGAGCCTAGGACTTGCTGATCAGAAGGTTGGTGGTTCGAATCCCTGCGACGGGTGAGCTCCTGTTGCTCGGTCCCTGCTCCTGCCAACCTAGCAGTTCGAAAGCACAGCAAAGTGCAAGTAGATAAATAGGTACCGCTCCGGCGGGAAGGTAAACAGCGTTTCTGTGCGCTGCTCTGGTTCGTCAGAAGCGGCTTAGTCATGCTGGCCACATGACCTGGAAGCTGTACGCCGGCTCCCTCGGCCAATAAAGCGAAATGAGAGCCGCAACCCCAGAGTCGGCCACGACTGGACCTAATGGTCAGGGGTCCCTTTACCTTTACCCTATAAGGCATAAAGTATGGTTTAATACACAATAATGTGCACACGGTCTGAGTGCATGAACAAAAAGACAAACCACAAAGGTTTTGGATTAGCATGATGTCCAAGCCCAGGATTGTACTTTTGTTTCACCCTAACAAACCATGATTGCTAAGCAAATAAAACTGGCTAGCATTCATGGTTTGTTAGGATTAACCAAACCACAATCCCAGGTTTGGATGTCACATTACGTGAAACTGTTTGTCGTTTGTTCACCCAGTGTGGCTTGCAAAACCATACTTTATGGAGTGTTACACGGGTACGCACTTGCTGAAACAGAACGTGTGTTTCACCAGCACATTTTACTTTGCTCTCAGTGTCCTAGGGGGAAACATGGTTCAGATAATTATTCTGAAGCTTTTGCTTCGCTGCATAAAATTGTTCTTTTGAAATTAAATCACCATTAAACAACACAATCACTTTGCTTTATGAGGTTAGCTTCAAGGCATCTTAGAGCAAACCTCTAGCGCACAAATGTATCTGTGATGGACAAATGAAAGCCGTGTTCCAACTTAAGAAATGCATATATACATATATATATATATATATATATAAAACAAGATTCCTGGATCGGATAAAAGCCCCATCTGATCTAACATTCTGTTCTCACGGTGGTCAATCAAATGCCTACGGAAACTCTACAAGCAGGGCCTGATTGCAATAACACCCTCCCATTATTGATCTCTAGCAACTAGTATTTGAGACTCAGAATCATATAATTGTAGAGTTGGAAAGGACCCCAAGGGTCATCTAGTCCAACCCCCTACAATGCAGGAATCTTTTGCTCAATGTGGGGCTCAAACACAATATTATATTATATTACATTATATTATATTATATTATATTATATATTTCATATAATTTATGGTTCTAGTGCATTGAGCTAGTTACTAGTGGAACACTTATTTTGCATCATTGCTTCTTTATGTAATCAATAAGGTTCATATCCGCCGTATTTACATTATAATTGCTCCCCACAATAGTAAAGCTGGCTGTTTAGTGTTAGCTACTGCACAACTGGTGGCACAATGTTTTAAGTGTCAAAAGGCAATTGTTTATGACCTTTAAGTTGTGTAACTGTATGTGCTGCTCTACTTACCGTAAGTAATAGGAAACAGATGCCAACCATTCTTGCCAACCAGCCATCAATGAAGGACCTCTGTGGTCAAAACAAAAAAGTATTCTTGTGCTATGTCAAGAAAAAGGTAGATGGATCCAGGGATACTGGATATCTGCTAATCCTGACTGGAAAGAAAGATGAAGTTTATATGCATTATTATAGTTGAATGTTTTGGAGTTTAAATATTCTAACATTTGATGAGTTTTTATAATGTCTGGTGTCCATGTTGCAGATTCAATTTGGTATTTTATCAGGTTGTTTTTGCTCTGTTTGTTAAATTATATCCCTCCCACACATAACTTATAGAACATCCCTTGTAATATTCATTTAAACCATAAAGTATTATTTATTAGAGCATACTATGCTCTTATTTAGACTTCTTTGTAGGTTGCTATTGTATTTAATTGTATTAATGCGCCGTGTTGGAAAGGATTGTATAGCATCTGCAGCATTTGATTTAAAAAATACAGAATGATTACATTTGTACATGAACCTTTTCAGGCAGATTGCGATAAGTGGGATATTAGAGAAATGTAATGATTTAGATTCAGGATGGGGAACCTGTGGTCCTCAGTATGTTGCTGTAGTACAGACCCCCCAGTCTCAGGCAGCATGCTCAATACTTGGGGGTGATGAGAGTTACAGTTCAGCAACACCTGGAGGACCATAAATTAGCTACCCCTGTTGTAGATTATGTCATAGTGCTGTCCTTGGCTTGTTTTCTCAGAAGTCCATTTGAGTTCATTTATATTTACTAGTTTCTAGTAAGTATGTTCATGATTGCTGCTCACTGAACGCAATGGGACTTAGTAGACAAGCCTAGGAT